TACGCACTAGATGAGTATGCCAGCGTATACACTCGGCGTGTAGTAGGCCTTGGCCCTGAATCTCGTCACCACGCCGACAACGGGCCCCGCTCCTCTCACCGCCCACCAGACTTCCTCTGGATCCTCGTCCTCTTTCCAGTCGCCCCCCTTGGCCCCTCCCTCGCCCAGCCAGACTATTCTGCCGTCTGCGAGCACCATCTCGACTTCAACAAGGTTGTCCATTCCTAATCCGTGCTTTCTGCTCAAGAAGCCGAAGCCGCCCGATAAGAACTGGCCAGAGCCGACGGGAAAGGCCGAGGTGGGGACGTGGAAAGCACCGTAAGGCGATGCACCAGTATAGTCATCGAGCTGCTTGGACCTGACACCCGCGCCAAAGGTCACCAGCGTAAACGGCGGGGGGTTGGCGTTGGTATTGAAGAGAGAGGGCTGAGGGAGGAGGTTGAGATAGGAAGGGGTGTACCCTGATTGGGCATTGAACAATGTGGAAGACGAAGAATCTCCGACCGTAGTGGGGAGGAAGGGGAAGGATGAAGCGGGGGTTTGTGATGGGTTGACGTAGGTGATTCGGGGGGTGGTCGAGGGACCAGCAGTGGCGTTGGAGATGGGTAGAGCGTCGGTGGCTGGGTAGGAGATACCCAGTCCGTTACCCGTCTTCCTCTTTCCTCTTGACCCGTCAGCATCGGTACCGTCTTCGACACCGTCTACAGCATGTCGTTTGGTGCTCGACTCGGCAGGCTGGGCATTGGCCGGTCGGTCCAAGACTTCTGGTGGGGTAGCCGAGCTGAGTCGAAGCTTTTCGAAAGACTCTTGAAGAGTGGGCGGGTAGGGACTGGGGAGGGATATCGAGATGTCGTTGAGCTCTGAAAGGTCGAGAATGACATGCCCGGCCACCTATATTCAAGTGAGACATGCATGTGAAAAGCTGGGGTCAGGACTTACGCTCCAGCCGTGGACGCCATTGCCACCGCCCTTGACGCTGACCTCGATAGAGTGCTGCTTGCAAAACTTGATGGTTCTTTGCCAGAGTCAGCTGTATGTGCCGATCCTGGATCCGTTCTGACCCACCGGCTGACGTCCAGGGCGTTGACAGGTTTGACGAGTGCCAAGGCTGGTGTCTTGACAGCCCCATTGAATATGGAGGCCGCGGATGAGAATCTGCCACCGCCGTCAGCTCCATCCTCCCTCGCAGTATTCTGACCTACCCCTCATCGTCTTTCCCTAGAACTTGGGGCTGCTTACCGCCCTCGAAGGCGGCGGCGAGGACTGCCTGCTTGAGGCGTGCGACGAGGTCGGGGACGCCGTTGAGGCCGTGGAGGGGCTTGAGCTGCGTGGGCCAGAAGGGGTAGGGGTCGTTGGGGATGCCTGTGGCCTTGACGGTGTGTGTCATCCTGTTGCCTGTCCTGTTGTCTCTGCTGTTGCCTCTCGCTGCTGTTGCACTTCAATAATTATATGCCATCAGAGAACCAAAGAACCCGGCGGCCCCCTCCGCCCGCCACCCGCCTCTCGCCGCAAACGCCGTCCTCCCTCTCCAAGCCTATCTTATCGTTGTTTGTCCACCACCCACCTCCAAACTTTTATTGTATGTCTCACACGCCCACCCCCCAGTCAGGTAACGCCTCAGAGAAGCCCTCCCTCGTCGGCGTACGTATCCGCCAGAGAAAGGGCCAAGCAAAGGCCACCTCCAAGTTTGAGCCCGAGAGTAAGCCGGCCCCTCTTCGCAGTCTCGTCAGCCCCTACTTACTCTGTACAGCTTTCCGGGACGCTCTCCTCCTCCACCTCGCCCTCCTCCCCAGCCCCATCACCAACGACGCCCTCGTCTCCAAGCTCGTCCAGGCCGGCTCGACGCTGGAGCTTCTCAAGTACTACGAACAGCTCTTTGAGCTTCTCTTTGTCGGCGGTCTCTTGCAGCCCGGGGGTTCTTACCTCGACGAGAAGCGATCCCCCGTATACGTCCTTCAGCCCGATGAGGAGATCGCCGAAGCCTTCCCTGAAGGCATCAAAGGCATCATCGATGTCCTCAAAAAGGTGATGCAGAGGTACAAGTACCTCCAAAGGCCCCTTGAGGAAAACTTCCTTCCCGGACTGCTTGGCTACTTGCCCAAGTGGGACCAAGAGTCTCGCGCCAAGCTCGCCGAGGCTACCGCCCTCTTGATCGTCGAATGCCAGATCTCTCCCCGCTGCCTCCAGTCTCTGGTCAAGGAGCACGTCGTCAAGGACAACGTCGCCCTCGACTTTTTGACTGCTTTTATCAAGACCTACACTAGTCGCTTGTCCACGGATCAATTCGGATCCCTTATCAAGAGGTCTGGCTTGAGGGACATTCTCGGTGTGTTCCCTCTCCAAATTCGAGACAGGAAACACCTTGAAGAGCATTTCAAGAAGGCTGGTTTGCCTGCGGTGAACGATTGGTACGCCCGAGTGGCCCTCGGAGAAGTCAAGGAGGAGACTATCCAGAACATCGAGAGATTGATCAACGACGATGAGCCTATTCCCCAGGTGCGTACATTGTCTTGGGCTTCCAGTATGCGCTGATCAGGGAAAGATTGCGGAAACTCTCAAGAGTAACCAAGCCGAGAATCCCGTTTCAGAAGCTGATTTCTGTGAATGGCTCTGGCTCGGCCTCATGAAGACTGTCGACTGGACTGCCCGATCTGACCAGATTGACGCCGCCGTCGTCGCCCACGTCAACGTACGTCCCACTTGTCCTTCCTTTGTCCTCACTGACATTCCCATAGCGCTACGCTCCCCTCCTCGAACTGTTCTGCCAATCCGCCAAGGCCCAAGTCAACCTGATCAACGCCGTCCAGGTGTACTGCTACACCGACACCCGTATCATCAAGTCGTTCACGCAAATCTTGAAGGTGCTTTATAACGCGGATGTGGTTTCAGACCAGGCGATCATCTATTGGCATCAAAAGGGAGCCAAGCCCAACGGCAAGGGTCATTTCTTGAAGGCGACCGAGGCGCTTGTCAAGGTAAGCTCAATTTGATGCGATGAAGCATGAAGCTGACGGGCGACCAGTTCCTTGAAGAGGAGTCTGACGACGAAGAAGAGTAGAGCGTCATGGAGACGCAGATTGTGCAGAAGAAACAGAATCAGAGTGATTCATCGTGTATTATTTCGACTTTCATCATGCATACGCATCGAGACTGGACGGTGTCGTGTGAAGCATTGAAGGAGGGCAAAAGGGTCTTGCTGCTTTGCACGTGGAGGATGGCCATTATGTCCGGATTCGAAAGTCATGGCGGGTGGTGTGGAATACGATGGACATGGCGATGGACGGTCTCAGAATGTCCTGGGGGTTTCACAAACTCTCATTCACAGGAGCCAGCTGCAGGTTCGAAGCCAAGAAGAACGAAGCATCATGACTTATGCTTACGTAACGATCAATGTAAACTCTTGATGATGAGCGCGGCGAAGTGCAACTGCAAGCAACTGAATTGCCTCGAAGTCACTCTTCTCTTCACTTCCATCCATCCCTGAAATTCTCAATCAGACTGCCGACTAAACAGGGGTAGTCTCTCAGATCTGACCGTCGCCCGTCAATACACAACAAATCTCTTTGAAGATGGCGCGTAACTCCGAAAAGGCTCAGTCCATGCTGTATCGTTTCCGCGAGCAGCAAGCCATCGACATGGGGCTCGGGACCCGCCAAAAAGGCGACCGTAGGCCCAGGATGACTTCGACCTGCACCAACCTGAGAGAAGCAGAGAGGTGGAGGGGAGACATCATGAGGGATATCGGGAGGAAGGTGTCAAAGATCCAAGATGGTCAGTCGTTCTGCCTTTTGCGCCCTCCCTGCACCCTGATTGGAATATTGACATGTGCTTGATGCAGTCTCTTTGACAGATTATCAAGTACGCGACCTGAATGATGAGATCAATCAGCTCTTCCGGGAAAAGAGAAACTGGGAGAACCAAATCATCAATCTGGGAGGAGCGAATTACAAGCGGTCAGCGGGGGTCATGGTGGATGATGATGGGCGGGAGGTGCCTGGAACCAGAGGCTACAAGTGAGTCTCAATGATCAATGTGACTTGACAAGGATTGAGCTGATCGTGGCTTGTAAAGGTATTTCGGACGAGCCAAGGAATTGCCTGGTGTGAAAGAGCTTTTCACTCGAAGTGGTACGTCTTTGACCATTCGCGTTAGCAAACTGTATGCTCACAGATGGCATCAAGCTGCCCAAGCGACCGAAGAGTCTGCCCGTAATTCTTCCTTCCAGATGTTCCGACACCAAGGACCTGGGTATTATGGCGACGAGGACGAGCTTGAAGAGGGGCTTTTGGCTGAAGAGGAAGAAGCGAGTCGACAAGGTATGCTTATCTACCCTCTTTTACTCTACAGGCTAATAGCTGACGATCATGTGTAGAATGGAACGAGCAAGCTCGAGAGGCGGCTGAATTATTAGGCATCACCGATGAGACGTCGTTGCCTGCTTATCCCGTCAAGCTCCCGTCAACATCGGGCGAGAGCGAAAAGGCCCCACCGGCGACAAAGGGCAAGAAGGCTGCCGCAAACGGGAAGAGCAAACGCAAGGCCGGCGTTGAAGAAGAAGAGGAGGCAAAGAAGAGCAAGGGAGATGAGGTATCTGAAGACGGCCAGAATGTCCCCGCCGTACCAGATGCTGTTGCCCAGGCAGCAGCGGCAGGGTACTTGGGCGTCCTAGATGCGGACAGTATCAAATTCCCTACCTTGCCGGATAAGGAGGAGATGGCAAAGGTGCTGTTGGAGGTCAGGAAACAGGCCCTGAGAGACGAGTATGGGGTGTGAGGAGTGTTAGAGCCATGAACATGTATCGGTATGCAGTGGAAACGACCAGTCCTAGCGGCCCTTCTTCAAGCAGCGCAAAGCGTAAGGGATGCAGCAATCTTTCCATACGGCTGTGTAATGCCTCGACAAAATCATAGATGCGGCCCAGAACTGGTAGCCGAGAATCGGCTAAATGACTGAATGATGTGCTGCATGCGGCGCTTGTTATTGTATCTTGTGGATCGAGTCGAAGATCCACATCGCATGCAGATAAAAGGGTGCCCATCTCCTCTGGCATCTCCCATCCACCATGCCAGCGTTCACCAACTCATACGCCCCCCCAGCGCCACCCGACATCCCAAGCGACATTCATCTCCACACTCCTCCAGACGAATACGACTTCAACTATGTCTTTGAAGTCAAGCAGCTCAGATCAGACAGAGTAGAGCTCAGGCCGATGGTCGTCAGTCGTCGTCAGTATTCTGCCGTACTCGTACAGCACTAACTGCTCGAAGCCGTCCCTACACGCCAAGGTCTACTTTGAGGGCGTCAACAAGTATCCAGAAGTGCTCAAGTGGATGGGCATCTCGCCGCCCCGAACCTTGGAGGAGACCCTCGTCCTCATCGAAAAGATCTGGAGAGCCCCGACGGTATGTAAAGATATCTATACCTACTTTTAGAGCTAACAATGCCCAGGATTCGCTCTCGTATGCAATCTTCACCGAGCCTCCTGGGTCGACAACTAAGGTCGAACCTGAGGACTACGTCTATGCCGGAAGCATCGCCATCATCAACTCTAGCTCTCCCCAAATGATCGCTGAGCCAGGATACGTCACTATCCTTCCACCTTTCCATGTACATGCCTATCCTCGATCTCCTCTCACGTCGCTGACACCAGGTCATAGCGAACCCACGTCCAAACCCACGCAACCGGCCTGCTCCTCCATCGCATCCTCGATCATCCTGACCAGGGCGGCCTCGGCCTCCGACGCTGTCAGTGGCTGACCACCACGCTGAACACGGCAAGTCAGGCTGCATCCAAGAGGTTGGGCTTTCACTTCGAGGGAGAGTTGAGGTGCCAGAGAGTACTTCCAGCAGGCAAAGTCGGTGTACGGGATGGTAGACCTGAGGTGAGGCTTTCAGAATGTCCTGCAAGGCATGACTGGTACTCTTCTTTGACCTGGTACGAATGGGAAGAGGAGGGTAGGGCGCATATCGATGCGCTCATGGCTCGGCAAGGATGATCGGAAAAGAGACGGAATGGCATGGCAAGTACTGCTGTTGTTACCTGACATCAATAAGACTGCTGCAAAGACCAATGGATGCATGACCACTACCGCAAAAAGGGCTTAGCGAACTTTGGCACGTAAAGCTCGCTAGGCTGTACTGCCACTGTCATACTAAGCTGCTCTCGTCCAGACCTTCCCCTTCCGTGGTACCAACTGACCGTTCCGTCCATGGAAAGAGAACAAGAAGACCCCTGATTTGGCATGAGTATGCCGCTTCCATCTGGCTCTTGTTCCCAGCTGTACTGGATAGTGTCATGCACGTCTCCTCTATCTGACACTTCATCTTCTGTCTGTGACACTTCATCATCCTCGAACTGTAAACCCCGAGTGGCGATACGAACGTCACCCAGTGGTACCGTTGATTCTGATGGGAGAGTGCTTTGGACAACGATACGAGCTCTGCCTCGTCTCGTGTGGGAACCTTGGACGTGAGGGTTGCCTCGAGTATACCATTCGCCATCCAAATGTGTAGTCTCCCAGATGGCAATAACCAGCTTGAAGCCGTCGTCTTGAGCAGTGACTGTGGCGTCGATGCTGAAGGGATGATTGAGACCCCTGGAAGTGATCGACATATCATTGTCGAGTAACGATGAGAGCGAAACGGGCTCAGCGGAGCCCAGATAGTCAGCCTCAAAGATGATCGCTCCCTCACCGTCGGCCGGAGGATGCGCTGCAGGGTGCAAAGCTGCTACGTTGATCGATGAGCATAGGTATGAGTTTGAGGGCCGCAATCCGCCACCAACGACTTACGTTCTTCTTGCTGCCCACCTTCTTCCTCGGCCCGGAATGCAGCCTCGACGGTGCCAGCCTCACTGAGACTTACATTGAATCGTCCACGAACAAAGTCATCCTGTCCATGACTATCCATCGACCAGAGTTTGCAGGGGATATCATCAATATCCAGAGGGCCAGTGAGCTTGACAGGATGATTCAACTCTCGCAGTGCAAAGGTGCCGCGCGCATTGGGTAAAGGATCGCACGACTCGTAGATGCTCGGCCGGCTCAGCATATTTGTGAGGGCGGAAGACTCAGAGACAGGTAGACTTGCTAAGTGCGAATCCAGCCCAAGGGTGGTGATGTATGCTCTGCCGTCTGGGACTATCGGGGACAAACCGTTCACCCGGACAGTCACCCGGGCTTGCTCTGTCACATGATCACCAACAACTTTGCCATCATCATCAAGCATCTTGCCTTTGATCGGCGTTGTGTCCCACGCCGATCTGAAAACCTTTTCCTGAATCGTAGGACCGCCGGGTCTGCGCGATTTCATCGGTCGTGTTAACACCTTGCCGGGGAAGCAAGCAGGACCTAGCAGACCCCACGAACCCATTATTGTACGGTCTTCCGATAATAGGCCTCAAGGGAACTGGTCTTCCCGGTCTTGTCATGTTGCAAGTGAAGCGGTGGCCCATAGGCAGTATGAGCAGAGTGTGATGGTAGGATGTATTCTCCAGGGTCCCAATCTTCTGATTTCGAACTGTGCGCTGATGCTGGCCTCGAAAGTACCACTTCTTGTCCGGCGCCCTCGTTGACGTCGTTTACGTTCAATGAGGAGACGCTGAGTGGCGATGATGAATGATCCATGTATGCGGTATGAAAGAGAAAGTGAAATAGAAGAGCGAGACTTCAATTCAAATATTCGGCTGCAGTAGCGGCGCCTGAAAGACCGCCTCAATCTACTGTATCACCTTTGTCTTCACCGGCTCCCTAATGACATCTGACCTCTTTTTCCACCTTTCTTCCTTAGCCATCAAGAGCCAATGCGGCATTCCGCCTCGCCTCGCTCTTCGCCCCATGTGGGTTAGCTCGTTTTGACCCAGAGTTTGTCTTGATAAGATTTCCATACTGCCAGAAACATAGAGGATGGTCGTATGATACAAGCGCCTGCTCTGCTCTGTTCAACAATGACTTGAGCAGGGTAAATCATGTTGTAGGTCTAATAGATTCATTTGGTTCATCATCGTACAACGCAACTTGCGAATTTTCCTCTGTCTCACACCCCAGCACAAGAAAAGTCAAAGAAAGCAGATGGAAATGCTCTAGTTGTCTTTCTAGGTTTAGATGGCAGCCATAACCAGCTTCGCCGCCTCCTCATTCTCAGCCCTGACGCCCAACTCGAGCGTGACTCCTTCACCCGCCGCGAACGTCATTCTGCATCTCGCCAGCACCTTGCTGCTCCCTTCAGCCCCATTCGAGGGCACGACCAGACCGGCCAGCTGGAGGGTGTGTACCGAGGCCGACGTTGGTGTTTCTGAGCCGCCCAAGGGAAGCATGCCAAGAACTTCAATGAGAGAGTTGCAAGCTTCTTTGAGAGATTCAGACGACGAGAGCGCAAATGTCTCGACAAGGGACGGGGAAGAGGCGAGCTTGTCCCATTCGGAAGCGAATGTGACGTATGTAGGGGTGATGTACTGTAAACACATGTCAGTTCCAGCCCTGTGGCGCGATCGTTACAACTCACATCGGCAGCTCCAAGGTCCAGCTCCTCCACCTGGTACTCATCGTCATAGCCTTCTTCCTCCGGTTGCCCGCTGGAGGGATCGACCTCCTTACTGACAAACTTGAGGCCGCATTCGAACGTGCCAACGGCGTACTCCTCCGGTTGCTCCCGGGTAAAGCTGACGTATACTTGACCAGACCCACTCGCGCTGGTAAGGCTCTCGATCGGAATGATAAAGTCTTCTACCAGACCAGAATCCGGGCTGGGCTGGGTGATGACAGCAACCTGCTCGAGGACAGTATCGGGGATGGTATTGGACACGTTGAATTGGAAGACGATGTGCTCTTTGAAGATGTGCTTGACAGCACTGACGACGTACTCTGTTTCGCTTTCAGTGAGCTCAACAGGTCTGGCGGAGGACTTGAGCACGGGGCCGTAGGATTGTAGCTCGGGGATGGCCGCGAGCTGGGCAGCATATGATGATTGAGCCTCAGCAGCTGAGGGGGTTGGAGTTGGCTCGGCAACGACAGCGGAAGAAGGTCCAGCAATGTCCAGGGCAGAGGGTCGGGATTGAGCAACCTCGGCCTGTGCCTGCTCTCTGCTGACTTTAGGCACGGAGCTAATGTCAAAGGCAGCAGAGTGAGCCCCCTCGTCTTGAACGTAGCTGACGAGTTGCTCTTCGAGGGTAGCGAGAGAGAATTGCGCTTCTGCAATCGAAGGTCAGTCGCATTCTTGTCAAGGAAAGGGAACACTGACCGTCCTTGACAAGGACATCCGCCAAGGACTTCTCCTCTAGCACCTTGATGTACATTGCCGCTCTATCCCTGACTTCATCGTCTACATCATCCAAACACCTCCTCATGAGTACATTGACGCTCTTCATTACATTGGGGTCGTTGACGCAGACACCAAACTTGGCCAGACTGCTAACAGCAGCAGCTCGGACCACGGCGTTTTCGAGCACGACTCGATTGTAGATGTAACGGATGAACTTCGTCGGGTTGGGGGTCTTGGGTCCCTCGATACCGAGGAGATGGAGGATCCGGACAGAAAGCTTGGTGAATTCACAATCCTCAATAAATTCACAGAGATGGGCAAGAGCTATAGAGATATTAGGACGGTCTGCAGTGGGAAACAATGTATTTACCGGTATCGCGAGAGTCCCCAATGTATTTGATCATGTCAAAGATGGCGTCCACGACCGCGTATTTGAAATCGTAACCGCCCTCGTCACGAAGCACCCCGGAAAGGAAAGACAGCATGACGGCCTGCTTGGAGGGGAATTTGATACAGAGGGATCGAATAGCATCGACAACGATGATCTTGAACTCATCGGTAATGTCGGCCATGAATGAGGAGATTTGCTTCATGAGTCTGTCGACAGAAGCTTCGTTTCCAGTCTGTGTCCTGTTAGCGACAGATTTGGCATTGTGGAAAGAGCTCACCTTGAGCAAAGTAGTGATGGCATAAGTAGCGACACTCCTGTTGGAGTCGGTGATCAAGTTCTCCATCTCCACGTTGACTGCAGACACAGCTTGAGGATGCGTCTGTGCAAGCTTGCTCAGAGTCTTGACAGCAGCAAACTTGATGACAGGCTTGGGAGAGCTCAAGAAGAGTTGCAAGACAGCGATAGTCTTGTAGAGATCACCAGTCTGAACGTCTCGCATCTCAGCAATAGCTCGAGCAGCCTCGATGTTGACCATCTCGGACTTGTGTCGAAGCAACGTCTCGAGGTACTCGTGCATCTGCTTGCGGACGCTGCCAGCATGTCAGCAAGTCCCACATCCCAGATCCACCAGACTCACTTTGGATCCTCGTCCATGACCTTCCTCGCGAACCTGATCAACATACACACCGCCATTGGGTTCCGCACGATAGAGCTCCCCTTCCCACTGGCACCGAGCTGCTGCACCATCTTGGTGATGGCCATCCTGTCCTTCTCCCTCATCAAGTATAACAGGCCCAAGGCGTGGTACTGCATGATGTAGCTGGAGCTTGCCACAGCTTGGTATCCACTGTTGGAGCTGCCGCCGCCGGAAAAGTAGGCGGAGGCACCAGAGTAGGAAGACACGGCTTTGGCATTGACAGCTTCTTGGGCTTCGTTTGCCCATCGCTTGATGGTGGTGGGCGACAGAGGGAACAGGTGGTAGGATGATACAAGGGATGCGGATGATATGGAGGAGGATCGATCGACGAGGGCAGACTTGAAGAATCGTTCGACCGATTGGACCGATTGAGCGTCGATGATTCGGGCCAAAGCTCGGATGGCGTTGGGTCGATACACCACCTCGAGGTTAGGCTGCATGTCCTTCATGATGGAAGAGGTGACCATGATGACATCCTCAGCAATCTTTGACAGCTCCTTGATCACCAGATAGACCATCTGTCGCAACGCGCTCTGCACCCGAGTCAGTCTCATCCACGCTGCGCGCGCGGCACCCCACTCACATCCTTGTGCTGGAACAGCTTTGTGACGCCAAAGAACAACGTCGTGGCCTCTTGGGTGGAGAATGTCTCTCCGATGTACAGCAGATACACGATGCGTGTAAGGAGCGCTCTGCACTTGCGAGGGGAGATGGGAGATTCGTTGAACACTCGAGCTTCCTGGATGACGGTGGTCTTGTCGTGGTAGAACGCTGCGAGGGTCAGCCAAGCGGGCGGGGGGACGCAGTGGACCTACACATGCCGGCGTCCTCGTCCTTCTTGAACGACATGTTGGATGATGCTGGGTGCGTTGAGGCCATCTCGAGCGTCTTCGCCGTCACCTCCCTCCACGACGCGCCTGAGGCGGCGTTACCTGCCTGAGGCCCCTGTGGCACCAGCGGCGGTCGCCGAACTCATGTCACCAAGTACTCTTCTTGGGCGCGACGCGTCTCTCTCAACTGCATCTCTCTCTTCCCGCCGTTCCCATTACACCCCCATGAGCAGCACAGGAAACAGGCGGCGACACGCCGACGAGCTTGAAATGGACGACGACTCTCAACAGCCAAATGTGCGTTCATTACTTGTCACGCGTCGAGGGGTCGCGAGAGCGAGACGCGCCGGGTAGGATCGCGAGTCTTGTACCACTCGCGGCTCATCTCCGCTGATCTCATCTGAGGCCATGTGACGTGAGAATCCGTAAGAGACACACAGGCTGACGCGTATCATGACAGTACAAACGGGCCAAGACCGAGGCCGGAGATGATCTGCCTTCTTCGGAACTGGACTCAGATATGGATGACGGGGGCGAAGAGGGCGAAGGAGGCGATGACGACGACGCGTCGTCTATCGATTCTGATTACGAGGAGCCTGAATTTGATGATAATGATCTCCTTGCCGCCTATAGGCAGTATAGGAAGGAGCAGAAGGGTTACGTTGGGGTGAGCTTCTTCCGGGTCGTGAGGAATCCTTCAGCTGATGAAATTGCCCATAGTCCGCTTCTCGGGCCGGTGTGATCAAGTCCATTACCCTTTTTGACTTTATGTGCCATCGACATCTCAAAGTGGACTTTGGCCCCAGAATGAACTTTGTAGTTGGTCACAACGGAAGTGAGTATGAGATTGAAGATTGTGACCGCCACTGACATGTGTTGCAGGCGGAAAGTCTGCCGTCCTCACTGGTATCGCTGTTGCCCTTGGTGGCAAAGCCACTCTTACTGGCCGTGGGCAAGGACTCAAAGATCTCATTCGCAAAGGTGCCGATCGAGCTGTGATCATTGTCACTCTCTTCAATGACGGAGAAATGGCATATCGAAAGGATGTTTTTGACCCGAATATCGTCATCGAACGTACCATTCACCAGAATGGGTCATCTCAGTACAAATTCAAGGCCACCAGAGAAGGCAAAACACTGGCGAACAAGAAATCCGAGCTCACAGCCATCTCCGAATTTTTCAACATCAACATCGACTCTCCCTTGACTATCCTCACTCAAGACCAGTCGCGGGGCTTCTTGCAGAATGCCGACCCCAGCAAACTATACAAGGTATGTTTAATCATATATTATACTGTCATGTGACTGACTGAGCTTGCTATAGTTTTTCCTGAACGGTACACAGCTTTCTACTCTACTCGACACCTACGAAGCTGCCACTCAAAACATCGATCAGCTTGCCACCTATATCACTAGGCAACAAGAGGCTCTGCCGGACCTCAAGAACAAATGTGCAAGTTTGAAGCGCAAGATTCAAGCTTCCAAGAAGGTCATGAAGCAGCAAAGGAAAAACCACAAGCTTTTGACTGAGCTCTGCTGGTCTTATGTCATCGAGAAGGAGAACGTGAGATCTGTTTCTGACCGCGGTATAATTCTAGCTGAATGACTCTAGTTGCGAGACATTGCCCAGGGCCGAGTACATGATCTTGAAGAGAAGATCGAAAGGGCTCAAGCAGAAGTGCACAAAATCGACGTAAGGTCATTCATTTGAAGTCGACTAGTCTAACAACGCGCCTCTAGAAACAAATCCCTATCCTCGCCGACCAGACCAAGGCGACCGAGAAAGATTTGCAAAGTTTTGAAGACACCGCCAAACCTCTGCAGCATGCTGTCAACGTTGCAAAGGCAAAGCAATCCGAGGCCAGAAAGGAGCTGAGGTCAATGGAGGTAAATGCTCTGCTATATAAGTCAATTGTTATCGCTAAACACCGTCAACAGTCTTCACTGGAAGAGTTGGGCGCCAAACTCGAAGAGGAGAGAACCTCTTTGCGCAGATTAGAACAGCAAATTGCTGAACAGCTTCGCCTCAAGGAGCCCGAGCAGCAGGAGGCGCGAGAAAAGCTTCTGGCTCGCCGAAACAAGATCGAAGACATATTGGGCAAGATGAAGCTCGAGAGGCCTGCAAGGGAACGAGAGAGGGACGAGAAATTTCAAGAGCAAAACAGACTCAAGCAAGAGCTGAACGGCATCGATGGCGCCATTTCTGATTGTGACCAACAACGACAATACATCAAGCGACAGATCGACGACGTGCACAAATCCAAGCACAATCGACTTTTGGCTTTTGGTCATAACATCGAGCCTCTCATGCGCGAGATTAACAGCACCCAGTGGAAGCACTCGAAACCCATAGGACCCATGGGGATGCATGTCACCTTAGAGGACATGCAGTATGCGGAGGTACTGCAGGCTTTGCTTGGCTCTCTCCTCTGTGGATTTGCTGTACGTGACCACGAGGACAGTGTCAAACTCGGAGACATGATCAGGAGACACTTCCAGAGAGGAGGTTACAGACCGGGTAATGTTGCCAATGACAACTCTGCGCGTCCTCCTGCCGTCTACAAGCATTCCGGCGACCACTTCGACTTCTCTCATGGTGACCTCAGCAAGCACGGTTCTACGGTTCTGAGCGTACTCAAAGTGTGTGTCAAAGACTTCTGTACCTCCCCAACTGACTTTTGTGTGACCAGATTGACAACGATGACGTCCTTCGAATTCTGGTTGACCACAGTAGCATCGAGAAGACTATGGTTGCTCCCAGTCTTGTGGAAGGTAACAGGATGATCGACCACATGCTTTCGACAACCAACTTGCCGTACCTCACTGTCAACTGTGCCGACAACATGACCACTTCTGGTTCCAAGAGGTAAGCAGGGCCCGCAGCTTCTCCACACTAGCTGACATCATTTATAGCGGACGAAATTCCGGACCTGTCAACAAATACAAGGGCAAAGCCTTATTCGCGAAGGATCCCACTAGTGCTATCGCGTAAGTCGCAGGACCGATCGTTCCGAAGATTCGCTCATTATTTCAAAAGAGGTTACGAAAGGCAATTGCAAGAGAACGACGCCAGAAGACAAGAGCTTCTTACAGAGCGCCAGGCTGTTGACCAGCGTATTCGAGACCTCCAGAAGGAAATGTCTGCCATCAGCGTGCGTCTTGACGTGCGCAACGTCATGGCGGTATATACTTATAATATCGAGTAGGAGACTCTCAGAACCCTGTCTGCAAAGGTCGCTCCCCTGGAAAAGAATCTCGACGAGACTAAGAGGAAGCTCCTTGACACTGCTACCACCGAGATGGATTCCACCGAGGCTCTTCGAGATGTAAGTCGTCTTGCCGTCTCGAAAGCACAGCATTGACGGGTCTCTTATCAGGAACTGCAAGAGGGCATTGTCCAGTTGGAACTCAAAATACAAGAGTCCGCCGCCGAGGTCGAGAGACAGCAGCAAGTCTATGAACAGAGGGGTCGAGAAGTTGAGGAGCGGCAAAAGGAGTCTGATGCCCACGCCCCCAACAAGGCAAAGTATCTCGTGAGTGATGTGTATTCATGTAGAGTCATGGTCTCATTGAACAACAGGCGGTTTTGGGTGATCTCGTCACGAAGCAGAGTGAGCTTTTGAATGCTCAAAAACACTATATGAGTTCTATGACCGGCTACGAGAGGAATCTCGCTGCTGCCCAGGAACATCTGGAAAGTGTCGAAGAGGACGTCAAGGTACGCCTTGATGATTTGAAAACTCTTAAATGACTGACAGCCACTAGGTAATGACTGACAAGGCTGTCACCTACGCTCCCAAGCGACAGGAGACGCAGCGAAGTTCTGCCGACCTCGAGGCCGAGCGAGCAGCCTTGGACAAATCCATCCAAGAAGCTTCCTTGGTGTTAGTTGATGCTCGATCTTTTTGTGCATTCCTTCGCTGATCAATCACAGTCTCGGTCATGACTTGACGGAACTTACAGCCGCATTCAGAAAAGCCCGGCAACGACAGCTTGAGGCCAATGGTTCCATCAAAGACCTCAAATTCTTGCGCAAGGTGCTCAATGGCGCCATGAAGAACAGGCATGCCTGGTGGCACGAGACCCGAAGCCATATTTCTATTCGAGCCAAGACTGCCTTTGTCGTGTTCGAAAGCTTCCGTAACATGGAAGGTCGCCTTAATTTCGTTCATGAAAGTCAAAAGCTCTCTCTTGTTGTGAGTCCTTGGTATGGGTGCGTGCGTTGATCGCAAGCTCACACGTAATGGACAGATCCACAACTCGACAACTTCCGAGTCTCAAGATGGAACCATGACTCAGACATCTCATTACAAGGGTGCCAAGTCGCTCTCTGGCGGTGAACGCTCATTCTCGACCGTCTCACTGCTCCTCGCTCTTTGGGCCACTGTGCCTTGCCCTATCAGAGCTCTCGATGAATGGGACGTGTTCCTGGATGCTGCTAACCGAAAGGTTGCTGCCAAGAACCTGATGGAGGGTGCCAAACAAAGCGATGGAAAGCAATACATCCTTATCACCCCACTCGACATGCAAGGTATCGACACCGCTGGGCCAGACAAGAAGGTCATTAGGATGGCAGACCCTGTGCGAAATCAGTGAGTGATTTTCGGGATATGTCGATCAATGAACTGATGGTGTTTGCAGGGGAACGATTGCCACCAACTAGTTTGGGTATCGCGGAGCTTGTCTACAACGTGACCATAAGGGCAACATGTCAACCACCTTCTTCAGGATCTCTTGTAATTATATTTTATGTTTCTATCTCTTCGGATGCCCATAGGGCCGGGAAAGATCTGGTTATCTACTCATGGCTACTGCGTGAATTGCTTCTGTGCCAAGTCGATGTATATAGTTGTATCCAACCTCTCTGCTCAGTCCAGCGCTCACAGCCGCACTGCTACTTTATATATATCGATACAATTCTTCATCTCAGAAAAGAAATTGAGCTTTATAAGCCCCATCTCATGGCCAAACTACTACACACCACACTGACACTACTCAACGCCATCAGCACCGCACTCCACACAGGTGTCAATCTTATCTTCCCCGCCCCATAAAACACACCCGCCGCGAACGGCAAGCAGACCACGTTGAAGATGATGGCCCAACCTAGGTTGAGCTTTTGGCGGTTGATGACTTTACGGGAGATGCGCAGAAGGGGGACCAGGGAATTGAGGGAAGAGGAGAGCAGGACAAAGTCCGCCGAGGCGAGTGTGGCTTGAGAGCCGTGACCCATTGCGACAGAGACATCGGCAGCCGCGAGCGCCACCGCGTCATTGAGTCCATCTGGTTCGTATTAGCAGATGGCTTTCGAGATCATGTGAAGCTGCACTCACCTCCAATAAACATCACCACATCTTTGCGTCTCTCGTCTTTTCCTTGCATTTTCTCGTTTGCCCCTTCACCAGCCTGGAAGATTCTGATGGTTTCCGCCTTGCCCTTTGGCCCAACTCCGCCCTTGACTTCGTTCTCGCCAAGCCCGATCATTTTGCCTACAGCCCTTGCGGTGGTTTCATTATCACCAGAAAGCATGTTGACAGCAATACCCCGTTTTCTCAAGGAAGCAATCACTTCAGCAGCTTCTGGGCGGGGGTGGTCGGAGAGAGAGTAGAGTGCTGAGAGCGCATATGATCCAGGAGAGTCGGACATGGCGATGAGGATGACCGACTTGGCTTCAGTGGACCAAGTGGATACTGTCACATGGGCTTGCTCGCTGATCGCAACATTGTGGTCGGTCATGAGAGCGACATTGCCAACGAGGAGGTCGATAGAAATCTGCCCAATCCGAAGACTAGCCTTCAAACCCCTACCGGCGATTTCTTCCGTATCCACGACTTCCACTCTTTCTCCGCTCGGGGCCAAGGGGCTCTTTTCAAGATACTCGACCATCCCCACGGCGAGAGGATGCGTACTTGCCCTCTCCAGCTCCAACACACCCCTTATGATTCTCTGCCTATTCTCCTTGTTACCACTCGCTGCACCCTCCCAAACCTCATTCATGACCTCACTCCTTCCGACCGTCAACGTCCCAGTCTTGTCAAATACTACCCTGGAGATTTTGGTAGCCCCCAGGAATGCCTCGCCTCCACCACTCGCAATGATACCGGCCTTGGCAGCGACACCGTTGCCTACGGCGTTGGCACAGGGCACAGCGAGACCAATGCCACATGGACAAGCGACTACCAGGGTGGAGATGGCAAACTCTAGAGCAAAGAATACTTTGCCACCGGCAACAGAATGAGGCTCGACAGTGTTGGTCAACGCGAGCGGAAGCCAAACCGCGAGCACTATGAGAGAGAGGTAGACAATGACGGGCACAAAGACACCAGTGAGTTTTTCCGCGAGCTTTTCCAGCGGAGCTTTCCTGGAAGCAGCGTCTGAAACGGCACGGATGATCTTTTCAATCATGGTATCTCCACCTAGCCTCAAGACACGGACAGTGACGGCCGAGGACAAGTTGACTGTACCGGTGAATATTTCGTCTCCGGGGTGCTTGTGGATGGGTTTGGACTCTCCCGTGAGCGAAGATTCGTCAAAGGTGGTGGTGCCCGACACCAAGACGGCGTCTGTTGGAGGAAGGGAACCTGGAGGGAGAAGGAGAAGATCTCCAATCTCGAGGTGATCGATGGGAATTTTGCGAGATTGAGGGGTGGCAGACGATCCGGGAGAGGTATCTGTCGAGTGTGAAGTTTCCTTTTTGAGTCCTTCGCCCGTGACAGTTTCATGGCTATCGACTGAGGACGTCTCTTCTTCCTTCTCAACCGATGCTTGAGTCGGCGCCCCGACAAGCAGCGCCGTATCCGGCCTCAGTCCTCCCAATAAACTGACAGCATCCGTCGTTCTACTCTTCGCATACGCTTCCAGAGTTCTGCCTAGTAGGATAAACATGATCAGGAAGACGCAGCTGTCAAAGTACGTGCCGACGCTGTCTGTACCAGACGGGTTTTGAACGTCGATGGCGAGCATGGCGATAGAGGCAAAGTAAGAGACCGTGGTGGAAAGTACAACGAGTAGGTCTGGGCTTGAAATCAGTGATGAAACTTTCCATACGCAGATCGACGTACCCATGCTACCAAAGCTGAAAGCAGAACGCCAGGTCAAAGGTCTTTTAGGGAGTCGCCTCTGGTTCTTTGGGATAAGCGTCTTGGGCAGTAAGCCTCTGAGGTGAGGCCACAGTGATGCAAATGCTCTTTGGTAGAATATCCTGTCCACATGTCAGCTTGGCGATACCAATCGGGACTGTTGTCTCACTCACCTGCCAACTCCAAACTGGACCACAGTCGCGAGGGGCCAAAGTATGACGGTACCAAGATTTGCCGCACCCCACGTGGATTCCATCATCTTCATTTTGAAGGCATCGTGACCTTTCAGGAGCACCATACCCACGATTGCACTATACCACCGTCAGCTTGGCGTTCCTCACATTATTGCCATATACATACATGACGAAAGTCGGGATGGCAAAGACGACTGCTACTGCCAAATGCCTTGCCAACATTCTGACTTCCTTCTTCTGAATATCCCTACTCCTCTCACTCAAGCTGGGCGCTTTAAAGACTGACGCTTCAAATTCTGGCGCCAGCCCTGTCAAACTTTCCAAAATGTCCCTGATCGTCAGAGGATCATGGGGCACATAAGTGACGGTGATGATGGACGGATGGAGTGCTATATCACTGTGAGATAAGAGGGGAAGGGTTGAAAGATGGTGGTTGATTTTAGAGACGCATTGGTGGCAAAAGAGTCCTTCGACGTGAATCTTGACGGTCCTCTGCAAAGTCTCCTCCTTGCCTTTGCCTTTGCTCGGGAAAGATACGGGCTCAGACGTGGAGATCTCTGCGCCATAGCCAAGATCCTCAATCTGTTCTGCAAGATCGCCAGCGGTAATGTTGCTCGCATGAACGATCACACCCCGGTTGTTGAGAAGATCAATGTCGCAGGATTCAATGCCTTCCATGCCTCTGAACGCAGAGTTGATAGCGCTAGAGCAAGAGGCGCATGTCATGCCTTCAATGGCAAAAGTTGACTTGATTTTGGCGTCACCATTTTCCTCGACTGCCGTCTCCGAGCTGACAACTTGAGCGTCGTAACCAAGATCATCAACGATGTCCTTGACGTCGTCGGGAGTGAGAGATTGGTTGTGCAGTACGACGCCAGACGATCCCAAGAGGTTGATCTCGACGGATGTAACGTTGGGGTGCTTGGACAGCCCGTCCGTGATGGCTGAAGAGCAGGAAGCACAAGTCATGCCCTCGATTGACAGAACCGTCTTGACCTGGGAGCCAGGGGCCGATGGGGCCACAGAGGTCTCGCTGTGCGACTCGACGACCTCGGTCTCATACCCAGTGTCACTAATCATCTCTGCAATGTCGGCAGCGGGCAACAAGGCTTTGTGGCGCACGACACCGGACGAGTTGAGGAGGTTTATATCCACCTGCTCGATGTCGGGGTTGTCGTTGAGCGTGTTGGTGATGGCAGACGTGCACGAGGCGCAGGTCATCCCCTCGATAGACAATGTGGTCTTGACGATCCCATCGTGTTGTGCGGCATTTTGGGGGGCGAGCGGTGCTTGAAGAGAGTGGGAAGGCGTACTCAAAGGAGAAGATCTTTCGGCTTGCTCTCGCTCTTGGGCTTGGCAGACTTCACAGTGTTCAAGATGACGCCTGCGCCTGTCTTCGGCGCGTTTTCTTTCTCTTCCGCGTCGAGTCTGCAGTCCCAGTCGTCCGAGCAGACTCGGAGCTTCTCGCGCAGGAGGATGTTCCGCTTCGCCATCTGCCTCGACAGCAAAGCCACCCTCGCCGGTCAGCTTGTGGACGACCTGGTTTATGACCCTGGGGACAGACGGGGGAGTCTTGGAGGAGGAGTGGGCGGCACTTGTGTCTACGGAGAAGGTGACTGTGCGGTGGAGGAGGGAGGTGGTGACGTTGCGGACGGGGGGGAGGGTGGCGAGGAGGGAGTCGATGGCGTCGCAGCAGGAGGTGCAGTGCATGTTGGCGACGAGAAGGGTGGTGGTGGGGAGCGCCGACATGGTGGATGATGGGAGGGGAGGAGGGGCCACTCGCTGAGAATATATGTGATAGTGAGGAGAGTGAGCGATTTACGCGCAGACTGCCTCCACTTTCCCTCCCGAGTATTATTTGGTTCCGGGTGGCGAGGAGTCGATAGCATCACAGCAGAAGGTGCAGTGCAGTGACAAGTGGTACTATGGTCGGGAGGGCAGACATGGTGCGTGCGTGGGCAGGATGGAGGGATGGGGGAGGTATAGAGTTATCTTCTATCTAACTGAGTGCTATGCCTCCTGGTATTTGTCCCGCCATTCAAGCATCATCCATCATGTTGGGTGTAAACCGTGAATTCATACACAGGATCTGATTGTCCATTTGATAGGCAACAATGCAATAAAAGAGAAAAGGAAAGGAGCACTCTATTAATGATAAAGCTCAGTTCAGGTTGCTATATGTTCGATACAAGTTTAAGAAAACGTGAGAATGCTCTAAACGGACAAAAGACAACATCTTCTTAGAAGAAGGCGGCGAGACCACCGAGGGCGGCGAGACCCACAGCAGGGACCGAGACAGAGAGGGGAAGGGCTCCGGAAGAGGAAGAGTCGGAAGAAGAGGAGGCCGAGGCAGAGGCCGAGGAAGAACCGCCAGCGGCTGACGAAGAGCCACCAGCGGCCGAGGAAGAACCGGCAGCGGAAGAGGAAGAGCCGGCAGCGGAAGAGCTAATCTCATGTCAGCCTTTGTCTTGCACCATCCTGACAAGAACTTACCTGCCCGCCGCAGAGGACGCGGCGCTCGTAGCCTGGCTGGAGGCCTACAAAATATCAGCTACTGCATGACCAAATAGCTTTTCAACTCACCGCGGACGATGAGCTTCCGCCAGATGCGGCAGAGCTGTCAGTCGCAGAAGCGGCAGAGCTGTCGGACCCAGAGGCCGAAGATCCAGAACCGCCAGCAGCTGCAGTGGCGCCAGACGAAGAGCTGTCGGTAGCAGAAGCGGAGGCAGATCCGGAGGAAGAGCCGCTATGCAAAGATCAGCACACGGCCATTAAACTGGTCGAAACACTCACGAGGCGGAGACACAAGAGTCGCTGCTACCGCTCTGGATGGTCACCTGGGAAGAGTATTGGATGGAACCGGAAGCATCGGTAATCTTGAAGGTGATGGAGGTACCCGAGGCAATGTCGGCGGTCCAGGTGGTGGAGGTGCCAGACTCAGAGTCGGAGATGGTCTCGAGGGCAGAAGCGGTAGACTCGCCACCAGGGATGACGGCACTGTTGCATAGGGTCAGCGATCATGTTCTGATCCATGTTTCATGTTCCAGATGCAGAGCGGAAAAACGAGGGTGTTGTACAATAATTGTACCTTTGATGGAAATTATTGTCGTGAGCGACTGCGCAGTCCGGCGGCCGGTAGCGTTTGACGCGTCGCGTCAGTTCGATCACACCCGCCCATGGCCTCTGATTCCAAGACAACGGAAAAAGGGAGGCAGAATAGCCATAGCGCCAGAGAAATCAAGAGGGAAAGACTTACACAATGTAAGGAGCCGTACCACCAGACCAGGAGAGGGCGACCGGCTCTGCAAGTGGTGTCAGCGTCGAGGTTGAGTGATAAGAAGGACGGTCGACCAAAGCCAAGTGTGGAGGGACTACTTACGACAGGTAATGACAGAGGCGGGGGAGTTGACTTGGAGCTCGTCGGCAGCGAGGGCGGTGGTCGCGAGGACGGCGATGGTAGCGAAGAGGGTCTTGAAGTTCATGGTGAAAGACAGTGGTATATTCTAAAGAATGAAAGAAAGTGGTTGAGGGTGGACAGGCAGCTGCTTTGGGTGGGAGATGGTATGAGAAAGAAAGAGAGAGAGAGATGGAGATGGGATGCTTATAAGGCGTACGCGGGGGCGTGGGGTACCGATGTTTATGTCTGTATAGTGCATGCTAGAGAGGTCTAAAGACACCGCATCCAAAAAGAGGCCTCCTCTGAAACTGCAAACACACTAACCATGACGTACCGCGCGACACCACCCAGATCGCGTCTAAATATCCGCGCTAGCACTCGGCAGTCGGCATTCATCCGATCGGTCCCCGCCGCTCCCACGAGGCATTATGTAATGGACCGCGGTGACGGCCGCCCCCCCCCACCGCATAGACTGCCGTGGTTTGTTCCCCCCATCTATTCATCGCAGGCCATCCAGAGCGCGGAGGACAGACAAGTGTATACAGAGGAAGTCAATACAAAGTGCGTGCCCCCTGCCTGCCCTTTCTCCGCTTACCCCTCGCTTTTCAGATACCATGTTGTATGTCTCAGCCTGTCCAATGTCTCGTCTCTGCTGACCTCTTTCCAGCGGTGCCACTGCTATTCCCGGTTCTCGTCAGGGCTGCTTCAAGTAAGTCTAGAATCCCGTCAGCCACGTTAGATCATCGCTGACCTCATCTCCAGGTGCGGCAACCGTATGTTTCTTCCTTTACGAGGTCCGACTCTTACTTACCTGTATCTCAGTCGGTCACATTGCCGAAAACTGCAAAAACGCCTCTGGTCGTCTCTGCTACAACTGTCGGTAAGCACACCCCATCTTCACTGTATCTACAGACTTTTTCGCTGACTCTGGTTCAGGGAGCCCGGCCACGAGTCCACCAACTGCCCCCAGCCTCGTTCCAATGACGGCAAGCAGTGCTACGCCTGTGGTGGTGTAGGCCACGTCAAGACTGACTGCCCCTCTTTGCGAGGTGCTTTCGGCGCTGGTGGATTCCGGGGCGGCCGAGGCGGGTTCCGAGGTGGCCGAGGTGGGTTCGGGGGTAACTTTGGTGCTCGTCCCCGACCTCCTGTCGCCAACCCGGACGGGAGCCCCATCGTTTGTCATCGATGCAAGGGCGAAAACCATCTCGCCATCCACTGTTTGGCGCCCAGGGATGAGGCAGCCATCTTGGCTAGCAAGAGGTGCTACAAGTGTCAGGAGACTGGACACATTGCCAGGTGAGCTTTATCGCCTAGCATGAGAGAACAGGAGCTGACAGACGTGTGCCATTGTAGGGACTGCACCAAGGAGGACGTGGCTATTGCTTCCGAGTAGATACACTGCCTGTGCATGATGTACCTGTGTGTGATGCCGAAATCATCGCCGATGGTCGTCATAAACATTCATTGCCTCCATGGACTCACATCTCTTACACCCTGGTAGGGACTGGGCCTGAAGAACGTCCCGACTTCGATGTGTGACCAAAATGCAAAGAAGGAGAGAGAGGTGTACATTCTTGTCGCGCGACTTGCCGTATGGGCCCCCGCTATACAAGTGGAGGGGGCTCTCCATCTTTCACATCGAAGGGACATACAGTGACTCTTGCAAGCGTACATGATCACGGCATGCTATGATCCCTACAGCCCGACCCATTCCACCAACGCTCGCTTCACCTCTTCACCAACCCCTCTGCCAATAAAGACGATCTTTCCTGCCACCGTCTCTCCCTTACCCTCACCATTCTCCTTCACTTCCTTCACCTCGAAAAGGTCAACCACGCCCTGCAGGACGAAAGCAGTCCCATCATGCAAGGTGATGTACCCTTTCGTACGCAATATCTCTGGGGCCTCTTTCCTATCGTCAGAGTTGGCCGAGGGGTAGAGACCATTCCACAGCAAGGACTCGAGGAATCCATTGAGGAGAGTGTATTGCTCGGTGGAAAGAGGAGGCAGAGGGATGAGGGCAGTGGTGATCTTGGAATGATGCTGGTCATGCTCGTGATCGCAAGCTTCCGAGTGGACATGTGACTCGGGGGCAGGATCGGCGAGCTCGCGAAGGATGGCAGAGCCAGATCCGGCGGCATCACTGAAAGCCCGCAGGTTGAACATTTCGCCCAGAGGGGCGCGGGAGTTGGTCGTATGGTGTACACGGAGAGTTGGGTTGAGCTCTCTGCAAGCGACGATAAGAAATTTGGCTTGTGTTCCAGATAAAAACGAACCTGATGGTTGCTTCTACCTCTTGGAGTTGGGCTTTATCTACAAGATCGAGCTTATTCAACAGAATGACATCTGCACATGCTACTTGTCTACGCAGAGTTAGCTTGGGATCGACTTGGGACGAGGCGAATCATACTTTTGGCACTCGTTGATTTCGCCGGAACTCTTCTCTTCTGCTAGTTGCTATACAACATCAGTCTTGTTCTGACATTGCGGCCAAAGAAGCAACATACCTTGAGCACATTTCGGCTATCCACTACGCAGATGACGCCGTCCAATATGAGGTCACCCATCTCTTCGTTTGCCCAGAACGTGCGCACGATAGGTGCTACAGGTATTTATTAGCACCAGTAGATTTAAAGCACCTGCAAAGAGACTCACCAGGATCGGCCACTCCAGTCAGCTCTACCACTACCCAATCCACACCCCCTGGCGCATTTGCTACCATATCTTCGATCGCCGCTATACCCAGATCCTTCACTGAGCAACACAGGCAACCATTCGGTAGACTCAGAAAAGAAGACGCGGGGTCTTCTTGAGTTGACCCAGAAGCAGGGTTGGCAGAAAGAGTCATGGACTTGGACTCGATGTCTGTAGTATCGCCGAAATCTGTAGTCCATTCGTCAGCATCGCCTTGTCGAGCATAGCGAGCACGTACCGTTCATACAAACAGCTATCCGGTAGCCATGGTCACCAGTCAGAATGTAGTTCAGCAGTGTCGACTTGCCGGCGCCCAGATACCCCGTTAGGAGAGTGATGGGCACTTTGCGGCGGTCATATGGGTCGGAGGATGTGTTTTCGAGAAGCCTGGTCATGGTCAGCCATGACTCGAAATGGAAGATGTATACCTACTGGGGGATGTTGTCGTCGTCCATGGTGCTGCCTGGATAGTCTGTGGTAAGATGGACGAAAAGTAGTACGGGGCAGTGGGAGCCAAAGGTGGAGGCGATATGGCAGCGGTGCCTGCCGCCGCACCATATCTTGCGTTAACGGCCGATGAAAAGCAAAAAGAGAATAACTACTGCAACCACGAAAATGGCCAGCGTCCTCAGACAGTCCCTCAAGCTCGGCATGATGCCCGCAGACGGCATCGGCAAGGAGGTCCTCCCCGCCGCTCAGCGTGTCATCGAGGCCCTCGGCTCCGCCATCCCCAAGACCACCTTCGTCCCCCTCCTCGCAGGCTGGGAGGAGTTCAACAGAAGGGGAAAGGCCATGCCCCAGGAGACCCTCGAGTACGTCGTCCGTCGCAAGTTTGTGCCCTGCTGACTGTGTCCCAGCGCCTTGAAGGAGTGCGACGGTGCCATGTTCGGTGCCGTCTCCTCTCCCTCCCACAAGGTGGAAGGCTATTCCTCCCCCATCGTCGCCCTCCGAAAGCACCTCGACCTTTACGCCAACGTCCGACCCGTCTCCTCTGTCCCCATCCCCGGACAGGACTCTTCCAAGAAGGTCGATCTCGTGATCGTGCGTGAAAACACCGAGTGCCTCTACGTCAAGCAGGAGGAAATCTCTGGCGAGGGCGAGGACAGGGTCGCTCTTGCTACCAGAAAGATCAGTGCCCGGGCTTCCAGCAGGATTGGTCGGATGGCGTTCGACATTGCTGCTCGAAGGGGTCAGGAGAGGGAGGCTGCCAGGGCTGCTGGCAAGGAGGTGCTCTGGAAGGGAGAGCCCAAGGTCACCATCATCCACAAGTCCAATGTACTTAGTGTCACCGACGGTCTCTTCAGGGAGACCGTTAGGGCTGTCAAGGAAGGTGCCGGTGGTGAAAAGTACAACGGTGTCAAGCTCGAGGAGCAGATCGTCGACTCTATGGTCTACCGAATGTTCAGGGAACCCGAGTAAGTTGTCCGAATCTACCCTATGCCATGCTAACCATTGTAGGTTCTTTGACGTCTGTGTCGCCCCCAACCTCTATGGCGATATCATCTCGTGAGTTCACTGTCAGCACATCTGTACACTCGCTGACTATCTTTAAGTGACGGTGCTGCCGCTCTCGTCGGTTCTCTTGGTCTCGTCCCCTCCATCAATGCCGGTGACAACTTTATCATGGGCGAGCCTGTCCACGGCTCCGCCCCCGACATTGAAGGCCAGAACATTGCCAACCCCATCGCGTCCATCCGATCCGCTGCCCTTCTTCTTTCGTCTCTCGGCTACGTTGAGCCCGCTGCCAGGATCAATGCTGCTGTGGATGCCGTCCTCATCGAGGGCAGGTACCTGACGCCTGATTTGGGCGGAAAGAGCACCACCACTGAGGTGACCGATGAGGTTCTCAAGAGAATCTAGAGTGCTTTGAGCAAGAAAATGTGATAAATGCATCTGTCATAGCTGGACTTCTGTCGGCAGTCACTGCACCCAATATCTTTAACAAAATCCATGCCTGAAATGAGATCTACGACTAATGCTACACCAACCATCAAGCCTGATACTTCTTATTCTCCAGTGCGTTATGTCACCACAAGGACACATCAGGCTCTCAAACATTTATACGAGGACCTAGTTTATAGAGTCATGTTGTGGCAAGGATTATGTTGGATGATGGCCTGGTTTGTGAACGAAAGATCGGAGGACCAACTCAGAGCTCTCTCAGCCTCAAGACCAGGTTCACCAGCACACTTCCAATCAAGGCCCCACACAGGACCGTAGGGCCCCAGGTATCATGGTAATTCACCGCCTCCCTCTTGCGCATCTTGATGATTCTCCAAGCATACATCCCGCCACAGTACACGATGGCACCAAGGGCAGTGAGAGTGAAGCAGGCCGCAGAGATCATTCCCACGGGGTCGGAGGGGTCGATAAAGTTGAGGAGGGCAATCGAGACACCCGATAGGAGGATGGCAAAGTGAGCCCACTATAGTATAGCGTCAGTTGTATGTCATCATCAATATGAATCAGGCATACCTTCAAGAACGTTCTCTCTGCGGCAAACACGACTTTTGGCTCGACGCGCACAGGGATCGCAATCTTCTTGCCCGCGGGTGCGCGGAATTGGTCAACATAAATGACCGTATCCCCATTCTCCTCCTCCTCCTCCTCTTCTTCATCATCCGAGAGATCCTGACGATCATTCCCGCGCGCGGCATCCTTCAGCTTTCTCATACTCTTGTCATCCAACAACTGAACGTCCTTGTCAAACCTGTTACTAGGCGCAAGAGGGTCTATCCTGAGACTGGGGTCGTACTTGTTGACTTTGCGAGGGGGTCGAGACGAGCCGGCTGCAGAGGAAGACTCTGCCTCATGTTCACCGTCACCAGCCCGGAAGTTACCAGCATGTTTGGAGGCTTCATCTCGGAGCTTGGCTTCTCGGTGCTCTCTCGCTGCACGCGCTTGGGCAGCAACACCCGAGGGAAGCCTGAGATAGTCCTCCTCATTCTTGGCAGAGTGCACAAGGAACTCTTCTTCGTCTTCACCCTCGGAAACAGGCTCGTGGTATGAAGTTTGAGAAGCAGTGCTCTGCTCGCCATTGGGAGAGTGCGTTGCAGATAAGTTGGGACTCGCGTTTGAGTGGATGTTGGAATGGGGTCGCTCGATCAGGACACGAGACTTGGAGGACACGGGCTTTCGGATGTCCTGGTCCATCTGGGGAAGCCAGAAAGGCACCAGGTCAACACGCTCCGGTAGAAGGCTCGCGCATCCGTGAATGAACTTGGAGAACTTGGGCACAGCCTCCACAAGGTGTGAATTGATCAAGTCTCGAATCCACTCGGGCGGTTCTTCGCCAACCTTGGTGGCCAATTTTACCTCGAGGACGCCATAAGGGAAGAGCTCCTTCTCAGAGTCGGGGATTTGCTTGAAGGGGTGGTCAATCCCGATATCGGTTCGACGCCAGTTGCCATTCGTACGGTCGCGGCCGTCAAAGTTGTCTTCTCGAACCATGTCGAGCTCCGTGTCGAGGGATATTCGGACAGAGGCATTGCCAGGAAGCTGGAATGCAGTTCGGTTGTAGAAGGTTCTCATGACTGGACATTCAAGTTAGCCAAGTCGAATGACATGCTGAGCACTTGCCTGGTCGAAGTTTTCGGGTCAGGATCGCATACTGAATCTCATTCGCCAACTGCTTCATGCCCTCGGCCTCTTTCTCCGTCTTTTTGCCCTTTTTGACCAGCTCGTCAAACTCGGCGTCTACAGTATAGCGACCAGCAATAAAGTCGTTCATCTTGCCTTCCTTGATGGTGAATCGCTCCTTGACAGACTTTTCACCGGTCCAGTCTTCTCTGTGCGTCTTTCTCTCGACAAAAATCTGTTGGGTGTTAGCTCGAAATCAAGACGAAAGGACAGGACTTGCAGTGGTGCCAGTGACGTCGCCGTACCACCTCATACGGATAGCTTCGGCTCCCTCAGTCTTTTCCAGACGACCGAGATACAGCTCGAGTTCTTCGTTGTCGAAATAGATCGAGGTGATGGCCGAGTCGGCCTGCGAGAACTCTTTATCGGCGTTGAAGACTGTGCGCAATCAGTATACTGTCATGGAGAAAGGGAGTCGCACTGACCGAGTACCGGAAGGTGCTTCATAATAGCAAGCTTCAATGGGACAATGTTTTCGTCATGAACCTTTGCACAACTTTAGTACGATCAACCGCGTCACTCGAAATCCACCTACCCAGTACTTTGTGGTGCTCCTGACGAAAGCGTTCTGACTCCCACCAGCGGAAGCGTCACCTTCTATAGGATGCCCTCGAGTGCGGACAAGGTCGAAAAGCTTGGAGAGCTTGACGATGAGAGGGTCATAGTTCATGCGGTAGAACGGATGGGCCTCCAGGACTTGACGGTTGAAGACGTTTTTCAGGTTGAAACCTGTGAGTTTCTGCACACATGGCGTCAGTCAAGTATTTCCAGAAAGAGTCAAGCACGTACATCATGCTTCTTCACAATCTTGATGAACCCGGTGAAGTTGAGCTTGGTGAAGAGTGCCAGATCGTGCACATCGGCGACAAGTGTAGCAACCTCCTCTTCGAGCTCCCTAAACCTCTCTTCGATGCCGTCTGCGGACATGTCGCTCGCATCGTCATCGTCCTCGCCCTCATCATCACTGCCCCCATCATCGTCTCTCCTATCTCTCACATTCCTCTCTACATCTCCAGGCGTCTCACTCTCCTCGTCGTCGTCATCGTCGTTCGCAAAGCCAGCCCTCTCCACCAAGCTCTTGACTTCTTCCTCCAGAGACTGGATCTTGTTCATGAGCTCCTCCGATTTGTTGCACTGAAAAGTCTCGCATTTGTTGAGTTCGTTCTGGAGAGACTGTACAAAGTCGGCTTCGGCAGTGTCGTTCCACGGGAGGTTGGCCTTGATCTGTTTTTTGAGACCTCCATAGTCGATGTACTGGTCGGCCCACTCAGAGTAGAGCGCATCCTGTGGAGCGTCAGCTGCCTGAGTCTCCCTCCGGAGTGCCCACCTTGATACGTCTACCGAATTTCATGGCTGGTGGGGTGGAAGAAGAGAATGAGAATGTTCAGATACCCAGTAGTACACGTTCTCGATGACGCTCGACGGAGGCAAGAACGTGCGCGGGCGGGGATGACCGCCTGTCTGCATCCCTCTCCGTCGGCAATCCGTCGGTCCGTCTCTTCTCGCTATCGTATTGTCTCTTTGTTTGTGCAACTCTGCCTGGCTGCCTATATGTGCTCATGTGCACCAAACGGGCAGCACAGTCTCCCCGTCCCCCGGTCCTGGGACGGTCCGATGCCCCAGCTGGGTGAATGCATCGGAACGGCCCCCCGAGCAAACCCCGGTGGAGCGGAATTAAGCAGACGAGAGCCGTCTTTACTTTGCTGCCTGAGGCGTCTTGCTGCATGCACACCTTATAAACCTCGAGCCGCCATGAACTCAGCACATCTCTCATCAACCTGCAACAGCTTGGACAACAACTTGCAACATGCCTAACGACTACAGCGGCCTTCGATGGGGTGTGGCGACAGCGTCCCTCGGCATGAACCCTATCCATGACATCTGTACCAAATTCGATGCCCTTCAGAAAGCCGGTTTCACCTACACTGAAGTTGGCTTTGGCGAATATGTCGCTTGGGTCAGGTCGGAGCTTCCCAACCTGTACGTATAGTCCTTCATCGCGCGTTGACGGGCTAGTATTGACGCTACATCACAGGCCTGCCTCCACTTGTCCACCCGAGTGGTCTGAGGGAGGTGAACCCGACCCATCCGACACTGAAATCTGGGACGCCTTCTACGCCAAGACCGACAGCTTCAAGGCTCTTGCTGCCAAGTATGGGCTCACCATCCTTATCCTCCAGCCCCTGAACCAGTTTGACGGCTGGCCTGAGGGTTCGAAGAGGGCCGAGTGGGTCAGGAGGAAGGCGGAGAAGTGGTTGGTCCTTTGCTCCAAGCTTGGTGTCGAGCAGATTCAGGTCAGTTCGAGCTTTTGTATCAGAAAGTGACAGAACTGACTCTTGTATAGGTCGGATCAAACGACTATGCCGAGGCTAATGCCCCTGACGAGAAGACTGCCGACGATCTGCGCTGGCTTGCAGAGTACGCGTCCAACCTCAGCCCTCCCGTCAAGATTGCCTACGAAAGCTGGTGCTTCTCTGAGCGCGTCAACACATTTGAACACACCTGGAAGATTGTCCAGATTGCTGTATGCTATCTGTCTCCGTCAGCTGCTTTTGTATACTGATCCCAATATAGGATCACCCCAACCTGGGTCTCTGCCTCGACACCGCTCACCCTCCCCTTGCTCCCGAGTACGGCTGGAACCCGACCACGGGCGAAGGCTGGACCGACGCCATCTACGCCGACTTTATCGAGCGCGTCAAGGCTGTTCCCAAGGAAAAGATCTTTTACGTTGAGCTCTCCGAGGTGCTCAAGCCAGTTGTCCCTCTGGGCAAAGGCTCTGAATTCGACGAGTGGAGAGCCGCTGGCAACACTACCAGAAACGATTACTTCATCTGGGCTGCCCTTGGACGACCTTTACCTCTTGTCGGGAAAAATGCGGGTGAGAGTGTCAAGGATGGGAATGATATGGGTCATGCGAATGCTTTGCAAACTTTCAAGGCCGTCTTGGACCAGGGATGGAGTGGTGAGTGCTGCTTGTGTGACGCTTGGGTCCTTGAACAATGCTGACATAGACGCAGGTATCGTCATGTTCGAGTTCTTCGAGGTTCTCCGGATGAGCCCTGCCGACTCCAATATTCCTTACAAATACGCCAATGGTGCCGCCCTGTCCGAGAAGAGGTTGTTGAAGGCCCTCCAAAAGTGAAATCAATAGAGCAGACGAATGTAAAAAGATTAGGAACTTGATCATCGTGTTCCATACAATTTTCACACCTGCATTCAGAGGCTTGCACAGGGCGAACACTCGACCTCGCACGAGACTTGGTTCCAGATTCCCTGTCATACGAAAGACCGATGCATTCCTCGGCTCTATATTGTGACAACGGTCGACTTGAAAGTCTTTGGGTATGCGGTTGTAATTGCGCCTTCAAGATTAGAGAAAGAGGATTATGCGTAGCTCGGAACGGCGTTCGGTCTCTGGGTATCAAGGAAAGCTGGTCATGGAGTCTGAAACAATATATATGAAACAATTCAAGAGTAGAGAGGCCAGTATACAGAAGATGCTGGGTATCATGACCAGACCTGTACAAACCGTGAGTCCCGAGCGACATGTGATCCTGAAGACGACCAACCTTGAGAAGACTGTCCCAACTACCAGTTGCAAGAGCAATACCATCCCCAGACACACCCATGCAGCTGATTCTGTTCTCATGCCCAGCCAGGATACCGATCCTCTCGCCCTTGAGAGTGTCCCAGACGTTACAATTGTAATCGTCATAACCAGCAAAGAGGATTCGACCAGAGACGGAAAAGGCGACGGAAGTGATACCACAGAGGATATTGTCGTGGGAATAGTTGTTGAGTTCTCTGTCGGCACGGAGATCGAACAGTTTGCAAGAGGTGTCGTCGGAACCGGTGGCAAAGGCATCGCCGTTGGGGAAAAATCTGCACATGTGATGAGCATTGACCCGTGCCTTGATGAGGTCGACTCACTGAACGGCATTGATGTCTGATTCATGACCAGTGAAAGTCTGGACGGCTTTGCCGGTTCGAATATCCCAGACCTTTGCTGTGGCATCACAAGCACCGGAAACAAACAGGTTGGCATTGGGGGCCAGAGAGATACTGTAGATGTTTAACAGCGATGTCAAAAAGATCCACACATATAACTCACCTCATAACATCACCAGTGTGATCATTGAACTCCATGGTACGAGTACCTTGCTCGATATCCCAAAGCATACAGGTCATGTCACCAGAGGAGGTGACGATCTGCCTGTCATTGATGAATCGACAGCAACTAAGATATCCAGAGTGCGCGCTCAGTTCTCTCGCAACCTTGACGGATCCACCAGGTCCACCCGGCGCCGCATTTCTTAGCGAGTAGATCGAACAGATATTGTCCAAACCACCACAAGCCACAAGGTTACCCGAAGGCGAGTAGGCACAGGTCATGACCCATGATGAACGCAAAGGGATGGCGTGAACCTTGTTGGTCGTGTAGGCGTCCCAGACGATGAGTTTTCCGTCCTGGGACGCGGACACAATGTGTCGCCTGTCGGCCGCCCAGTGCAGGGCGTAAACCTTGGCCAAGTGACCTTTGAGCGTGCGGCGGACTTTGAGAGCGACTCGGGGGAGCGGCGTAACATCGTTGGCCATGGCACGTACTGATAGCGGCGTTGGCATTCCATCTCTGATCTGCAGAGAGAAACTCACAGCTGGTGTCGGCGGTCTGGTCTCGAGCAGTCCTGATCTTGTCTTTCAGTCCGTCAGCCTCCCGCCTGGCAGCGGCAATCTTTTCTTGTATTTCAGCCTGCGACATTGTGGGTGTATGCGTGGTTGATTGGGGGGTGAAGGGAGGAGATGGTAAGGCTAGCGGACGGGTCAGTCGCTGGAGCTATCGATGGGATCACCAGGGTGTGGTGGTATACGCACTGGATGACTTGGAGAGCGGTTTGTGATATTATGAAGTTTGACGGGATAGGTGGAAAAGAAAGATCGTTAGACGTTATAACGCAGCAACGAGGGTGTTGCTGGTCTGTGCGGTGTGTGTCGCGTGCGGTGAGCGACAAGGGGCAATGAGCGGCGCAGGTCGGCGTATGTATATGTATGTTTTGGGCGGCGGGGGTATGCTTCAGGGTGAGGGGGAGGCTGGTGAGGATGGAGTGAAGGCGAGAGGTGAGTGAAGGGTGGATTGAGGAGTGAAGGGTCAGGCAGGGACGCGGATCAGCCACTGTCCACGGAATCCTGGCACAGACACAATTCACTCACAGTGCACAACGGAATCTCAGCTACTGGCGGTCTGGGCTATGGACAGCATGGTCAGCATACTTTACTACCAACGCCGTCGTCCTGAATCCCCGGGATGGATCTGTATGACCTCTGCGCTGCTTCTACGGCTGTGGGACCGTCGCCCCGCCGTCTCTCATCCCCTCTTCGACCTCCCCCCCCCCCCCCCCCCCCCCCCCCCCCCCCCCCTCTGCGACCCCCCCTCCCCCCCCCGCCCCCCCCCCCCCCCCCCCCCCCCCCCCCCCCCCCCCCCCCCCCCCCCCCCCCTCCCCTCTCGTACACAGCCATGCACCACAACTCACCTCGAACAGATCTAGTGCCCACCCTTGGTCTCTTGGATGTTGCCGCACCACGCGGTCCTTGGCCGATCCGTGCAGGAGTTTATCGATAGCAACCGGCAGGTGCTTTTTGATCGTATCTCTGACTCCTTTGAAAGTAGTCGTTTCTATATCTATACACACCGAATGCCAGAAGAGCGGATAGGTCGGAGACAAATGAGGATGGGCAGAAGTCGAGAAGGGAGCAGGATAGAGAAAGCGAGATTGGCAGCGGGCAACCGAGAAGCAGCGGTCGAAGATTCAACAACTGCTCTTTTCCCCGTTCTCGTACGCTTTGTCGTTGGTGTGAGGTATAGAGATGTCCAACAACAGTCGACTTGGCTATTCTGATGGCGGTAGTAGATTTGTGATCTAAAACGTGACTGCCTCAGAGACCGTATTGTCTGGTCGCACATTTGGTGTTCTCGCACTTTTCCGCAGGAACCAACTCATGTCTACATACCTTGCTCTAGCACGGCTTCTCGTTCCTCGGCCCCGTATCTTGTCTTGGGCCATTCGTGCCGTTTGCCGTTCGCTTTTGTCCGAAAGAGGAGATTCCCTTCAGAAAAGACCCTCGCATACCCTGAAATGGTCCCTTATCTCAATTGCCTAATTCCTATTGTTCTTGCCTCGCTGCCCATTGTTCTCTGCTCTTGTGCTGCTCTTGCGCCTCGACGTCTCCATGACGGTCGGATCTGCACTTGGAAGTAAGCTTTAGGCACCGTCATGCTCTCATCCGAATCCGAGGTCCTAGCTGCGAAATGCATAGCTTTTTGAGCGCTCTGGCTGGTGGAGGAGCAGGTGTGCCGATCACTGTCGCCTCTGTTGTCTCTCTGTATCGGCCTTTGTCCAGATGTGTTTCGGTCTGCTGTGGGTGTCAAAGCCACTCGGGTTCCATGACGAGGGGCAGTTTCGGATTTGTATCTTGTTCACTGTTCCATTGCAAAGGCGTGACCATTGTGGCACCCTGGAATATCCAGAGTACATACGGCCTTAGGAGTACGGCAAGGAAGGCTGGCAGCCGAGGAATAGACATCTTCATAGATGTTGCAGTCTGGCTCTTAAGAAATGTGGAGTTGGAGGGAGAAATGATGCGGTCGATTATGACAGGCGGACCCGTTGGTTGGCTGATGCGATACGGTTCACGCGAGAGCGAGGGAAGAGCTGGCAGCGGGTGGAGTCTCTGATTGATGGCTAATGCCGCTGCGCGAAGTGGCCCCTGGGACAAGTGATACAGCTTTGACATGAGATATCGCTAAAGCGGTAATGAACGGTATGATCCAGCCGCTGATACATATGTTGCTACTAATGATGATGATGAGAGACTGGCTACTGGTTTCCGTTGCGAAAAGAGGGGCAATCAGAGCACTCTGCTTTTGATCTGTCTTCTAACCTTTGTGCATACAGGGCAGTGATCCCCTGACTCAACAGCATGGCGTTCAAGATACAACTCAGTCGCTCGCTCTATCCCCTTCGCCCTTGTACAGAGATACCCCGAGTCGCCGAGCGGTCAGTAGTGACAGCGAGCCATGGGGGACATCCGCTCTATAAATTATCTTCCCCTGACTGTACTCTGTGGTTCTGCGCTGACACTGCTCTGCTCATCATAGCAAGCACTAGTTTAGAGAAATGAGATGTCGCCTGGCTGCAGACATCTCAAGTCATCATGATTCCGGACCAGAACTGATTACACTATGAGCTCCAAGTATGATCCCGAGTGCGTCTCCCTGGAGCTCATGAGTCTGTCATTGCATAGGGCCACGAGCTGTTTCTCTTGCAATTGTTGAATTTTGGTTGAATTGTCACCCAACAACAACGTGGGAGTTACGTAAGGAAAGTTTTGCCGGTGGAGTGACGGCGATGTCCGCGGCGCGTCATGCGGCACCCCCTTGAGCTGGATGTTTTTGGCGGTGAACCTGCAGCAACCCACCATGAGCACCCGGAGGAGACAGTCCGCCTCCGCATCCACCCCCCGCTCCGCTAGGGACACCCCCGCCCACAAGACACGACCCAGCTCCTCCTTCGGCAGCGCCACGCCCAGGCCAGACGACGACGAAGAAGGTGAGTCCCCCGCTCTGCACCTGTGCCGGAACGGAATCGGAGACTGTGTATGCGCGGCGAAGGATTGGTGAGAGAGATGGTGCGCGGAGGAGGCGGGAGGAGGCGGGTCGATGGCAGGGGCAGCTCCGGCTATCGGTGATGGTGAATGGGCGGGCGCGCACATGGGAGGTGTCCCCCGCCCTCACAGGCAGAGGCATAGCTCGTCAAGCGCTCTGGCATCCCGTGTACTGCTATCTTGCCTCTGAGCGTCGACCAGGGGGCTTGGATGGCAGCGGCAGATTTACAGCGACGGCATTTTGCCTAGTTTGAGCTTATTTGGTGGCCGTCCACCGAGTCGACCGGCACGAGTTGTGCCCTCAGAGGGGTGCATTGCATCACCTACCACGCCGCCCTGCTCTCCATACTGCTGCCCAGCCTGTCCTGACCCGACATCTCGTTGGAGGGCAAAAGTCAGGGCTTTGAGTGCGCTCATGCCACTGGCCGGGGCGCGAATCACATTTATGGCGTCTAGTGGAACGACGTTTTTCCCTCACACAGCTGCTGACGACCATGCAGGCGCTCCCAGACGAGCTACGCGACATAGAAATCCCCTCCCACCAACTTCCGGCCCTCTCTTCCCCCCGCTTCCCCCAAAGCAAACGAAACACGCCACCAAAGAAGGCTCATCGTCGCGGTCCCCAGCTACTTGGGGCGCAAAGGAGATCATGGAGGGTGACGAGGATGCCGAGAGCGATGTTGCTCGACCTGGGAAGCCATCGGGAGGGCTGGATGCGCCCGCTGAACTGAACGAGTCGGCGGTGGTGCTTGATGAGGACGAGGACGATAAGGATGGGCGCGGGCCGCATAGCGGATCCAACACGAGCCTCACGCCTCCACCTCCCACGAGCGACAATGAAGAAATGGATCTCGACATTGGCTTGGAGGCCGAGGAAGAGAAAGGAGTCGAGGCGGGGTCTGCAAGCGGCAAAGATGGCGACAGGCCTGAGGGTGACGACGATCAGGGGTCGCCGCAACATCAGGCTGCTGAGAGAGGTCCTGGGGATGATGAGGTCAAGAGCGAGCCAGAGGAAGAGAATCCCTTGCCCTCGGCGCCCATCCATGCCAACGGAGACGACAAAGTCGACGATGCCAAGGTGGAAGAAGACGAGGACAATGAGCCACCTGCTCGCACTCGTAACGGCAAACCCTCGCGTCTATCACACATCCCTACACCATACGACACTCCCGCATCTTCAGCTACTCCCGATACAGCCATGGCCCGCTCTGGATCTCGTCAAGGGAGAAAGAGGCGCGGGGAAGAGCAGTTGCTGCTGGATGACCACTTGTTGCCTGCCGAGATACGGCGTACGACCGTCAAGAAGAAGGAAGATGACGAAGAGGAGGATGAAGAGGATGACGATGAGGAGGAAGGTGACGGAGAAGAAGAACAAGATGAAGAGGGTGACGACGAAGAGGGCAAGGATATCACTCGCTGTGTCTGCAAGCGCGAAGGTGAGATTCCACACATCCTCTTCCATACATGCTGACGGAAGTGTAGACATCGACGTAATGATGATTCAGTGTGACCAGTGCAATGTCTGGCAGCATGGCGAATGCATGGGTATCTGGGGCGACGACGAGGCGCCTGACGGTAAGCCCGCAAATCCCCTCCTCTGATCATACTGACCACAAGCATAGAGTACTTTTGTGAAGAGTGCAAGCCAGAGCGTCACCAAGCTCTCAAAAAGTGGCTCCGCTCGCGAGGCCGCAATACTGCCCCCTTCATCCCCCCGTCCCCCGAAAAGCTGGAGCAACTCCATTCCAATCGCGATCCTTTCCCTCCATCCCAGTCCAAGCGATGGTCAGAACCGCCTGTTATCGAGGCTCCGCCTCCACCACCAATATCCAAGTCGGCCAGATCACATCACAAAAAGGACAAGGAGCCCCTGCCGAGTCCTGTTGAGACGGCAGACTCGCGGAGAACGAGAGGCAGGCAATCGACAGTGCGCGAGAAACCACCGTCTACCTCGTACAAGAAGGAAGGACGACGATCCAGAAAGTCGCTTGGTGCGGAAGAGAGTGATGACGATGATTCATCACCGCAGCCTTCCAATTCAGGTGCTCCTGCCAAGAAACGGAGTACGATGAATTCGCGGGACGCGGCGTACGAAGAGGCAGTCAAGGCTGCTCTCGAGGCAAGCAAGCGGGAGATGGAGGGGCAAGAAGGGGATGAAGATATTGAGGTTGTGGAGGAAAAGCGACCAGAAGATAAGAAGGAAGACAAGGAGAAGGGACGAGGGGGGAAGAGACGGCGGAACGAAGATGAGGAGGAAGAAAAAGAGGAAGAACAGGAAAAGCCAAAGAAGGGCAAGCGGAGAAAAGAGGAAGAGCCTGGTAAGTCTATCGGGATTTGCGCGAATATGGCTGATGAACAACAGAAGTAGAATTCGGAGCACCTGCCAGTCAATCAAACAAGCCGAAACACCCTAACCAATATACCTACCGCCCGAAACCACCTTCCAGTGCCGCACCGGCCGCTTCACCGTCGCGGCGAATGGGAACTACTCCCGTACCCTCCAGCAGTGCTGCCCCGCTACATCACGAGCATGGCACTCGGCGCGCCGGCGCTCTCGCAAGTGCGCCAGTGGTCTTCCAACCGCTATCGGTAGAGTCTGCAAATCACTTGAACTGGAATCTGCCCGATCATCTGATACCCTTCGCGGAGGCTTTGCCCAGTGACCATCCCGAAGCCTTGGAAGTCCCTGCTCCTCGAGTGATGGCGTACTTGCCCAGAAATCACTTTCACAATCAACAGTACGGTCCGTTTACCGAGGATCGCGATGAGCAAGGGCGGCTACGGCTGCCCACTGAGCAACAGACTCGCGAGACTGTCGGTCACCAGACTACTCAGCTCGAACCTCCTGCTCGAATCAAGTTCCCACCCAAGCGTGTCACATCCGTCGATATCAAAAGGCGGATACGGACGATGCTCGAGTTTGTAGGAAAGCATCAAGTGGACGAGAGCAATCGGGTGAAGAGGGCAAAGTTGATCGGGATCAAAACCACTTCTACGGGTGTGATCAAGCGGCGAGAGGAGCGAAGGGAGCATGCAGAGGAGAAGGAGAGAAGAGCGGACAAGGAGCGGGAAAGGCTCGGGCGCGCGCAAGAAGATGGAGAAGGGGACACTTCTATGGAGGAGGCTGAAGTACTACCAGAGTTGGGGCGAACGCCCTCGCCCCCTCCAATCTCTGCCGAAGCGCCTCAACGGAAGTCCGTCCAGCTCATGACGGAGCTCACTGAGCGTCTCATTGCTTTCCAAGAAGCCCTTTCTAGTAATGACTTTACTGCTCTGGAGAATGGCTATGCTGCCTCAGCCCCTGTGTCTCCTAGGCTTCCGGAAGACTCGGTGACGGGGAATCTGTCAGCACCGAAAGAGGGCAAATCAAACCAAATCTCCGAACCTCATCTTGTCCCTCGGATCCAGAAAGATCCAACACCCATGTCCAACGGTGCCCCCATTCAAGAAACAACGTCAGATATCGGCGGCGCGAGTGAGGGGGTAGAAGTCTACAGAGCGGGACTGGTAAACAAAGTCATGCCTATGGACGAGACTGAAAGAGAGGTAGCTCGGAAGGTGGAAGAGATCATTCAAGGTTGATCTAGGGATTCTTTATAGTGCTGCTGAGCGCAAGTGTAATCATCGTATATGTATCTATTCTGTTGTTTCGATTGCGTAACTTTGCGAACCAGGAAAAGACACTATCGGTCAAGCTACGTTTGCAGGGCCGCCCGGAGAAAAGTCAGTCGCGTCCTGACATTACGTAAGTGAAATATTTATTATTCTTTGCTTCCCTCGGCCTTGGATTGGCTGTGAGGAGAACACTCTGATGCTTTCGAGGAATATAAATTTTGCAAAGGTCCTCTTCTCAAGCCCTCTATCGACCCGCTTCTCAATGTCCGCTAGCCCCGTCGCCAAAAGAATGAAATCTACAAAAGTTCGCTCAATCTACTTAAGGTGTGAACAGAGCTGAACCATTCTTGCAGGTCATCGGTACCCACTCGGGTAGTTTCCACTGTGATGGTACGGCGCTGTTCCATATACGAGGGCAAACGGAAGCTGACCCTGTGACGAAGAGGCCCTTGCCATTTTCATGCTTCGTATGACCAACGACTTCAAGGACGCTGGTGAGTGTCTGAAACCATGTCAAATGTGCTATAGCTGATGTTGCCATAGACATCGTGAGGTCGCGAGACCCTGCCAAGTGTACGCTGCAATGCGAGAATGGCAATACAAGGACTAACAGCTATCCCAGTGGCTCCTTTGGATATCGTTGTCGACGTCGGAGGTGTTTACGACCCTGCCACCAATCGATATGACCACCACCAACGTGGCTTCAGCGAGGTCTTTGGTCACGGTGGATTCGACAAGATCAAGCTCAGCTCAGCCGGCTTGGTGTACAAACATTTCGGAAAAGAGGTGATTGCCAACAGGCTCGGCGTGCCCGTTGAGGACGAGAATGTGGAGATTCTTTGGTTGCAACTGTACTCTGTAGGTCGTGCTTTGTGTCTACGTGAGAGGTAGCTGACGACATACAGGAACTAATCGAGTCTGTGGATGGGTGGGTATTATGCTTTACTCAACAGACATGCTCCTGATATAGCGTAGCATCGACAACGGTGTCAACATTGCTTCCGGCCCTCTTGCCTACACTCAAAGGACCGACCTCTCTTCCCGAATCAAGCGGATCAACCCCGAGTGGTACGAGTCTGTGAACGATGAGGAGTACGACGTAGGTCTTACATGGTCGCTCCGGCAAGGCATGGCGTGCTGAGCTTTCACAGAGACGTTTCGAGATTGCCTCCAAGATCACTGGGGAAGAGTTCTTGTCCCAGTTGGACTACTTTTCCAAGGCTTGGTTACCCGCCCGAGACATTGTCAAGGCCGCCTTGGAGAAGCGAACAGAGGTTCACCCCAGCGGTGCCATTGTCGTGTTTCAAAAGGTATGCCCTGTCCACTCCACCACTTTCCAATACTAATCCACTCTCCAGGCCGTCCCTTGGAAAGACCACCTTTTCAACCTCGAGCCCATCCTCCCCAAAACCCCCTCTCAAATCCTGTACATCCTCTTCCCCGAATCTGACGCCCCTGGAGCCAAGTGGCGTATCCAATGCGTTCCCCAGTCGCCCGACTCTTTCGTGAACAGAAAATCGATGCCCGAGCCTTGGTGTGGCATGAGGGATGAGGTTCTGTCGGAGGTCTCTGGTATCCCTGGGGGTGTGTTTGTGCATGCGAGTGGTTTCATTGGGGGTAATGCCACCTATGAGGGTGTGTTGGCCATGGCTACCAAGTCTCTTGAGGCTTGAGGTTGACGTTATGGCGTCATTGTAATTTATATGCATAGCATCGCGTTCTACTCGTCTTCTGCCTATACCAAGCCAGCTTTATTCTATGGGCACTGCAGAGGCATCATCTTTGGGGTCGTTGAATGCTCCAACCGAATTACCGAAGACACTCAGCCTCGCACAGCAGAAGAGGGGTTCCGGCTATGCATGCATACATAATGCTCATTCAAGCTTGAAATACCACGCATCAGTATATGCCACAGTCCTGATCCTTGCCAGAGCATGGACGATGCCGATCATCGAAAGCGGGGAGACGAGTATGACGAGTGGTGAATGCGAGGATTTCTCAAGTTCGCGCGATCAATCGTTGTTCAGTTCTTTCTCTTCCTTTCCCTTCATCTCGGAGTCATCAACAGCCACAATAACTCTCCCTGCCTCACTATTCACTCCTCGTACCATCATGCCTGCTCACATCCAGAGGCTCAGTCCCTCAAAATGAGCGTCTCGCCCTCATCCCCAGATCTCATTCATCGTATCCCCCCGAACGCCTATTGTTCTCGCCCTGACCGGTCGTCCCCATCCCTCTGAAACACATATCTCATTCAAAGGTCCTCAGCAACTTGTATTGATTTGAATTACAACATGCCAGCTCTCGATCCTTCATCGGTCGTCGCAGTCTTATCGGTAAGTCAAAGGCCGAGTTTCTTGTATACATCGCTCACCCAAACAGGTGGATTTTCAATCTCTTGATGAGCCTCTCATTTCTTCTATAGTGTTCGACTATGCCCCAGAAGAGCTGGCCGATAAGCTGGACGAAATCAGAGACCAGCTCGGTATCTTGGAAGCATCCATGGTCCCCGACGACGCCTTGGAAGAATCATGGGGCGGAAACAGACAAAGCCTTTCTAAAGAGCTGGCTGAGGATCTGGCAGATCCAGATGAGCGTGTAGGCCGGATGAATGTGGCTTGGGACAACGATCAGAGCGGGGATAGCACGAGTACGGGCTCGTGGAATACCAAAACAAAGAGCTCGACATTGGGGTCTTGGTCGCAGTCCACTAGTGAGAGCCAGGGCCGGGAGATTGGAGAGGGGGATAGTGACTGGGGAAACGATTCCAGTTTCGATACAGAGATCGGACTGCTGAAGGTGCTGTTTCCAAATATGTCAGTCGAATCGCATCAAGTGTACGTCGAAACTCACGTTGAATAGGCCGGTCACCGAAGTAGAGGAAGCTCTAGCAACTCAGGTTGGTCTCGAAGCTGCTATTGACTACCTCCTCTCGATTGATCTCATACGACAAGATGACGAGCATGGGTGGCCTGGCGAGCGATTAGATCGTGAAGAAAAGCCCTTTGTGCCAGTCATACCCAAGGCCAAGAAGAAGAAGAAGGGCAAGGGTCACGGCTCTACCGCGTCAACTTCTTCTTCCTCCATGTCTATCAACGTCGTTCCTTCCGGTGGAACAAACAAGGGCGCAAACCCCTTCACGAAAACTAAACTTCGACCCCCTGCGCCGATGGCTTACAGTTCCGCCATCGCCCCATCCCAGCCCCCTTCAAATCGCGGTGCCAAATCACCGCACTCATCTGCCTTTTCCATCGCCACTTTTCTCCGCGATTGTGTGCCATCTCAACCCGTGGACCACTTTTTGGACTTTTTCACGAACTCAGAATATGCTACAGTATATTCCGCGGCCAGAGCTAGCCTCGAAGCGCTGCCTAAACACCCAGCTTCTCCCTCATCTCCCAGTACCGACAAGCAGTACATCGAAACTCGTACCGTTCTCGAGGCCATGTATGATGTTGATCTGGGTGGTTTTAACAACCCCTGGAACGTATCTGTGGAAGAAAGGGAGAAATTCAATGACCTTGCTGTCTGCATCAAAGTCTCCGGATTGGATGTATCGAGAATCATTGACCTCATGGACTTTCTCCAAAGTCTGCGCGAGTTTCAGGCTCAAGAAGATAAAGCAGAGCTTGTGGGAGAGCCATACGATGCGGGGCACTTGTCATCGGACAACACGAGAGGTGAAGATGGGCAAGAGTCGGGCGAGGACGCCAACTGGGCTAAACCGCCTGTAATCGCACCGAAGCTGGCCAAATCGGTTCTTCCTGGACCTGTCGCTCGCCCACCACCCAAAACTGCCATGGCGAGAAAGGAAAGACGTATTCCGGGGGCTGTACCCTCCAACGTGCCAAACGCCACAGATAACTTTGGTGTCGCGTCGCCGTCGCCTGGTCTTATACGCCGAGCACCTGCCGGCGGAATGCACCCAGAGAATTGGCAGACTGCCGCAGGCGAAAAGAAGGCGAAGGCGAAACACAGTGCCATCGCTGCTTCTGCCCGGCCTACATTACTGTCCCAAGAAACCGAATACAACAATTCTGTCCGTCAGGTCCAGATTGAGCGTGCTAAACAGATGACTGCTATACGCGCTGCTGGTCGAAGTTTTGTTTCCGGCAACAAGGCCATGAAACGGTCTGTAATGGGCCACTACGCACGCGAGGCCCGAGAGGCGGGCGATCGCATCCGAGCCTTAGAGCTTCGGAACGCCCATCAAGCCATTGCAATCCAGCACAGCAACTCTGCTAGACCGACGACCAGGAATGGTGATCGAAATCGAAACCGAGTCATTGACCTGCATCATCTCTACGTGCACGAGGCGGTGGCGGTGGCGCTTGAGAATGTGGGGAAATGGTGGACCGAAGAGAAACAATTGAGATCACAGGGGGCCGGTGCACACGGGAGAATGATGATTATTGTTGGAGCAGGAAATCATTCAGTGAACAAAGTGGCTGTTATTGGGCCAGCGGTAGGGAAGGCGTTGGATGAAGACGGATGGAAAGTGAATAAAGAGGAGACCGGGAGGGGATATATCTTGGTACATGGCAGAAAATGATCCTGGGGGGCACGAGGTGCTCTTACGTATATATAATGTAAACATATCCACGCATATTCGACAGTCACGGCGCACTGAGATTCATGTGTACATGCTGATACGAAACTACCCTTGACAATTTTCACAACACTTCAAAACAGATCCCATCAGATTCCAGGGCGATGGACCTAGAACAATTCAGTATGGCGGACAGATTGACAACGGAGCACTTACCAAGATTCTCCCCGACTTCAAGTCTTCTGACCTATAGCTGACCTCCTCTGGCACGCCTCTTTCGACCTGCAGCACCCTCAATTTGTGCTTGCGCTCCTCAAACTCGGCGACCACACCAACAAGAGGCTCCTCAACCGAGCCAACATGCTGCGAGTAAGTGGAGAGACCCTTCTTACCCCTCAGCTTGGCATCGTAGAAGGCGGCGATATCTCCAGGTCGAGGCTGTTGGCGCATCAGCAACAAGTACACCGGCTAAAGATTTTACTCACTTCATCGTAGCGGCGCAAGATGGAACCACCTTCTTGTTCAAATATGACTTGGCCCCATCCTTCTGCAGGTGTAATGCCCACATTCTGCATCGCCAAAAGCACAAAGCCTGTCGAGCTTCCATCCTATCGTAAATCAGCACACCGAACTCAAATTCGAGCAACTTCAACTCACTCCATATTGTCCACGCTTGCCCTGCTGGAAGATTGCGTGGGCAGATCGGACGAGTCCAGCACCAACGTTGGCCGAAGCTTCTCTCAACTGGTCATACCCTGGCCTGGTACCCAGGGTTGTGGATCGTCTCCCTTGTTGCTCACCGCTGGCTCTGGGCTGGGTCGCCGCGGGAACGGAAGCCTGGGGACTGGGGGCCGTCCTCTCTTCCGCAGGGGGAGGAGGTGCGGCGAGAGGCTGGTCAAGTGATGCCCCTGAAGGTCGAGATCCACTGGTACTGGTCCTCGGCTCCCCGTAAACCCCAGCGGCATGGCCAATCCTCATAGGAGGAGGGGGTGGGGGTGCTTCATCTTCTTCCTCGGTCTCCTGCACTTCAGGCTCCTGGGGCAACTGACGAGGGGGTGGGGGCGGGGCAGTCTCCCCTGCATCTGCATCTCGGGGCTGAGGAGGCAAGCTGCGGCGTTGAGTAGCAGCAGGAATTGGAGGACGCGAAGACAAGGTAGGCGACTCGGGGTCAGCGGCAGGAGCGGTTGGTCGGGACTCTGACATGGAGGGTCGGCTTGCAGGCAAGGGAGGAGGGGCGTCGTCCTCTTCATCGTCCTCTGTCTCGATGGGAGGGGCAGGGGGCGGCACTGCAGGGGCTCTAGAAGGAGGTAGAGGCGGCGCCTCATCTCTCGTCTCCTCTGCCATCGAATCGTCTTCGAGATTTCGTTCATCGACATGCTCTTTGTCGGCCTCGATGGAATCAGCCCCAGGCGCGCCCTGGTTGAACATTCCAAAGCCCAACGCTCCACCAGCTCTGAGCCTCGCTAGTGTGGCTCGCCTTCTGGCAGCTTCCTGCTCGGGTGTCTCTTCCTCTTCTTCTTCCGTCGCAGATCTCTCGACTGGAGCAGCGCCCGCATTGTCGGGCACCGACCCCTGCCTGTCGACGGAAGCGACTTCGCCCGTCTCTTCTACTTCTCGAGCCGATGTCGCGCCAGAGGACTGCTTCTTGAATTGCTGTGGGGGCGGCATGCCAAACTTGACACCGCCCAGCTTGGCCATGCGCGCCGCAATACTAGAACGGCGGTTGAGCTCTTCTGCGTCTTCGGGAGACTTTTCCGCGGGGGCGGTGACAGGGGACGTCTCGAGGGTGCGAGAGCGGGTAGGAGAGTCGACCATCTTGGGCTTGACAGGAGAGACTAGGCTATGCATCAGCTTCATACCTCTCGATGTGGCCTCTAAAATCACCTGGCACTGGCGGCGCCCTAGCAGGTGTCGGGACGCCAACTTGAACAGGGCTCGGCAACGTCTCCTTTCTGACCGGAGGTGAGGGAGGAGAGGTATTGCTCTCTTCATCTTCTTCCTCGTCGGGCACTGCCTCGACCTCTTCATCTCCCAGCCCAACTGCTTGTCCCTCTTCTTCCTCGTCCTGGGGTGGGACAGCTTCGGGGGGAGGAGGCGGCAGGGCTCGCGCATGATGCTCTGGAGCGTCTACCTGGCTCAACGCTCGGTCGGGGTTACGAGCAGGAACAGCAGGCGCTTCCTCCGATACGATAGCAGTCGGGGCAGACGGGAGTGGCCTGGGGCCTGCAGGTTTATCAAGCGATCTCCTCGGAGGAGGCGGAGGGGCGGCGTCTTCTTCTACCGTCTTTGATGGGGAAGGGTCTCGTGCCAGAGGGGCCGATTGTACGGGCGTTTCGTGCGTTTGCTCGTGCATGTGCTTCCTCTCCACTTCGTCCAGGGGCATGTCTTCGATAGTCATTCTCCTCGCGCGGGGCAGAGGTGGCTCTTCCGCATTGACCGGGGATACTGGAGAATCAGGACCGGCAGGCCTTAGCGGGACAGTGGTGATAGGGCTGGGGCTCAAGGGACCGCTGCGATCTTTATCGGCAGAGTCACGGTCAAGGTCGTCGGTTTTAAGAATGCTCTGGGGCCTTTCCTGAGGAACGACATCCTTCTCGTCGCCTTCAACCACTTGCTTTTGCGCGGGGATTGATTCGATCGGGTCGGGTCCAGCTGTAGCCTTCTCTTTCTCTGTATCGTCGGCGCCGATAAAAGCAACAGCAGGCTCCGGCTTTTCTCCCAGACTCTCGACAATCTCGCGATCCTCCTCCAATTCAACTTGTTCGGGCTGTTCAGCTCCATCTCCAGGGGTATCTACTGCGATGCCCGCTGCTTGTGCACCTTCCAGTCCACCGATACTTTCTCCTCGCTGCTCCTGCTGCCTCTGCGTTTCGAGCTGTTCTTCAGTCTTGGGCAAGGGCGCTTCCTCGTTTGCTACCATGACCTGCTGAGGAGGGACAGGATGGCCCTCGGCGTCTTTGGTCTCGAGCCTGACATCCCTCTCGGGCATGGGAGGCGTCTCGGACTCGGGCGCAGGGTTGGAAGATGTCGTACGGGGAGCTGTTCGGCGTCGAGGAGGCGCTGTACGTCGGGGTACAGCCGCAATGGGGATGGATTTGGGGGGTGCAGCGCTCTCTGTCTCAGACTCGGGCGCTTCCTTGGGCACCGCAGCCGCAAGGGGTGTCGCGACCGGCGCTCCATCGTCGTTGGATGAACTCTCGGGAGCTACAGGCTCAGCCTTTTCGACACTGGGAGAGGTCACGCTCTTATTGGATTGTTTTCTGACAGGCGGGGCGGTGGGCATCACGCCCATGGGACCCCGCGCACCCAGCTTGGCGAGCCGGGCAGTGATGGCGGCCTTCCGAGCCTTTTCTTTAGCCTCTTCGCTTTCCTCGTCGTCATGAGTTGCTTCGGTGCCTTCCGGGACGGTTCCATCTCCCTCGCGAGAAGCACCTTCTTCCCCCTTGGCGACCTCGGTATCAGGCTGGGGAGGAGCAGCGGGCCTTGACCATACCTTGCCGGAAGGAGCAGGAGGCGGGGGTTTTTCCTGCTGCTGCCCGAACGCCCCAGATCCTTGCAGAGCGGCCATTCGATCCTTGAGCGAGCCGCCTTTCGTGATAGAGCTGACGGCATCTGCAGTCGACATCCCTGCACCTTCCTGCTGCTCCTTGGGCGCTTGTTCAACAGGTTCAGGCAGGGTAGGCGCAGGCGCGGCAGAGACGGGAGCAGGGGCACTTTCGCCTCGTGCTGCGGCTTCTTCCCTTTCCTTTGCCTCTTGCTCTTGCCTGAGCTTTTGTCGCTGGGACCAGGTCAAGCCACCGGCGGCTGGCTTGGGCTTGATAGGGGGAGGGGCTGGCTTATCTTGGGCAGCAGCAAAGAAGGCGAGGCGTTCTTTCATGGACTGTGGACGCTTCTCTTCTCCATCATCGGCAGTGGGTGGCTTGGTGGTGGTGGCAGGAGGCGACGCTGCAGGTGCTTGAGGGGGAGGCGCGGCTTTAGCTGGAGTGGGCTCGAGCTCTTGCACAGCAACGGGCTCAGAGACGACTGGCGCGCTCTCCGGGACCTCCGGAGCAGCACTAGGCGCATCATTGCTGGGGGTTTCCTCAACGCTCTCAGCTTTAGGCTCTGCTGCTTCTACAGACTCGACAGATTCTACGGGTTGCACAAAGTCCTGCGTGATGCGCGTCAGCGGCGTACGGCATCGCTCGTCTTCAAACGCACCTTTGGAAACCCGCCCGATCTGCTCCCATCCAAGGTCTCGCCTACAAGCCAGTCGTCGTCGTCTGGGGATGGGCCGGTGACCCTGATGCTGCTTGGGGTCAGCGATGGCGGGGCGGGGGCTGGTACGTACGTTTCGCCCTTTGCGAAGCTGAGGTCTGTTTTGTGGGGAGACTTGTACTTGAGGCTGGTTGTGAGCTGTGTCTGGGGGGGGCTGACTCACGAGCTGGTGGCGAGATACGGGAACATGGCAGTTGCAGAGCCGTATAGAGAACAATCATTCCCAGTATATCACCCAAGTCGTGATGTCATTTGCTCCCGCACGGCGCACCCCGCCCCTCATCGACTCTCTTACGTAACCATCAATTTCCAGCCTCCACCGTCCAAGTGCGAAAAGTTGCGGCTAGGAGCCTCTACATGCACCGCCAGCAACACCACTCCGCCATGCCCCGAGTCGCGAAGCAGGCCAAAGCCAGACACGACCCTCTCCACGTCGAGCTCGAGGCCGACGAGTCCATCCGCAAGTTTGGCCGCGCTGCAAAGGCCCCAAAGAGAAAGCCCAAGCAGGATGAGCTCGAGACTGAGCCTGTGCGTAGCGAGGCAGACGGGGCGCAACTTGCAACGCTGACTGAAGTGTAGAAAGCGGAAGATGCGCGAATGTCGAAAAAGATCTTGGATCTGGCCAGGGATCAGCAGGAAGAGATTGCCAGAGAGCTCGGAGAGGACGATGAATGGGAGGACGATGACGAGCCCGAGGTCGACCCGTAAGCCGCCCAGTACCGCCCTTGGACTAGCTGACAAGATACGTGCAGCTCAAAGCGACCCCGTGAAATGGCGCAAGCAGCTTCCGACGACGAAGACGAAGACTTTTCCGACGGCGATGTTTCTGGCGGTGAAGAATACGCCGAGCTGCAGATCGACCCTGCCGACCATGCTACGCTGGATGCTTTGAACAGGGGAGAAGGTGCCGATGCCGGGGAGCCTGGAGAGCCAAAGACATTGGCGGATCTGATTTTCAACCAGATGGACGGCGGCGCTGTGAGCAAGGGCGTCGAAGAAGAGCGTGAGTCTTGTCTTGGCTCGTGTCAACATGGCTAAAAGTTTGTGCAGATGAAGGGCCTCCCGATCCCAGAAAGGGTCTGAATCCCAAAGTCATCGAGGTGTACACCAAGGTCGGCTTCCTTCTTTCCCGCTACAAGTCTGGTCCCCTCCCCAAAGCCCTCAAGATTCTCCCCTCCCTTCCCCACTGGGCCCAGCTCCTTGCGCTCACCAACCCTACCGAATGGACTCCTCACGCCACCTTTGCCTGCACCAAGATTTTTGTGTCAAACTTGAAGCCTACAGAGGTCAGGGTGTTTTTGGAGGGTGTGTTGCTGGACAAGTGCAGGGATGACATGAGAGAAAACAATGGGAAATTGAATGTGCACCTGTACGAGGCGTTGAAGAAGGGTCTGTACAAGCCTGCGGCGTGGTTCAAGGGCGTCCTGTTCCCTCTCTGCGAGGTACGCATATCACATGCCAAAACGGACATGGCTGACCTCCCTTTAGACCAGCTGTACATTGAAGGAAGCTGCCATCTTTGCGTCTGTCCTCTCCAAAGTCTCTGTCCCCGTCCTCCACTCTGCCGCCGCCCTCCTCCGACTCGCCTCGATGGACTATGCCGGCCCCAACTCGCTCTTTATCCGTATCCTGCTCGACAAAAAGTACGCCCTACCCTACAAGGTAGTCGACGCCCTCGTCTTTCACTTTATCCGCTTGGCCAACAGCCCGAGGAGCAAAGACGGCGAAGACAAGTTGCCGGTGCTGTGGCACCAGAGTTTGCTCGTGTTTGTCCAGAGGTGCGTCTTCGTCGAGCGTTGTTTGGTTCCATGGCTGACTAGTCTATAGGTACGCGTCGGACTTGACACCCGACCAGAAGGATGCGCTTCTCGATGTCATCCGATCCAGACCCCACCCCACCATCAGCCACGAGATTCGGCGGGAGATTGTCAACTCTGTGGAAAGAGGCGCGCCCAGACCGGAGGAAGGAGGGGACGTGGAGATGCAGTAGACGTAATGATGGACATCTTTTGTATCTGTATGTAAATTTTTTGGGCCACCAACGGCTATTATTGCTGCTCGGCAAACCACTGCCACTCGAGATCTAAAGTGTCATGTGCCACATTGGCGACTTGCATAAAATCCACCTCACGCGATAATGCAACAAGAGGTGATAAGCGGCACGTGCCGCGCCAAACATGAAATGGCGGGCGCGTCGGTGTATAAGAGAGCCCTCTTTGTCCCCTCGATCCTCTTCCCCACCGACTCTTTGTTTTTCGCCAAATTCCCATCCTCACCCAAACTCACCCCAACCACTCAAACCAACACTTTTACTAACACACAATGGCTCGTGAGTACATGCACTCGCCCCCTGTCGCGCTCGCAAGGGGTGGAGCGGATGTTGTTGCCCAATGTCGCGGAAGGCTGACGAATGGTTCGCTCATGCATCGACGCTTCTACAGCCAAGGGTACGTGTCCTATCTCATTCCTGGATGCTCTCCGCACCTTTTAGTGTGCATGGAATGGATGGATGCATCGAGAACAGGTGGCGGGACATCAGTCCGAAAACACCGAGCTTGACGCGTCGTCCACCTTTCCAACCTTGCCATCCACTCGACGCGTAATATCCACTGACCTCGCTCCAGCTAAGACCACCGCTGGCAAGAAGAGAGCCGGTGCCCCCTCTGCCTAGTAGGTTCCCCCCACGATCATCCCGACGCGTCAACTGACCGCGCCCTAGCAACGTCTACATGAAGGTCCAGCTCGCCAAGATCAAGGAGGAGCAGGAAAAGTCTGGCAAAAAGTCTGACCACAAGGTAAGGCTTGACATGCCGACTCGCTCGAGTGGCGCTGACGATCACTTGTAGGAAAACTTTAAAAAGGTCGCCGCCGAGTGGAAAAACGCGTAAGTTGCCTCATCCTTTGATCGTTCGTTGGCTGATCCCATCACGCAGCCCCGAGAACCCCGTAAGCTGCCCCCGAGCAAGCTTCCGGTCAATGCTCACGCGCTTTTGCAGAAGAACAAGAAGTAATCGTCGCTCCAACCTTTTGTCTCGGGTGTCTTTTGGTTTGAAAAATGAGTGCAGAAGGGATATATATATATGGACAGATTCATGTTGTATAAATGCCCTAATGCATTTTCGTCGTGTATGATACTATGCCTGTCGTGTTTGTTGTACATGATGAAAAGGCCGATGAACTTATAAAGCTTGTATATGATATAAGTCATGAAACAGGATAGAAAAGTCAAAGCAGGGCCCAAGTGTGTTTGATTTGCGTGTATAGTATCAACAGTGTATATTGTACAACATCGTTCAGTGTGTCGATGTGTGAATCCTGACCAACGTCAGCGTGGGTTCTCACTCCAGACCCGACACTTACTCTTCTAGAGTCCTGGTATAGTCCGCCCGTACTGCACGTCTTCATATCCCTGCTGCCACATCATCCGTCCCATCCCGATATCCGACTCGACCATATACTGCGTTCTCCGATCGACCATACCAGGGTGGTGGTACTGCTGGGGCACCTGTTGTTGCGGGTACGGCGCGACGTTGGCATACTGTGGGTAGCCCATCATCTGTGGGTATGACGACATATGATGCGGAGGCGGTGGAACCATGGCCTGCTGACTGGCCATGACGCCGTGGTGAGAGTCGACGGGAGAGATGGGAGAGATGGGAGAGATGGTGCTCGCACTCGCACTGCTGGGCAAGAGATGTGAAGGGGTGTGGGGCGCGTCGGACGGGATTCGCTGCGGTATCGTGACGGGCGGCGGCCTCTGTTGCTGGTCTCTCGGCAGACTATACGGCGAGTGGTGCTCGTAGTGGCCCCGCCACCTTATTTGCTCCTGCTCCTCGTGCATTCTCTGGTCGCGCCATCTGGGAAAGTGCATCAGATGCTTCTTGCCCTTGATGTGGCTGCCGTAAGTGCTGGTCGGGAAGGCCTTGTTGGTGTCGGTGCCATAGCAGACCTGGCAGAGGATGATGGAGGGGACGCTGCCGCGGCGTTGCACGATGGTAAAACCTGGGCCTGTGAGCAGAGTGTTCAGGGTGCAGGCCGAGGGACGTACCGGCATCGGTGTACTGCTGCTCGGTGGGGGGCATTGCGTGTCGGAGCAGGGGCAGGGGAGGATGGGTGGGATGGTGTGGTGGGGGGTGTATTAGAGGTGTGTGGGCATATGTACAGGGAAGAAGGAGAAGAAGAAGGAGAAGAGGGTCTTGATGCCGAGAGGAGCAGAAATGGAAGGGAAGTAAGAGGTCCCGCTCATCGGCTCGCGGCGAATCGCTTAAGCTCCAAGGTGGCAATTTGGGCGAGACACGGGATGCGTGCGTGGGCGAGAGTATGCAGAGGGTAGTCACGCAGGGAAGCATCATAGCATGGCCAGCGGAGCAGCGTAGTCCAGGTAGGCCTCCCTCAGCAGCCCAGTCCCACCCCCGCCCCCCGCCAGGCCACGGCTGCCACGAATGTACGACGAACCCTGTTTGCTTAACCCCGCATATGCAAATATTCGCTGGAGAGATCTACGTGTATGGTTATTTTTCTCGACTTTTCTGGCTTCTCAGAACATTTGTGCCAGCATCGATGTGCCCCGTCCCTGCCTGCGCTGACGGCCCCCTCTGCCTTGTCCCATACACTGGCCCATGCATACACCGTGTACACCTCATCGCACTCTAATCCCAGCCCTCGCAACCGCTAGGCACGATCGCGATTAGCATCTCACGCGCTCCTACTCGTCTTTTTGTCCACTCTCTCTCTCGCACTTCCGCATCCCACCCCTGCCCAGGCAACCAACTCGCCCCCGTACGGCGACATGTCCAACTTTCCTCACAGCGCCGCCATCGCTACATCCCTCTCCACCTCTCCCTACGGTACGCCGTCCCCCCTCACATCTTGCTCCGCTCACTTTTTCCAGCCGTCCAGTCCAATCTCGAAACCCTCATCAACCGTTCACGCACCCACCCCCACCCCCACCGCGTCTCTGGAGGCGACCTCGAGCCTCCTTTCCCCACTGTCCTCGTCCACGACCACGAAGAAGCCGCCTCTGCCACTCCCGCCCGGCGCCGGCCTTCAAACACCAGCCACGCCCCACGCGTGGGTACCATTCAGGAGGGCTCCTACGAGGACGCGCTCATCTTCCAAGACGACGATGATCACAATGACGAGCAATCAAAGCTCCTGCCGCAAGACTGGAAAACACGCCGCGGGTCACGTCAAAGCCGCAGGTCATATGGTGCCACGAGCGCTCCACTGGGCGCATTCACAGAGTCTACCAGGCGACACCGATCTATGGACAATTTTAGCGTCGGCACCAGTCGCTCTCGATCCAAAGCACGCACGCCCCCTCGTCACGAAGTTGAACACTTGCGCAAAGAAGGCGAAAGCTCTTCCGATGACGACTCGAGCTCCTCCCGTCGAGGCCGCACACACATCTCGCGTCCCCTCTCTCGGGCCTCCTTGTCTTCTCGCCGATACAGCACCACGGTCAGGCTCGGGGACGAATCTTCTGGCGACGAAGGCGGCGATCTGGCGAGGGGGTTGCTGGCGACCGGTGGTCACGCAGTGTTTGCCGGCAGCGGCAGGGTGGGCGAGCTCACCACCATGGATCTTGACCCTGTGATGGAGTTGGATGCAGTAGACCTCGAAGTTCCTGTCGATCAAGATGGCAAAGAAGTCCGAGAATGGCAGGCGGCTATCAAGGTGAGTGGCTACTTTTCTAGAAAACACGACTGACGCGACAATAGGCTGAATTCCCAGTCATCTTGCGTCTTGCCCTGCCCGTATTCTTTACCCAGATGGCCGAGTGGTCTTTGGTTCTTGCTTCCGTCGTTTCCATCGGTCATCTGGGTACCGCTGACTTGGCCGCTTCTTCGTGCGTATATCCGGAACGGGTCAATAAGGTACCGGCGCTAACCGCATTCAGCCTTGCTTCCATGACTGCTTCCGTGTCGTGCTTCTCTATCCTGCAGGGTTTAGCCACTGCCCGTAAGCAGCCTTTGCGTCATGAGAATTCTGCTAATATAGTGTTGTTGCCAGTGGACACTCTCTTGCCAGCGGCCTGGACCTCTTCAGACCCATCTCGGGTTGGTCTGTGGACTCAGAGGATGTTTGTCGTCATGGGTTTCGCCATGATTCCCATGTATGTCCTCTGGTGGAACATTACGCCCATTCTTATCCAGCTCGGTCAAGGTTCGTCATGCGTGCACGTGCAAAATTCGTGCTGACGCCCATATAGAGCCCGATGTTGCTCAACTCGCAGGAACTTATCTGCGATGGCTGTCTATTGGTATCCCCGGGTATGGCGGGAATATGCTCGTCAAAAAGTATTTGCAGGCGCAAAACTTGATGCATGTTCCCACATACACCTTGTTCATTGTCGCCCCGCTCAACTTGTTCCTCAATTGGCTTCTTGTGGGTCTACTTTATGACACTCGACCTATGCTGACTCTCGCAGGTCTGGGGCCCCGAGCCCGTCCGACTTGGTTTCGCCGGTGGCGCTCTGTCCACTGCTCTGGCCTACAACTCTGCTGTATGTCGCGCCGTCGCCAGACGACCAATCTGACTTGTCACAGTTCCTCATCTCCCTTCTCTGGGTCATCTTTTACGGCCCTCGCGAAGCCTTCCACCCCATTCGCTTCAAGTATGCCTTCTCCAAGCTCGGCACGTGTACCTCGCTCGGTCTTGCAGGTACCATCATGCTCTCTTCCGAGTGGTGGGCTTGGGAAGCGTGTGCTTTGGCTGCATCTATCCTTGGGCCAGTGACCTTGGCGGCACAGTCAGTATTGTTGTCGACTGCTTCCACCTTTTTCCAAGTCCCGGCCTCCCTTGGTATCGCATCTGCCGTTAGAGTCGGGAATCTTTTGGGTGCTGGCAGAGCTTGGGAGGCCAAGTGGGCCAGTCGAGCTTGTTTGATCTTGAGCATCACCTTTGCATTCCTCAACAGGCAAGTATCTCGTGCCCGTCTTTGAAGTGTTATTGACACTGCATAGCTCTCTTTGTATCATCTTTAGGAAAAATTGGGGGTACATGTTCAACAACGACCCCGAGGTCGTCGGACTTGTAGCCTCCATCATGCCCTACATTGCTCTCTTCCAAATCGCCGACGGTGTAGCCGCCACAGCAGGCTCCGTTCTCCGATCCCTTGGCCTCCACGCTACCGGTGCTCTGATCAACCTCACTTCCTACTACATCATCGGTCTTCCCTTTGGTCTTTGGCTCGCATTCACGCCCACGCTCGAACTGGGTCTGATTGGTCTCTGGGTCGGCCTCAGTGTGGCCTTGTTGTATGCCAGTCTGCTCAGTGCGCTGTTGGTTTGGAGGGCAAACTGGCCGAGGGCAGTGGAGAGAGTGAGGGAGCGGCTGGGGTTGGAAACGCATGGCCAAGTTGGAGCCGATGGCAAGTGGGATAGGAACGAGGAGCATGAGGAAGTCGGGGAAGAGACTAGGTTGTTGGAGTGAAGAGTTTCTGTGCTTGTTCAACACCTCAGCATAATATCAACATAAATCATTAACGACTCTGTCATCATAGAAATTGTCCATCTTTCGTTCATCATATGCAAATTGTACCTACTGTAGACATTCAAGTTGGTTTGACTCGCCTCGTCGCATCTTGTTCAAGACCCTTGTGGCGCTTTCCCATGTATGTATTTTCGGCATGATAGTCACCTTGGGCCCACAGACCGATCGGATCGACTGTAGCAGGCACACCTGCATATGTGTGCACGGACAAGAGCGCGCGTTGACGATGGACATCCTTTGTTCCGCAAAAGGAAATTCTCGTCAGCCTTGCAAACGCGGTATACTCGCCGTATGTAGAACCCCCACTTCCCAATCCAGAGCTGAACATTCTCCAAAGGACAATTCAGATGGATTACTCCAAGCTCCAGGTATGCAGCTCTCTGCATTGATGCAACGCAGATGACTTCTTCCAGAGGGTGGGCGGACCTCATCTCAGTGTCTAGACAACAACAATTCGGCCTGACAGGTGAAGCCAATGCTCTAAAGGGATGACTCTCCTGTTTGGGCGCCTTGGACCCTATCCGAAATCGTCGTTGGTCGTCGGTCAAGCCTCTCCTCAGGCCTCAAACGAGACCCGTACGGCCCGTGCCTGCCTGGCATTCTGCGGATGTTTGTACACACAACATATTCAGAAATACTCCGTAGAAGGTATTGACGCGATTGTGTCTGATGTACATAGCAGAATGCACAGCCCCCGTATGAGCCTGCCTCACGCGTAGGGGACTGGTATCACGACAAGAGGGATCTGATTCTCTTCAATATCGTTCAACTCTACATCTGAAAAAAGCTCTGAGGCGCGACATCTCTCGGCTTGGTGATCAACATCGTCACTCAACTCACTCGGCATCCCACTTCCACCATTCGCCAATCGCATTCAGTCTCCGTCGCGTCCCACCCGTCGCGTCCCACCGCAAGAGCATACCTACCGAATTTCACCACTGCACGCCATTGCACTCTTCCCGGCAAAGACTGTTGAATCAAGGTGAGACCCTTCAGTTCACAGAACACAGACTTGTGCTTCGAATGTTATCTGGCCGTGTCTTGCGATCTTGCGGTATATCTCGGATGCGTCTTCCGTGCTCGTGAGGGGCCCCGTCGAAATGATGTTTCATCATTCAATTTCTGCTGGGCATGCCCATCGAGTATGCCCAGTGCCCGGTGGCCTATGACAATTCGAAAGAGCGTTTAGTGATCTGCGGTCTGGCGGGAGAGCGTGCGTGATTGGTGTCTCATGTCTGTGGTGATGCTTCAAGCATTCCACTCTCCTCCTGTTTCTCGTTCCATTTTCCTCTTTATCAGATGGTCATTGTTGTCGTCGCTGGCCTCGCTGGAGCTGCTGTATTGTAGCGAGCTTGGCCTTCTCACTTCATGGCCCATCTGGGCTGCTGGGCCGAGACTCTTGCTCTGTCTCGCTAGACCGAAAGCCACTTCCTCCCGTAATTCAGGGGATAAGATGTGCGGACGTCGCCGCTTATACCAAGGGACTCACGGCTACCAGTCATCACGCAGCAGGCGTTCTGCGATGGGCAGATCTGAGACGAGGGATGGAGACTGAGACTCGCCCGCTTGCGGCAGTATGCGAGAAGACGAGGCGTGATATGGTGTTCTTTGGTTCTCGTTCGACGTGTTGCCCCTTTCCTCGCGTTGCTCGACAGCCCGGGTCTATAAATTCTAGAATCCGGGTAGACGCAAGAGATCTTCGTGATATAGTAGGATGACATCGGAGATTTCCCGCCGGTCGCGGCGACATCTCAAGCATATCAGTTGTGCTATATCAGATTTCTCTAGGCCGTATTGCAGCCGGTCGGGGGATCTAACCCTTCCATCTGCGGCCCGACGTCATGTACCTGGCATGGCCATTCATATGGACCTTGGACCTCACGAACAGTCCAGTAAAATTGCACCTCGCGATGGTCGGTCGTCGGATGAAAGAGGGGAGAGGGGCGAGGCGCGAGTGACTTGTTTCATGGTCTAGAAAATGGGGCGCAAGTCCTGAACAAGTTGCCTATGCTTGGTGGCCTGGTCAGTGGCCTCGCTGGCTGTCCATCTATTGCATCCAAACACCTTTCTTTCTCTCGTCTTGTCTTTACTGTTGGCGCCTTGCTGTATCGTTCAACATCCGACTCCGGGGCATCGGAAAACGCGCTCTAACCCCAAATCTATCAGGGCCAAAACGTCACCGCCGCCAGCTGTCCTGTCGCTTCCAGTCCAAAACTCTGTGCAGTCTTCTGCGGGATTTTATTTCTATTTTTTTACTGTCACCTCGAGCATCAAGATCAACAAACAACTCTCTCTCTCCCATCCTCTCGACATCCGACAGAGCCCAACAGCGCTCTCCCGCCTCCACACCCCAGTAGTGATCCGACATTCTTTCCACAGCCGCGCCTCCACTCTCGTTCCTCTCTCCGTCACATCTCGTTTTCGCCGTGCGCTCTAGCTTTTCCCTGAAAGGAGAAAAGGCATTCACGTCTCTGGTCCCGGCCTCATTCCCAGTCTTTCACGTCAGCCAACCGCAGGCAGCACAACCCACCACAAAGACACCGCGTCTTCACGCGACGGCCTGCCGCTCTCTACTTTCCACACTCCCCTCTCGGTTTCTTTCAACCCGCCTTCGCCACTTCTGTCTCTATACGCGCCCATACGCCAACGCAAGATCTGAGATCATAGGCAGGAGGTCAGAAGTTTGCAAGGGACTGCCTGGAGATCAATGAACAAGGGTCGATCTTGTGAGTGACTTCACTCCCTCGTCAAGTCTTCGTGGGGAGCGCCGTGGGCTATGGAGACGGCCCTACCTGAGTCTGCCACCCCAGAGCCCTTGCACCTCTAACTGCGTTACCTTTTCCATCCCATCTGGTTGTGGCCTCCTTTGGCTGTGTGACTTGGCTGATGAGTGACCCCATTTAGGTTACATCAATCCTGCAAAACGCTGTCCCAAGGCCCAGAGCGCTTGACTGTCCACACTCTGTCTCTGCCACACTCCGCTTGTCACTTCCCGGCAATTGTACGTCGGACCCCTCCCTTCCGCCCTGCTTGCAATGCTGATCTTTTTCTTTTCCAGCATAGCGACGGACTCGTGGCCTCTCGCGGATTCCAGCGCATTTGAAACGCATCAACGCTCGGGCCACAAACCTCCTCGAGGTCTCTGCATCACGACACAAAACAGGTTTTGCTGTCAGGCTCGAGATCTTGCATATCCGTGAGTTATCCTTTCCGTCTTGTCTTTCCTCTTCCACTTACCAACCCCTCTCGCCATGCGCCGCTCTTCCTCTATATCCTCGTCCACCTTCTCCTTCACTCCGCCGCCATTCGTGTTTGATGTTGATCATCCCCCCCGTCGTCGGGTGCTTTCCTCACCTCGTCCACGACCGACGTCCCGCTCCCCGCCGCCGTCTATCCTTCTTTCCCATACATCAGACGACATGCCTGCTCTCCCCACGCCCCTTCCACCTACGCCAACACCGTCAATACACTCGCCTACCATGCAGAGCAGCGCCGAGCTCAACACGAGCAAATCTACAATCATGTCAGAGCAGGACCAGCCAATCGCCGGCCCGTCGAAGAGTGGGCAACAGACATCCTATTTTCCACAGCCTTACCTGCCACCGACACCGCCTGTGCAGGACGGCGAACAACCGGGGTCAGCGGCCTCGATCAACTTTGTTGAGCCCGTGATACCGCGCAGAAGAAATCCGTCGGCACGCAGACCCCTTAGCGCGTACCCTCAAGACGATGAAGACCGCATTCACCCACCGTCGCGAAAGTATACAGATCCGACGCCTGTGTCACACCTTCCGTCAAGTGATGATGAAGAGAGCGGCGATTCACACCAACTAGACGTTGACCTCGATGCGTACTCCAACACTGGGTTCGAAACCGAGGAGGAACCATTGGAGGATAGGGAACCGACGCTGAGCTTTGTCACTGCGTCCACCCATGAGTCTACCGCGGGTACGCCCCCCATGAGTATGACATATAGCTTTCCCGGCCAAGTGGAAGAGGGGAGAGATACAGTCGAGCCCAAAATACGGCTACGCTCAACAGCTGGTCGTGGCGCAAATACATATTCCTCTGCAGAGTCGTCCATCGGCTCTGGTCCATATTCTTATCACGCCTACGGAGACCAGATCTACCAGCAAAACCCACCGCCTCTACCCCAGATGCCAAGTGGCTACAACTCCTCCATGGGTCTGGGCATCTCAACCGAGTACTCTTGGCCGGCGAGTTTGGCCTCTTCGCAAACCAGCCGCCCGCCAGTCCTCTCCCCTTCAAACACTTTTCCCCATCGACCATGGAAGCGAGACGTGGTTACCAGGCTCCGGAGTGGCTCAGCCTCTTCCGCCTTCACTGTCGCTTCAACTTCCACCGATGCTTCTGATGGGTCGTCAAGTCGAGCGAATATGCAAGATGGAGCTTTCCATTACGACTATGATGGTCTACTACCGTATGAGCGAGAACAGGCGGAGCCGGAAGCGCTTGCGATGATTAAGGAGGGCAGAGAGAAGATACTGGATGTGGAAAAGATTGAGGCTCTAGGGGGTGTGGAAGCTATAGATCAGCACATGGTCCATTCATTAGCTGGTGAGTTTATCGGTATCGATAGGGAAAGCGCTGACGCGTCTCAGGCATCACTCATCTGCTTCTTCCATCGTGTGGGCCGCAGATAGTTGGCTTCCTTTCTCCCTTACTCTCAGTACTCGCGCCTTCGCTGGTTGTACTTGATCTGTCAAACAACAACCTGTCTGCCATCCCCGATACATTGCAGCACTGCACGTCGTTGGAAGAGCTGAATTTGTCGGACAATCCCCTTTGGAATATCCCCAATTGGATTGGTGCTCTTGTGGGTTTGCGTGTGCTGGTCATGGATGGATGTGGTATCTCGAGTCTACCCGAAGAAATCTGTCATCTACATGCGCTTCACTCGATTTGCGGTGAGTATGACGCTAGACACGGTGTTGGACTTGACTGATCGTTAATAGTCCGACGAAATAAATTGGTGGCTTTGCCGACATGGCTATGCCTTCTGGCTCAACTAGACACTCTCAAAGTCGACAACAATCCCTTCACCCCCGAATGGCTCCGCATCATCCCTCCTATCCTCGAGCCACCACCTCGGAAACTCCCGGCTGCTGGCAAGAGAAACTCTCATCACCACCGCCATCTCTCTATCAACAACGGGCTGAGAACACCAGTATCGGCGACACCTATCACATCACCCACCTCATCGGCTGGTCATACAGACCAGGGAATGGCCAGCGGACCTTCTTCATCCGCTCAATCGTCCTTCTATCAAGCGGGTCTGGGGCCTATCGCGGAAGACAATCACCCTCATTCTGCGCCTATCAGAGCGGATGGAGAGGATCTCCCATTCCCGGGAATGATGCCTGAAGCTCAAGTTTCAAGAGGTCTACGGAAAATGCGTTCTGCGGGTGCACTGCTCAACAAGATGAACCAGTCTGTGGGCAGCCAATCCCCGAGCATCCGCCCCCGAGACTTGAGCCCACCCCCGACAGATCGATTTGCCAGTCTGGGCGGTAGCGATGGACGACGAGCGGCGAGCGCCATGAGCAACTACGCGGAAGACTCTTCTGAGCCGACTGGCTCAAGGCTTGGCAAAAGCTCTGTTCAAAAACCGGGCAAGCTTGGTGGCTTCCTCCGGAAGATGTCTATGAACCGCCTTCGCCCCGAGAAGGACAAGATGGCGGCTGTCGCAAGCTCTGCCGCTAGCAATCTCAAGACTATGCCCGCTCTGCCGCCGATGCGTCATCAGCATTCAGATCCTATCAAACCTGTCGCCATACGGCCGGGGATGCTGGGCGCCATGTCGTCAGCTACGTTGCCCACTCGCAAAATCACGGATCTGCACATCTCAGACTTTGGGCCCGTGAGCCTTGTCCCCACCGGGCCTTCGACCATGCCCTTGGCCGGGCTACCTTTCCCTTCACAGATGGGTGCAAGCACCTCCGGGATGGGCACAAGCAATAACACCACCAGTCTTCGTGGCAAGAGAAGAAGTTTCTTGCCTCTCGATGGGCCTCCGTCGATCAACGTACAAATCCCTACGTCCGAATTTCACGACCCACATGCTGCGGAAACTCCAGTCCCGACATTGACCATGGAAGCTCCTACTCCTCTGGCTACTACCCCGCCTCCGATCATGTCTCAGGCCCTTGTTGAGTCTCCTGTCGCTGAGAATGACTATGATGCCAAGTATGCTCAGGGCTTGGACACTATCAAACTCATTCTTCGGGATCTCCATGACTTGTCGCGCAAATCTATTCCCCATGACACATTCGCGGCCATGAGCGGGGTCGGAAGTGCTGATAGCAGCTACGCTACGTCCTCAGTGCTTTCTGAGCATCCCGGATCTCCCAGGTCCGTGGATCGCGATTCTGTCGTCGACGTACATCGTGCTAGGAGGCACACCTTGGAACGAGACTCTAGGGAGCTGTCGAATGGCGGTGGTGGATATGTGGACCTTGGCGAGAAAGAGCCTTCGCTGTCGGGCAAGAAATTCAAGAACGACAAATCCAAACGGGCCAAGATCATCCACGAGATTTGGGAGACTGAGCGCACCTATGTTCGCAACCTTGGGGAACTTGTGACCATCTATGTCAAGCCTTCTGCCAAGGTAGTCAACCCCAACAAGTCTGCTGTCGAGACCGTGGTGCCTTCGTCAGAGCGCAAAATCGTTTTCGGCGGCATTGAAAGTATTCTCGCTATCCACCGAGACAACTTTTTGCCAGCTCTAGAAAAGGTCGTCAAGACATTGATTGAGAGTGAAGGCAAGGCCGATGACGGCGAGATGTCGATCGAGACTGCGTATCGCGTCGGTGAGGTCTTCAGGACCTACATCGCCTACATGAAGCAGTACTCTACCTACATCACCAACTTTGACAATGCCCTCGCTCGGATGAAGACGTGGTCCGGTACGTCTTCTGGTACATCGACACCAACATTCCCTGGCAAGGCAGGCTCCAATATGTCCTCGACGGCTATCAATGCTGGTATGAGTGCCATTTCTCTTCCGTCTGCTGCTCCGACTGCTTCTGGTCCACAAATGTCGTCCAGTCAAAAGAAGAGGGTCAAGGCGTTTTTGCAGAAGGGCAAGGACCACCCTATGCACTCGCAGATCAGTCTCGAGAGTTACTTGCTCCTTCCGATTCAGAGAATCCCGAGATACAAGCTCCTCGTAAGTCAAAGTGGCAACATATGTTTCCATGGCACTGACCTGCATCTAGCTAACTGAACTTGCCATGTGCACACCTGCCCGAGCCGACGGCTTCCGCGATACTCTCGATGACGCCCTGATTGAAATCTCTAGCCTCGCATCGTTGATGAACGAGGAGAAGCGCGATGCCGACTCTAGACTGCGATTGATCAATTGGCAGAAGCGTTTCACCAACTCTGGACGTTCCCCTCTCGTGCAGCCGCACCGACGTCTCATGTTTGAGGGGCCTTTGACTCTGTCTCGGATCGTCAAAAAGGCGTCCAACTTTGCCGAGCGCGAAACCATGCTCGAGACCGATGGTGACAAGACCATTACGTCTAGCAAGACCGTGGTTCCTGTCGATCACGTCGTGCCCGAGTCGGTGGAGAGGGAGGTCATGTTGATCCTGTGTTCGGATATGATGGTGCTTGCTACACAGAGAGGCGAAGGATGGGAGGGACCCGTTAACGTTTTCAATGTGTTGAGAATGGGGACTTTGCAAGAGCCAGCTAGCGTGACATCGGGGAATACCTTGAGAGTAGTGGACAACAATGTGAGTCTTGGATGTGGCCGACTGGAGGGATATATGTTGACGATATGTTGACAGTCCATTTACTACTTTACTGGCAACACTCGGGATACTATCATACAATGGTGCCGAGCTATCAATACTGCCAGGCGCTGAGCGGAGATGGAGGGAGATAAGGTGTGCTGGGGACATTGACGAGATGATGACTCTTTACGAAAGGTACAAGTATATATATGACGGACTTTCCGTTTCGTGTTCTTTTAGGTCGATTCAATTTTGTATAGTATATACAACAGTCTTAGAATGGCAGGTCGACATTCACGGGCAATTCAGATCAATTGCGATTTCCATATTATAGTCACGAAGAGCTGCCCACGCCAGCCATACACATGCATACGACTATGTATAACACTCTGCGTTTGTACAGGCTGTCAATTGTGTGCTATATATGAGCCATGGGCAACGTACCAAGTCTGACTGCCTGTAGACTCGTCGAAAGGAAGAAGGATCCGACTTCGCGGACATAATTGGTCTGGGTCGGCCTACGATGTGCGCTCACGGACGTGTTCGGCCCATAGCAGTCTGCACCCTACATAAGAAGCGCCTGTCTTCTCTCCATTACCCGAGTCTCTGGAAACTTCCGTCATGCCACTGGAGAAGAGAAGACTGCTCATCTCGGGCGATCGCTCAACGTTCACCACCCTACAATTTGATCCCGTTCGACGCTCCTTGCAAGTCAAGCACGACTATCCGGCACCGTACAACTGCTCTTGGCTGGAGATATCCCCATTCGCACGAGAGAATGGGGCAGCATGGGATAAGCTGTTTGCCCTTTCTGAAGGTCAAGAGGTCGGCGAGGTGTTTACTTTCGAGCTGCATGGCGAGGAGTTGGAGATTACAAGTCGGGCCCCCACTCTAGGCGCACCTGCACAATGTGAGTCGGGAGGGCAATCATCTGCGAATTCCATTGATTCTGGGGTAGTCCAGGTTCTGTCAGACAGGTCTGCACTTGCTCTTGCCACCGTGGGTCTGCTTGTATACAGAGGCAGACAAACCTGGGCTGACGGTTCTAGTATCTTGGCGGATCTCTTGCGCTGTATCCCTTGTCGCCCGAAGGAAGATTCTTACCGGAGCAGCGTGCCGAAGTACCCCTCGAGTTTGCATATGCCTCGAGTACCGGATCTCAAGGACCAGTCCCGCATCGCCAGAAACAATCGCATGCCCACCAAGTCATAGAGCACCGAAAGACTGGGCTTCTCTTTTCGTGTGACCTGGGGTCAGACAGGGTGTGGATCGCCGCTCGAAGCCAGGACAACAAGATACTCCAAGTTGTGGGCTGGCTTCATCTCCCTCCTGGGTCTGGACCTAGGCATGCAGTGATCTCTCCAGATGGTACGTCGTCCTTACAACTCTGGTTGGTGTCTTGGCTGATGAACCCGGCTATAGAGAAACTCGTATATGTGCTCTGCGAGCTGTCTCATCAGATCCACGCGTTCCCTCTTCCTTCTGACACCACTGAAACCTTGACGGACATCCATCCTCTTGCGTCTTCCTTCGCCAACATCGTGCCTCCCGAGGTCCCCTTGGAGCATCAGAGATTCATGGACTCTGCCGAGATTTGGCTCCACCCGACTATACCCAACGTTATCTACGCCAGCAACAGGTGGCAGCTACATATCGCTGAGCGCGACCCTGGGCTTGCTTCTGTTCCTCCTCCGCCAAGAGGTGATTCTATCGCCATCATGCTCCTTGAGCCTGGGGGCACGAAAGTGGAGAGCGTCAAGCACGTGCCAACAGGACTGGATGCCATTCGTGGATTCCGATTGAGCCCAGATGGACGGTATGCGGCGGTCATCGGGCAAGAAGGCGGGGGCGTTGAAGTATACAGTTTGGGGGGAGAGAGGGGGGATGGATGGGTGCTTGTGGCTTGTGCGAGAGAAGAAGACGGGGTAGAGAAGGGGATGAAGGATGTAGTATGGCTCTAGTATTGCATGTATCCATTGCCGAGTGCTGTTCGGCTTCGGGCCGAGGATCCGAAGAGTGATTGAGGCCGGTGGATGATTCTGTGGGGAGAGATGATCACGACTGCAGAGGATCGAGAGAGGATCACGAGAGGATGCCCCAGCCAGCGCACAGCCCCCCAGCGGCGCACCCCGGAGACACAGCGCCCCCGTCCAGGAAGCGCAAGAGGAAGCAGAGACCCGTCTTCAGCTGTGCAGGTCCGTGCCGTCCTCGGGCCATCCCTACGTGCTGACCAGCTTCATCACAGAGTGTCGCAGGCTCAAGCTCAAATGCGACCGCCAGGGTGCGTCACAGCCTTGTTGGGGACAAGCCTTGCTGATATAGAAGCAATCAATAGTACCGTGCAACAACTGCGTCAGGAGACAATGTCATACCATCTGCCCCGAGGGGGTGCGCATCACCCGGCAGTAGTAAGTCATACACCAGATCGTCTCACTCGCCCGCATGGGGCCTCACCTGACTCGCTGCAGTCTTGCCAGCTCCGACTCTGAGCTAGCCACACGTCTTGAACATCTGGAAGGGATCGTATCCCGTCATGGGCTTGAACCTATACCAGAGCGGGGGCGGAGCAAGTCATCTACAAAAAGGATCTCCTCGCCCTCCCCCTCAGCACGGGATCTACAAGAGCCACCTTCTGGTTCTGCGAACGCTTCCTCAGGTCCGAGAGCGGACCAAGACCCGACCCCTCGCAGGACCTCGGCTCGCCCTACGTTTGATTTCGAGACAGCCTCCTCCACCTCTGCCGCCAGGAATGAACCCCCGGGACAGTCTCCCATCACGATTTCGCCATACCCATCCCACCCTTTTCAATACGATATCCCCGAACATTCGCCCGCCCCGGGCGCACAGCCGCTGTCCCCATTTCCCTCTCGAGCTTCACAGATTTCCCCACATGTTCACGATGGGACAGGAGAGAATAAAGAGACCATCAAACACTCTCCAGATATGGACACGGAGGGGGAACAGAGCCACGGGACGCTTGTCATCAGTCATGGAGGGAGAAGCAAGTATCTGGGTCCGACAGCGGCGAGCGAGTGGCTCCGAGATGTGAGTAAATTTCAAAGATGGCATTCCGTGCTCACTGTGGCCGCCCATAGCAAGAAACGCGACATGACGAAGCAGGATCCAGCGATGTGTCCCGTGAAACTTCCCCAGAGCTTTCAGGAGTGTCTGTCCCATCGGTCGGACGTCAAACACATAGGGCAATCGGTTCGCATACCTTTCCGTTCACGACCTATCGAAACACAGATCGATCATGGTCAAGACACGATATATTGGCCAAATTGCCAGATAAAGAGTACGCGGATATGCTAGTGGACAGCTACTATCGTACATTCAGCTGGCAGTGAGTAGTCTTTCGAACTCCAGTTATGCTACACGAATACTGAGCCAGTTTACCAGCTACGACATCTGCCCTCGCCCTGAATTCAAACCCCTATACCAAACAGCGTACAGACTGCAGGACATGAGCAAGTCTTCTCCGCAGAACCTTCGTCATGAGCGAATGAATTATCAGGATTTGGGCCTTGTATTCATGATACTGGCTTATGGGACGCTGCAGTGTCTAGAACTACCGCCTGATGATCCCACGGCATACGAGCTAGCTGCTGCGGCCCAGATCGCCTTGACCAAGGGCAATCTCCTGTCCAAACCCTCTCTATCGGGACTGGAAGCCCTCCATATACTGGCGCATTTTGGTAACGCATCGGAGGAAGGCAGGAGTGGGGACGCTGCGTGGCCTATATGGGGCCTTGCTATGAGATTGATCCAGGCGGTGAGTCTCTCGTCGCCATACTCTCGCGGGGGCCTGACTCTATCGGGCGATAGATGGGTCTGCATCGCGATGGGGCAAAGTGGAATTTACCCCCGGATGTAGTCGAAGCACGACGGTAAGTGCCTCATGAGCCAATTCTGTGCAGCTAATGAGTTTGCTAGTCGGGTATTCTGGGAATGCCATGCCTCTGATATCTATATTGCGAACTGCAATAGTCGCCCGTAAGCCCATTCTACGACCAAGATGCCATTATCACAGTGTTGACTCGAGCAGGAATACACTCGGCCCTGGCGTCTACGATACAGCCATCCCGACTCAACCGCCGGGGGAGTTGGAAAAGAACTATATGACCTTGAAGTGGGAGTTTAGTGAAATCGCTGCTTCGTGAGCTGTCCATACTCCAAGCTCATGACGAAACCTGACTTGTGACGATCAGAACTGTTCGCTTGTCAACGAGTATACGGGCTCCGCCCTACTCCACAGTGATGGAAGTTTCCAAGCAGGCGTGAGCCATCAGTTTCTTTTGCATCAGGGTCGCAGCTCATGTCCATTTTCGATAGGCTGGACTTTGAGAGACAAGTGCCCTTCGATCTGCGGTGCCGGCCGGCTTTACAGGCTTTGCCAGGTGTATACCCCGACCCTCAAGCTGCTATCGACGATAGCCCGGATATCAATTCCAAGCAGATACACAAGACTCTACGGGTGAGTCACATCACTCCTTATTGTGATTGGGCACTGATAGACAAACCGCAGAGAACGTTTCTCTTCATCTCTATATCCGAGACTCTTCTCTTTCTCCATCGGCCTTATTTTGTGCGCGCGCTCTTGGGAGCGTCTTCCGATCCGTCTCAGTCAATGTACGCGCCTTCCTATCTTACAGTGATCGAGAGATGCAATGTGAGTAGTAGTACAGGGTCTGACCTCCGGGAGCATGTCAACTGACAACGTTGATGTAGGCCATCATCCAATGCGTTGTAGTCGTATACAAGCTTCATCCAAATGTTTCCGCTCGACAATGGCCACTTTGGGTATGTGACGTTTGATCGAAATCACGCATGGAGTACTGACAGCACCAAGTATCACTCGTTCAACTGTGCAGTGTCCATGGGATCCTTGGTCCTGAAATCGCCTCAAAACTCTCTTTCTGAACTCGCCTTCTCCCTGCTCGAGACTGTGATCAGATTGTTCACATCCGCTGTCCAAGCTGGCTCCTCACCTCGGCTTACCGCCAACCTCGAGTGGCTGACTCGTCTTCACCATCAATGCCAGCAGGCTGTCAATGCCGTTCGACATGGTGGCTCTCGTCTAGAACCGTCACTGACAGACCAGAAAGACCTTGAGGATCCGGAAAATCTTCTGGGGTGGAGGACGAGGCTGGTTGAGCGGGCGTCTGCTCGCGGACAAGTGGCTACTAGCATCTCGCAAGCATCATCTGCCCCGCCATCGAATGCTAGCCCTGATCAACAGGCGCCTTTGATGAATGGGCCGCTGTCTTTCATGTCTCAACCTGCTTCAGGTGGCGTCCCGCATGGAGTCGCAGCGTATGACCTTGCCTTGAATGATAACGGTAAGAGCGTTGCCGATACTATCGAGGGACAGGGTGGATCGAGCAACGAGGCATTCACAAACAACTTTGTATGTCACATTCTGACGACACTTGTTACCCTACTTACACCTGCGGCGACATAGCTTCAATCGTTTTGGGATCCAATGCTCCAGCAAGATGCTCCGATCGTCGAAGACGAAACGTGGAATTCGCTGCAGTCGGTCAATTGGTGGGATTGGAATATGAACTGGGGCCAAGCAGGAGGTAGCGGGGAACCGTCTCAAGTGTATCCGTTCGGATCGACATGATGTAAAATGTGAAGTAGTGTACGATGTAGAGTATGATGTGAACGATCTTGAATACTTTGATTGACATGGGTCCATGCGACTAGGTCCCCGTTCGAGTTACCTACTTCATTATCTGGTGTGTCGAGACTGGAGGTGCGCCTGATGTATCGGGCAGTCCAGTCAGAATTTGAGGTCTTTAAAAGATACATTGCTGCATTCCCGCACGCCATATACTTCACAAGCGACGGCATTGAATCAAGGTACAGTCTACAAAAGTCCTTTCACTACTGACACTTTTGGCTGCCAAACCCATGGCGTCATCGCACATCAACCTGTCACTACTTCCTGGCGCCCTTGTAAGGAGGGGGTGACATACCCTCGAGCAAAGCCTTTATCCTGAGGGCCACCAGCTTTGAGTGGTAACGCGTCATGGGCAAGTAGCCGAGCATGAGCCACAAGTTGGGAATGCCACACTCCTTGTACACCGAGTTCAGCTCGCCCTCCTCATCAACACCCCAGATGGGACCGCACTTGCCAGCAATCTCCTCGCCCAAAGTCGCTCGAATTGAGTCGATGGTGCCGGAAAAGCCAGTAGCAAAGACCACCAAGTCAAACTCCTTCTCTCTACCGCCAGAAAGGATGACCTTGTCCTCGGTGAACGACTCGACAAATCCTTGCTCCACCTTGATCTTGCCCTTGATGATCTGCTCGCAGGCCCCAGCCTCAAAGTAGAAGCCTCCATTTCGAGTAGAGCCGAGGGTGACTTGCCCGGTACCACGCTGACCGGGATAGGTCTTGAGACCTTTGGCATGGAGACCATCGAGCAGCTCCTTGTCGAGCTTTTCGAGTGTAGCACGGTTACGTCGCGCAAGGGGCTCGCCGGGGCCGAGAGGCGTGCCGTGGAAAAGCCTGTCCTGTTCCTCGAGGTCGGGAAGAGGAAGACCCTTCTTGGGCTCGTAGTTTCCAATTCCACGGGGAACAGAATGGGTCAAGGACATGACGTAGGTCGGAGAGCGTTGAAGAAGAGTAACGTCTATGTCTCTTCGGGCACAGTCGTAGGCAGTGTCAAAGCCGGAGGAGGATGTGCCGACGACGAGAACCTTCTTGCCGACCCAGTCGCGAGAGCTATCGTGGGCAGTAGAGTGGCGGACGGTTCCCTTCCACTTGTCCATACCAGGAACGACGGGCATCATTGGAACACCGCACAGTGAAGTAGCCATGACCTGAGCTCATGTAAGAAGATTTCAAAGAACAGTATAGCCCGTTACTCACAACGTGCTTGGGGTGCAAGACTCTGGTCTCTCCATCCTTGTTGATCTCGACGGTCCACTTGCCGTCGACATCCTGCTCTGCCTTGGCGATAGTGGACTTGGTCCATACAGGAAGCTCCAGAGCAGAGGCATACCACTGCATAAAGATACCCAGTTTCTGGGCAGGCGTGTAGGTCGGCCATTGCTTTGGGAAGGGAAAGTAGGGCAAGTGGTCGGCCCAGTGTGGGAAGTGGAGAGACAGGTATTCGTATCGTTTCCTCCAGATCTCGCCGATCTCGGCATTGCGTTCGATGATGAGATTGGGGACTCCCAAAGCTTTGAGTCGAGCCGCGATAGCGAGACCGCTGCACAGTATGGGTCAGTATGTGGGCGCTTACGCATCTGAACAGCTACTCACTTCTGACCACCACCGACCACCAAAACATCGGGCTTGATCTGATCGTCATCGGCGGCTCTCTGATTCTCCCAGCTGACAGATCCAGTCATGTGTCCATCACTGGGGTCGACTTCGGGAAACTGGAGAAGAGACTCGGCGACGGTGTGCAGAGTCCAAATCTTCCAACCCTCCTTGGTGTAGACGGCGTTGATGAGACCGGACGCGCGAACAAGGGGAGTGTCAAAAGCGACGATGAATTGAAGAAAGCCGAGGTCGGGATAGGGATTCTGGAAAGCTGGGGCGGGCTTGAGAATCTCAAACTTGGCACAGCGATTGGTGGGCAAGAGGTCGGCAGCAGCCTGAGAAATGTTCTCGGCCCAGTTGAAGGTGCGGTAGTCCCACGAGAAGGCGAGTTTGTCTCTCCAAACACCTGTAAAGCATTAGTACCAATGCAAGAGCCATCTGATACCTGAAGCTCACCATAGTCGAGAAACAAGCCAGTGAACGCCTGTGCGTCGCCCTTGCCCAAAGCCTGTGAAAGCGTGGCGAGTAGTTCTTCAGCTGCCGCCTGAGGGTCAGCGTCGTCGGGAATGGAGACACCGAGGGCATCGGTGGTGGGCAGGCTATGGTTGTACTTGAAGTCGTACATGAAGTCGTCGGCGACGGGAGGCTTGGGGGTCTCCTCGAGCTCGACGTGGCCTTCGACGACCTTGGACTTGAGGTCTTGGATGTCTACTTGGTGGAAGTTGTCGTTGATGGCGGTGGGGCTCATTGTTGCTGTCTGTGGGGGTGAATGGGCCGCCGTAGGATCCGAGGCCCGCTTTTGTACTGGACATGGCCGGCACGAGCCAGAGGACTACGACGGACCGAAAAGTGGGAACCAAACACATCAGAAATCTCCGCTCCAGGGGTTGTCCGAAGTCGCGGACTTAATGCGTTATGTAACACGGACTTACGTTTTCAGCAAGTAGTACGGCCTACAATAATACCACTTACCGAAGGGCTTGTGTCGAGCCAGAGTAGTGCAGCTGCATCTGAGTAGTTAAAAGCATGGTCGGAAAGAATGTCGACTCTCCATACCATAGAGAGCGACTGGCTTGGAAAAGGGACCATGTGAGCAAATGGAGGGCGTATCTCAACGGGAAAACAATGCAAATCATACTATACAATTGCTCGTCACACTACTCATCACAACATCACAATCTAGAACTAAACAAGCACGCCAGTAATCACTGCCCAAACCCCCTCATCCCCATCCCCGACCCACCCTGCTGTTGCTGCTGCTGCATCATCTGCTGCATCCTCGCCATCTGTGCCGCCACCTGGGCTTGTGACATCTGGCTTGACCCTTGCCCTTGGCCCTGCTGCCCACCTCCACCCATCTGCTGCTGTTGCAGCAGCAGCTTGTTCTGCTTCATCTTTGCATCAGCTTGCCTCAGCCCCGCCATAAGCTCCTGCAACTTTTGTGGTGTCACTGTCGCTGGATCTTGAGGCTGGATGGTCAAGCCTATTTTCTGGGCAAACCCAACAAGCTGCTGATACTGGGCCTGAATAAACTCCCTGCTTTGGGGCTGGGCCGACCCTGGCAGGTTGCGATTCTGTACAGGCGTATTCGCAGGGTTGTTTTGGGATTGGGTCTGGGCGAGGGAGGCGGCGGCCTGTGATTGACGCGCCTGGGCTTGCTGCATCAACAGGTTCAATTGTTGACTCTGTTGCGCTTGATGCCCTCCAACACCACTATTCGCCGTGCCCCCGCTGATCTTGTTCAACATTGAAGCCGATGGCTGCACGGTCGAAGGGCGAAACGCTGTTTGGGGTAGGGGCTGGTTGGGAATGTTGGAGGAGCCCGGAGGGGCCCGTTGGGGTGGTACAGTTGCAGGTGCAGCTCGCGGGAGTTGGGGAAATGGCGTGGCCTGATGATTGTCAGTATTGTCAGTCTCAGACATGTCGACTGTAGTATCACTCACCATGCATATCAGCCCCATTAACCTGAAAGCCTTTTCTCCGCTGTTCAGTGGTGCCGGAAAGATGACGATGCCCCTATCCTGCATGCCTGGAAACTCTACCAGCGCCACCCTCTTGTTCATTCCCAGATTGATCCCTAGCTGGGTGTACTTCTGTCGATAGCTAGGATCATTGACAAGTCCGCCCTTGTCTGAAGGAGCAATGTTGACGATGGGTGTGCTATTCGCGCGAGCATAGGAGGAGATGACTTGTAGGTCAATTGGCGCCAGGGTCCGGATGAGAAGTTCTTTGGGCCATTTGTTGACGTATATGGAATCGGTGTTGCCGCTTCCTACAATCATGACATCCACCGGGATGGCTAGAGTCCATCGTTAGCATCTTGCAGACGTCGTTGGGGAGCCACTCACATCCACCACTGGTAGGGTTGCCCCAAGTTATAGCACCAGACCACACCAGCTGCCCCCGAGGCGGCCCCGGGGCTGGAGGGGCAGCAGCAGTGGCAGCAGGAGCCATGGATTGCATAGCTTGCTGCAGCTGCGCCTGCTTTTCCCTCTGTTGCTGAATCGCCAGCATGGCACTCTCCCCTGGTCCCGCCACTTTGTCGTCCGCCTGCCCCTGGGAGGGCCCCGCTGCATTCCCCTGCCCCTGTGCCGCTTTGGCAGCAAACGTTCTGAGCTGGTACTCTAGCATTGCAATGATCTGGTGCACCCTGGGATCTTGCCTTGCGTTTGGTTGTTGAGATTGGGCTCGGATGGTGGTGAGCATGGAGTTTATCATCTGGGGGTCCATCTTGGCGAGGTTGGCCGGATTGAAGATGCCGCTCGGGGCGGAAGTTGGTGGATTGGTAGCGGGAGGTTGCTGAGGGACAATTGGAGGTTGAGGCTGAGGTTCTTGGACTGTCGGTTGGGGGGGTGGTATGGCTACAATACAATTAGTCGTTGGCCATCAGTACACAGCGTGGGACTTACTGGGTTCGTGGCTCTCGATAGCGAATCCAGACAAATGGATATCCATACCCACAGGGGTAGAGAACCATACCTTCTCTGGATCATTCGATGTCTGATGTAAGATTAGCACACAGTCGGTATGAAGTAGAATCAACTTTCCTCTTGACACAACTGCTTCACTTTGATAGCCAGTTGACAGTGTGTATTCAGTGCGACGGTCGAGCACCGTACCTCTCCCACCTTTAAGGCCTCTGCTACATCATTCCAACCTTGTCCGTCCCAGGTAGGATCCCAGTTGGCATCGACCAGCACGGCCTCGGTGTCTTCTTCTACCGGCTTGTGGTCTTCGCGCGAGGGAGTGCCGGAGGTTATGACCACCATGTACCTCTGTGAGGGTGGTAGAGGCTTTATCTGCGACGAAGAAGAGGTGCAGGCGGAATCGAGGAAAGGAGTAGCGGATGACGGGGTGAGGGAGATGAATGTCTTTGAAGGAAGATGTCGGCGGTCGGGTTGAGGCCGTTGCAGTAGCTGAACGCCATGTCAGCTTCTCCTGGTATATATAACGAGCAACTTACCTCCAAGCCACCCACGACGGCATTCAAAAGAGCACTCTCCTCGAGTCTCTTTCTCTTCTTCTCCTGCAACGAGTCCGCCTTGGTCTTTTGACCGAAACCTGGCCACTGCGGGCTGCGCGATGCCTTCGTCGCAAAGAGAGCCCCAAGCTTGGGGAGAGATGTCAAGAATGCCGATGGCGACCTAAACTCCTCTCTGTACACCTTTCCAGGTCTCTTTGAGCCGGTCTTGACCTGGTCTCCGGGGGTGACGAGCATGGACACCGACAACTGCACGGGTCATCAGCATGAGGCACAACCGTTCATGGGATGACTCACGTGTTCTTCCCCGTCATGCTTTTCGATGAGACGCTGTATGAGCTTGTGGATAGGGCCCTGGGGCTGTATGAGCTTGGAGTACTGAGGCAGCGGAAGGGCCGAGTCGAAGACAAAGGTGGCGAGGTGGGCGGGATGGGTGGACATCTCGCTGGGGCGGGGCAGGGGGAGGGGTAGGTGGGGGAGGGGAGTCTGGAGGGGGCGATAGAGAAGACAGGGATCGACAGATGAATGATAGAGAAGAGTAAGGGCCGGCGTGGGCCGCGGCAGACGCGGGGTCATCATCTCTTCCATCATTCATTGTTCTTGTGCACAGGGTAGTCAGAGGCCACAATGGGTAAGTCCCCCCCAGCCAGCACACCGCTGACCCAATGCAGACCCCGCCATACTCAGGAGTAAGCAGCCCCTCTCCCGCACAGCCGAGCTAACCATCACGCAAAGACCTCAATGACAAGATGTATGCATCCGGCTTCCCCATGGCGGCGCTGACCCTGTCCTTAGATATGACCGTCGCAAGGCAGCAGCCCTCGAGCTGGAGAAACAGGTCCTGGCATCCGATTCCCCAAAGATCTCTGCAATCATCGACCAGCTATGCGGAATGCTCGGGTCCAGTAACTCGGCCCTCCACACGCGCAATGGTGGTCTCATTGGTCTTGCCGCCACGGCCATAGCACTGGGGCAGGACGTGGCGCCCTACTTGGGGAGGATAATACCGCCGGTACTAGCATGCTTCCAGGACCCCGAAAGCAGGTTGCGGTACCATGCCTGTGAGAGTCTGTACAACATGTACGGCCGCGTTGATACTCTGATGTTTGGATTCACTGACGCGCGTGCAGAGCCAAGGTCAGCAAAGGCGAAATCCTCGTCCATTTCAACGAGATCTTTGATGCGCTCTCCAAGCTTTCCTCCGACTCGGAGATGTCGGTCAAGAATGGCGCAGAGCTCCTTGACAGGCTCATGAAGGACATTGTCGCCGAAGCGGCCCCGAGCTACGTCTCTATCTATCCCGATAACCGCAATCCGAACCTACCTCCGCATTCTCCTCTGAGAGAAGGTGCAAAGATCGGGCTAGGATTTCTCCCCGAAGACGGTGAAGGGAGCCATGATGGCGATCAAGAAGCGTATGAAGATAAACGCGCGTTCTCGCTCGAGCGGTTCATTCCCCTTCTGTCCGAAAGGATATACGTCGTATCGCCATTCACGAGGATGCACCTCGTCTCTTGGCTGATTGTCCTCGACTCGATCCCAGACCTCGAGCTCGTTGCGTGGTTGCCAGAATTCCTCGATGGACTTTTGTAAGTTGGCATCGCGCATTGTGTACCACGGGCTGACTCTTGCATCAGGAAATACCTTGCAGACGGCAACGTCGACGTTCGTCTAGCCGCCGAAAACGTTCTTGCCGAGTTTCTTCGCGAAATCAAATACATTGCGCAGATCGCTGAAAAGCAAGCGGAACACGAGCGTAACGCACCCAACCACAAAGCTCATCGCCGGTATAGTGGTATCCGCAACGAGTCTGTGATTGAAACGGACGATGAAGATGGGGAAAGTGTGACTACAGAGTCTCGGATAGATGGCGACGAGGAGGATAGGGACTGGGAAGGCGAGGGCTCGGGAGCTTGGGTGCCGGGTCAGGGGGTGTTTGTGGATCATGCGGCGATCATGGAGATCATGATTCACAACCTCACATATGACGGTACGTCTTTGGCTACTATACCTGGCAGCGATATTGACCTAGGAAAAGACGAGCTGGTCCAGTCGACAGCAATGGAATGGATATTGACCTTTTTGGAATTCGCCCAGAGCACGGTGGTGGCCTTTACCCCTCAAATCATCCCCGCCATCCTTCCCAACCTTGCGTCACCCCAGTAAGTTCTCGTACCTCTATAAAGCTCCTACTGACCCCTCAAAGCTCCCAAATCAAACTAGCCGCACATGACACGAATTCCAGTCTCTACCACGTCATCCAATCTATACCCCTTCAGGTCCAACACCCCGAAAACCCAGCTCCCACTAACCCGCCCACCTCTGCATCCATTCCCCTTCTAGCAGGCTCTCCGCCTTCATCGTTGACCATCCCCAGCGGGCTACCCACGGCTGGGATTGGGAAGAAGGATTTTGCGTTGATGGAAGCACCAGAGATTGTAAGGTCGCCCGCGGCGATGGCTGTGAACGATCCTCTGGATGCTGCCGGGGCGCCACCCGCGCCGCCTCCCTCGGCTACGGGAAAGAACAACATGTCGCACAGCCTTTCAGCTACCAACCTGGGACATAAAGCGAGGCAGTCAGTCTCGGCACATGGCTCGGAGCCGCCGACGCCTGCTGTGGCTGAAAACCCGTCTCTCGCGCCCGTTCCCGGAGCCCCTCCCCTCCCTGCCTCCCGCATGACCAAATCCCGCCCCGAGTCGCCCCCTTCTGCTCCTCCGCCAAATCAACAACCCCTCGCTCTGCCCCCTCCACCGTTGGCTTCCAACACGCCTTTGTCACCCACTTTGAGCCAGCAAAATGATGGCGGGGCCGAGAAAACGGTAGACGTGGACCCGTTTGATGTACGGGAGACGGTGAATGTGTTGACTTTGCAGTTTTTGAGCGATCATGCCGAGACGAGGATTGCGGCGTTGGAGTGGCTGTTGATGTTGCATCTCAAGGCACCGGACAAGGTGAGTACGAGGACTATTAGAGGACAGACACTGACGAAATTATAGATCCTATCGAGAGATAGTGGAACATTCCCAGCGCTACTAAAGACCCTTTCCGACCCATCAGAAGACGTTGTCAAACACGACCTGCAACTCCTTGCCCAGATATCCTCCTCCTCTGAAGACTCTTATTTCACCTCCTTCATGGTCAAAGTTCTCGAGCTGTTCAGCACAGATAGAAGATTGTTGGAGACGAGGGGAAGTCTGATCATCAGACAGCTGTGTTTGCACCTGAATGCGGAGAGGATCTTTAGGGCGATTGCGGATATCCTGGAGAAGGATGATGTAAGTCCTTATAATCTTTGTGTGAATGTGCTAATAAGTTTGAAGGACTTGGAGTTTGCCAGTATGATGGTAGTCAAGCTCAACATGATCTTGATCACCTCTCCGGAACTGAACGACTTTAGAAGACGGCTCAAAAACCTCGACTCTAGAGTGCGTGACACGCTTGCCCCTTTGTGCCCCGCTGATGAACGTGTCAGGATGGGCAAATGCTCTTTTCGTCTCTATACAGGTCCTGGTGCCACAACGCTGTCGCAGCCTTCTCACTTTGTCTCTTGGCTCAGGCGTATGAGCATGCTTCAAACTTGCTCCAAATCTTGTGAGCTGCTCAACGATGGTTGAAGCGCAAGCTGACAGAGTGTCAATAGCGCCGACCTGGAGTTGACAGTACCGTTGCTGGTCCAAATCGACAAGCTGGTCATGCTGCTCGAATCACCGGTGTTCACCTGTCAGTGCATCCTTGAATGTCTGTTCCGCGAAACTAACGGCCTTGTAGACCTCCGACTGCAACTATTGGAACCCGACAAATACCCATGGCTACCCAAATGTCTCTTTGGTCTCCTCATGATTCTTCCACAAAGCACTGCATTCATCTCGCTCCGAGCAAGACTGCAGGTAGTGCATTCTTCGGGCTATGTGCCGACTACCATCAAACCATCCACCTCGTCCACATTTGGCACTGCGAGGTCAAAGATCGGAAAGGAAGAGATCAAATGGCAGGAGCTCTTGTCGCGTAAGTATGCGGGGAGTGATTATGTGGCCCGTGCTCATCCTTGCAGACTTCCGAAATGTCCAGAACCGCCATGAAAAGGCACGACGGCAGTTACACTCGACAGACATCGGCTCTGCCACCGCTTCCGTGCATTTCTCTTCCCCGTCTCAGACATATCCAACCTCTGCGCCAGGTACAGCTACCCTGTCCTCCATGGCGGGTGGCAAAGCGGGCACAGCCAAGAAGAAGGGCACTCTTGCATCAAACAACACTTCCCGACAAGGCAGTGGGGACGTGACCGCGTCCAGTACAGCGCGCTCGGGCATGTCGCCTCTGGCAGCGAGAAGAGGCGGGGGAAGTGGGAGTGGGATTGTGAGCATAGGTGGCGCCGTGGCTAGTATGAACCCGGCGCAGAACTTTGGGGTACGGCCGAGTAGTCCGGGGCGGAGGAGGATCTTGGGAGGATTGAGAAAGAGCGGAGGGAGGGATTGATCGATGCTATGGACTGCCTACAGACTATACACATATTATAACGACTGTTGATGACGATGTAGTGATGATGGTTCGGAGGGCCGAGTCATGTGAGGGCGGCGGTGTGCGCCGGGGTATCCATCTACCGAACCCACCGTGCCGTAAGGGTGGTCTGCTGACCTGCGCTGTTGTTCTGCGGGGCATGCTCGGTCTGCCCAGCTAATACGGGACCTATTCCATCGATGCACCACAAATGCCCCCCCTCCCGTCCCATATAACACCTCCTCCCCCATCTTCTCATCTCTCCACTGCTTCTGCACCGTCCCCCTCCCCATCAACATGCCCTTCAAACCCGGCCCACGACACAAAAACACAAATTCCAAGGGAGAAACCATCTTTGAATGCACATGGGAAGGTGAGTATTGAGTCTGTATAATTAACCGATGTGGATTGGTGGATAGACAAGAGACGGACTAGCCAGGTATCCATCGGCACCTTGGGTTTCGGCTCACCTTCTTCGTCCCGCTCTTTCTGGGAGGAGGGCTGTCTCTGCTTCCATCTCTTTCCCCCAGCCACCTCCTATACTCATGAGTCTGTTTGTGCATAGATGCTGATGTTGTTCGCAGGCTGCACCAAGAAGTTTGGCACTGCCGGCCATGTCCGAAGACATGAGAAGACTCGTAAGTCGTCACGCTATCGTTACCTCGGCCTTTTCAAGAATTCATTTCGGGCTGTCTGCGTACTCCTCCTTCTTGGCAAGATTCCTATATGAGTCTCTAATACCCGTCGTTCATGCGAGATGTTCACATGACGACGTCTTGAGCCCGCCCACAGCCGCTGACACCCTCACAGACGTCGGAAGCACCCCTTACCCCTGCCCCCACTGCCACAAGGCCTTTGGCCGCAGTGATGTAAGGTCAAAGCATGTCAATACCATGCATCGCGACGAGGACCACGACGTCGGTCATGATGACCGTGACGAGCTCGATGGAAGCAGCGTAGATGAGCCACCACGGCGAGTCCACTGAGTGCTCGGCGACACCGTTTGCTGACGCAAGCTCCCTCAGAAAAATACGCAAGCACTCTCTAGATACAAGTATTTCGAATCTCGCAGGCCTCAGTACTCAACCTCCCCCGCAACGCAGAGCCTCTGCGGCATCTACCCTCTCGTCGTCCTATTCTGATGAGCCGACGTCATTAGCAATGCCACCCTTCGCGAGCCCCATCATCTTTTCGTCTCACCCCTGCAGATCCAACATTCATATCCACCCTGATACCCCTCCGGCAAACATTCTTCCGGCTTTCCACGGTGACCTGTTGAGCTCTGACAGCTCGAGATCATCGACTGCTTCTCTGTCGTCTTCGGGGAATACCATCACCCCTCTACCATCTATCATGTCTACCAACAGTATTCCTGGCACGGGATATGTCGACCCTGCAAATTTGAACATGATTGATCCAGTCATCACCGACGAGCTTCCCATGTACAGCGCACAGCGTAAGTCTCCCGCACATCTCAAACTACACCCCCTGACGTTTGTTCAGCTCTGCCAGATCCATCCACCGATCTGCTCACTTTTGATCCCAACTGGGAATGGTTCGGCCAGCTGTTTGGCTGGGGTAGCGATCGGGACATTGATCTGGACATTGGCATACAGACCAGTCTTCTTCAGAAAGACACTATCGGCCACGGCAGCTCGACCGATACACTCAGCGCTGCGTGGCTACTCTGTTCAACCCCGCGGGCAACGACCCCCGTTTCAGACATGAAGCCGCAGGATGGATCGATAGAGACTGAGGGTCGAAGAGAAGAAGGTCCATGGGTGAGCGCGCTCTTTGCTGCCTGTTGATGAAGATGACGTGATAGACAGCCGAATGTCTTTAAACCCAATGTTCCAGATCGCCCTCTCAAAGTCAAGAACGTCACATTTCCCCGGCCCAACACCGGCCCAGGATTCGTTTCCCAGTCCTCCCGCAACGCCATGCTCTCTATGATCTACCTCTCTCATCAACCGCAATGGCTCATGCCCGAAGTCGACGACTTTCCAGATCACGATACCCTTTCGCATTTCGTGGATAATTATTTTGAACATTTTCATCCCATCTTTCCTATCATACATAGACCGACATTTGTCTCGGAAGATATACCCGCGGTACTTCTGCTCTCTGTGGCCGCTATAGGTGCCAACTTTTCGGGGCCAGAGTACAGCTCATTGGCTGTGGCGCTTTGCGAGCTTGCTAGACGCATGATTACTTGGGTCGCAAGTCTTTCATTATCGGTCAGGATAAGTCCACTAACTTGGCACTTAGCGAGGAAGCGACCAAAGAGCCAAATTCGACCACAACCTTTTACTCGCGTTCACCCTTCAGACTGCTCTCGGATGCTCTTGCGGCTCGCGCGAAATGTTCTATCACGCCGAAATCTTTCGCTGCAGTATCGTCACCACCTGCCGCCGGTTACACCTGCTGCGTGGCCTCGATACTGCTACCGAGGAGCTCTATATGAAGGGGAGCAATCCAAGTGTGGAAGAGAGATATAAGGCTTACCTGAGTGATGAACGGAGGAGACGTTTGGGATGGGGTGTTTACGTGAGTTATACTGCGCCCAATCGTTACATGGCTGACAATGAAGATAGCTCCTCGACGCCCAGATGACCGCCCTCTTGTCCCTCCCGCCCATATTCACAGTGACGGAAGCTCGAATCGTTCCTCCTTCCGAAGAATCTCTGTGGAACGCCCCCAACGCGAACGCTTGGGCTGCTATCATCCAACGAGGCGAAGCTGTAGACCCGCGCATTTCGACCCGACCCAAATTTTCCAGACTGCTGACCATGTGTCTGGCCGGAGACAGCATCAGCATCAAGATGTCTGATTTCACGCTGACATTGTTCACCTTTACCGCTTGGAGGTTGGTATTCTTGATATGTAACGAGATTCTGGCTGACGATGCTGCAGAATGCTTTTTGACCAGAGACTACTGCAAAAGGCGCTGGGAGTTGGAATGTCGGAGAATGGGATGGATATGCCATCTCAGCCGGCCGACTGTCACATTGTCGACAGGTCTGCTCTCATGATATCCGACACGGATGAAGCTAACATCTCGCAGCCAACCCGGCCTCCTACTCACCCGCCTCGCGACAGCCTCCATGTCCTCCCGATCTCCCTCTCACTTTCGCGTAATTCCTTCCTCTGTCTATCACCACGCTCAAATGTTTTTCACCCGTCCGGGCCTCCTCCAACGCATGAAACATGTCTCGGGGAAATATGAACCGGATATGACGCAGGAGGGGTCGTTGATCTGGTTGAAGACGTGGATGGCAGATGGGAAGGAGGTGCGCAAAGTGCTTTGGCATGCCGGGGTACTTGGAGCGTTACTGGTGGAGTTTCCAAGAAAGTGAGCCAATATAGGTGGGACTACTACGAGAAGCTGACATGGATATAGCTCGGCGGCAGACATGTTCTTGACATTCGACTGCGCCCTGATGTTCTGGGTCATTCTGAAATACGCCCCTCATCAGTTGGTGTCCTCAACGGCCGAATCAGTCTTCTTTGAAGCCAAGTGTACCTCTTCACAGAGCAACTCGGCGACCTTTACTGATGTACGCTGCACAGGGTTCGATATCATCCCGCCTGACATGTGGATAGCCCACGGTGGCTCAATAAACTTCCCCTTCCTTGGGTCATCTGCCACATGGACCATCCCGGCAATATTGAGACATTTCATGGAGAGGCTGAGCAAGATGCCGTGGGGTTTAGCACTGCAGAACAAGCTTGTGCTGGAAAAGCTGCTGGTTAGTGAGCTGAAGGAAGAAGATGAGAAGAAAGGGGATGTGTAGTGGGTATTGTTTGATAGTTGTCATAATGTGTGCTTTAGTTTCCCAAGGTATGTATATATGTATCGATAGTCGCCCATTGATGGACAGCGCATCGATCAACATCATCGTGATACTTGCTCTCGGACTGTCACGTCAGCGTCCCTGGCGGACAGTGCCGACGCCAGATAAGATAGCAAATGATTATATACCACGCACCAGCTGTACACCGCCTAGTACTTATGGTGCGAGGGTCCGGAAAACCCCCTCAGATCTGACTCTGACGCGAGTGTGACCCCACCATACATACGTACAGGGATGAGAATGAATCCCACTCTCATCGTCAGCTACCTTTCTGCGCGCTGGCATGGTGCGCTGCGGGCGAGTACGAGTACTCATCGTGTGGCATGATCGCCGTCTCCAGCAACCCACAGCTTGCAGTGCGTGCTCGATCATCATCGCAGAGCAGACGGCCATGAAAGATAGTATGATGACGTGAACACCCAAAATGCCGGCCATCCGCGCCGGGCTCCGGGCCTTCGGATCCCGGCCCGAATGACACCTTGTTCACGGAATGTATATAAATCGTCCCAATTCGCCTTTCTTTTCCATTTCCCATCTCATTATTCTACCCACAAAGCTACTTAGAATGTCTGTCCCTACTTCCTTCAAGCTCAACACTGGCGCTTCCATCCCTGCCATCGGACTCGGTGCGTTGACACGGTTCCGTCGTCGAGGGTTGCGCTGACAGGGTGCGGATTAGGTACCTGGCAGGCAAAGCCTGGAGAGGTCAAGGACGCTGTATCGCACGCTCTCAAGTCTGGCTACAGGCATATCGACGGTGCTCTCTGCTACCAGGTGAGCTGCAGCATTAGTCATGGGAGTATGCCGGCTGACGCGGGGACGTAGAACGAGAAGGAGGTCGGCGAGGGATTGAGAGACAGCGGTGTCCCTCGAGAGGAAGTTTTCCTGACCTCCAAGCTGTGAGTCGGTTCTGCCCTTTTGCAAGTGACACAGCTCTGACACGTCTCTAGCTGGTCATCTTTCCATGACCGCGTTGAGGAAAGCCTCGACACGACCCTCAAGGACCTCGGCGTCGACTATCTCGACCTCTACCTCATCCACTGGCCCGTCCGGCTCGAGCCTAACGGCACCCACCCCCTCTTCCCCGTCAAGCCTGATGGTTCCCGAAGCCTCGACTGGGACTGGGACCAGTCAAAGACTTGGGCCCAGATGGAGGATGTCCTCAAGAAGGGCAAGGTGAAGGCCATCGGTGTTTCTAACGCTGGTATCCCCATTGTCGAGCACATCATCAAGACCGGAACCGTGGTCCCTGCTGTGAACCAGGTCGAACTCCACCCCTACAACCCTCAGCACGAGCTCTTGAAATACTCCAAGGAGAAGGGTATCCTCCTCGAGGCTTACTCTCCTCTGGGATCAACGTCTTCTCCCTTGCACGAGGACCCTGAGCTTCTCGCTGTGGCCAAAAAGCACGACGTCACTGCTGCTACAGTCTTGATCTCTTATCAGGTCAACAGAGGGGTTGTTGTCTTGCCCAAGAGTGTGACACCTGCTAGGATCGAGAGCAACTTGAAGACTGTCAAGCTTGACGAGGAGGACTTGGCCAGGTTGGACAAGATTGCTGAGGGTGGCAAGCAGAAGAGGTTTACTGCCCCTCCTTGGGGATCCGACTTTGTGAGTAGTGTCATGATCTGATTTGAGTTGCGCTGACGTAGAAAAGGGCTTTCCCGACTGGTACGGTGCCGGTAACAAGGACGCCCCTGAAGGTGCCCGCCTTATCGCCGGCAAGTCTGCTGGAGAGGCGCACAGTCTGTAGTGAAATAGAACGGTCATGTAGCATAAAGGGTCATCAAGAAGCGTATGCAGTCGTAACATCTAAAATGCCTTGGACATTAATTGTTTGAAACGGGTCCACAATCCAGCAGGAGCAGCTCTCCGTCGTTTCGTCTTTACCTCTTCTTCGGGCGCACTGTCTTTCAGTTTCATACGCGCCTTGAAGTCTCCAGGGCTCTCGTGTTTCTTCATTGCCCACAGGCCCTTCTTGGCATTTCTGTACAGGTGAGATCAGCAGTCATTCCATGCTCTATTTCTGAGCCTACCTAGCCTGTTCTTCGATCTTGAGCATCTCGTCCAAACCCCAAGGACCGTACTCGGCACCTCCAGCTTTATATACCACGGCCATGCCCTCCTTCAACATCAAGATGGGCAGGGGCTGATCCCACCAGAATGTCCGAGAGATATATGGCACTGCGACCTGTCGTATCTGGTCAGTTGTTGACGGGATCTATGTGGGCAGATCTTACAATTCTGTTATATTGATCCTTGGACAACAGCTGACAGCTCATCCGTTTGCCAAGAATAGTAGATCGAAGCCACTCTAATGATTCTTTGGCATGTGGTTGAGCAGGATTGCCAAAGTGCGCGTTCTCAGGGGCATCGACGCCTGCTATTCTGATGCTCAAAGTCTCGTTTTTAAGCGCTGAAAGCCAAGTCAGCTCCATCACGTAGTCAGAGATGATAAATGACCTTTTTGCGTTGTGGGTATTGAACGGAATTTGAAAGGGTATCGGTAGAACGGTCCAGGAGTATGAAACAGCCTCATGTTGTCTTTAAACCTGATTAGAGTAGGCAGCTTTGTGTGATGGATACATACCTCCATCTCCCACACTAGACTCCATCAGCACGCATTCCATTCAGACCGGAATGACTCACCTGGTCACGACACCCTTGACCCAAATCTTTCTTTCCACCATACCCATAGTAACCGAATCGGCATTCTTGATTCTCCTCCAGTACCTCCTGTAGGCAATGATGGACCCGAAAGTGAGGGCGCTCGCTCCAAAAGCAGAGACTATGCCGACAACGATCGGGTCCTGAGGTAATTTTCCAAGCGGTGATGAAGAGCTCGAGATTATCGATTCCAAGAAGGAAGGGAGAGGATAACGTTGAGCAGCATCCGAGCCTGTGCTCGATTTGGGCTGTTTATGGAGCACTGGAGACATCTGACAATATTTGTGTGACTGGCGGTTGAAAGCAGAAGGACGAAGGAACGGCGCGTGCAAGTCGCGTTTCCATCCATCCTCTCTCTTTTCGCCTTGCCTGGCACCTCGACACCCACCACCCCCTACCCACCCGCTTATCACTCACGGCGCAGGGAGACAGAGGGCCAATCATGGAAGTCTCATCCTTCTTCACCCGTCTCCTTCAGACCCCAAAGCAGCAACAGCCCACCGCAGCTCCCGACAGCTTGCAGGACTTTGACCGTGCGTGGCTTGATATCAAGGTACATGCGAGCTCTGCACTCTCGGAAGCTGGCACTGATACAGTCGTATAGGAGACCTTGGAGCGCCCCGATGAGAGGCAGCTGGTTAGGTAAGGGTTGTCGACATGACGGCGCACAGGCCGATATTGACGGGTCGTTAGAGGTATAACGTCGACTCAAGTTCCAAATCACCTCCGGCACATTGTAGACGCTCTTGTATACGAGAGCAATAGAACAGATGAAGAGCAAGTTGGAACTGGTGTCTCTCTCGTGGAGTGTAGCTGATACCGAAACAGCACGACAGGCGCTTGTCTCGAATACTTTCTCAAGAATGATATACTAGCCAACCTGGAGAAATTATGCGAAAGAGATAGACCGCATGGAATCAAGGGTGAGCCGTCTACAAAGTCTACCACCCGGAAACTAACGCTCTATATCCAGCCGAGGTTCTGAAGGCCATCAATAACCTCGTTGTCCTCCTCTCCGAACGATTCCTCATTCATAATGCCGTCCACCGCCCTTTGAGAAGGCTACTACGGTCATGCATAGGAGACGAGCCAGAGGAAAAGGTTGATGGTGGTGCGAGAGTTGTGGGGGCTGCGGGGATGAGTGATATGGCTGAAAGAAGAGCTGGTAACGAAGATATTGAAGGGGATCTGGTGGATCTGATGTGTGTGCTCTGCTCAAAGATGAGAGCTTAGTAAGTGCGCTATGCTGTCCTTATGTCCTTATTCCTGGTGCTTATGTCCAATCCTCAGTCCGCCACTACTACTCATCTTCTTTCACGACAAGGGCTGGTTACAACCCGGTCGGTCAACAGAGCCTGCTCTTGACCGGGTCATGTCTCCAACCCCTTCTACAATGTCCAATTCGTCAACAAAGGCGTCCACCAAAGCCCAACACACCTTTGAATTCCTGTTGTTCTCCTACCTTCTCCGTTTTGTGCATCGGGAGGGCCGTCTGGGAGACTTTGCCCGCGCTGGTCTGATCTTTCTCTTTGACATTGCCTTCTTGACTGCAAACGAGGAGGGAGGTGAAAATTTGTCAATGGGCGGAAAAGATGGCGTGGATCCGCTGCAGGATGCTCGAGATGTCTTGGGAGAGTTTATCCTGGACGGAGACTTTGCGGATGTCATGGCGGCAGCTCTCGGCGCTGTATACTCTATGCTGCCTACAAAGCTTCGAGTCCCTTCACTAGCCAGTCGGCAGATGTCGGATGAGGACGACAAGGGAACAACGTCAGGCGGAATGTTTTTGGGATCTAGTCTGACAATGGACGAAGACGAAGAGGATATGCCCTCGTTTACCGACGAACACGTCCAATTCCAACTTGATCTCTTGCTCAAGCTCTTCGGATTCCTGCAAGACATCATCCACAGGTGCAATTCTCCACTATTGCACGCCGACCCTGATTCGTCGAAAGTGAGCACGACCCTCGTCCTTGGAGGAGCTATCGTCGAATCAACACTTGACGCCATACAATCGTCCTTCCTAGACAACGTCCTCTATCCGGCTGTGCTTGAATGCTCGAGTCTTGACGGTAGCTCTGTGGCCATCCTCACCTATCTCGACGCCATCTTTTCCAATGTCGACGATGGACCTGTCCTTGATAGGATTGTGTCTTTCTTGATGGACACCAACGCGACTGGTCCTTCGGTAGCTGTGCCTGCCGTTGCTCCCATGTCAAAGAAGGAGAAACGCAAGACTGGCGCGATGGGGTTTATGGGTCAACTTAACACCACAACCGACTATTTTGCAGCCGAGGGGAGATTTACACTCAAGGATCTTATCCTCGATAATCTCCGCGCAGATGACTGGGCAGCCACGAGTGCCGCTTTGAGGCTTCTGCATACCCTCTTCTCCGAGCACTCTATACAATCTACGAAAGGCCTGTTGTCTTTTGTGCGCGACTCGGCGGCCACGGCCCTCGCGCGCAAACCAATACCCAGCGAGCTCAACCTGCTACCACCGGGGGAGTCTCTCCTACCCCAGTCAGTCAACTTTGTGGATATCCAACTACAAGAGACCGGACTTTATGGCTCCCTTCTATCTCACATCGATCCCTCACAGGGATCAATAGAGCTTTCACCAGGATTCGCAGGGTACTTGACAGACATGCAATCTGCTCTGGAAGCCAATCCCTCCTACCGCCTCTCCCAATACCGTAAAGCCCTCCCGTTCATTCCCGAAAGTGAAAAAGCTCGCGTTTCCCGCCATATCATCGATGCCGACCCTATTCAACATCGCCTCTCCCCCTCCGACCCTCTTCTTCGCACCATTCTCCACGAGTTCGAGAGATTCTTGGAAAAGATTCCGGATCAAAATTTGGCCATGACGGGCGTTTTGACGAGTCTGGCACTTTGCCCGGAGAGGTCGTTGGCGGGGTGGATGTTGTATGACAAGAGTGAGAGGGGAGAGGTAGATCCCTGGGCAAAAGTCGATCGGGAAGCGGCATCCGAGTCTTCATTGTCTGACGCAGACTCTGACTCTGACGATTCCATGTCTGAAGAGGCATCGAGCGCGCCTAACGCTCGCGCTTCCCTCTCCCTTCCAGCGTTGTACCAAGTTCTTCGATCTCTTACGAAGCAACTGTCCTACATCCGCTCCGACATTCTGGAAGATCCTGATCTCTTTGATCGTCTTTTGGCTGAACGCAGGCAAGGCCTCTTATTCAAAGACCACCTGGACGAAGCCATGAATGTCATGCTCGACGTCGATACCTTCTCTCCCTCCACCCTATTCGGCTCTCCCGCCCCGGGAACTCCAAACACCCCAAGCACACCCCAGAATTTGTTTCAGAACAAGCTCAAACCGCGTACGAGCGGGCTGGCGAGCTCAATCAAGTCGTTCTTGACACCCAAGAAGAAGACGCCAGGAAACACTCCCAGTGGGACACCGGGGTTCCTCTCGCCCGCTGGTAGGACACCTTCGCTGGCGTCTGGCTTGGGTCTTGGTATGGCGCTGGGCGATGATGACCAAGCACCAGAGACGCCTCCCAAGGATCCGTCGACGATCCCCTCCCCCTTCTCCCGACCTGCCTTCACCAGCCCCGCGCCCCCCAGCCAGTCGGCTGCCCCGTTCAAAAGCCACTACGACCAAACTCTACAAACCCTTTCCCTCTCCGACGCGTCCAGTGGTGAAGCGATTGTCCAAGGCCCATGGGCTGCTCCGGCTCCTTCCTACAATGTGCGTCATCGACGGAACAGGAGTGTCAAGGATATCAGTATGGCTGGGGATGACGCTTTCACTCAGACTACTGGGGAGAGGGACGAGATTGATGAGCTCGGGGAGCTGTCAATGATCGCTGGCGAGGAAGACGTGGGAGAGGAGCAAAAGGAAAGAAAGCAAGTGTCGTTGAGTATGGTGTTGGACAACTGTGTCATTCTGGAAGAGTTCTTGAAGGAGGTTGTAGCGGTCGTTGTCGCAAGAAGATCTATAGGTGTCGACCAAGTCGGGTATATCTGATGTCGGAAACGAATCAATGTGGGCGTTTAGATGATTGTTATTTATGACTGTAATGACTTGATGATGTTCCATCTATGCACTGTACTCGAGTACTTTCACCGTACACTGCTCTTACCCCGTCATCCCATTCGACAGTGTCTGAGTTAAGACATGTGCTACATGGCACACATTAAGAACCCGTATACGACTAATAGCCCCGACCCGTTTATATATGAAAGGGACGGACAGGCTGTCTTTAAAGAGCGCTGGAGAGCAACGAACCGGTATGATATATGCAGGGGGGGGCTGATTCTAAGGACGTGGTATCATTGACCGGGTATTGATTATATACAGATTGCCTATCATGGTCAGAGTGCTATGGTGTCCATATCTGCGTAGCGTCAGCTTCAATATCAGCCGGCAAGCCATGTGCTCACCTTGACAGTCTGGTCCACCGAGCCCGTCGCCAGCACGTTAATTCTTCTCGGCTCCTCCTTCTTCCCTTCCACCCCACTGACCGCCTCCTTCTCCCCTTCTCCCTCTCCACTCGCTGAGCCACCTACAGTCGCCCGTCCCCAAGTCATGCACGTGACAAAGTGCCCATGAGCGTCGATCGTCTTGGCGCAGCGGCCAGTGGCGAGATCCCAGACCTTGATGGTCTTGTCGTCTGAAGCGGAGAGGAGGTATTTGCCGGTGGGGTGGAAGACGAGGGCGCGGATCCAGTTGTCGTGTCCGACCTGCGTACGGGTTAGAAATGAACGAACATTGACGGTTGACGTACAAATGTCCGTAAGAGCTGACCAGACAAGGCGTCCCAGAGCTTGATGGTCTTGTCTCGAGAACCTGTAGCTACGAATGCTCCTGGAGCTTTTGCTCTCGTGTCTGCAGCTGCCGGCGCCTGACACTCTCGTCAGTTCCATTCAAACAAGATGCTATACGACTTGCCTTCAAACCAGCTAATTCTCGGATGGCGGGATATGAATTGACGGGCGCAAAGACGGCGCATTCCACGACGTGTTCGTGTCCCCGGAGTTCCATCTTGGTTTCTCCTGTTGAAAAGTCCCATATGCGTGATGTCTACATCTTTCAGCGTGATCCCCATATGGCCTCAGAGTGAACAGAACACACCTGATCATTCGAAGCGCTGACGAGCCACAGACCATCCTCTGAAGCTACCACCTCTCTGACCCACTCTGCATGCCCAGAGAATGTCTTTGTGCAATACCCGCTCGCAACCTCCCACACTCTAATCGTCTTGTCCCGACTCGCAGAAATGAGCTTCTCTCCGTCGGGCATGAAGCGGACGCTGGAGACCGAATGGTCGTGGCCATGGAGGGTCTTGACGTTTGTGTATTCGTTTGCAGTGTCCCAGAGTTTGATGGTCAGATCAGAAGAGCATGTCACTGATGAAACGTCAGTCCCGAGCCTGCTGTCTTGCGAGAGCACTCACCCATGAGATTCCCCTTGGGCTCAAAGTCTACATCCATCACAGCCTTCGTATGCCCCTTGACCGTCCGTTCCATCTCGCCCCCTTCCCAATCCCATATCTTGACACTCGCATCCTCACTCGCGCTCGCCAGCACCGTCCACTTGGGGTGGAAAGCTACTCTTGTTATCGGTGCTCTGTGTGATGTGAGGGTCTGGCGCGCAGGGGCTCGAGGGATGAAGGGTTGTGAAGATGAGGAGGAGGCTGCTGAAGCCCGGGTTGGGGAGGCAAGCTCGGCGAGGAGGGCGGCGTTGCGGGATTCCAAGTCCATGATCTAGGGCAATGTCAATATGCCGTCTCCGAGGTGATTTGCATACCTTCTTCTGTAGCCGTATGACACTGGTCCACTTCTTTTCCAGTAATCCCACCCATCGCGCTTTGGGGTCGTCCATGACAAAGTCGTCGTTCTCGGTCTCTCGTTTCAACGCTTCGAAGGAATCTTGCATCCCCGTCGCATGGAGGTAGGATAACATGGACTTGTGTCTTTTGGGAAGAGTGATCCATTGCAGGCATTGTGGTTGGTTTGCCCCATGATAGGTAGGGTACGAGGAGGCAGACAAGGATGAGAAGGGGAATGTCGAGTTGACGACGGTCAGCGTCCGGGGTGTTGGGCATGGGGGTGTGTGGGATGCTTACAGCTCATCTTTCTGCCGCTCTGAGAGCAGGGTGGACATGCTGGGCGGGAGGGGGACAGGGGTGGTGGATGAGATGGACGGTGTCGAGGTGGAAGAGAGGATGAGCCCAAGCGCGAAACGCGAGTGAGAGCGCGAACAAGTCCCTCCAGTGTATCCAAACTCGCTTTCCTCGTCCACTTCCCACCCCTATGCATCTCTCCTCATGCCTCGCCGTGCATGCATATAGTATATATGTCTGGGCATGCTTGCATTAGTATCACTGCTGTATGAGACTGCTGCCTTTTGTGCGCCATCCAGCCATCATGGTCCATGATGTACTCTCGCGCTGCGGCAATGTGAGCTTTTGAGTATCTTGAGAGGAAGTATGCGCTGATCTGCTATATATCCTCGCACCGGTAAGAGAGGATACGCCGAGTGCCAGGGTGCTGCCGCTCGGAAGTACATACAGTTTGGGATCATCAGGGACTCGCAGGGCCATCTGTGTATGCAGCTGTGGGATGTGTATGGCAGAGCAGGGTTGAGTGATGCCCAGCCTCCTGTTCTCCCGGAAGAGGCTGCCATGCATGCCCCCGGAACATCCACCAAGCGATGCTGCATACGCCATGGCTGATGACAAGATCCATCTGTGCCCGGGTATATGCACATGCGGGATGGATTGTTTTCATTGCGCCGTTGCCCAGCGACATTCAGTCTGTGATCCATCTTGCATACATCCCCATCTCCAGCCCCATCCACCATGGACCCAGCGCAGTACAACGGCGACTTTCACAGGGCCTCCGAGCCCTCGACCGGCGTCCTCCTCCTCCAGTTCAACCGGCAAGTCGCTATCCTCCCAAGACCAAGAGCTGACCGCACTTCCAGGCCTCCAGTCAATGCATTTCATGATGCGCAAGTATCATCTCTAGAGGCACGGCCATTGCTTACCAAGAGCATAGCCTGTGGCAAGAGATGCATCGCATCGTCGATGAGGTCTCCAATGACCCCGACGTGCGATGTATCGTCCTCAGTTCGGCACTCGAGAATGCCTTCACCGCCGGGCTAGACGGTATGCCCTCTCTTCACAAGAGATCCATACTGACAGCCTCCTAGTTACCAAAAGCGAGCTGTCCTCCGGAAAGACCTTTCTCGACCCCGCACGCCGAGCGACCTCCCTCCGTGCCCATCTCCTCAAGTTCCAAGCCGCCATCACCTCTCTATCCCGCGCCCGCCAGCCCGTCGTCTGTGCCTTGTTTGGCTCGTCCGTCGGGCTCGCCATCGACATTGCCTCGGCCTGCGATATCCGGGTCTGCGCTTCCAACGTCAAGTTTGGCATATTCGAGGTCAATGTTGGGCTTGCGGCAGATATCGGCACACTGCAGAGGTTTCCCAAAATTGTAGGGAATGATAGCAAGGCGAGGGAGCTGGCAATGACCGGGAGGCCGTTTGGAGCGAAAGAGGCGGAGGAGATTGGGTTTGTGAGTGAGGTTGCGCAGGGGGGGCGGAAAGAGGTCATAGGTAGGTTGCGTCAATCACTTGTATGCTGCTGACACGTCCCAGAACTGGCCCTCCAAAAGGCCAAGATGATTGCCTCGAGAAGCCCCATCGCAGTCATCGGTACCAAGGAGGTCATGAATCGTGAGTATCTCTCATGACTGGGAAGTTCTCGCTGATCCTTGTATAGACTCTCGAGACCATAGCGTCGACGACGGTCTGCAATATGTAGCCGCATGGAACATGTATGTGGTCTCTTTCGTTTCCACCAAGCTGACAACTGCTCTAGGGCCATGCTGCAATCTGAGGTGTGTCGACCGTCCTCGTCTCTAGCTCTCTACTCACCCCGCGATACAGGACACGCCGAAAGCAATGGGATCGGCGCTGAAGCGAACACCAGTGACCTTTGACCCCATTGCAAAAGCAAAGCTCTAGTCGAGCCTAGTCCAGCACGATCTTCACATGTATGATAGTCCAGCTCTGTGTATCAGTGTAAGATAGTAGTGGTGTTTTGTAGCCCAACACGAGTAACCCTAGTTGATGCATGAATGCAACCTCTATGCTTTCGCACTGTTCAACGCCGCCTTCAAAAAGTCCAGCTCATCCGACTGCGCCGCCTGTTGCTCGCCCTCCTTGGCTTCACTACCCGCACCTCCAAGCAAACTGACCAGATCGCCCTCCTTCTTCACCCCCTCAACCTGTACAGGCGCTGGTATCCTCCACCTCGCCATGTACGCCTCGCCCCCCGTAAAGGTATCTTGCGGGAGCGCCTCTTGGGGGAGCATGTTGGTCCATTGGTACCGGGGCTGGGCGCGGTGCTTTACGCGGGCAGACGTACTGGCGGTAGTGGGCGAACGAGATCTAGGAGCGAGCGAGTCGAGCGCCTTTTCTTCAAGATCAAAGTGGCGTTCCTGCACATCTGTCAGCACAGAAACCACAAAGATCTGGGTATAACCTACGAAAGCATCACGCTTGAACTGGGCTCCATAATGCCTCGCCTCGAGCTCGGCACCGACAGTAGCCAACTGATGTCGCGCTCTCAGCTGCACAAACTCTTCGGTCGCCTGCTCGTACGCCTCAGTGATGGGAAGGCCTCGAGTGTTTTTCAAGTTGACGACAAACTCTACGCAGCTGTTCCTCTGTCAGCTTTTGCCCCACCGGATAGTACACGAGACCTACTCTTCGACAGTGGGATACTCTCCCCTCTGCTCCAGCCTCTCCCACTCCAGCCCATTCACCTTCTCCCGCATATCAATCTCCTGCCCTTCCACCAAAGAAACGGGCCTCAGCGCCTCATACGGGAAATCCTTGAAAAACTGTCGCCTGACATTGTCTTCCTCATAAAACACCTTGGCGGGCTTGGACTTGCGTTGCTTGTATCCTCTCAGCTTGTCCCGGCGTTCGAGCTCACCAGAGGGAACGGGGGCAGTGTCGTAAAACTGGCCTGTAGAGTGCGAGGACGACGAGGAGAGGGGGGACCGAGCGCGTTGCTTGACTTGGTATGGGGGAAGCTGGGGTGGGGGGTGGGAGAGGGCGGGGGTGTACCATGTGGGGGGCGTTTGGAGGACCTGGCCCTGGAGGAGGCGGGAGACGGCGGAGGGGACCTGGGACGGGATTCGACGCATGGGGGCGGTTTTACAGAGTGGGCGAGGAAAGAGCGGTAGTCATCCAGCCGTGAAAGAGAGAATGGCCTTTCGACATTCTCGGAGAAAGTCGCGAAATTCATAAAAATATTCATCTCCTCTATCACTACTTGTTCGACAGTCCCCTGGTCTCCTGCAGCTGCAATGGACAGAATCAGGGGACAAAAACAATGGACAGATGCAATTCACTGAAACGTTCGAGTCGTAATGCTGGCATCACGTTGCTACAAACTGTCTGTACGAAGACGAAGACAACGACAATGGTTTTCCGCTTCCCTTCCCCGTCTTTCCTATACGACGCACACACGCTCCGGGTAATCAGACCTAGGGAAATCTCCCAACCTAAACGGGAAAAAAAGAATAAAAAACGAAAAATCAAAACCAAAGATATAGGAAAGATAGAGGAGGCTAGTTAATGCAATGCGTTATACAAGAATATGCTATAGGGACGAATCAATGCTAGTTGTGATGATGCAGGAAACAGATGGCGGAGACCGAGAAGGAGGGCTTAAGTGATTTAAGCCTTGGCTTCACGGGCCTTGGCGGCGGCGGCCATCATGTTAAGAGCTATGGTAGAGTCAGCAAATGTTCCACAGCAGTCAAAGATGCAACTCACCAGAACCAGCCTTGAACCAACCCCACTGGCCCTCGTTAATAGAGGTAAAGGTAAGGAAAGAGTCCTTGGAGCCGTCCTTGTGGGTGATCTCGACCTTAATGTCCTGTCCGGGCTTGAACTCGTTGAGACCCAAGATGGAAAGCTTGTCGGAACCAGAGATCTTGTCGTAGTCGGCAGGGTCCTTGAACCAGAGAGGGAGCATACCCTGCTTCTTCAAGTTGGTCTCGTGGATACGGGCAAAGGATCTGCAGATAACGGCTCGGCCGCCCAGGAATCGGGGCTCAAGAGCGGCGTGTTCTCGGGAAGAACCCTCTCCGTAGTTCTCGTCACCAACAACGACCCAAGGAATGTCACGGTCTCGGTAGTAGGCACCGACGGTGGGGACGGCACCAAACTCGCCAGTCTCCTGGTTGAGGACACTGTTGGCCTCACCGCTGTCGGCGTTGATGGCACCGATCAAACAGTTCTGGGAGATGTTCTCGAGGTGACCTCGGTACTTCAACCAGGGACCACCGGCAGAGATGTGGTCGGTGGTGCACTTGCCCTTAGCCTTGATAAGGACGGGAGCGTTGACAATGTCCTTGCCGTCCCAAGCCTTGAAGGGCTTGAGGAGCTGGAGTCGGTCGGAAGTGGGGGAGACGGCGACAGAGACGGAGGCGCCGTCGGCGGGAGGAGCCTGGAAGGTGTTCTCACCGGCGTCGTAGCCCTTGGCGGGGAGCTCGAAACCAGAAGGCTCGCTAAACTTGAACTCCTTACCGTCGGCACCCTTGAGAGAGTCGGTCATGGGGTTGAAGGTGAGGTCACCAGCAAAGACCATGGCGGTGACAAGGTCGGGAGAAGCGACGAAAGCGTGGGTAGCAGGGTTGGCGTCGTTTCGGCCAGTGAAGTTACGGTTGTAAGAAGTGATGATAGAGTTGGCCTCGCCCTTCTTGACGTCCTTTCGGTCCCACTGACCGATACAAGGTCCACAAGCGTTGGCAAGCACGACACCACCAATGTCCTCAAAGTCCTGCACCATACCGTCACGGGCGATGGTGGCTCGGACCTGCTCGGAACCGGGGGTGATGGTAAACTTGGACTTGGCGACGAGACCGTGGGAAGCGGCCTCCCGGGCAATGTGGGCGGATCGAGACATGTCCTCGTAAGAAGAGTTGGTGCAAGAACCGATAAGTCCGACCTTGAGCTCGGCGGGCCAAGACTGCTTCTTGACCTCGGCGGCGAACTGAGAAAGGGGAGTGGCAAGATCGGGGGTGAAGGGACCGTTGACGTAGGGCTCGAGCTCGGAAAGGTTGATCTCGATTCGCTGGTCGTACTCACAGCTCTCATCGGGCTGGAGGTTGTGGTTGAACTCTTCGGCGTACTTGGCGATCTCGGAACGCTTGGTAGCCTTGAGGTAAGAGCTCATTCGGTGGTTGAAGGGGAAGAGGGAGGTGGTAGCACCGATTTCGGCACCCATGTTACAGATAGTGGCCATACCGGTACACGAGAGAGACTCGACACCGGGACCGTGGTACTCGATGATGGCACCAGTACCACCCTTGACGGTGAGGATACCGGCAACCTTGAGGATGATATCTGGGACAGCGTCAGAATGGTACAAACATGAACATGTAGATTTGCTCACCCTTGGGAGTAGTCCAGCCGTTCATCTTACCGTGGAGGTAGACACCGATGACCTTGGGGGCCTTGAGCTCCCAAGGAATGTCGGCCATGACATCGACAGCGTCGGCACCTCCGACACCGCAAGCAACCATACCGAGACCACCAGCGTTGGGGGTGTGCGAGTCGGTACCAATCATCATAAGACCGGGGATGGCATAGTTTTCGAGGATGATCTGGTGGCTGTAAACAATGACGCGCGTCAGCGTCCCGCAGTCTATTCGGTACCTGATCGTACCCAAACGCGGCAACTTACATGATACCAGATCCGGGCTTCCAGAAACCGATACCGTATTTGGCACAGGCGGTAGCGAGGAAGTCGTATACTTCTCGGTTGATGTCGATGGCTCGGGCCAAATCAGGCTTGCCGCCAATCTGGGCCTGAATCAAGTGGTCACAGTGGACAGAGGTGGGGACAGCAGTCTGAGGGAGACCTGCAGACATGAACTGGAGGATGGCCATCTGCAAACGACGTCAGCCCTGTGCATATTTTTATTACGAGTCGTGGAAACCTACTTGGGCGGTAGCATCTTGACAAGCGACTCGCTGAAAGGTAGCGCGTCAGCTGATTATTCCGAACGCCCACCGCACGGGGACGCGGGGAGAGCTCCACTTACATCAGGGCGCAGCTTGAGATAAGAGACACCACGCTCGATTTCCTGGTGGTGAGGGTCGTCCAAGTGTCCGTAGACAATCTTCTCGGCGAGGGTGAGGGGGCGGTTGAGTCTGGAGAGATAATGTAAGCGTATGCAGGGGAAACGTGGATTGTGGAATGCGCGGAACACTAGTGGCTGATGACGCCACGCGGTGGGGGTGTATCCATCCGCCCTCTATTCCTCTCTTCACATCCTTCAATGGCCCCAGGAAAGCCCAACAGCCCTTCCCCCTTCCTTTCACCCTCACCCATCGAGTGCATGTACCATCAAATGGAAGATTCACTTACCGAGACCTGACAATTTGCAGGTTGTTCTCAATTCTTTGATAGTTGATAAACTTGCCAGACTCGAGATTGGACATGGCGACCTTCTTGTCGCCGATAGAAGACTGGACAGTAGCCATGGATCGCTTGGCAATCATGGACTGGGCGAGGGAGTTTGCTCCCCTGGCAAGGTACCGGGAGGAGACCATCGTGGATGAATGGAGAGTCTAGCTGGGATGGGAGGGGAGAGGGGGGCTAGATGTTATTTAAAAAAGAGAATAAATGGCTGTTTGTTGATGGAAGGAAGAGAAAAGAGATGGAAATGTGGGAGGGTTTATAAAAGCAGGCTGTCATACGTCGGCGCCAGAGGGAGGCGCACTCAGCCAATGACAGCGCCCACTTTCCACAGCCAGCCCTCGGATTTACTCGGCCTCACCCCCGCCGTGTTTGGCCTCAGTTATTAATCATTCTTACGCCCCTCCACCCGGCTATTTTCCGATATAACCGATCAAGGCCGTAAGAGCCCAAGTCACTGCATGCTGTCATCCATCATCGCAATCATATTCATAGTGTACAATGGCTACAGGCTAACGATTCTGGTGTGGGCGACCTATTGGCTGCCCATCGTCCACGGCTTCCCAGCCCACTGCTTCTCAGGCACACCCAGCTCGATAAGCGTGCCGAAAGCCTTGCTGAAGCTATCCACCTGTCAGCCAAGCATGAAGAGATGGATGGAATCGGCTCACTCTGAGAAGAACTTTTCCTCATCTTCGGCGTAGATGTCGACCCACTTCTTGAACGACTTGTCCTTGACGAGCGCCATGTCGGTTCTAGAGTCCGTGGTGTCAGCACAAGGTCTTTAAATACGAGGCATGTCATTCGCCAGCGATAAAGCGAGCGGACGCGACCGACGCGACCGACGGCCATTGACCGACTGTCAACAAAGTCAACTCACGGAAGCATCATGAGTGTCTTTGTCTTCTTGTCTTCATACTGGGCGGGTCCCTTCCTGTATCTGGTGTCAGATGCGTGTGTATGGCAAGAGGGGAGAAATGCACCACTTGCGCCAGAGCCACGGCTCGTCCTTGAGAAGGGCAAAGTACTGGTTGGAGAAGGTCACGGGGGAGAAGGTCCAAGGGCCGTCGAACCCAGATCGGTCTGTGGCAGTGTGTCAGTGTGAGTTTGTGTTTGGTGTAGTGGGAACGCACCGGTGTGACAGCGGCCCATGGCGTGGGCACCGCTAAGTGCAACAATCTCCTGGTCATTGAAACTGTACAACGGTCAGCCACCTCTTAACAAACATGAGCAGATGACTGACCCCATGCGGTAAAAGATGTGCCTCAAATGATCTTGAGCTTGGGAAGCGTCGGGGAGCCTTCCATCAGGTGTGACCTGGGCAGCAAACCCATCGATCCGTCCTGGCCTCCAGGGGATGACAGGCCCGCCGGACTCTTGGATAGCAGCGACACCGGCAAGGGTCCACAGGTCACCGTAAGAGATCCATGGGTGCGCTTCTTTGATCTTTTGCAAGTGTTCGCGAGCCACGTTCTGTAGACAGTCAGCGAGACACGTAAAGATGGGAGAAAGACTCACAAGACCGTTGTTCGCACCATGCTTGGCTTCAGGCTCAAATCGCATGGTAGCGTAGTTTGAGCCTCCAGTACCGTCTTCCTTGTCGTAGGTCCCGGAAGCGTGCCAAGCGAGACGGATGAGAACAGGGGCGAGAGATCCATCTGTTCACATGATCAGTACTCGTCGGATAGAGAGACGCGACAAGACTTACCATCGTAGCCCTCCTTCTCGAGAGTGTCTGCAATGTGGTCATATACCTTCTGGTATTCCTCCTGCCCTCGTCTGAGGCCAGTCTTGCCTTCGGCAGTAGCTACGGCGCTACGGACCGCAGTGTCAGCTGTTCGGGCGGCTTCTTTGGGCGTTCCGCTGGTGCCGTAGAAGTAGTAGGCGGCGCCGAGGGCAGCAGCACCAACACCAGCGAGAAGATAGGGGACGGAGGAAGCGCCGGGAGGAGATGGTTTAGGCTGTGATGTGGTGTGGTCAGCAGGGGCCGGGACGCTGGCCAAAGCAGACTTACAATTTCTGGGCCGCCTTCAGTCGCAAAGCGGCGGCGGAGAACGGGTGCTTTGAGGTTGAGGGCGGGGTTGGCTCTGCGGCCGAGGGCTGTTCTGAGCATGGCGGATCTGAATGACATGGTGGACAGCGAGTTGCGGATGTGAGGAATTCAGAGAAGAGATGCAACGACTTTACAGTTACTTATATAGTGTGAGAAATGGGCGGGCTGTGATTCGTCCGCGCGTCGTATCTGCTTTCGCGATGTTCCGGGTTTTGAACCTTCGTACAATATTAGCAAGCCTCCACGCCCGATGTCTTACTCAGCTGATCAATCCATCGGATTATCAAGGACGTAAGGGCCAAGCATCCAGTCACATTGTCACAACAATTGGCGCTCGGCAATCTTTTTTGACGCAAGCGAACGTCTGACGTCGGCCGGATGATATATGGACTAATTTTCGTTTATGTGGCTTGTTGATCTCGACTCGACTGCGTCGGCTATCTTCACCTCGGCTGATTCAAGCAAGGCTTACTCAGAAATCATCATGATGGTGGAAATTATCAAGGTCTGCGGCTACGGAGTGGGAGATTCTGCTGGCGGGATTGCCGGTACCAACAAATCGTGCCCTTTGATGCTTGTTTACATCTGCTCCGACGACGCAAGAGATCATATAGAACACGGCCGGAGGACTCTGATCCAGCAGTGTGGATCCAGTTCGTATGAGTATGTACGCAGACCGTGTCTCCCTCTATCAACGACCTGGGCCTCGGGTCTCCTCGCGCCTAGATCTTGAGTCAGTTGCTTCATCATCAAGGTCAGCCCTCTGCGCTAAGCACAGGGGCGCCATAGCCTCCCGTATGGACTTTCAGCATAGAAGAAACATGCAAAAAGATATCTGACGAGAGTGGGATTCGAACCCACGCCCCGGAGGACTGCCGTTTCTTGCAGAGATGCTTCTCCTTAAGACAGCTGTTTAGACCACTCACACATCTCGCCGTGAACATGTACGCCCAATAAAAGCATAAACCGGATCGGCTGGCCTCAGTAATGATGGACTGTCTTCAGTCTGTCTTGACTTTCACAGCACTGCGAGGGTATGCTGTTGCGCTCTCCTGTGTCAGATTGACATAATGGGTATAGGCAAGCTGTACAACAGACTGCCGCGTTGCTCATGTTGAACATTGATGATGTTGATGACATGATGATGGAACCCCCGGCGACCGCCGAGCTCTCGCTGACGCGCCCATGATCATGGCCAGATCACGGCCATGGCAGATATGAAAGGAGCGCGACTGTCTTGCTGACGGCCCTTGACGCACGATCTCTATTGCTGATAGCCATGAAGAAGCATATGTAAGATCTGCGTAGTGTCAACAAGGCCATCAGGCTGACCCGCATCCAGCTTGCTAGCCATCCCACAGACGATCGTCCTCATTACATGGGCTGAAGCCGCTCTCCAAGCACCCTTCGACCTTCAGCGCGAAGATCACTATGTGGGAAATTCGGGCCATCCTGCAGATCTTCCTCATGTTGATTACACTGCTTTGGATCGCGATGACGATGGGACAAGTCCGCCTCCTGAGGGCATGGTGCTGTATCCTCTACACGTCTCGGGCCCTTCGGAAGATCGTGTCAACCTCATGTTCTTTTCTGACGGATGTGAGTACTTTGGCATAAATTCTGACAAGCCAGAGAAGCATGGTAATGCCAAGTGGAAGGACTTTCTCTCTGAACCGGGGTCCCCAAGGATTGAGGATGCCAAGGTGCCACTCCAAGAATACCCGTATGTGTTGCTGAACCTCAATGTCCTCCCGCGAACTAATAGGGCTTGAAAGATGGTATGACCTCGACATCTCACCATGGAGTGTCTCCTTCAGCTCGTCAAACTCTGATCCTGCCCTGATCGACTACCCAACAGCCCTACTCCGAGCGTCTGTTTCCTCCATCCCAGACCCTTTCCATATAGCCTTCGTCATCAACGACCAGACACTCGATCTCACAGAGACATTCCCACCAGAGTGGCAAGGATCGCTGGATCGACGGTGGCTTGAGGTAGACCTTGTCCATGGGCGAGAGCTTGTCAGTGGCATCAACAGCGTCAACATATCATTGACCGAGAATGGCAAGAAAGCTCAGGCTGGGAAAGGCGGCAAGATGATCACGAGTCTAGAGATTATAGAGTATGGTGGAGAGGGGCGGTGAGTTGACGATGCAGCTGTGCAATGATACGTGCTGACGCGCTTCATAGGTTCAATCACTCCGAGGGCGTCATTGGACTGTTCCCAACTTATGCTATGGATGGACGGGTACGGCTGCGTCCCGTCAGTATGACTTTCTTCCGTTGAGTCTATGGTGCTGATGTTTCTCTAGACCAATGAAGGTTGCCTCATGAGAAACGTCAATCACCCCAGTATGTACATCACCTCGACCCGGCTTGTACGTGACTAATAAATACTGTCAGGCTTCTGCCCAGTATGTGCACATTATTTAGAAAAGAGACTTCAAGATATCATCCTCAAGAGACACTCGTGAACACATATCTCCCTCACTTTCCGCTTTCCGCTTGTTGCTGTAACACGGCCTCCGTTTCTAACTCCTCTCTCGCATCATCAAGCAACCACATTCAATATCTACATGAAAGATCTCTGTGCTGTGAGAGGTCCGCCAAAGAGACTAGCAGCCCGACTTCTGCCGGTCCCCCCCATTGTTGAAGAAACGGACTTTGAAACCATCATCGTAAACTTCCTTCCATCAGCCGTGACACCCGACGCTTGCCCCCTCGTCACAACGCCCCCATCCTCCGTCTCCATCTCGGCAAACTCCCCTTCGGCACCGGATTGAAGGGCGGATTGGATTGTTTGAGCTGCGTCGCCACCAAAGGAGAAGAAGCGGTCCAGGTCGTTGGAAGCTGCGCCAGAGATCATTGAGACCTGGGACGGAGCAGCGCTTGGGGCGTAGCCTCGGTCTGTTCTAGGCTGGGCGCGGGGTGCGCGGGAAGCAAAGTCGGGCACCGATAGCGGCTCCGAAACAGTCTGGTTGAGATCGAACATAGTCTTTGGCTCTCCGGTACGACGCGAGACTCGGGTGAGATACCAGTTCTTCAACGCGTTGAAGTCCATTTGTGAACGGTTAGGAGGGGCTGAGATACCACGTTGAACCCTGCTGGGCGGTTGCGACTCAAGTCCGTCTTCGCCCATGTGGTAGGAAATCTGCTGCTGGGAGCGCTCCGGTAGTGCCGTCATCTCGCTGTGCTCAGGATGGCGGGGAGGAGGCGGACCTTGGACTTGTTTGTACTCTGGACCAGTCAAGCTCTTGTCCCATCCAGTCGACAAATCCGAGGCTTCGCCATTGCTGCTATACAGAGACGACAGAGCGAGCTCGTCTTCGATGGAAGAAAGGTCATAGCCCTCGTAGATCTCGTCAGGTCGTCCGGCCAGCTCGCGACCCTCGGGCTGGGCAGGATACTCTGCCACCTGCTTCGGCGTGGATCCATCCCTGGGTCCATCTTGATCCTTCAAATCAAAGTCAGCCTATGGTAAGAGATGTCTCAAATGTCCACTCACGGCCTGATCAAAATCCTCAAAGATCTCGGCGAATCCGCCAGATACTGCACCATCCGTACGCTGATCAATAGCTCTCAACTGTGACTTGAGCCCCTCGAGCTCGTCGAAGGCATTGCTGGCCTGCTGGAAGGTTTCTCTATCCTGTCGACTGATTTCTTCAAGCTCCGCTTGGTCGAAGCCCGCTCCGGTCCCATCTCCCTGAAAGATCTCAGAGTATAGGTGCTTTGCAACGTCTGCTTTGATGCGCTTGTATTGAGAACCGCCAGCAGACAAGAGCCGGGAGGCGGCGTCGAAACCTCGAGAGACTGTGGTAGCTTCGTCCGGGGAAATGAGGTCTGATTTGGTGTGGGGTGACGTATTGGTGTCGTAGTGCCCACCAACTAGGGCAGTGGAGGGGGACGTTGTGATGACTGACATGTTGCTTTGGTGAAGATGAGTGGCGAAATAGAAGCAGCGCGGAGTAGCAGGCTAACGTATATATATGCAAGAGAATGAAAGGTCTGATACGGTATTCGAGCAGCGTCATTTGCAGCTTGATCCTTTATTCTTTTGGAAAGAGTCGACATTGATATCATATGGGCATTCGAAGATGAGCTTCAAAAACTCACCTTCTGACAAAGGATGTGGATCGAGTCACGAGTAGGTCGCCCAAGTGCTGTTAATGCCTTTTCTTCTTCTCGTTCGCGACGAGCAGCTGGTTCCATTGGTGGGGACAGAAAGCAAGTCGGGAAGCTATACATACAACAAGGGCTTCACCCACTTAGATAGTACATCACGCGTCCCATGCTAGATCTCCCTGTCCCCATGCAATCTCGCCATTCTCTTCCTTGCCATCAATGGAGAGACAGACTCCACCCGCAAACAGCCTCATGAGGTTACGCTCTTTCTCCGTGATCCATATTCTCCCGTCAGGCCCATGAAGCCACCACCCGTCTCTTTCGTCGATGGAAGTATCCTTCTTGGTGCCCGAGAATGCCTCGAGCAGCTCGTCAAGGGGCGGGGGAGAGTCACGTCCGCTGACTAACGTCTTTAAGCTGGAGGAAAGTGATTGGGTGTCTAGTCCAACCAGGCGAGATAAGGTGGCGTGGCGTGCTGACAGGGGGAGGGTGTCGAGCAGTTGGAGGATGGCAATCAATGTAGGATCAGCTAGCAGAGCTCTCAATGATTTTGATTGAGCTAAAGCACTATCAGCACTTGAACTTTCTCATGTGAGTGTGACTTGCCTATCCGCAAGAGCTCTTCGTGGCGGAGTGGCTTGGGGTCGTCCTTCAGTAGGGGATCGGTAAAGATGCTGGGATCGGGCTCTGGGGGCCATTTCAACGAGGACAATGACTTGAGCGGCTGCTGCGGTGGCTCTTCTGCCACCTTTTCCTCCGACTCTACAACATCGACTTTGCCTTCATCGGGGAGTAGGACATCGAGGGCGAGCTCTGGTACAGCTTGGGCATCTGGTGCGCCCTGTCTCGCCGCCTTGAGAGCACTGCAACCGACTGACACTTCATCAGTCTATATCTATATGAAGCTCTTGACGAGACGTACCCTTGTGCCCTTTGAAGCACACTACGGAACAACTGCAGGAGACATGAGCATATGGCAGGAGACGGGGTCGTTGACGTACTATCTTGTGGGACAGGTCGGGCAGCGGTACTTGCTAGGAACAATAGAGCACACGTCGCACAATGGCGGCCCTGTCTTGCTCTTGGGTGCCATTGTTGTAGATGCACATAATCAACAGACGCTGGCAAATGTAAGAGGAGAGTAATTTTGTGCAAGCGCGGGGCCCCGCAAACATTCCAGCGACAAAAAATCAATATCTCTTTGCCTTGCACTTGGTGTACATTTAGGTTGCATCGCTCGCTGGCCCGGAGCAGTCTACGCCCGGATATGTCTGACCCGCAATCAACAGCTCAACTATCCCCATCCAATACCCCAACAGCGGAGCAAATATCAGGCGAAACCGTCACTGCAGACAAGCCTGCGCAATACGAAAGAGGAATGAACCCCAGGCTTCGGTATATCAAGCCATACTGGTGGCCATACAAGACATATGTCAAGGAAAGGTATGCTAAACCTGCGACCAAGCGGCCGGCGATCTGACATCTCGCAGATGGATAGGACGGCAATTGCTTGAGGTCATCACTACAGAGTTCCGAGACCGGTCCATGGAATACTACGCAAGTACACGTTGTGAGCCCGTGGCACGCTCTGACGCTGTTACAGAGACATGCTCTGGAATCTGGCGTAACCAGGATCAACGGAGTGGTCGCTCGTCCCGACTTGATCCTGCGCAACGGCGATCGCCTCGAGTAAGTCGACTCGTGCCCATCGCCCTCCCAGCTTACAAGGATACAGCAACACGGTCCATCGCCATGAGCCTCCAGTCACCACGGACCCTATACTGGTACTCCATATAGACCGCGAGCGAGAGTTTGTGGTCATCTCCAAGCCGGGCAGTCTTGCAAGTCGGAACACCGAATCGATCATCTTGCGTTGCTAATGAGTCCTCAGCCTGTACATGCTGCAGGAAGATATTTTCGACATACAGTCCTCGAGATGTTGCAGTCTGACTATGGTCTCAAGTGTTTCTGTAAGTTTGCGCTGAGACGTCGCTGCTGGGACTGATGACGAGTGCAGCTGTCAACCGATTGGATCGTCTCACATCTGGCTTGATGATCTTGGCCCTTTCAGGGAAGACGGCTAGTCAGTTGGCTCAAGAATTCTCCAAGGGTACCGTCAAGAAGGAATATGTGGCGAGAGTGAAGGGTAAATTTCCAGAGTGAGTTGCCAATGATGGTGAGAGCTACGGCCTGATCGCGCGAGCAGGGAAGAGATCACGGTGGATCAACCTCTTTTGACTGTGGACCGCCAAATGGGCCTCGTCATCATCACTCCTGAAGGCAAGGAAGCTGTTACCATCTTTAAAAGGATTTCATACGACCCTGTAAGGGACCAAAGTGTCGTGCGATGTAAGTCTCCGTCTCGCTCGAGTGTGCGATAGCTGACCGCTCTATAGGCTACCCACAAACAGGTCGAAGTAGGCCTCCATCAGACATAATGCGTTGACTCAGGCTGACACCTGCACAGCCCACCAGATTCGTGTTCACCTGCAGTACCTCGGCCACCCTATCGCTAACGACCCCTTGTATGGCACGACTGCAATCTGGGGACCGTCATTGGGCAAGGGCGGTGTGGATCTCGTCCCGTCCGATAGTGGTGTGTCTCGCGAAGAAGCGCTCAAGGCGCGGGCGGGAACGGCGACGCCCCAGACGAACGATGTAGATCGAGAGCTCGACAACATCGACCTCAATAGCCCTATCCGATTGAGTAACCAGGCGAGGGGCATCATCGCCAATCTAAGAAGAGAAAAGGACGCCGCGGAGGATTGGATAAAGTCAGTCCCCTTCTGACGTGCACTCCCGAGCTGACAGCCATTCAGGTGGTCAGAAGTCATCTTCAACACCAAACAGGCGCAAGATGACCTGGAAGCTGAGAAGCCGAAAGATACCAAGCCACAAAAAATCCCCCGCTTACAAGGTCGCCAAGAAGCTCTCAAGCTGCCTGATCCTCTCCCCGATGACACCCCCTCTCCTCTCAAACCTCCCCTCTACCTCCCTCCTGGGTTTTGTCCTCAATGCTTTGTGCCTGTCCCAGACGACCCAGACCCCGAGACATTATTCATTTATCTGCATGCTTTGCGGTACACGACCGACAAACTTGGTGCGTTTGAGACTCCGATGCCCAGATGGGCGAGCAAGGAGTGGGACGGCGATTGGAGAGGATGGGAGGACGGGGCTGTTTTGCCGGACGCGCTCGAGCAGGATATAAGGAAGCAGGAGGAGGCTGCCGGGGCGGTAAGCGAGACATCGTAGAGGAGGCGGGCGTGAAGGTCGGGCGATGCATCCCCCTGCCGAGGCTCAATGAAAATCTCGCGGGCGAAGGCAGCTCCTTTAGGGCTTGTATCCGTACAAGCAGGGGTCAATACTCTCGGCGGCAGCCGCGTACTTCCTTTCATCGTCTCTGACAAGTCACAGCTGTCCATTGGCTCCTTTGTTTGTCGGTGGTATCGAAAAGAGGTCGAAGGTTGGCCCACTACCTTCATTAACCACACCTTCATCTCTTGATATTGGCCCCTTTCTACTAACTGTTGCACAGGACCCTCACTCTTTCGGACCCTTCACCCTAGACTCTCCATTCGCCCCACCTCGACCCCAGCCAACATGCGTCGTCTTTCACTTTCGCTCTTTTTTATCGTTCTCTTCCTAGGCCTTGGTAAGTAGCTCTGCTTGGTATACCGTGGTGACTCCCTGACCTCTTTTAGCTTTTGCTAGCCCCGTGGAAGAGAGAGATCTACTGAAACGTGAATATATCGGTCTTTGGAATGAAAGCGGCCCTGTGGTCACGGATGTCAAGCAAGGCAAGTTCCTCCCCTTGGTTTTCTTGCTGTACTGACGCTTCAATCAGTCAAAATTTTCAACTGCTGGTGGGCAGCTTGCTCCCTTGCCGTCCTCATCTCTTCGCAGAACTGGATCGAGAGCATGATACGCTATGGAAATGTGAGCCCGGCTACCATTTTCTGTCATCAACTGACCTCGATACAGAATGCTTCCATGGTGAACGCCTCTTGGCCGCAAGACGGCAGCGTCCAGGTCCAGATCTGGAACCCGGATACGCTCACACCCGTCATCGAAACCGCGGTCGTCGCCAACAAGAGCCAGACCGAAGACCACGTCGACGGTAACTGGTGGCACGATTCTCTCTCCCAGTCTATCAAGCTCCTCGGTACCAAAATGGATGTTGCGGGCATCTTTCCCAATGGGACCTTTGACCCTACTAGCGGGTCGGCATTGACAGGGCTGCGGGTGCTTACAGGCTTTGAGACGGCGTCGAATTTGACGAGTGACTATGCGGATGCGGATGCGTTCTGGACGGATCTGGCGAGGGCGAATGAGAGCACGCCCGTCATCTTCAACACCGTGTCTTTGGACAGTATTGGGGTGACGGACCCTCAGCTGGGTGACAGTCACGATTATGCTGTCTTCAATGGTACGGTGCATGAAGACGGGTCCAAGACGGTGTGGGCGAGGAATAGTTGGGGCTCAACAGACGAGTTCAAACTCGAAGATGTGTACAATAATACCTACCAAATTATCCACCTAGCCAACTGGGATAGGTTGGAGTGGCAGGATAGTGTTAATTGGACCCTCACCTGATCCGTGTACTGAGCTACGGACTATATATATGCATACTCATTATAATATCGAGACGAGTCTGTTATGCACCACTCGTAATCTATCTACTTTTTGAAACTTAGCAGGCCAGTGATGTCGTACCAGACTGCACCTATGCTTGGGATTACGTCGTTGATCCCAACGATGCTGCTCATCTGGTCAGCAAGAGGATATATACGGAGACCAAAGAGGACATACAATGTGGTCCCTTCAGGATACGCATTCTGGCTGGGTGTGTGCCACACATATCTGGTGGTGTCCTTGGTAGGTGGCAGAATATCAATGGGCTATACTGCGCGTCAGATCGAAAGCTCCAGCCATTTGTGCGCAGTAAGCATACAGCGTAGTCTTCCTGCCCAGGCCACTGAGGGATGTAGTAGACTTCCACGCCTTCTCCACTTCCCCCAGTCCACTCGAGCTGGACTTTGGTGTCTGGAGGGATATGGGAGCGGAAACGGGTGAGGAAGCGGAGTGGAGGGTAGGCGTTGCTTTCTTGGGTGATGAATGATTTAGGTTGGAGGATTTCGGGTTCGTGTTCAATGGGGGCGGCGAGGGTCGAAGAGAGGAGAGCGAATATGGCGAGGGCTAGTATGAGCAGGTTGCTGAAAGTGAGCATGGCGGGAAGTGTTGATCATGCACAGGTAGCGGGGGTGAGTGGAAGAAGGGGGATTGCGTTGTTATATATATACTTCTGCCTTGCACCGGAAGGAAATGATCAGGACACAGCGATGCACAGAGCTCAGCACACGGCCGCACGGACGACAAGAATCCCTTGGTAAACGGCTTACGCGAGGAGCCACCGCCCTCATACAGTGCTCCCCGGCCCCGTGCTCGTCATTGTCTGCGTCAGGAGCCAGCTGAATATCCTGACTGTGAGTTGGATATCCTGAAAGAGGACAATAGAGCGACGACTGTGAAACAAGCTGTAACAGCCACAGCTCGAAGAAAACCCGAAGAACAATAGAGACGCTCGGGGCAGGCACGGTGAGTCACCTCACAGCTTCCTTCTTACTGCCTCCCTCCGCCGGTTCTGTTGTTGTTCCCGTAAACGAGCTGCGCGAGGAAACATCGAAGCACTGAGCTGTCCTCTGCTATGCGTGTGCATTACCTCTTCTATGTGTCTTGGCGCCCTTGAGAGCGATGAAAAGTCCTCAGAAACCGGGGCAGACCGGAGAATAATAAGCCGTCGTTATTTAATCCGACTGTGCACCTGCATCATGACCATGAGCAATGACTGCGCCAAAAGTCTGGACCGACACCACCATCTCCAGACTTCAGGGGTCTCAAAGGATAGCTACCGACAGTATATGCAAATTGAAGAGAAAATGGGCGAGGGACCTTAGCAGTCGAGGTTGGGGTGGCTGCATTGCTGAGCATGATGTCAGGTTGTTCTAAGACCGGGGATGTGGCTCGGTGCGGATATCAAGCCTCATCATTAGGCCTTTTGCGAGGTTGTGATATGCTGTTTTGACTCAAGTCATTGTACATATGGACTTGAATGAGGGACTTTGTGACTTGCTTCAAGCAGTAATTTACGTTCTGTTTTCAGCCACCACAAGATTGGCCTCATATCTAGTCAGTGGTTTGCGCGCCGTCCATCTCATCGTCGGCAGCTGACGCTGACGATATCCTGGGCCACTTGACGATCTACCATATCTCCATACTGAAGGCATGCAGTGGAGCTTTTCTACATACCGTTCGTAGTACTCGATCGACTGCCTGCCAAGTTGCCATATGCAGATGGGACCGGCACTACCGCCGGCTGCTCCTCTGCAAGACAAGTAGAGCCAGCAGTGCCAGCAGCAGGCCATAAAGGCCACGAAGACAGAAGACAAGTCGGGTAAGATGCGGTACGGAAAGCTTGCAAGAAGAAATGCCAAGGCACTCTTCGTATCATTTCGTAACGTACTCGTATCTATCAGATCCTCGTCAGAGATCAGAGATCTGATTTCATATCTTACCGAAAGAGACGGCAGTGCCGCTATCAAATGCCTCGCTAGTACGTGTACAAGACATTGGGAGTGAATTTGGGTTATCAGCAGGAATTGAACGAGAGACCAGTTGGAATCTCGGGATGTGCTCCTCAGCGGCCTCACTTGTGCAGTCGCCATTGAACGACATATTCCGTCCCCACATAGATGCACTTATGAGTATGAACAGCAAAGATCACCGCCGGGAACAGCGTGCATGTGGACCACGGGCCAATCAGGTGACTGAATTGTCATACGTCTGATCGACGATCAAGCAGCCAACAGCCAAAGAAGCTCGAAGCTTGAGGCACGATTCACGATTGAGATAACCAAATGTTGCTGTCGCCATCGCCGATATCACCTCGCTTGCACCGTCTGGGTACCTGATGCCTGGGGTATTTTGTATTTTGACAGAGGTACTCGGTATCTTGAGATGTCAATAGCCGGTGGCCCCGGTGGCCGATGGTGGTACGATCGCCTTGAGAAGCGGTGCGTACTCAGAGTGTACAGCAGTCGACGTGGATACGGACGCTTGATGAGCCTGCTTCCTGTCCCTGCTCCCTCTATCCGTCCGCCACACTCTGTACTATGGGATCTGGCGTCGTTATCTTCTTTACGGAGACGGCACGGTGTCTCTCGAGAGGCACGTTCTGGCCCCGCACACTAAGCGAGGTTACCATGCGCTCCCTGTTTTTTTCTCTCACTTTCCTCTCCCCTCCCGCCAAGAAAGCACTTTTGGGTTGGTCACCATACTCAGGGACATGCGGGGAATCAGGCTCTCACGTAATTTCCTTCACACCGTGCCTGCCACCTTATCGTCGCCTCCTTATCGCGGAAACCGGAGGGGCAAATCCACCCGCATATATAACCAGCCATTCCCCTTCCCATTCCAATCCCATCCCATCCCATCTTCATTCTATTCACACAAACAGTCATGTCTCACGAGTACGACGAGAAAAAGGAGGGCTTCAGCCACGAAATCGCCCCCGCCGTCACCCGTGGCGAGTACGATGGCGAGGAGGTCGTCCCCAAGGAGGGTCTCCAGAGAAATCTCAAGGCGAGACATATGGCCATGATCAGTATCGGTAAGTCTTGATTATGGTCTTCTTCTGGTTGCCCCTGGCTCGACAGTGAGCAGCATGTGGCGAGCCAGGGGTGACCCACACCGCCCATCCTCACGCGTGCGGCTAACCCTGTATCAGGTGGAGTCATCGGTACAGGTCTGTTCTTGGGAACCGGTTCCGCTCTCGCCCATGGTGGCCCCCTCGGTCTGTTCATGGGATACGCGCTCATGGGAAGTATCTGTCTCTGTGTCATGCTCTGTCTCGGTGAAATGGTGAGTTCCGCTCATATCGTCATCCAACGCGACTCACAGGAATGCTCATCTTTCTGCAGATCTCCTACCTGCCCGTCCCCGGTGGCCATATAACACTCGCTGCGCGATTTGTCGACCCTGCTTTGGGTATGTCGTACCCTGCAGTTCCCGTGCTCTGCTGATTTTTCTTTCTTTTCAGCTTTCACCATGGGCTGGAACTATTGGTACAACTGGGTCATCATTCTGCCTGCCGAGTTGTCTGCCGCTGCCGTCCTCATCAACCTCTGGAATGCTACCATCAACAACGCGTGAGAATCCTCGCTCTTTTGTTGGTCCACTGCTGACCTTTACATATAAGTCTTTGGATTTCGATCTGCCTTATCGTCGTCGTCGTCATCAGTAAGTCGCCTCGCGGGGTCTGCAAGCAGAAACACTATCGTATCGTCAGAGAGATTGAGAAGCACATTATGCTGACGGTTCACAAAGATCTCTTCGGAGTAGCTGCGTATGGAGAGGCCGAGTTTTGGTTCTCCTCAATCAAGGTTCTCACCATCGTCGGTCTCATCATCGTGAGTTTTCGTGTCCACAAAACACTCCAGCAAAGGATCTGATATGGCGACAGCTCGGTATCATCATCACTGCGGGCGGTGGGCCTGATCACAATAGCATCGGGTTCGAGTACTGGCGCAACCCCGGACCGCTCGTCCACTACGAAGGCATCAAAGGCAGCCTGTACGTTGTCGCTAACCCATCCCTCCCCGTACCCTCTAACCTCTCATAGCGGAAACTTCCTTGGCTTCTGGGCGGTTTTAACGCAGGCTGCCTTCTCTTACATTGGTACCGAGATCGTCGCCATCGCTGCCGCCGAAGCCAAGAACCCCCGACGAAATCTTCCCCGAGCCATCAAGCGAGTCTACGTCCGTAAGTGTTTCTCGTCTCGTATGCATTGCTTGACTAACGCTAAGCCAGGTATCTTGGTCTTCTACCTTGGCGGTACATTCATCATCGGTCTCATTTGCCCCTCCAACGAGGACGGTCTCAGTCTCAACTCTGGTAACGCCCTCGCGTCTCCTTTCGTCATTGCCATCAAGAAGGCTGGTATCCCCGCTCTCCCTTCCATCATCAACGCCTGTCTTTTGACTTCTGCCTGGTCTGCCGCCTCCTCTGATCTCTACACGTCGTCTCGAGCTCTTTACGGCCTTGCTCTCTCCGGCAACGCTCCCAAGATCTTTGCTAGGACTACTCGCAGGGGTTTGCCTTACATCAGTCTGGCGCTCTGTGCCGCTTTCGGTCTTCTCGCCTTCATGTCTCTCCAGTCCACCGCTGGTAAAGTCTTTGGATACTTTAGCAACCTTACAGCGGCTGCGGGTCTCATGACCTGGTGGGGGTAAGTACTTCCGCCTTGGCTCTTGAACCTAGACTGACTTGTCATAGTATCTGCTTCATCTACATCCGATTCGAAAAGGGTCTCCGAGCCCAGGGTATCGCCCGATCCTCTCTCCCCTACGCTTCCCGACTCAACGTCCGAGCTTCTGCCGCCTAGTACGTCCCTTTAGCATTCCTCTTTTACCTGCAACTGACATTGGCGCAGTTACGCCATCACGATGATCACCATCATCCTCTTCTTCAGCGGCTGGAGCGTCTTCCTGAAAGACAACTGGGACACTGCTACTTTCGTCACCAACTACCTCCCTATCTGGCTCTTCCCCATCCTTTGGATCGGCTACAAGCTCATCAAAAAGACCCACTTTGTCCGCGCGTCCGAGATGGACTTCCTCACTGGCCTTGCCGAGATCGAGGCTGAGTGCTACGAAGAGGCGCCTCCCAAGAACTGGGTCGAAAAGGTGTGGAGTTCGATCATGTAAAAAATCAACGTTGTAATTTGATGGATTCTATCTTCTTTTGGGGGTTTTAAAGGTCGTTGTCAAAATTACTATTCTATGATTTAGGTATACTAGGTATACGCATTGGTTGTTAGTTGTCTACTGTAATCGTTGTCTATATGCATTGCATTATTCTGCTCCTCTTCATATTGCAATATGTTCAGACCCGCCCTTGTGGAGTGGCGCGCCTGGCGCTATCAGCTGCAGTACTTCTTGTGGCAAAAGGCCCAGGTTAAGAGGCCCCATAGGCAGAGATAAGGTATGACGGAGTCTGCACACTGCACTCTGCAGGTTGCGATAGCCCATCGTCATCCATACCATCATTGATATCAAGCTCAACGGAGATGGCCGATAAGGTCTGGGTCGACACAAGCCGCGCGATCTCGGAGGCCAGCGACAAGGTTGAACGATGTAAATTGAAACATTCCCGTTGCGGTGGGGCACATCTATTCGGCATGGCCTGGAGTCTGCGAGCAGATATCTGGGGGGGACTATGGACCATGAAGCGGGAGTATTTGATTATATCCCGGGTGTGAGTCTCCCTGACATCAGTCCACAGGATGATGGCGCTGCTCGGTGCCGACGACTCGTATCTCTAGCCAAGCTTCTTCTTGTCTCCGCTCTCCGAAAAGTCACACAAGAAGCCACCGACAGCAAACGCCTTATCATAACATTCCTGCGGCCTGCTGCGGTCTCGTCATATCGCCGCGAGTATGTCCTTATCGGTGCTGTCACTGCACAAAAGAGCGCGATCGCTTGAAGTGCTGGTATCCGCGCCGCTGATGGTTCTGTTGATGATTGAGCAACTCTAATGTCAATGGCGAAGTGTACATCGGCACGAGAATTCGAGTTCTACTCAAAGCGTAGGTAAACCAGGGGGCCTGATATTTTTTAGCTGGGCTGGAGGCTCAGCTCTACCATGCATGGGAAGAGATTGAGACTCGAAAAAAAAAACTAAGTAAGCTTTTTATGTACATGATCTGAGTAGTGTGTTCTATCTGGTCTCGCCAACATGCTGTATGTGCTGGCTGCGCGCTGTTATTGCTGGCTGAAGACAGGGCAATGATAACCAAATAACGTTGTCAATACGAACCACTGAAATCCAAGAGCTTATAAGGTCCGCAGCTTTGGGTGCCGAGAACGATGCCGATGCCGATGAGCACTGCTGTGGCTGGTGGCTGGAGCGCAGTGTGGCGCTGGCAGGAAGGTTGTTAATTTGAGGGCGGAGATAGAGAAGGCATATACCCGGGCGGATCATGCATCAACGAAGGTGGACGCGCGTGGTGCTCTTCATCAGGTCACAGAGGCCGGGGATACAGCACCAGCTGATAAGAGATAAGCAGCGCCATAGGGCGGTGGAGCAGCACCGGCTATCCATGCACAGGCATATCGCAATGGATCCACGCGGTGATCGCGGTGACTTGACCTCGCAGGCCGTGTACGGAGCCTCCGCGTGCCCTTTTGCACCCCATGCCAAGTGAATAGTCACGGATCAAGGCAGCGCCACAGCAGCTGATTGCACAGCGCCCGTAAGCACTTGCTGTTCATCGCTCAGCTCGTTCTCATCTCTTATCAGTCTTCTGACCTTCCCGGGGTTTTATTGATTTGACACCGCGTGGGACCTTTTTACGTACGCCGGAGAGATCGGCGTTTGGTTCCAGCGATAGGGTTCGCTATTTCGGGCTGCCTGCCTTTCCACCAGAGACGTCCTGTGCATGTGTGTCCTTCGCGAGTGCATCTGTGTGTGTCTGTGTGTCCCAGAAGGGGGGCGCGCACGGACACGTCTCTGCGCATCCCTTTGCTTCCGCCTCCTCCCCTCTGCCCTCTCATCTCGCCATCTCGCGAATCTTTATCTGGTGGCAAAAGGTGGAGGCAGGGCAATATTATTGTGCACCATGCGGCCAACTCTTTCTGCCCTGGATTTACCCTTTGGTTCCATGCTGCCACTTCTCTACCCGACATATTTTCTCGCCTCTAAGCGCGTTCCGGGTTCTCTCGCTCGAATGCCGCACGCGGTCCCCCCAGCACCACTCGCTCGGTTCTCCTGCGGTCCGCGAACGACAAAGAATGCAGCGGGATTGGACGGCGCGATGGATTGCGACATTGATAAGAATACTCTCGGAAGAGCACGACTCGCGATACGGAATATTATGGAGCGCTTTATATACTAGAACCATCTCTTCTTTTTCTTCCTCCCCCACCCAAAAAGTATCATCCACTTCCCGCAAGACAAGCCTTGCAACAGACAAGCCGGCCACTGACGATGTGTGAGTGGTCACTGCCATGCTTCCGAGGTTCCTGTCTGACCCTCCGCAGCCGCGCACACCAACGCTATCGTAGACCTCGAGTCTGCCCCGGTCCCCTCCTCCGCCCTGCCCGCATCTACAGACGACACCAAGGCTGCTGGCGGGCCCATCACTCTCACCTACAGCGGTGACAAGAAAGAGTCCATCCCCGATGTCTCTGTGGGCGCTGCCGGCGCCTTGGACTATGTGTCTGATGAGGTCGAACCTACCGATGAGGAATTCGCCATTCTCAAAAAGTGAGATCGCGCCCGCTCTTAAAGTAGCTTTTGCTGACGTGAAGCAGGATTCCCGGCAAGATGCCCTGGGTTTGTGTCGCCATGTGTTTGATCGAGCTTTCTGAGCGAGTGAGTGGCCTTCGTCAGATCGGATTTCAAATGTCTAACGTCCGCATAGGCGTCCTACTATGGTATCACTGGTGTCGTCCAGAACTTTGTCAAGAACCCTCTCCCCGAGGGCGGTAACGGTGCTGGCGCTGTTGCTCCTGGCTCTGATGGAGCAAACCAGTCGGCCGGTGCTCTCGGCCGTGGCTCTGTGCAATCGTCAGCCATCTACAAGTGAGTTCCATCGTGATATGCCACCGCCTTTACTGACATTCTCCAGTGCTTTCGTCTTCCTGGCCTATGTCTTCCCTATCATGGGTGGTATCATTGCCGACACTAGATGGGGTCGATTCAGGACTGTCGTTGTCGGTACCGCTATCGGCGGTGTCGCCCACGTCCTCATGGTCGTGGTCACCATTCCTCAAGTCCTCGCCAAGGGATCTACCGCTGCCCTCGGCGCCTTCTTGCCCTTCTTCTACATTCTCTCTTTCGCTGCTGGTTTCATCAAACCTTGTCTGGCCACGTTGCTTTGTGATCAGTCGCCTGTCAAGAGGCCTACCATTACCACCACCAAGACTGGCGAGCGAGTCATCCTCGATCCCCAGACTACCGTGCAGCGATACCTCCTCGTGGTAAGTCTTATACTCAGGTCTCGACGATTACTGACAAGGTCTACAGTTTTACTGGTGTATCAACGTCGGCGGTTTCTTTGCCATCGCTTCCTCCTACTCGGCTCGTTTCGTCGGCTTCTGGCTCGCCTACCTCCTCCCCGGTATCGTCTACATGCTCATGCCCATCGTCCTTGTGGTATGCTACAAGAGGCTCTACAAGGCACCTCCCCAGGGCTCCGTTACCCTTGAGGCTATCAAGGTCGTCACCATGATCATCAAGAAGGGAGGCATCATCAGAATGTTCAAGGGCGGCGATGCGTTCTGGGAAACGGCCAAGCCCAGCTACATCTTGGCTACCGAGGGTCATGTCGACCACACCAAGGTCTTCTGGGACGACAAGTTTGTGGATGAGATCAGGCAGTCTATCGCTGCTTGTGGTGTCTTTGCTCTTATCCCCATCTTCAACCTTGCCGATGGTGGTATCGGTTCTCAAGAGAACGACATGTCCACTGCCATGACTTTGAACAGTGAGTTTAACTAGCCTTTCTTTTCTTGACCTAAACTGACAGCCCGTAGACGCCCCCAACGATGTCATCTCCAACTTCAACCCCCTCACCATCATCGTCTTCACCCCCATCATCACTTACGGCCTCTACCCCTTCTTCGAGAAGATCGGCTACCCTCTCAAGCCCATGACCCGCATGACCATCGGCTTCATCTTGGGCGCTGCCAACATGGTCTACGGTGCCATCATCCAGTGGAAGATCTACGAGGTCTCTGACTGCGGCTACTACGCCTCCACCTGTGAGACCGTCACCTCGTGGTCCATCTGGGCTCAGATCCCCCTCTACTCTCTCCCTGCCATCGGTGAAATCTTTATCAACGTCACCTCCTACGAGCTTGCCTACACTCGAGCTCCCGCCCGTATGAAGGGTCTCGTCTACGCCCTCTGTCTTTTCAACCAGGCTATCTCTTCTGCCATCGGTCTTGCGTGTGCCAACGCTATCCAGGACCCTTACCTCATCTGGCCCTATGTCGCTCTCGCCGTTGCTTGTGTGATCTGCGCCGTCCTCTGCCCTACATACTTTAGGCACTTGAACGATCCGGTCCGAGACTTTGCCGACCCCGCTAGACAGGCCGGTAAGCTCCAAGAGACTGAGGCTCTTGCTGAGGACAGGGCGGCGAGCCCTGTGCGAGAGAAGGCTTGAGGTTGAATGATCTTTTCTTTTTTGGGTGTAGGATTGTTGGGTTGTTTTTTTCCTCTCGTGTTCATTTTTGTATGCAGTTTCGAGGCTTCATGCCTGCTCAAGATACTCTAGATTCATGGAATGATATTCTTATAATGCATTCAATTACAACAACGGTTTTAGGGCTTCTGATCAACTTTACTGTGCAAGATTCGCCGCGGCATTCAGACGACACGGCAAGGCTTGCTTTTCACGCCGAGCATTGATCTGAAAGGCTCATTGGATTGATTATGTAGTCACGGATCGGGTGATGAACAGGGGATTGCTGAATTGTATGCATGTTTTGGATCACTGACAGTCTTTTGAGCTTCTTTTAGATTAGAAAGGCCATCATGTGGACGCCACCCTTTATGCCTCGCAGGCGGCATTTCGGCGTCTGTAATAACTTATTTAAGCCTCCCACGCGGAACGGCAGCCCCATGGACGGGCGACGGCGCACGGCGCCAGCGCGCATCTCCTCAGACATTTGCGCGAGTTAGCTTCTTCACCCATATCTTCCCAAAAACACCATGTTGTCCTTCGCCCAGCTCGCAAAGCGCTCCGTCGCAGGAGGTCTCAGGAGGCAGGCTCTGGCTGCCCGATGTAAGTACAGAAACCTCACGTGTCGTTCAACAACTCACAGCGCTAGCCATCCGAACCTCTGCCCCCAACGCGGCTCTCAGCAAGTTTGGCATGCCTGCCATGTCTCCCACCATGACTGAGGGTGGTGTCGCCGAGTGGAAGATCAAGGAGGGCGACTCTTTTGCTGCTGGAGACGTCCTTATCGAGGTCGAGACCGACAAGGCCACTATTGATGTTGAGGCTCAGGAGGATGGTATCTTGGCCAAGATCATCGTGAGTTATCCAACGGAGTGTATGCGGAGCTCTCTAACGTGCGGCAGATCCAAAACGGTGGCAAGGGTATCCCTGTCGGTACCCCCATCGCTGTCCTTGCTGAGGAGGGTGACGACCTCTCCAAGGTTGACGCTTTCGCTGCCGAGTCTGAGGCTGCCGCCCCCAAGGAGGAGGCTCCCAAGGAGGAGAAGAAGGAGGAGAAGAAGGACGAAAGCAAGGCTGCCACCACCCCCGCTGTCGGTATCCCTGGCGAGCAAAAGTACGGCGCTGGCGACCAACAAGCCTCCCCCGCCAAGGCCCCCGAGCACCCCAGCCAGGGCGACAGGCCCAAGTTCTTTGCCAGCCCCCTCGCCCGGAAGATTGCTTTGGAGAAGGGTATCCCCTTGGGCGAGATCAAGGGTACCGGGCCCCAGGGAAGGATCGTCGAGGCTGATGTGCAAAAGTACAAGCCTTCTGCCTCATCGTCCTCTGCTGCTGCCTCCGCCCCCGCCGCTGCTCCTGCCGCCGACTACGAGGACATTCCCGTTTCCAACATGCGTAGGACTATCGGCAAGCGATTGAGCGAGAGCAAGCAACAGCTTCCCCACTACTACGTCACCGTCGAGGTCAACATGGGCAAGTCGATGTGCGCTACGTTACTTCCCGTGCTAACATGGTTACAGACCGAGTTTTGAAGCTCAGGGAAGTCTTCAACAAGGCTGGCGAGGGCAAGACCAAGCTTTCCGTCAACGACTTTGGTGCGTCATGCCATTTGGACTAGCCACAAAGCTGACATCTCACAGTTGTCAAGGCTGCTTCTTTGGCTCTTGCCGAGGTTCCCGAGGCCAACTCCGCTTGGCTCGGTGAGACCATCCGTCAGCACAAGAAGGCTGATATCTGCATCGCCGTCGCCACCCCCAACGGTCTCATCACCCCTATCGTCAAGGACGTTGGCGCCAAGGGCCTCGCCACCATCTCCGCCGAGACCAAGGCTCTCGCTCTCCGTGCCCGAGACGGCAAGCTCAAGCCTGAAGAGTACCAGGGCGGTACTTTCACCATCTCCAACCTCGGCATGTTTGGTGTCGACCAGTTCACCGCCATCATCAACCCTCCTCAGTCTTGTATCCTTGCCGTCGGCAAGACCTCTACCAAGCTCGAGCTTGCGCCTGAAGACCCCAAGGGTTTCAAGGCTGTGCAAGTCATGAAGGTGACTTTGAGCGCGGACCACAGGACGGTGGATGGTGCCGTCGGCGCCAGGTGGTTGAAGGCTTTCAGGGAGTACTTGGAGCAGCCCCTCTCTTTCATGCTCTAAGGTGAATTTGAAGGTGGACGACGATGTAATGCCATGACATTTGGGTTTTTGTAGATGCTACTTTTTTCAATCTCACTGTTCTGTCTGCGAAGCACTTGTCAGATACGAGCATTGATCACGTTGCAAACCAATCGCCTCATCGACACTCTTTCTGCGGCTCATCTCGCCGGTCGACTAAGCCAGTCGGGCTCTTGTACTGATTCCGTCAAATTCATACATACAAAGGTCCGATATTAAAGTATGAGCACATAAATGTCTATTGTCGTTTCGCCACAGTGATAAAGTTGGATCCCGTAGGCTCCCACTTCTTCTTTTGGTAGGGTCCACGGCCGTTCTGCTGAGGTCCCCCTTGACGAGCTCCGCCATAACCTCCACTCGATTGCTGGTACGGCCTTGAGGAAGCATCTCCGGATGCCTGATCTCCCTGCGATATGATCAGTCTGGACACGTTATGGCCACCTTGACAGCACTCACCGCTTTAGCCCTGACTCGCCTGCCACCCCGCGTCTTCTTGCCATCGGCCATAGGCTGTTCCACAGGCGCTGGGTCTTCACCACCATTGAGTTCCCGCTCCTTCTCCGCCTTCTTCTCTCTTTGCGTTCCAACCCTCTGATTCCTCTCATCGAGCTTCTTCTTCCTTTCCTCACCCGCACCACCACCACCTGCTGTGAGCTCGACGTTAATTGTACGAGCATTGATGGTGGTGTGGTGAAGTTTGAGGCAGGCTTGCATAGCTGTGGAGGAGGGGACCTCAAGGAAGGCAATTCCTCGGGATTTGGAAGGTTGGGTGGGGGTGGCTTTAGTCGTCAGGAGACGGACAGAAGGAAGATGGCCTGCGAAATAATCAATTATGAACCGTGAATCGAGGATCTGAGCGACTCACCAACAGCAGGCTCAAAGTGTTTTTGTATTTCCTCACGTGTCGTCTTGAAAGTCAAGTTGCCTGGAACACATAAGCACATGTCGCATGTTGCCTTGAGTCTATCACTTACCGATAAAGAGAATGAAGCGTTGCTTGCCATCCTTCCTCCCCTTTTTCTTCTTCCCCTCTTCCTCTTCGTCCCAAGCCGTCTTTCTCTTCTTCGTTTCCTTGCCCTTGCCCTTCTCCTCTGTCTTCGTAGCGGTATCCTCGTCGTCTGCTGATGGTTCCTTCTCTTCTTCGTCGTCGCGCTTTCTCTTGCCGGCGCTCTTCTCTTTCTCGTTTGCCTTGACCGCTACCTCGGGCTGCTCGTTCTCATCGTCGTCGTCCAAATCTTGCTCTGGCAAATCTTCAGGAGCTTCGGCACCGGCCTTTTTGGCCTTTTGTTTGCTACGGAAGGCAAGAGCCTTCTGCTGCTTTTTCGTGAGGGTTGTGGACATTTTCCGGGTTGATGACAGGAACAAAGCACCACAGTTCATGCTGATTTTGAACTTTTGACCGCGAGAGTGGAGGCGGGGGACGCCGCTCCACTTCCTTCTTGTTGCCATCGATCCTCATCAGGAAGCAGCAAATGGTTGATACATAGTCAAATCAACTCTCCCCGGCGACACTCCTCCACCAAACCCGGAAACGATGGAAATTACGGACACGTAGAGAAAAAGGGGATAATCACATCGGACTCTTTCCCCCAGGATGCCTAGCCGCATATGAGTCCTGAGCAAACGAAAAGGGATGAATTGGCCCCAAGAGTGTATAGGACGAAGAAGGACATGGGTGACACGTCGCAGAGCTATCATGATAAAGATGAGATGAGTCCAAAACGAAACGGAAATAGAAAAGGAAAAAAGAGACCAAGTAACGAATCTAAATGTCCCTCCGAGGGTAACGTAAATTTCTTGAGTAATGCAGTGACAGATATACACGGACATGATGGTAGAGATGGCAGCCGAAAATAACAAAAGGCTGTGATAGAGAATAGAGCATGGGCACTCTTTTTGTTGTTGTGTTTGATCATTGTAGATTGATTGATTAAGCCTTGACAGCAACGGAAGCGGTCTCAGCGGGGGCAGCAGAGCTGGCGACAGAGGCAAAGCTGATAGGGGCGGCCTTCTTGGAAGCAGTCTCGAGAACAGGAGGGCCGGGAGAGGTGCTGGAGGCAGGGGTGGTAGCGGATGAAGGCTTTCGAGAAACGAGGACCGCGTCAGAGTCGTCCTCAGACTCCATGGTCACACTCTGTCGGGGCTACATCAGCTTAATACTTGCCTCTCCGATGTGCAGATATTGGAGCGAAAACTCACCTGGTTATCCTCTTCAGACTTGGCGGGAGCGGGCTTGGCGGGAGCGGGCGCTTGCAAAACTTGGGCAGCAGTCTTCCCAGAGACACCCCAGACCGGCTCCTTCTTCTCGCTGGTAGGGGTACCGAGAACAGGGAACTCGTCGGCACCGGGGATTCGCTGGGAGACCTTCTTCTCGGGGCCGGACGACGCCGATCGACCATTGGCGGCACCGTTCGCGTTGGGGACTCGGCCCGCTCGGCGAGGGTGGCCATTGCCGTGGAAGGAGACATTGGAGGGCGCAGGAGAGTGAGATCGGGAAGAGAGGCCGTTGGCATGCACTCGCTGGACACCAGGCTGAGAAGCAGATCGGATAATGGTGGGCATAGGTGCGGCAAGGGGCTTGGAAGGAAGGGTGTTCTCGGCGGGGGTAGCGGCAGGGGCAACAGCCTCCTTCTCCGCGCCCTCGACAGTGTTTCCTTCCTCCGCAACAGCCTCATCGGTCTTGCCCTCGGCGGAGGCAGCAGCAGCCTGTCCTTGCTGAGCTTGAGCGGCAGCCATTCGCTGATGCTGCAAGAACTGCATTTGCTGCTGGTACTGCTGCTGTTGCCTGAAAGAAGGGTCAAAGGGGGCAAATCCGCCGTTAGGACCAGTAGACCTCATGTTTCGCTTTCCGTTACCAAGAGGAGGGAGGGGAGGAAGGACGCCTCGGACAACGTCAGGGTGTCGGCCTGTGCTCACGTCAACATGGATCATATACACCCTGCTCGATTAGACTTACAGTCGTGACCCTCAGCGTCAAGGTGGGGGAACTTGCAGAGTTCACCGTTCCTGCAGTTGCCTTGATTGAAGAACGCACAAGGTGGGGGGACGCCGTCCTTCCAAGTACCAAACTTGCTCGTACCATTGGGGGGCCTACCGCCGGCCCAAGGCTTGCCGCCAGAGAAGCTGGGCTTCTTTCCATGCCCGAAAGGCTTACCGTTCGGGGCACCGAATTGCTGACCGACGCTCTGCCGTCTGGGGGCACCGTTCGCCATGGGAGGTGGAGGAAGGAAACCACCGTTGTTGGGCGGAGAGGCAGCAAAGAAGACCTCAGCAGGTGGAATGGACGGGAGAGAGGTGCCGAGCATAGATGGAGACATGGGCGAAAGGCCGAAGTGAGAAGGAGGGGGAGAAGCCATCATGTCTCCGGGCTGGAAACCAGGGACAAAGACGGGGGCGACAGCAGAAGGAACGTGGGGGGCAGTAGGACCAGGGGCGGCACCGCCTTCTACCTGACCGGCGACCTGTTGCTCCTGGAACGACTGGAAGCCGTTACCGCCGTGAGGCATAAAGTACGGAGCAGGCGCAGGAGGGTACGGAGGGAAGCCCTCGTAGTTTTGGGGAGCAGGATAGCCGCCCTGGGGACCAGGTCCCGGGGGGTAGAACCCCGCAGCACGGGGGTGAAGGAAGACACAAGCATCGCCGTACTTGCAGTTGGGGAAGTTTCTGCAAGGGATGGACTTGCTGACTTCGGCAGGAGGAAGGTTGCTGTTCGAACCGTTAGGGGCAGACACAGACTCCTTCCTGGGAGCACCAAACTGCTGCTGATTCTCGCCACCGTTCTGCTGGGGGAAGTAGTTGGGCTGAGGGTAGTACTCCTGAGGGGGGATGGTCATGAACTGGGGGGGCATGTTGTAAACGGGCTGGGGGTAAAGAATGGAAAGCATGGTCGAGTCGGTGGTGAGCCCGGGAGGGGGCACGATGGCACCGGCGGCGAGCAACTCTCGCACAACATCATACTGGTTTCCTCGAATAGCGAGAACGATAGGCGTGCACCCAGTGTTGACATCTGTCCGACAACGTTAGCATTCTGAACCTCAGACACGATAAACATGACGGAAAGAGGAAAAGACATTGATACTTACCCAAAGTCTCCAGCTTGTCGGTACCCTTGCTCAAAGCAGCCTTGACCTGGTCAAGGTTGCCTTCGGCACATGCAGCGTGCAAGTCAAACTCGGCATTCACCAGGCTCATCCCGTTGACCTGTCCCTGCAAAGTGTCGACCTCGTCCTTCTGAACGTCGGCCGGGGCGTTGTTCTTGATGGGAGCTTGGCTCTGAGGGGTGCCGGTGGCGTCAGAGTGTACGGCGACGGATTCGACGGCCATGTTGTTGTCGTATGAGGCGTTGGGTGAACGTTTTTGGGTGGATTTTGACCTTTTTGATGGGGATTTTTCGTCGGAAAGACCTCGGTGCCAAGAGGGACTCGATGGGCTGCTGTTGCGGCGGGGGCGAGGAGGGTGAGGCGGGGCGAGATGGCTCGGGGCGGGAGAGGGCGTCTTTCCGAGGGGCTGACGAAAGAAAGAGGAGAAGAAGTGAAGAGAGAGGCCACAAACAACCAAGGGCCACGCCGACTTTTTTCGAGATCCGCCATTCCATTAGCCCATTACGAAACATTTATAGTCCATTACAAATCGGTTCTATCGGGTAGTTTCGACGTGCCTGCTGCAGCTTCCCGATCGGTTATATTTCCACCCGCTTCTCCTTTGCTTCTGTCCCTCTGCGCCAGTATGCATATAACAGCGGATGCATGACTGCGAGAGTATATGTCCCTGCTGTCCTACTCGTGCACCCAAGTCCATGCCTCTTGTACCTACTTCACATGCCTATGGACAACCTTCTTTTATTCGTTTTACTCGTCTGTTGAATGATGATGATAGTGTTTGTGGCTCGGCTTGTGCCGATGTGTAGATCTACAAGATCTAATCTCGTAGGTATTTGTCGGCTTTACCCAATGCCCAAATGCAAAATATGAATTTGAATGCTTGGCCGTTGCTTTCAGCGACATATCTTTGCGGCTCGGAAAACAGCAACTTACCAGGATAATCAATCGCACAATTCTTGTTGAAGACACCCTCCGTGTCCTCCTGTTCCCATCTCCCGTCCTTCTGCTGTCGACTCATAATCAATCGAGTAGCCTTCTCGATCACAGTCTTGTCGGGGCACTGGCCATAGACGAGGGCGAGGATAGCCCAAGCGGTCTGGACGACTTGTGATTTTTCATGTTGAGCGTACTCGCCCGTCACACAAGACTGCTCGTTGTCAGAGTAGCATCTTGAAGTGACGAAAGACGCACCATATAAGTCTCGCCCCATCCCCCATCGTCCATCTGACGAGCCACCAAAAAGTCGCAAGCTCGTTTGACGCGATCCGATTTGGCCCAATTCTCTCCAGCGATAGACAACGACTCGAGAGCGAACATTGTAGCGTAGGTGAAGCAAATGCCCCTTTGCAAAGCGTTAGTGACTCTGATACTCGTGCTTGGAGTCAGTGAGACGCACCACGAGCCATACCACGAGCCATCGGGGCGCTGTATGTCATGGAGGTATTTGATGGACAGGTCAATTGTCCGGCTGCAAGATAGTGTCAATGAGCAGTACAAGGCTGATTGATTCGCTTACGATATGTCGGTGGGGCGGTAGGTTGGATTGAGAAGTGAAAAGTGCTTCAGACCCGACAAAGCTGAAGTCGTACACTCGGGGTAAGTGTAGTCGATCATGATGTTTCCTGAATTGCAATCAGCGTCAGTCTATCTTGAAGTCCTCGCTATCCTCACCAAATACCTCGGCAGCATTGAGCAGCTCCAAATAAGTGCCCGACCGACTGAGCTCATAGCTCGCGAATCCGCCGTTCGCGTTCTGCATGCTCAACAACGTGTCCACAGCATCCTTCATCCGATCCATCGACACAGCCTCCGGGGTATAGTCAAGATGCTGAAGACCCATGACGGCCTTGAGACCTTCCGCAGTACAGTCGCTGACGGTATAGCTTTGCTCCGGGGTGGAGAACGGCCAAGCTCCTTTGGTTCTGTGCCGATACCCCGCCTTGTACCACTTGGGGTTCTCCCGCATCTGCGCCTTGTCCAGCCAATCAAGCATCCCCAGAGCGCTATCTCGGAACTCTTCCTCCTCCGCCAAGCCGGTCTCGACTGCCGCTTGCGCCATAAACCCTGCATCCCACAGCTGCGAGCCATTTGTGCCCATCATCATCAAGCCACCTTCACTCAGCCAAAGGAAATCGTCTACACGGGAGAGGTGGGCTTTGAAAGCATCGCTGTCGGCGCCTTCACGGGCGTAGCGGCATACAATGTGGAAGGCTTTGGAAACGGGGCCAATGGTTTGGTAGGTGGTGTTTTCGTCTTCATAAACGATCAACTGGTAAGCTCTGTCAAGGGCGGCTTGGCGGAGGGGGAGAGAAGAAGAGATGACGGGAACATGGGGGAGCTTTTCGTAGACGCCCAGGACTTTGTGCGCCGCGCGTAAAACGGGAGAGTGGCCAGAATACACGTCGTATGAAGAGATATTGGACCTTTGGCGAGACCATTGGATGGATTCGTAGGGCTGGGTGTAGAGTTCCTAGGACAGTGTCAGTTGGTAATAACGCAATGCAGGAGGAGCATACTTGACGAAGACTCGCAACAAGAGGAGTGTATGGACCGACGAAGCGGGTGCCGTAGAGGTAACTCATCGGGGTGACTGGAATTTAGTCAGTTAGATGCACAATTCACTGTTAACAACTACTTACAGACGTTGCGAACATGGATCCACTGGGTCCACCTGTCAGCTTGGCCAGAGCAGCTCATACGATGAACTCACCCATCTCCAAGGCGCAAATGGCACCCAATCAGGCAGCAACAACAATTCTGGAGGCACTGACCCCACACCGTCCCACTCATACGCACCGAGGATGCAAAGCCACGCTTTGCCCCAAGTTGGAATACCAGTCGCACCTCCTGAAATGATGTCAACGACTCGCACAAACTTGGGTGCAAGTGACTCACCCATCTTGTGGATCAAAGCTCTAATTTCGCTCATAGGCCCTTCGTCTGGGCTCATACCCAGTATTCTCAGTGCGACATAGTTCATGACTGTACCAAATACAGTAGGCGGAGCTGCAGTGTGACTAATGCAAGGTCAGTATGGCGTTTGGTAACGGCTGAAAGACCACTCACAGACCCCAGCCACCCTCCTTTCGCCTCTTGCCTAGCACATAGCGTCGCATCTCCAGCTGCTGTTCTGGCCTCAGGGACTGTCCAGTCACATAGAGGGCCACGACCAGACCAGGTATGAGAAAGAGTGGTCCTCCATACTCTGTGGAAAAGTGACCGTCAGGGCTTTGGATCTGTTTGTAGAAGCGGTAGCCGTTGCGCGCTGCTTCCAGGGGAGTCTTGGCTCGTTTGAGCTCGGGAAGGTCCTGAGGTGGATTAGATTACATTGAAGCAAAGAGTTTGGGCTTACGGTAACCAGGCCAAGCCAGTACTTTTCGACGATGGACTGAGGCCACTGCTCCCTCTGGTGTGGGTCGGCGAGGTAGACCCATTTCTGTTGGCCGTGCGAGTCTTCGCCGACGACGAGGCGCCACGCAGACAGGTCTGTCCTGGGAGTCTCGTAAGCCATGGGGTGGGAGATATTCGAGTTGAGAGAAAGACATAAAGGACAAGAAAGATGGCCGGTGGTCTTGGTCTTGCATCTTCACGCGTGGCCTTCCCCGCATTCGCATCTCGGACGAGTCCGGGGTAACCGTCCATGACTCCTTGTTGTTACTTTGACCCGGCTTCAACTGCATTCGTAGGGGATGTACATATCATGGCTTCATTGACCATTAGTTGCATAGCAAACAAATTTACATAGCATTCTTCAACTCCCTCAGCTTGCCCATAATCGCAACAGGATCGGTCTCTCCAGTGGCCTTTCTATTGAGGCATTCGTGTCAGCTGACACATTCTTTCGGATAACAGGCTTTGAGGACAGTCTGAGGATCATACACGTACTTGGCTTCTGGTGTAGTCAATCTCATAAAGACGTTCCAAGTCTTCTCATCACCGATGGTCGATTTGCCAGTGGTACACGAGTCTTCTTGCGCCTTCTTTAGCAGACTACCGCAATTATGATCAGCATCTCGGCTACGAAGCCTGGGGCAAAGAGACTCGCCTTTTGAGAGCAGCATTCTCCGGCTCAATGGTGAGTCCAAATTGGGCAGATCCTTGGGTGTACTCGTGTCCGTTGTATACGACCGTATCCTCAGGAAGTTTGGAGAGTTTTGTGAGGGCTGTGTGCATTTCCTCGGGGGTGCCTAGCTTGAGGTCAGCGTACAGTGGCAAGTAGATGGTAATGTAAATCACCTTCAAAGAAACGACCACATCCACCCAGGAAGAGGGTGTCACTGTCACATATCAATATCAGAGCCAGCATTGCCAATCGTAGAGTGTGATACGCACCCTGTGAACACGCCCTTCTCGCCCGTCTTCTTGTCTTCAAGGTAGAAGCAGATTGAATCCTGGGTGTGACATGGAGTATGGTGACACCTGGTTACACATTAGCTGTAGGTCATGGCAGCAGATGGTGTCGCTCACTTGACCGAGATATCGTCTCCTATGGTGAAAGTATCGCCGTCTTTCACCACAATATTGGTTCCTGGGCTTTGTGCAGATCCTCCATATGCTTTGAGATCGGGGTGAAGAGACAGCTGTAGGTGGACGTCAGTCCTTGCTCTCCAGTTTTCATCGTCGCCCTTGTCCTGTCTTGTTGCCTATCTGCCTACTTGCCCACTCGAGCAGTGTGCTCACTCCTCCCGTCCCCAGCATACAAAGCGAGCACTTACAAACTTGGAATTGCCTCCTGAATGATCGTCATGGTGGTGAGTAGTGATTAAACTCGTCACATTGACCCCGGCTTCTTTGGCTGCCTTGGAGATCTTGCCCGCGTCATAAGGGTCGACCACGGCGGCTTGGTTGGAGGAGTCGACGATGAGGTACATCCAGTTGTCGGAGCGGGCCTGGTAAGGAATTACTTTCATCTTGCGGCTGTTGATGCCAGATGGGTAATAGAAGGGAGAGGATTGGTCACTGATATCACGAAGTGGAGCTGGGGTGGGACCTACGATGGTGTTGTGGAGAGCTGTCTGGTGGTAGTTTTCAGAAGGTCAATTCGGGGCGAGATCTTGGTAGCTATCATCGGTACAGTCCGTGGCGAACTGGATGAGAGAGCAGAGTATCCTCATGATATCAGTTCGTTGCCGGCTCGGGGTTGCGTCGGGGCCCGAGTGACGTCCGAAAGTGGAGGCAGATCATGCGTCCCGTCAAAGCACAGCTGGTAAGTGATGAATAATGATCATGAACAATTCATACAATCCGGTCTCGCGGGTACTCTATGTGGAGATGTCATCTCATTTCCAAGCTTCTTCCTTCTTCTCCAACTCGTCTCCCTGGCATCCAAGCTTGTCGTATGTATCTATCAAGTGAGATACAAGAGCTGACCCACTGGGTCTTCAGCAGTTTTATGTTATGTTTTCAGTACTCTACCCTCAGTCTCCACTCATTCCTTCTTGACAGCCCCCTTGACCTGTCCCACTCTTCTCAAATAATCTCGTATTGTCAACCTCATCTCTGCAGCCACGTCTTTCAACAGCAGATCAGTGACAAGAGGATAGAATGTCGGGATGTGCTTCTCGAACTGTTCAAAGGTCAGACTTGAACGTGTTACGATTGAGACGCGACTTACAGGAGCTTCTTCCAGGATGCAACATCCTTGTAATATATTTGTCACGACCGGAGTCCAAGCAGCAATATTTCTGGGCTGACTCTCTGCTTCCAACGCAATGAAATCTCCCATGATCTCGGTTGCCAACCTGGATGGTGGTCAGCGCTCCACATTCTCAAGCAAGCGCTCAACTCACGGGACAAGTCTATCTACAATATCATCCCTGGTCGCCCTATGAGCGTCTCTGGGGTCTCTATACATTTTCAAAAGTACGCCGACAAGGGTGGCCGCAGCACTCGACTCTTGCTTGAGCAGGTTGGGGAGCTGCTTCATGAAGCCTGTCGAGAATCAACGCTACTCCCGTTCCCACATAAGAAATGCTACTCACCAACTTTCCATAGCTGCATCCTCAGGTCCTTGTCCGCATTGAACTTCCTGGCAAAACTCCAGCTACCTTCCAGCACATCCAACAGCTTCAATAAGTGCTCCGCTGGGATAGTGTTGTAGACTTCATCGTTTTGTAGCAACTCATGTGTTGTCTCGATAAGCAAAAGCTGGAGGACACACTTCACGATGACCTGCTTGAAGATACGTCGCTGTTCACCATAGGTGATGTTGGGCGGTAACGACGCCGACTTGTCGGAAGCAGGTTCCAAAGGTGCTGGTGCAACGAATTTTTGGAATGGAGCTGGATTCCATCAGATTGCCATTCTTCTTGATGGTATAGAAACTCACGGTCAGCGTCGTGGAGGTCGCCCGAAGGCTCAACCTCGGAACACATGACAGGGTCAAACAGCTGGAGAGCAGTCGTCGTCTTGAACAACTGGACAAAAGCAGAGACGATAAGCTCCCACTTCTCCGGGCTGAGCTTGCGAACATTCTGTTCGAGCAGCTGTTCGAAGCAAGAGGTACCGATCCGCGCGAGCGTGTCATTTTCTATACAATCTGTAAGCATCTCTCCCCTTTCACAACAAGCCCAAACCTCACCTTGACAGATACAAGCCACCAGAATGTCAAGCAACCCATCCAAGTAGTGCTGCATTACTTCAAAGTGCACAGTGTACAGATTGATCAAGTCTCGCAGTGCTGAAATCAAGGTTGTTGAAAGCCAGACACTGAGGTCTTCGGGTGATTTGAATCGTACGTCGGACTTGGCTCTCAGGACGGCGAAAATTGGGAACAGGACCTGCTGACAGACGGTGCTCCAGAAGGTGACGGAGAACCCTGAACCGTGGGTCTTTAGGGTATCGAACAGGCAGTCCAAGGCCCTACAAATGGGTGTCAGTTTGGACATTGGAATAACGACATTACTCACAGTCGGCGAACCTCCAAATCCTCGCCAGTCATGATGATCTCGTAGAATGAGTGAAGCACTGGCAGCCAATACTTGACCATTGGATCATCACCCTGCTGAGATTTGCCCTCGTCTCCCGGTTGAGGAAGCAAGCATTCAGGGCACTGCAACATCTTTGGCACCAAACCCCGCACCATCTCGATAGCCTGCAAGCTGATCTTTTGGAACTTTGACACCTTGCAGAAATCGGTGATGCAGGTCGTCAAATCTGAGAAAGAGCCAAACTTGACCACGAGGGAAAAGTAGTCTTTGTACACGAGCGTTACCAGCTCGAAAGCATAGTTGCAAACTCGTTCAGTGAGCACCTTGGATGCCGCAGAAAAGACGCCAAACATGGTCCGCCAACCGGATCGCAGATTTTGCACTCGGGATTGCAGCATATGTTGAAGACATTGCAAAACCTACAGGTGATCAGTGATGGGCAAGCTTTATGAGAGTGATCGTCTTACCATCTCACGGGCATCCGAATTCTTGTTATGAACAATGGTGTACTCGAATGGTCGCAAGAAGTCCTTTTGGAATCGGAAGTGAGACAGCTCTTCCTTTTCCAAAAAGTTCATGGCAAGCTGTCGCAGAGCGTCCAAAGCGAAGAAGCTGACATTGGGGTTATTGTGGCAGCAAACCTGATCACGTCAGTCCGTATACTTGGCAGATACCATTACACTAACTTGATTGAAATGCTCCCCCAGAATTAGCCAGATATTAGACCATTCCAGCCTAATTCGACCCATGTTGTAGTAGGAGATTTCGACAAGCTTTTGCAGACTAAACATGCGAGGGCGGGGGGAGGACCCAGAAGACTGGATCTCCTCCCAAGACACTTCACTGAGTGCCTTGACAAAGTCGACGATGGCAGACTACTGTGGGTCAGCTGTCGGCTTTAAATCAGGAGAGAAGACATACGCCAGAGAGGTTTTTACTGGTAGAAAACACCATGTCTGCGGCCACTGTCACCTGTGAAGACCTCGACTCTTCGGCAACTTCTTCGGCCAGCGCCTTCTTTTTGTGTGTCGACTTTCGCTTATCGCTGGATGACGTCCTACATCCCAGTCAGTCACAGACCTTCGCTAGGTAGGATAAAACTCACACTGTCCTATTCAAATCAGGCACGTCCATCCCACTCGAGATCAACTGCATCCTCTCCAACTGGCTGACACACACCAACACATCTTTCCAAGACGCCTTGAGATAGTTGCCATCAGTGACAGCAACGTCCAACAGACTCTTGATAGCCTCCATGTTCTTTGGCTTCATCTCGGCGACATTGTTGAGGTAGGTAAACTTGGCCAAAGTAGTCACAAAGGCATTACGCTCAAGTTCCATGTCAAAGAGACACACGATGCGGATAGCCGCACGAAGACCCTCCAAGCACAAGTCGACGACATCCATATCCTCCGTCTCTTGCAACGACGCAGAGATGCCAGCGAGGAAAGGCATCCAAGCCACCTCAAACATGAAGCGGACGTGCTCCAAGCGCGAGGCGGTGTGATAGTGATCGGTGGGACGAACCACACCCCGTCGTTGTTGGCGCACCATCGCCTTCAACAGCGACTCAGTCTTGCTTGCCATGTTTTCAGATTGCGCCACGTACGCCTCTCGCTGCAAATCTCTTCCAACACTGGCAAGCCCGCCCGATGCCGGCGCTTGTGGGAGCTCCACCTCATCCTTCATCTTGATCTCATTGGAAGTGATCTCATCGTACACCTCGGACAACATCTCCTCGGGCAAGTCTGCACCGTCGTTGATACCCCTGTTGTTCTTGATGAATTCGGCCTTTGTCATTCGCTTCTGCTTGAAGTTTTTGTTGTGTGCATCGGTGTTGAGCATGATGACAGAGAAGGCAAGGATGTAGGCGGTATCAGCGTTGGCAAACTCGGTAGACGAATTGTTATGCAAGTAACGCTCCGCAAACTTGAGCATGAACCTATCAATCTTTTGAGCTTCACCAGGAAGTCTGAATGATTGGAGGTAAGTCCTCAGCGCGTCGGTAAATTTCATACCGGAAAAGTCGAGCATGTCGACAAACGCGTGCATTGTGGCGACATGCTCTTCGTCGCCTTCACCGAGATACTCGCCAATCATGGCCTTGTTGAGACCTTCATTACCATGCAAGAATCGGGCAATGTCATTCGGGGCGTTTGAGCGTATAAAGCCTTGCTCGACCAGATAGGCGATACCCCGTTTGGGTTTAAAGTTGAACTTTTTGATGCCCTCCAAGAGATTGGTCTTGCGCTGCTTGGCAGACTCGAATCGGTTCACATCGTCTTCGCCGAGATCAGGCGTGTTTTGTCCGGATGCGAGACCGGAGATGCTAGGCGTTCTCAGATTGGGGTCGGCTGGCCAAACAGGGGTGGGCGCGGCAAGTTCGGCATTGGAACCTGACACTGATCCCGACGAGTGATGCCTACCGAGACCATCCTCATTTCCTGGCTGTAGATCTTCATGCTGCTGACCCCTAGCGCCTGAATTGGATGTGGACCACGCCACCAACGACTTGAGCGCCGCTACGAGACACTCGAGCGACTGCCGGCGAAGTGTGACCTCGGGTGGCAGATTGGCATAATGAGGTGAATTGGGCCCCGTGTCTCCTCCAAGCGCCGCCGTGCTCAAAGACGCCGGGATGGCCGGTCCTGCAGACCCACCCGAATGCTTTGTTGACCCACCGGCGGCCAGCTCCTCCTTGCTCGGCGGTGCGAAGTGCGTTTGTCCAATTTTGGAGACAATGTTCATCAACCGCTCGTAGATGTTTTCAAGAGACGCGCGGTCGCAGTCGTAGTTGATGTATATCTCGACGAGGGCTTGTGGATTGTGACACAGGCGAATGAAGACGCCGAGGATGACAGACTTTTGGCGAATGGTCGAGTGACGCATTTCAAGGATGGGGATGAAGATTTCGTTCAAAAGTACTTCAATCTCTTTCTGTGCAAGGTGTCAGCTAGACCTACGCGAAGTGATTGACGATTTACCTTCAATTGCGCCCTCATGTCACTCAACATACACCAAAAGATCTCTACACTCAGCTCAAACACCTGATTCACCGGACTCAGGGCATTCCTCGACAGACTCAATCCCAGGTATTGCTTGGTAGCTTGCAAGAATGGCGTCATTTCGAGAGAAGAATTGGACGGGATGCAGACGTAGGGGTTGACAAAGAGGTCGGAGTGGGATTTGAGAATGGTGAGGACCAGGTGGAGGGAGAGCAGCTTGGAACGCATAGCGTGAGATCGGAGGTCTTTTTCGCTGAATCACTGTCAGCACTATGCCTTTTCTGGAGACGAAAAGCTTACCTGTCCGTCACCAAAGGCTTCATGGTCAGTTTACACAACGCTCTAAAGACCAAGAATGCGTCTTTGACCAGTAATTGCTCCACGGGTATCGGTCTACCCATAGCATCCAGATTTTCGTCTTCCTCGTCTCCATGACCATTCGCCTCAGCATTCTGCTCAACATTGAATGAAGGGGCATCGCCATTGGGAACAGGGATGGGAACGGTATGTTGCGGGAGTCGCGGGGTGGATTGTTCGACGTCGGGGTCGACATCTTCAGCACCATCGCCGAGGGCAGAACGCTCAACTGGGATGTTGTCGTTGGGGTTTTGAGCTGCAAACGACTCTCTACAGAGGAATCAGTACTAGTCGGTCAGAGAATGTCCCACGCACAATGTCAACTTTCCATTCTCCTGCTCGGTAGCATCAGGCGCTGGCGTCGGTGGCACCGATCCTATTTCGCCCGACCTCGCTTCCCCCCTCCGCCTGGCTTCGTTTTCACTGACACCGACACTCCCTCTTTCACTCTCTCGCCCGGCCGACTTGATATCCGGCCTCACCACCCTCCCAAAGACGTGATGTACCATCTGCGTCAGTCCTCCCTGCGCGACAACTTGGTTGGCGCCGTCGTTGGACAGTAGAAAGACATTGTAGACTGTACGGACAGCTTTGAGAAGGGAGGACTGGTGGACGAGCATGCCCTTGTCGGTTGACAGGACGATAGCCATCAAAGCTTTGACAACCTGCAACGCGGCTTGTGGCGGAGAGGCCTCAGAGTAAGATAGCGTGATGGTGTGCGTGATGAGGTCGGGGAGGGGCGGTAGCCCAGGAGGCGGGCCGTTGGGTTCTGAGAAGAAGGAGTGCGATATGAGTTTCGAGAGGAGGTCGAGGGAGGTGACGAGGACGGGGACAGAAGTCGTCTGCGGATTTGAGATGGCGAGTCGCAGGGGCTCAAAGATCTCTCTCGGATGGAGATAGGCCACATTGCTCCCCTCGGTATTTTGACACAATTCCAGAGCGCGCTGGGCAGCCGCGTGGAATGAAGGTGATTTCTTTGCTTCTTTCGAATTGACCAGGATCTGGAGCGGGGGAGTGATGAGGACGGAAGAGAGTTGGGGGCCGGGAGAGTTGGGTCCGAGATTGGAGAGGGAAAGTGTGGCGACGGACGACGTTCGAGAGTGGTGCCCGGACGTGACAGAAGACGGGCGGCCGAGATTCTGCTGCCTGGATGGCGTTGGCGGAAGTGATGGCGATACAACAGATGGAAGAGATGCCACGGAGGCATTGGTGCTTCTCCTAGTCGTATCGCTCGGGGCCACGGCCGGGGTGGCAGCTCTGCTCAGCTCGACATCATCGAGGGTCTCCTTGCTGTCCACCCTGACGGGCACCGCTCTCTCTGGCTTCGGGGGTAGTTGTGGGGGAGGTGAGACCTCAATGTCTTCTGGGTCTAACGGGCTGCCATCTGCGCGTTCGGCCTCGAGAGCCGTGCTGGGTGTCTTTGGCGAGGGGGGCAGCTCCTTGCCGGGGGAGCCGTGGTGGATGCCGAGGCCGACTGGCTGGGGCTCATGGGCGGTCTCCAGGGGGACCTCTTGGAAATTGCTGTGCGGGGGCGTCTCCTCGTGCGCTGCCATGGTGCGCCGCTGTCGTTCAAAAGTCCACTCAATAGTCTAATGCGGCGCGCGAGCATACGTGTTTTGGTACAGGCGCGTTCCCCTCGGCGATCGCCGCCCGGCCCTCACCGCTCCTCGGCCTTTCCCCTTGTGGCACTGTGTCTCGCGACGTGCACCTTGGCACTTGGCATCTTATTTCGCATGGGATCTATAGCCTGCTTGGTATAAAGCAATCACCATGGGTGAGGACGAGGGCCGTCCGCTGGGATCGTCGGGAGACAGAGTGTGTCTTGATCATTGCTTGGTCTGCCTGGGCACGCGGGCATACAGTGGCTATAGACGCCGCCCCCACTGAGGCAACTGTGAGGCGAGGAGATCAAGAGCATGAGCAAGAGCATGAGCAAGAGCATGAGATACACGCCGCGGTATCGTCGGATGCATCGGATGAAGCTCTCGCTGCACAGTTGGGTGATATTCCGGATGCCGAGAACCGAGAGTTTCAGGAGTGGTGGTGGATGACGTCAGACCCAGGGTTTGAGCCGTACCCTTTAGTGATTGTCCAATTTTTTGCCCTGTCCCTGGTCCATCTCGCGCATGCCCATCCCGTGCTGGCGAGCGCATGCATGCAGAAATGTATATCCTCTATCATCTCCATCTGTGTATACTGCTTCCATATCCAGCAGGACGCAGGAGACCCCCTGCACTACCCCCGTGACTCGCTCGCAGCACTCCGATACCCGCCGCACGCTTGTGCCTTCCATCCGCAGGTTTGCAGCCCGCTCCTGCCCTCGCAATAATCTGTACTCGAGGCAGTCCTGGCCCATAAGCACGCTATACGTTATCGCAGAGATAGGCAACTAGTAACCCGAGTGCAAGACAAGCCCCGTCCAGCATGGCATTCTACGCGAGCCAGCTGCAACCCTTCGAGGAGGTGAGTGTCCGTCGCTTGCCAGCCCTGTCCCCCGCATTCCTCGACACAGACTTGCCCCTTTCATCCAGGTCCCCAGTCCCGTCCCAGCCTATACATCATGCACGGGCATCTCGCAGAGGGATAGTGCAGACAGTTCCCCCTTTGGGCATGTGGGCCATCGCCGCTCGCAGGCAGATGCTTTTATTTCTCTTACCTGGGTAATTTCCCCCCTGCCACCCTTACCCCCGCATTCGAGCAACGCCTCCTCGTCAGCAAGTCCCTCCATCGCATCTCTTCTGCATTTCTTCTTCTCTCCCCATCCCCTCTCTTATCTCTTACCCCCGCCCGGCATCGCACCATCTTGTCTGTTTTCTCCGCAGCTGGCCCTACTGTCGACCCCCGCTAACACTGGTTTCCCCAGCATCAATCACCCTCCCCCACCGACGAGCTCTCTGAAAACCCCTACGAACTCGCCCTCGCCCCCCGTCGCACATCCTCCCTCCATCCTCGTCGCAACAGCAGCAACAACGGGCCCCCCTCCCCGGTCAACTCGCTGCACAGTCGACTCTCAGGTGATCCAGAGTCGCCCCCGCCCGCGTGGAAACGTCGTTCGTCCATCACCGCAGGCAAGCCCGCTGCAGCATCTCGTGCAGCCTCAGAATCGCCAGGCCACAGCGCGAATCCTTCTACGTCGTCGACGGCCACTGCCTCTTCCATACCTGCCCGCATCTTTCAACCACCTTCGCGAAAACATCCAAGTCTAGCCATGACCACCGCCACGGCCCCTGCTCCTGTCCCTCCCCGCGCCCCCACCTCCCTCAATCCGTCGCCCCACGGCTCGTCCACCTCGTTGGGGGACAACCTCGCCTTGCCCAATCCTGCCTTTATCAGACGGCGGGGTGGCGATGGCAGTGCAAGCCCTTCTGCCCGCTCTTCTATCTCGAGTAGCCAAGATCTCAACACGCTTACCAGTGAAGAGCTGTGGTCTTTGAATAGGGAAGACGTACCGGACATGAGCAACCCTCATACCACTGCTGCAGAGAGGCCGTTGGATACTGTCAGGAGACAAAGCAAGATGTCTGACGCGGCGTTCCATGGTGGTTTGCCTGGAGAGGTCATCTGTAAGCAAAGCCATGTTTGATATCGACCAAGCTAACATTACTCCAGGGCCCTCGGCTCCCCCCGTCGACGACTTTGCGCCACTTCCCAGAGCCAAGTCACACGCCAGCATCAATACGCTCGGGAAGAAACGCATGTCTATTCGCAGCAAGTCTCGCCGGACCTCCGACACACCTCCCATCAATACCAAGCCGAATGTCAAGGCCGGTGCTCAATCCATGCCCGTCTCTCCCGTTGTCCCCAAACAGGCTATGATGTCCTCTGCCCATTCGTCCTCTACCTCTCTCTCCTCCCACCAGGCTCTCTCCTCCAACAAGTCTTTCCCTGCTCTCAATGGCAAAGGTGGGGCGGCTCCTCCTCCTACGACATACTACTCGCGAGACTTTTTGAGCAGCTTGGCGCCGAGAGAAGGCGGTTATGCTATTGCTGCCCAGCTGGGTGGTGGGCTGGGCGCCGCCGGGACCATCACGGCGACAGACAACAAAAGACGCAGTTCATATGCGGAACAAGGAGGCAGGGCAAGGGCGCCCATGGCCAAGAGCACTGGAATGGGTAGATGGAGTCTTGACGGTGGTGAAGTGAGTCCATCTGTTGCTCAAAATCCGACCGTGGCTGACTCTGTGACAGAACTATGGGCGACCATACATGACTGCTTCGGCGTCCACCACCGCCTCCAACCTCTCAGCCCCGCCGCTCACCTCAAACCCCTCGAATACGTCTTCTATCGAGGCCCCTCGCATGCCCGAGGGTGCTATGCCCGCCATCTCTACTCCCCACGGTGCTGCTTCAGTCTCCCCTGCGCCTGCTCAGGCGCAGAGGGCGTCTCCCAACCCCAGTCCGTTGAGCCAGCAGACCAGTGCAGAGGACGTCATCCCGCCTACGCCCGAAGCGCCTGTTGCGCCCAATGCGCCGCAGGTCACGGAAGCTGCTGTTCCTGCTACCAAACAGGAGTCTGCCCCTGTTCCCGCGCCTGCCTCAGCTGCCGCTCAAGTCCCTCCCGCCCCTGCTGTTACCGAGAAAAGATCCAAGAGGCAGATTGCCAAGGATACCAAAGCAGCTCGAAAAGCCGAGCAACAAGCCGCTGCTCAAGCTGCTGCCCGTGCCAAGGCTGAGCAAATGCGCGTCGAGTTGGCCAAGAAGCAAAAGGCAAGGGAAGACGAGCAGAAGCGAAAGGAAGACGCAAAGAGGCAGGAGAAGGAGGAAAAGGCAAGGAAGAAGGCTGAGAAGAAGGACAAGAAGAATGGTGTGTTGAGAAAAACGGCGGCCTCTGAGGATTTGAAGCAAAGTCCTGCTCAGGTCAAGGCTACACCGGTCAAGGCTGCTCCTGCTCAGACTGTGCCCGGCACAACGCCCAGCAGTGTCGTGTCGCCAGCGCCTACCGCCACCACCCCTGCCCGGGCATCATCAGCCATTCCCTCTACCCCGACCACACTGCGCTCGGCCGCCAATGTCAACACTCCCGAATCAGGTGTCGCCGAGTCTACGCGTCCCTCTCGATTTTCTATGCCTGCAGGACGTATGCTCTCTAGCGAACAGGCCGGCGCTAGTCCCTCGAGTGAAAAAAGACCCGAGGTTAAGCTCAGCCGTTCATTCTTTGGGACCTTGAGAAAGCGACTGTCGTCCAATGTTGTGGAAAAGGGCGACCGCGAGGCGTCTCCTGTACCTCCCATGCCCAACGGTGCTGCTCAGGCTCAGGCTCAAGCTCAGGATGACTTCATCTCCCCACCTCCCCGGCGCACTTCTTTGATGGCCGTCAACCGGGGTTCCAGCAGCAAATCCCAAGCTCCTGCTTCGGAGGCAGTTGCTGAAGAGTCTCCTGTGGACTCGCCCTCTACCGTGCGACCCAATGTAGCCTCCGCATTGGCCAATGCTCCCTCTTCCCCCTCTCCTTCGCCTAGCAGAAGCTCTCATCAGATCCCTCGAAAGCCCGTTTCGCCCGAGGGCTCGATCAATGGCAGGCGATCAGTGAGCGGTCCCCGACCCATGCCTACGGACACTAGCCGTTCCAGGACGACCTCGCTCGCTGCTCTCTCTACTGAGCAGGGCGAACTTTTCGCCCCTGTCACCCCTTCCACCTCTGGCGACGACTCTCAGCTATCTTATATGCAGAGTCGCAGCTCGCACAAGAGCGATGTGACCCCCGTCACTTCGCTCTCCGGGTCTGAGGCTATGAGCGAGGACGGTTCCAGGGACAAGGACATTGGCGCTCCTGTCTTGGGTGGAGAGGTGCAGCCTGCTGAGAAGCAGAGCAGCAAGGACTCTGACGAGACATTGTTGCCTCATCAGGCCACGGCGGTCAATGCGCCTGTTTTGGCTTAGGCTATCATTCTTGACATCATACAACGGACAATCAGTGTTTTCTTTCACTTCATTCATCGACATTATCATTTCTTTCATTCCAGGTTTTCCTAATATTAGTACCCTGTAGCTTATACACACGCTTCAATACACTCACTATAGACATTTTTATCATCGATCCGGCGTGTCCTTTTCTTCCTTACAGTATTTCCGGAACCTTCTCAACTTAATGAACTATTGTCATTTGTGACTTTCTATTGCGTATATTGTTCCCCACAGTTTTGTGTCTGAATTTGCAAGTGCTGGTACAGTCATACATGCGTTATCGAGACTTGCATGTGCATATGTATTCAGATATCATATTGAATGACGGAGACTGGATGATAGAGAATCCATGCTGGCAATTATGAAACATGCAAAAAAAAACAGATCTAAGATGTACACCTACTTCTTCCCCTTCCCCTTCCCTCCCTTCTTGCCGCCCTTTTCAAGGTTGACCTTGGTAGGCTTCGCCCTCATACCCTCATGAGACTTTTTACCGTCGTCAAACGCACTCTTCTTTCCTCCTCCAACCTTGCCCTTCTTGCCCTTCTTATCAACCTTCTTGGGCTGAGCCTCGCCAATCTTTTTCGGTTGAGCATTCTTCTTAGCTGATCGAATGGCGATAGCCTGGGCACGGGAAGCAGCGGCATCGGCAGCATCCTCCTCGATAGCCATCTTTCTTCTCTTGAGTCTACGAGAGAGACCGTCGTATTTGCCTCGCTTGAGCTTCTCCTTGGCGTCTTTAGTATCCTTCTCGCCGCCCTTGGCCTTGGGGAAGGTACCGACATAAGCATCCTTGCTCGCAGCTAAAGAGAGTCAGTGAAAGTTGCAGAAGATATGCGGATAACCCACTCTTGGCATTTTGCTTCTCCTTTTCGGTTTGGAACCATGTTCGCGCAGGTCGAGAGAAGATCTCTGCCTCGTGCTCGACCATATTTTGACCCTTCTTCAACTCCATATCGGCTTGTCGCATCTAGAAATCAATCAGCAGTGGTCAGATGGGCTAGTGATAAAGACATACGAGTTTCTCTTCCTTCTCTTCCTTCATGATATCCTGAATGTCCTCCTTCAAGGTTTCAAGCTTCTCCGCCACAGCTTGGACAGCCTCTGAAGGGATAATTCGGTGACGGATCTCATCGGCGTCAGACTGCTTGATAGCAGCCTTCAACATCTTTCTGTCCGCCTCACCCACGAGCGTGATTGAACGACCCTTTCTACCAGCTCGGGCAGTACGACCCACTCGGTGTGTGTATTGCGCAAGCTGACCGGGCATGTCGTAGTTGATGACAGTCTCGACACCCTTGATATCGAGACCACGGGAGGCGAGATCAGTGGCTAACAGATAGTCGACTGACCCAGCCTTGAAATCGTTGAGTGATTGAAGACGCTGCACACAATTGTCAGCCGGCGACGAGTAGATGCTATGGAAGACGTACTTGTTCTTGTGTCAGGTTTCCGTGCAGCTCGGCAGCTTTCAGACCGTAGAGACCAAAGAGGATCCTCATCTGATGCGCCAGAGCTTTACTTCGGAAGAAGATGATGCACTTTTCCCTGATAGTCCTCTTACACAATGCCAACAGACTGGGCGATCTCGTGTCATCCGACCTGATCCTGACAAACTCCTGAGTCAACCCCTTGGCGGTGTTTCGCTTAGGGTCCACAAAGACTCGGATAGGTTTATCCAAACTCAGCTTGACCAGCTCATCGACACTGTCCGTCATGGTAGCAGAGAAGAGCATCGTTTGTCGAGACCGAGGACAGGCCCTGATAATCTCCTCCAACTCGTCCGTGAAACCAGCTTCGAGCATTCGGTCGGCTTCATCGATGACCAAGACATCGAGGGCAGAGAGGGTGAAGCTGGGGGTGTTGGTGAGATGGTCGATCAAACGACCGGGTGTAGCGATGAGGATATCGGGGAGGGTACGAAGAGTGTGCGCCTGTGCGTTGAGAGAAAGACCACCGACCAAAAGGGCGAAACGGACATCCAGACCACCCTTCTCGGCCAAGGCTCTACCGACGGCCTCACATTGGACAGCCAACTCTCGGGTAGGACAGAGAACAAGCACTCGGCAAGCAGCACCACCCTTGCCTCGGTCTCGGTAGCACAGTCGTTCAAGGATAGGGATCATGAACGCCGCAGTTTTACCAGAACCTGTCACGGCAGAACCAAGGATATCGCGACCCAAGAGGGCAAGGGGAATAGCACGGGACTGGATGGGGGTGGGGGTGTTGAGTTGAAGGGAAGTGAGGGCGCGTAGAAGAGGTCGGGAGAGGTTCATGGCGGCGAACGTAGAAGGAAGAGTTGGGTCTTCCTCGTTCTTGGGTTCAGACGAGAAGAAAGCCTCCTTGCGCGCTTTCTCGGCGGCAGTCTCTTCCTCTTCTTCTTCGCTGCTGTCCCCTTCTTCCTCTTCCTCTTCATCACTGTCTTCTTCCTCTTCGCTTCCACTCTCGTCGTCTTCGTCCTCTGATCCGCCCTGGACGGCACCGTCTACCTCCATCTCGTCGTCCTCGCTCCCGAAGCCCTCAAACTCGCCTTCGAGCTCTGCTTCATCGTCCCCTTCCTCCTCTGACTCTTCGCTGTCATCTTGCTCAGACTCGTCATCAGACTCGTCGTCCGAGTCCTGTCTCCTTCTCTTCTTGTCCTTGTACGCCTTGATGGGCTTGCCGAGTCTTCTTTCGATGATGTCGTCCACGTTGATGGGCTATTTCCGAGTCAGAAATGATCCACAAGATGTGTTAATTCTCACCTCATTTCCTTTCTTTACGCCCTGGATCTCGTCTCCGCCCCAGAGATCAAGTCCCTCTGACCGGCCGCCTCCAAAGTCAAACTCAAAGTCGGGGTTGATGTCATCGTCCTTCTTGGCGTTGCTGGCCTCTCCGCCGTAGTTGCTGACCTCGTCGTCCGAGTCTATTGTCGTTATGAAATCGGCAGGCATTGCGAGATGAGCGTCGTTGAGAAAGCAGAGATGCGAGCAAGAGTCCAGCATTTGTTGTGGTGGCCGTCAACTTTTTCAAAAGCGGCCTTCGCCGAGCATGCCTCCACCCGAGCCTCTTCTTTCTACCGCATGTTGAAACTTCTGTCAGTCTACCTACGTCCAGCCACAACCATCGACAATGTCCTCTACGCTTGTACTTCCCGGGGATCAAATCCCTGTCCCCTCTACTTCAAGAAACCTCATCATCGGCCCCGGCATTGCGGCAGCAGACAATGCCTCCAACTCCTCTTCTGCCCCGACTCTAGTGGCCACCAGGCTCGGCATGCTGCATACTGGCAAAGGAAAGGAGAAGAGCCAGAAGGTCTGGATAGAAGGAAACTCCAAGCGGGTATGTAATCTCCAAGTGGATAGTATACCCATGCTCACGAGCTCGATATAGTATATTCCGGCGCAGAAGGATATGGTGCTGGGCGTGATCATCGCTAGACATTCTGAAGGGTACAGGGTGGATCTTGGATCAGCGCAGATGGCTCAGCTAGATGCTCTGTCATTTGAAGGAGCGACGAAAAGAAGCAAACCGAATTTAAAGGCAAGTTTTAGTGTCGCGATTGATCGTCTTGTCTGACCTTGGATCGATAGGTCGGTACCCTGGTTTTTGCACGAGTCATTTCTGCGAGCAGAGATATGGAACCCGAGCTCGAATGTTTTGATGCCAACACTGGTAAATCTGATGGGTTTGGAGAGTTGAAAGGCGGCGTGATGATCAACTGCACTCTGCAATTATGTCGCCAGTACGTATTGCCAGCCCGAGTCGTTTATCCAGCATCGTCTGACCCTGTATTGCAGACTGCTCAACAGAAATTACCCTCTCCTCCCGGCTATTGCCTCTGCGTTCCCTTTTGAAATCAGTATCGGCCTGAACGGCCGGGTTTGGCTCAAGGCGGAGACAGTCAGTGAGGCGCTTGCTATGAAGCGGGTAATAGAGGGTGTGAACGACGGCGTTCTCGGGGTAGAGGAGGCGGCTGTCAAGGCGAAGATACAAGAGTATATGGCTTAGACCAGCCGATTCATGACCATGACTATGCCGGGTGGTGTTTATGTATACTTTATCAGCCCTACTGTTGAAACCCGTCCGGCACGACTCTCCATATGTTGTCCCAGTGCTGCTATGCGATGCCGGTCTATCCAATTCTATCCATGCCACTCGGCCCTCTGCTACATACATACAGGAAATGTGCCACGTGGTGCGGAAACAACGTCACCAGCTGTGCCTCCACCTGCGGCGGTTACAGGCATTGTCCACCCCTCTTAAGTTGTAGATGCATCTCTTACGTCGCTCCTTCTCCAGCATCTCCAATGTGGTGGCCATTCCAGTGGCTCATCGTCTATCTCTGCGGCGGCCTCACCTTCCTTCCCCTCGCCCTCACCGTCGCCCTCGGTAAGTCTCCCCGTGCCACCACACGCCCTCTGACACCCCTGCAGTCTATGTGTACCAATACGGAACCACCCCAATCGGAGACAAGGACCCTTACAAGTTTCAGAAAGCAACTCTGCAGCACGATGCCGAACGGGCAGAGCAACTACAAAAACAGCGCTCTCGGGCACCCAGCTCGACCTCGCCCACGGTCTCTGGCTGGATCACTGTTAGGAATACGTTCAATCCCGATGGCTCGACTGTAGGCAGCGGAAAGCCTGGTAGCGAATCTCAAGTGACGGGAACTTCAACCCCCATTACCGAATCGCCATCGGAGGAATTGGCAGAGGAAGAGAGCTGGGGAAAGGCGGATACGCCGTCGTCGGGTGAACAGACTCCCGGAAGCGCGGATGCACAGGGAGGCAAGATGCCCTACGTTCCCTATACTACGCGTATCGCCCAGACGTACCGCACCATCCTCCCCCGCCAGACCAAGGCACCCATACCTCGACAATACTTCTTCGGCGTACTCAAATCCTCCGTGCTCTACCTCTATGAGGACGAAGCCCAGATCAACTGTCTACATGCGATAGCAGTCGATGACTACTCTGTCGGCATCGAGACGCCCAGTGGCATGTTTGAGGGGAAGGATGGAGAGATGTTTGCGAAGCGCCATGGTATCGTCCTCAAGATCAGAAAGCCGGGCAAGGGTATGCCTCTGCTGTCCAAGAGCATGGAAGCAACCCAGACCGAGTTCGGACTCGCCAATAGCCCCATCTACCTGTTCTCCAAGTCAAATACCAAGTGAGGAACTTCTCGCTGTAGGATCCAGCCTTTGCTAATACACTTGCAGGATGGAAGATTGGTATATAGCTCTCCTGCACGTATCGGCAGATCACTTGACCTGCGATCAAGTCTTCGCCGTGGACGACATGAAGAACCTCGTAGACACTATCGACACCGAGCCCGACCCTATCCCCATGCGCTGGTTCAATGCGATGCTCGGACGTATTTTTTTTGGCTACTACAAGACGGAAACGTTTGAACAGGTGAGCATTCCATGAATGTTGTGGGGACAGTGTCTGACCCATAGCATAGTTCATCATTACAAAAATCATGAAGAAGATATCCAAAGTGACGAGACCTGGTTATCTTGGTCCTATCGTCGTGCGCGAAGTCAATGTTGGAACGTCGCCACCCCTGTATGTCAATGACCTCTCCCAAACATTTATACTGATGCAATGACAGTTTCTCCAAGCCAATGTTGAAGAATCTCGAAAAGGACGGGTCGACAGCTTTTGAGGTCCATGTCCAACATCGCTCTCGCGCCTCTCAGCCAGGCTCGGATATCCGCCTCACTATTGCCACTACAGTCACCATCCCCACCGGCTTCAAACCCTACGTCGTCGAGATCGTGCTTGCTGTCGTTCTCAAGAGCATTGAGGGAAACATGAGAGTGGAGATCAAAGGGCCGCCTTCGAACCGGATCTGGTATGGCTTCACCGAAATGCCAAAGATGGAAATGGAGATCATCCCGATTGTGAGCGAGCGGAAGATTCAGCTGGGGATGGTTCTCAATGCCATTGAGAAGCAGCTGAAGGATGCGGTACGATATTTGTTCACCACAAAAGACCTTTGCTGACCTGTCATCAAGATTGCCGAGTCGGTCGTGTTGCCCAATATGGACGATTTGGCCTTCTTTGACACTTCCAGCCTTCCCATCAGAGGCGGCATATTTGATCTCGCTGCCAAGGATGAGAGGAATGCTACTGGAGAGAAGGTAGAGGCACCTGTTGAGGCGCCTGTCGCATCGAAAGAAGATCCCGAATCTGCTGTTCCCACTACAGCCAGCATCCGACAGAGACAGAAAAAGAAATCTCAGCTGGCCGAGGGTGAAACAGCGTTTCCGGCGCCCGCTTCCCAATCTTCCACCGACAGCGGTCCGCCCATCGCCCGTACCGATACTGCCCCTCCGGCTGTAGCGACATCCAACTCGTCCGCTGTTAAGAAGGCTGCAGCCCTCGCCGCTACTAAGAAATGGTTTGCCCAGACGGGCTCGAAATCACCCTCTTTGGCGGCACAAGCGATGGTGGGAAGTCCAGGTGCTGCAGCGGCTGCTTCCTCATCCAGTGCGCCAGCTCTCGGTGTACCGAAGGACTCTCCAGAAAAGACGGGTAATTGGGAAAACCAGCCAGAAGTGGCCACTGTCGAAGTATCGTCCAGTACTACGCCTAGTGCAGAGAGCATCAGAGGGCATAACAACAACGGCTCAATCACAAGCATGCCTGGGCAGACTGTCCGCAGTGGTCCCTCCTCGGTCAAGGGTTTCGACACGTCATCAACCCTCTCGGGTAGTAGCACCGAAACTGCAAATCACACCGTCCCGCAGGCAAGCACTGCTTCTCTTATCAGCAGCTTCCGTTCCCGAGACAAGAAAGCTATACAAGCTCAAGTGGGCAGCGCAAGAGATCAGGTAAAGAAATGGGGCGTCAGTTTTGCTGCTCGTCGAAAGGCAACACGGGAAGGAGGGGAACTTGGAGCAGGAGACGAAGTGGTGGATATGGACGAAGCAGGGCTGCGGGCCCTCTATAGGCCAAGAGAGGAGGAAGAAGATGCGAGAGATGACGAGCCTCTGCCTGTTCAACCACTCTCTGTGGGCTCCCAAAGGAGCTTGCAAGCAAGACTCAATGCTGCTGCACACGACACTGGGGCTTCTCCTCTCCCTCACAGCAGATCCCCGAGTGGCCAGGGCGTGCCCATTCCCGAGCGCAATAGATCCCACTCGTCATCTAAACACAGCTTATTCTCTGCTTCGCCAAGGGCAGCCAGTCCCAGGGCGTCTGCTTCTACCTCCCCCTCGCAATGGACCCCAGCCGCGGGTATGCCTACCACGGGTATAGACAAAGATGATCATGCGGTCGGATCCCATGGGTCTACCATCTCCGCCTCTGGCACGCAAAGCCACTCGCGTCGGCATTCCAACGCCACTGCCATATCCCTGCAGCCCACTTCTGGACGGAGCATGGTCGTTCCCCGAGTCCCAAAGAGACCGGGGCAGGTCATGGGGTTCGGCTCTGATATGAGTACGCAATCTGGGGAGATCGGGTCCATCTCGAAGAAGGTGGATGAAGATAAAGGCGCTGAGCATGCCGAGGGTGTCAGAAAGCCGGCCGTGGGACAGCCGCCCAAATTGCCACCACGCAAGTCGACGGATGGTGTTAGTGACAAGGCGAATGATACGCTTGTATCTGGGAGTCTGCCTCCCCCTCGGCCCTCGTCACTTACCAGCCTCCCGCCACCTCTACCACCGAGGAAACCTTCTCCTGCAGACTCGGATAGGTCTGGAGATGTTCCCCATTCTGGTATATCTTCTACACCTGGCGCTCTCTCTCGTACGTCTCCCGATAGGCCTGATCCTGTCCCCGACAAGGGTAGCCGCATCGACGGAAAGTCGTCAGATCCATCACCCCCAAGCGATGATACTCTGATATCTTCTGTTCGTCGTTCCGAGTCCCCTCGCTTGCCCTCTGAGAGCACATCTGCTAGTCCAGCGTATGGGGCCCAGGAATCCCTTCGGCTGGTCGCACAGAGACATGAGGAGGCCAAGAAGGCGAAACTTTTGGAAGTAACCGAGAAGGATGAAGCCGCAAAGAAGGAAAATGGAGAGGGCGCGAGTCATTCTGGAGGGGACATGCTGCCATAGGAAGTCGGCATCAATTGCACATTTTGGATATCTTTAGTTTGTGTATCAGCATATGTAGAGACAATCATGAATCATTTTGTATCAAAATACATTCAGAGCACCAGATGCGACTCTATAGTTGGTACAACGGTCTTGGCCACCTCTATTCACCATCGCTGTCGTCCTCGACACTCGCCGCATCATCGTCCCTATCATCCTCCTTCTCTTGTTGGCGACGGGAGAAGTCGTTCGCTCGCTTTTGTATCGCAGGATTGTCCTATTCAAGCTGCGTTAGCGTAGCTCCGGCGTTATTCGTGACGGACACACCTTTAGGTCAGCCTTGGATATGGCAATGGAACAACCAGTAACTGGGCATCTGGCTACACTTCTATTCTTTTGAGAGTTGGTGATGAGGTTGATGATGGCTTCCTTCGAGTATGTGTGGTTACATTTGACACTGATGGGTGTTAGTTCTGAAGAGTCGGCGCCCGACAACTTCTCACCTTGTGACAGCGTCCTGGTATAATGTCAAGGTAATAGGACACCTGTAGTTTTGAGTTTGACCACCCATATCGATATCGTCGTCAGAGTCGTCCTCATCGTTGGGACCCTTTGTGAGAAAGGTGGAGATGGGGGGACAGGCTGTCTCGTGTGATCGAGACCAGAGCTCGCTCTTAAAGTCTGCATACTCGCGGTCTTTTTTGACTGAAATGGAATGAGTTTGCATCCGCCTGAAAGAAAGAGCAACGTACACTTGGCATGTTGGGACTTGCCCATGTACTCTTGTATACGAGGTTCAGACAGGTTTTCAAAGTCCGCTTGTATGTTGGTCTGAAACCAGTCAGCTAGACGTAAAAATTGAGAAGAGGCAGACGCACATGTTCTCTTCCCTCGAGCAGACTCTTCGAGAGCTCGTCTAGGGCGTTCGCTTTGATTTTCAATACGGCACGTTGGTCGAATGCCTTGAACAGTGACGCCTCGACATTCTTTAGGGCCTGGGAGTCTCGTCAGAAAGAGAATAAGGATGCAAGGCGCAAATACTTACTGGGTCATCCGGAACTGCCTCTTCCAGAATGTATGCAGTCTCCTTGATACTGTCTATCACATCGTCCAATCGCTTGATCGCGTCTCTCATTGCGTCCGATAGTCCCCGCACCTAATCCTCAGGTCAGCAACGGCTCTACACAGCTGAAGAGACAAACCTCACAACACTGGCGCCAGCACGTGCAATTGGCTTGTCTGTAAACATCTCCTCTGTCCATCCTGCTTCGTCTTCCTCTTCGCCCTCCTCGTCATCAGACAGATCACCCACGGGCGCCTCGTCGTCCTCCATGTCAATGTCCTCGTGTGCCCCGTTGGATGGCCCGGCGGAGTACGAGCCGTGCCCGTTGGCGTTCCGGATGGTGTTGATGTTTGTGGATGCGTATGTGGGAGGCATGGTTGGGGTCTCGCAATGTCAAGCAGACGCCGTGGCTGAGAAAATGGCTGAAACGCGCGGCGCGTCGCGCATGGGATCATTAGGAGTTACGTAAGCAGCGACGCGTCAAAAAGCTGACTGGATCGCGTCGTCGCAATGTATCGTCGCGTTCTCATCCACCTCATCATCCACGCCATGTCCAACCTCCTCACAAAAGGATTTGCAGTCAGGGCCACCACCCTCGACGACCCCTCAGAGTGCTTCGGCGCCGTCCTCCAGGTCCTCAACGTCAAGAGGATCTCCGCCGGCAGCGAATCCGCCATCGACAGGTTCCGGTGAGCAATGTCCCGCTCATGTCTGGCACACGCTGATGACCCGCGATAGTGCCATTGTTTCTGACGGTGACCACTTCTGTCAAGCGATGCTTGCCACCCAGCTCAACCATTTTGTCGAGGAAAAGCTCGTGGACAAGCACACCCTCATCAAGGTCAACAATTTCTCCGTGAACAATGTCGCCAACCGAAAGTGAGTCGCAAGCAACCTTCAAGTGTGCAGGTCTGACAAAACCAGGCTTCTCATCATTCTTGACATGGAAGTCGTTCCGGGCGGTGGCGACGAGAAAATCGGGTCTCCAGTCAGTATCGAAGGCCCGTCAAAGTCTGCCCCTGCAGCTCAAGCCGCTGCTCCTCCTCCTCCTGCAGCCTCTCGCGCAGCCAACAACTCGCGGCCTGCTGCTGGCCGCTCGGTTTATGGTAAGGGTTCCAAACCAGAAGCTTCCGCCCTGTACCCTATCGAAGGACTGAGTCCCTACCAAAACAAGCAAGTGGCGACGCGATTGCAATAAAGTACATGTGCTAATTGTGCGGCAGGTGGACTATCAAGGCGCGTGTCATCCAAAAGTCCGACATCAAGCACTGGTCAAACCAACGCGGTGACGGCAAGCTCTTCAGTGTCACCTTCATGGACGAGACCGTGCGTCCTCCCGAAACGTTTTTAGACATTGTGCTAACTGCTTGATAGGGCGAAATTCGCGCGACTGGCTTCAACGATGCGGTCGACAACTTTTACGACAAGCTTGAAGTTGGCAAAGTGTTTTTCGTCTCCAAGGCTCGTATCAACATTGCCAAGAAGCAGTTCAGCAATGTCAACAACGAGTACGAGATCATGTTCGAAAGGGACACTTCAATCGAACCTTGCGAGGATGACACTGTTCCCCAAGTCAAGTACAATTTCAAGGGCATCGGCGAGCTCGGAGAGCTGCAAAAGGATGACTTGTGTGGTGAGTCTCTTTTGGCTCTGTACAGTCAGACACTGACATCTCACAGATGTCATTGGTGTTGTAAAGGACGTTGGGGATCTCGGATCCATCACTTCCAAGAGCACCAACAAGCCCTTCGCCAAGCGAGACATTCAGCTCGTCGACCAATCTGGCCAGTCTGTGCGCCTCACTCTTTGGGGAAAGCAGGCCGAGTCTTTCCAAGGTGACGACCAACCCGTCATCGCCTTCAAGGGTCTGAAGGTTGGTGACTTTGGCGGCCGATCGCTTTCCATGATGAGCAACGCCACTATGGTCATCTCGCCTGATATCCCCGAGGCCCATTCACTCCGAGGCTGGTTCGACGCCGAGGGCCAGAGCACCAGCTTCACTGCCTACACCAACTCGGGAATTAGTGACGGAGCTGGAGCCAGTGCCAGCGTCAAGCCTACAGAGCTCAAGACCATTGCTCAGTCCAAGGAGGAACAACTCGGCATGTCGGAAAAGACCGACTTTTTCAGTACCCAGGCCACCATTGCGTTTATCAAGCAAGAACCGTTCTCGTACCCTGCATGTGCCAACAAGGAGGGCTGCGCCAAGAAGGTTGTCGAGGACGGTGGCTCGTGGCGTTGTGAAAAGTGCGATCGCAACTATGATGCTCCTATCCACCGGTATGTTTACGTGCATCTCTGTGCGCGGAGGCAAGCTGAAATGACAATAGATACATTCTCAATATCAACGTGATGGACCATACCGGTTCCTTCTGGATAACGGCGTTCAACGAGACTGCGGAGCAGCTCATGGGTATCAGCGCAAATGACCTGATGGCGTTGAAGGACGACGAGGACGAGGGAGAAGGCAAATTTGTGTCTTATTTCGTCAGGGCGGTTGGAAGAACGTACAACTTGCAGATGATGGCCAAGCAAGACACTTTCCAGGCAAGTCGACACATCAATACGTGCGGGGCAATGCTGACAAAGCTGGACAGGACCAAGCGCGAGTGCGATACCAGTGCAGAAAGGTGGCTCTTCCCGACTATGTCGGCGAGTCTGCCCATCTAACAGAATTGATCAAGCAGATGAGCGTCTGAGTGTAGGGGGGCAATCAAGCATGTGTAAAATATACTATTTGTTCTTTTTCTCGCTATATTCTTGCCGCTATCGGGGCCTTGTAAAATGCAATGCCTATGAACATGACCAGGCGCTACGCTCCGGCATGAGAGCATAAATATACATGATACAGATAGCATTGGGCCGATTCGCGTGACGATTTTCTACACCTTCCACTTCTCCATCCTCGCCTGCAGACACTTGAGAACTTCAGTGTGCACCTGATTCTGCACTCGGACCTTCTCCTCCTTACTCACGCCGCCTTCTTCTAGCTCCATTTCTACTCTGCCTGGCGTCAACGAGAATGGGTTGAAGCTGATGGTACGTCCATCAGATAGCTCAATCGTGGCCAATGGCTCGTCCGAATCCTCTACCATCCTCGACGGTCCCGGAGTCTTGGGCGCAATCGCGCCAGGACCAAGAGATTGCCGGAAGATGAGAGATGGCGCCCTCTTCTTCTTTGACTTGCTCTTTGATCCCGGGGACCTTTCCTTTGCTAGCAAACGCGCCTCTATAGCCTCGGGATCTGGTAGGTCGTCGTCATCCGACTCATCCTGCTCTGTAGATTCTCCAGATGAGGATCCGCTTTCTGATGCGTTGGATCGAGCGCGGGCGCGGGAAGGATGTGATGAGTGGGATAGAGGGGATGGTTGAGAACGGTAGGGCGTTGGTGGAAGGGTGGGGTTGAAGACATGGTCTTGAGGAAGCGACTACATTCAGAGTGTTAGGCGGCAGAGGGCAGTCCGAACATATGGCTTACACTAGTCGCTTTGGAGGCAGACAATGGTTGGGCTCGAGTTGATCTCTTGCTCGCCGTGGTCTTGCCCCGAGTGGTGGAAGAAGCTCCGTGAGAAGCAGGAGTCCTGGAAGCCGATGTGGGCGCCTCGCGACGAGCTGTTGAATGTGGTCAGTCTCTGGTCAGATCGACGTTACCTGACTTGCGATTTTTGGTTGAACGTGTAGGGGAATTTCCCCTAGATAACGCGGTAGCATTGCGTTTTCTATACCTGGTATCAGTATGCAATGCACATCAGGAAAAGGCCATACCAACCTCTTGCCCTTTACAACTTCATCTCTATCCTTCTCCTCTTGTTCTTCCCTCTTCTTCTGTTCCACTTCAAACCTCTCTGTCTTTATCCTATGTAGCGTTCCAGCCCATCCTCCTCCCCATTTATCTTCCAATTCTCTCAATGTCAGACCACGCAAATCGCGAGGAATAGCAAGGATCTCTGTTTCTTCGCGCATGTGAAACGAAGCGAGCGTTTGAGCCAGCATCGAGCGGAAATAGGTGACCTTGTCTTGCACTATACAGCAAGTTAGATGACAGCGGGTAAACTCTCGTCCGCCTGCTCACCTTCGAGATCGAAATTCTGCAGCAACGCTTGCTTCTCTCCTTCACTAAAGGCGCTCTTTGTGCGCTTGGGCGGTGTGGTGACCGCTGCAGCCGTTTGCGCCACTCTGGCCGTTTTGGACGCCATGTAGGATGTTTGTAGTGTCTTGTGGGTGCGATAGGGAAGCCGGGCAATGGATAGTCAGATGGAGTGACTTTGAGGCGACAAGAAGCTTCCTTGTTGTTGACAGCCGACGCGTTTACGTAACGCTCACCTCCACTCTTTTTGACTTGTTGAAATTTCATCAGAGATGTTGATTTCCCATAGTACTCGCGCAGAACTCCGTAATGGTCGCACAGAAGCCACTCAAGAGGAAGGCAGACATCGGAAAGATCACGGGGAATAAGGTGAGCTGAAAAGACTCCGACGATAGCGTGCTGAGCATCTTTAGCGACGTCAACCTTCCCCGGCGGTCAGCGATGCCGGTTTCGAGGATCTCGAGAATGGGTCGCAGCTCAGCTTTGATGAAGAAGCCATGGGCAACCTGCAGGATCCCATGATCGACTCTCAGCACTCGTCTGATGATGAAGATTCCGAGGAAGAGGAAGACGGCTCTGCAACCGACCAACCTGCAGCTAGCTCTTCCAAGCCTCACACAAATCTCTACAAGGCCCCCACCGTCGCCGAGCTGGAACAACTTCGACAAGTTGAAGATACCGGTGGTGCTACGTTCTCTCTGCAGCTTTCCGAACTCTTGGAATCGACTCTGCTCCCCACAACTCCTCACCCTGTCCTGAAATCGCTACTTTCTGCTGTTCATGGCAAGATCCTTGGTTCGCCTTCGCTCGAGGCTGTCGCTCCCATCAAAGCTTCCAAGCGACTTGGCAAGACAAAGATGCTGATCGTTGGTCCTGAAGAGTTCTCCCCGTTGAAGAAAGGCAAGGACATCAAGTGGACTCTGGGCTGGGAGAAGCCTGAGGAAATCGTCATTGGCGGGAGCTGGGGAGTTGTGGGAGGTTACAAGAAGGGGAAAGGTGAAATGGGCGGTGTAGACCTGGTCGTTGTAATGCCATCTGTAAGTGACAAGGTCGATGTCACCCGCTTTGTGCTGACATTTGGTGAAGAGTATGTTTTCAGCTAAAGACAGACTTGACTATAGATACTTTCACAAGCGATCACATTACCTTGCTGTGATCTATGCTCAGATCCAGGCTCTGGCGGATTCGGAAGCTGATCTGAAAGGTGCCAAGGTGGGATGGACCACGGCTATGGGCGACGATAGACGTCCTGCCATAAGCATTTCTGCTGGCAAGGGTACGTCCAAGACAGCTCCGACCAACAATCACTGACAAATTCCAAAGAGCAAGGCCTCAAACATAAGCTCGAAATTCGCATCCACGCCTCCATCTCTTCTACCGTATTCCCCCTGTCTTCTCTCTCCCCCTCCAAGTGCCTCGTCCGTACTTCCCTTCCCACCTCTGATGAACACACCGCTCTTCCCACACCTCTCTACAACACCTCTATACTCCATGACACGCTCCAAAAACCCCACCTCTTGCACCTTCACCGTCTCTCTCAAATCCTCCCAGCCAATTCGCGGACAGTCGACTCTTTCCTCGCTTTGTGGAGGATCTGGGCGAAACGGAGAGGCATCAGGCTAGAGCGTGGTGGAAGTGGCTGGCTGGCCGGGTTACTGCTGGGATGGGTTGTCAATGGTGGATGGATCGGTGGGGCTGGAGGCAAGAGGGAAAAGGTGAAGAGGGTTGCCGGCCTCGGAAAGAGTTTGGGCCCTTGGGGCGCCATCAGGGCTGCTTGGGAGTTTTTGGCCCACACCGACTTTCACGCTACTCCAGTCTTCCTGCATCAACCGGGAACGACCAACTCTTACCCTCACTCCGACTTTTTCCCCTTCAAGCATGTCTTCACGGACCCTACTGGTCTTGTGAATGTTTTTGCCGAGTGGGAAGAGGGAGAGATTGACTTTTTGAGGTATCACGCCCGGGAAACGCTTGCAATGTTGGAAGACGAGAGCGGAGAGAGATTTGGGGACGTCTTCCTAAAGGATTTCAAGCTTGGTCCTGGCGTGTTTGACGAGTACATCCGGTGAGTTGCCCCTCTCCTGGATTTCATTGAGCTCACAATGCTCAGAGTGGACATTTCTTCTGTCAAAATCGACGCTACACTTGATCAACGTTCCGAATACCCTTCCGCTCCTTCTCTTGCGGTCGCTCGCTTCGCCTCTACTGTCCGGAGTGCCCTGTCCAACCGCGTCGACCTTGTCTACCTATCTCCTCTTTCCTCGACCAAGCTTGCTCTCGGCCTCCTTCTCAACTCCAGCAACGCCACCCGCGTGCTTGACGTTGGCCCCTCGCCCGAACAGGCCGAGGCCGGCGCCGAGTTCCGTGAGCTCTGGGGAGAACAGGCAGAGTTGAGGAGGTTTAAAGACGGAAGTATAGCTGAAAGTGTCGTCTGGGATGTATCCAGACCGGAAGACGCAGCTTTGATACCTATCAGAATCATTCACCACGTCTTGAAGAGACACTTTTCGGTGTCTGAGCAAAAGATTGACTCCTTTTCGACCTCTCAAGAATGGCTCAGCGTCATTCAAGTACCCCCAAGCCCCCGGGATGCCGTCAGCGTCAAGGGGTCGGAAAAGCTCGGTTTCAGGCCCACAATCACTGCATATGATGCCCTTTACAAGATTCTCAAAAACAGCGACGCGGATCTACCCCTGGGTCTCCTTAACATCCAATCTGCCTCTCCTCTGATGCGATACTCGTCAACATTCGTCCCGCACCCTATTGACGTCCCTCGCTTGCCTTCCGCCCCTGCTTGTATCAGATACACGCCACATATCGAAGTCGTCATTCAATTCGAGTCTTCGCCAAAATGGCCGGATGATCTTGCCGCAGTGCAAAAGGTCAAGCTGGCCTTGTTGGAAAAGCTTGCCCGAGTCGTGCAAAAGAAGCTTGGACGAGAGGCAACGGTGGGCATCGTGTTTGATGACGGGGCGAGTGAGATTGAGGATCAAGCTGCTTTGGAGGTGGTCGTGCCGGAGGGTGTGGCCTTCAAGTTGAGAGTCTACTATGAGCGAGAAAAGGGTCTGTTGGAGCGCGCAATCGAGGACGACCAGCCCGCGTTCGCCACCTCCCTCCCCAATCCCCCCAGACGTCTGGCCGTCCCCGCCCTCGCCAAACACATTGAACGCTTCCACCACCTCCCCGCCCACCATTCCTCCCTCGCTCCCTTGCACCACCGTTATCCCAACTTTTCTTCCTCGACCCGGCTGCTCAAGCGCTGGTTCAGCGCTCATATGATGATGGGCCCGGAGCTTGTGCGAGAGGAGGTCATTGAACTCATCATGGCTGGGATCTATCTGGAGCCTGGAAGGGGAAAAACGCCTGCGTCTGCTGTCGCTGGTTTCTTGCGCGCGATGGAGTTGCTAGGAGGGTGGGATTACAAATCGGAGCCCATGCTTGTCCCTATTCACACCGCTTCCTCCCCGTCAGCATCATCTGCATCTGGTCGCGTCCGCTTTCCCGCGGAGCTCAAGGAGGAAGCTATCAAGGCCTTCGAGTCGTTGCGTGCCAAGGAGAAGGATGCCGGACACCCGTGGGTGATCTGCACGGAGCAGGATTTGGACGGACTGAGGTGGACGAAAGGGCTCGGGAAGGGTGTGGCTGCTAGGGTTGCTTTGTTGGCCAGGGCGACACTGGAAGCAGCAAAGAATGGTGTCGAGTCTGGAGCGCTGGATGTGAGGGTGAGTATCGTACACCGTTTGCTTGTGCTCTGCTGACATATCTTAGCCATTGTTTGTGACACCTGTCGAACACTTTGACTTTTTGATTCACCTCAATGCCGCCCATCTTTCTCGCTCTGCCCTCGCCATTCACCCAGACCCGTCTCTCTGGGAACCGCACCTCAAATTCCGCAACCTCTCCTCGGCGGGCGAAGGTTCCGTTCGGGTCGACTTTGACCCCGCCACGATGTTTGTCCGCGACTTGCAGAAAATATACGGCGACAGCTTGATGGTGTTCCATGACATCTACGGCGGTAAAGTGGTCGGCGGTGTCTGGAATGCCAAGCAGGGCCCGAGAGGGATGAAAGCGTTCTTGGGATGGAACAGCCGGCCGGTAGAGAGCGGTGCGGAGTTGGTTAGAGTCAACAAGGAGGGGATCCTGGGGGAGATTGCGAGGTTGGGCAAGGGTTTGGTGGAGAAGATTGAGGTCAGATAAGCTGTCAGTACTTGCCGCCTCGATGCATCTGTAGACATCCAAGCGTCAAGCCGAATGTACAATTACATGCCATACAAGTGGTTTATCTAATCTCTTTCGTTATCAATCAGGCGAACTGTCCGGGCATCAGCATAGGTCAACGCATTCACCGCGGACGCACCGTGGCAAGGTAACTCTCGGCGACAATTCGCGCCCGAGCATTCAACGACAGCTTCATCTCCGAGATCTCCTTGTCGACGTCCTCCATGAACTGGATGATGAAATCGACAAGCTTGTGCTTGAGCATAGACTCGGAGTGGAAGTTGGTGATCAGGAATGAGATATCATAGCCCTGCTCCCAATATCAGCCTTGATCGGCTCGACGGATCCACACTCACGGGTAACGGCTTTCTCCTCAGAATGACAAAGCCCTCCGCCCTCATCATCATAAACCTCGTGAACTTGTGACACAGGATCTTCTCAATCTCATCTGCCTGCTTGATTGCAATCGACAGTCGGATGGAATTAACACTCGGCTCGATCAATACGCGCTCGCTCTCATTCCTGGAGATGGTTAATGGATGGAGGAGGACCTCTGGGGTGGACTGGCATTCGACCTCGGGCTTGTTGTGTCGTTCCACGACCTGGGAGGAGAAGTTCTCGAGGGTGAGGGCTGCGGTGAGGGTTGCACGAACTGCGTTGAGGTAGGGGCGGAGGGTGTTTGACTGGGCTGTCAGCGGGGGGCAGGGGGAAGAGGGGGCTGCTCACCATGTTGGATGACCTGGGGCACTCTTTGGGCACTCTGAATGAGCAAAAGAACGTCATCTGCCACATCGCTATCACCGCGCCCCCTCCCAGGCGGCGCACCCCGCCTGGCCACGTGGTGAATTTTTCACCGGTGGAGGCGTTTGTTTTTATGATTCGCAGATTTCAACAGAACTTTCCACATCTCTCTGTTTCTATCCCTTCTTCTCTCCCACAAACAAAATAATACATCCACACAAAATGTCTATCAAGATGAACCTCTGGGTGAGTCGCTGCCTCTCCACCGCACTCGCGGAGCTCGCTAACGGCTGTTCAGAGCATGACCCTTCTCCCCGGAGAGGCCCAGCCCGTCTACGTTCGACGAGACTTCCAGATCACCAACGCCGCCCTCGGCGAGGAGCTCCGATCCACTGACGGCCGATCGGTCGTCAAGGTCACCCACAGCCCCATTGACCCTGCCATGTTCGACGACTCTGACTCTGAGTTTGACTCTGACTTTGACGGCGAGATCGACTCTGACGATGAGGACGATGACGAGGACATGGAGGAGGACGAGGAGAAGCCCGCCAAGAAGGAGAAGAAGGTCGCTGCCGCTGAGGAGGAGGGCGACGACGAGGAGGACTCTGAGGAGGACTCTGACTTTGAGGACGAGCTCAACGAGACGAACGTTCTCTGTTCTCTTACTGCCGGCAAGGTTGGTTCGCGTTCTGTGACCATTGTGCTTTGGCTGACAACTTCCAGACCGAGCAAGCTTCTCTCAACCTTACCTTTGTCCGTGGCGAGGTCGCCCTCTTTGAGGTCACCGGCGAGAAGTAAGTAAGACACGTGCGCCGCATATCATTCAACTTACATTTCCCAGCGCCGTCCACCTCATGGGCAACTACATCAACCAGGACGAGTACGACTCTGACGACTCTGACTTTGAGGGTGACGACGACTACTCTGACATCTACGACTCTGAGGATTTGCTCGAGTCTGACGATGAGGAGCCCACTGCGTAAGTCGGCACTTTTCATACTCTACACCCACTGACCGTCATCATAGCAAGATCACCGAGGTTGAGGAGCCCAAGCCCAAGAAGGAGGTCAAGGCCGTCGAGGCCAAGCCCGCCCAGAAGCGAAAGGCCGAGGAGCTCGAGTCTCCCGCCAAGACTGAGGCCACCGAGAACCTGAGCAAGGCCCAGAAGAAGAAGCTCGCGAAGAAAGCCAAGACTGAGGCTGACAAGCCTGAGGAGAAGGCTGCCGCCAAGCCTGCTGCTGAGAAGAAGGCCGCTGCTGCCCCCAAGAAGGTGAGGAAGTAATTCTGCTTCCGCTCTTGTCCCATTTGGTCATCACGAAAAATGGTCTAGCTTGACTGTACACCCCCAATATAAATGCATAGTTGTTTTTGACGACTATCCGTTCCCCAACACGCCCTCCTAAGATTCGATGAAATTATCATACTGACGCTTTCTTCAGAGGGTTACCGCTTCTGGTTTGACCATCGAGGACATCAAGGTCGGCGACGGCCCCGCCGCCAAGAACGGCAAGCGATGTGGCATGCGCTACATCGGCAAGCTCACCAACGGCAAGCAATTCGACGCCAACACCTCTGGCAAGCCCTTCTCCTTTGTTCTCGGAAGGGGTGAGGTCATCAAGGGCTGGGATGAGGGTTTGGCTGGCATGAACGTCGGTGGTGAGAGGCGATTGACTGTGAGTTGATACGAATCGGGGCTAGGCATTGCGCTAATCACAAGAACAGATCCCCCCTCAGTTGGCCTACGGTAACGCCAAGGTTGGCGGTATCCCCAAGGGGTGAGTAAAAAGTTGAACTATCAAACTCGTTTCTAATATCTGCGTAGCTCCACCCTCAAGTTTGACGTCAAGCTTGTGTCTGTCCAGTAAATGCCGTGTGTTGTCGGAGAAGGGGGTGAGGTACACATAATATCAGCTACTAGTATATAGATATACATACCCAACGAAATGCCACTTTTTGTACAGCGCACGTTCACTTGATAGCATCAGGTTTTTAATACCGCTAGCTACCCCAGTCTGATGTGCGTTGCGACGCACTTGCATTGATCCAACCTCGCACATCTCGCTGCTTGGCTTCATCTATCTTTGTGGCGTCATTTTCATGGAGTGCATGCACATGGTGCGAGGGGCAAAAAAAATCTCCCCGGTGCGAGTCGAACGCACGACTTTCAGATGTGAATATTGTAACCAATTACAGTCTGACGCTCTAAACCACACTAAACTACGGAGAGTTGATTAAATGCAACCAGCTGCATTTTTCTATGTCACATTTTTGTAGGTCCCTGGCCCACCTGAATATCAACGAGCTTCTGCCATATACGTAACTGCATGCAGCCTCGCCTTTTCGACAAAACCAGCTGTCTGGACTCATAGGCCATACATGCACGTAAAGGTAATTTCAGCCACAAGGGGTACCTGGTTTTGTTGCATCAGCCGTTTGATAGGAGCGGCCGCGACTATGTGTAAGGAAAGATCCCACGTAAAATTAATGTCTGCCGATGGCCTCCCTACCAAGTGAAGATATCAGGTTATCAGCAGATAGGATGGAAACTAGTACGACGTAAGTCAACCACAAAAGGATAATGATGATTGTCATTCAACGACAAGCTGGACATAATTTCGAAATCAGGACAGCGCATCTGTCGTGTCTGCTGGCTCTTTGGAGAAGTGATCATGAATCTACTGAAACCTGAACACCTCTATACATATCACCAACACAAGTCACTTTCTATCACTATCACGATATGATATCAAAATGTATAGATGACCGATAACTCTCGAGAGTCGTATGATAATCACCATTCCCATGTATGCTCAGACCTTGATGCTACGGCCAGAAGAAGAGGGATACCCTTGAGGAGGCCTGTGAACAAGGCGGGAATCGTCCTCGATGACGGCTTGACCCGAGACTACTCCCTTGGTACCGATCGCCGTTGGCAAAGGCTTCCTCTTCAAAAACCCCCTCGGGCCTCTGGGCTTCTGGACAACTGGAGGGCCAGCAGGCGGGATAACCCCTGAGCTCTCGGGCGGAATGTTTCCCGCAAAAGGATGGTTCACAATAGCCTCGCTCGTCTTGATCCAAGCTGCCACCTGCTTTGCATCATCCATCATCGGTCCCAGCTTGTCAAGTCTGTCCAAAAGGCCTTCGTTGCTCCCCTGGTAGACCTGAGTCGGGGCAGGAGCAGGAGAAGGGGTGGGCGGTGCGCTGTTGGAAGGAGAAGTGTGGGGGGTGAGGATGATGTCGCTTGCGAGGCTGCTGACGCTGTTGCTCAAGCCGCCGGGAGGCGAAAAGGGTACACTGTGAGCAGGACTGGAGGTAGGGGCTTGCTGTCTACCGCGAGATTCAAGAGTCGATGCAGAAAGACTGGAAGAGTTTGACCCTGGGCGGTTGAAGTGTGCCGCAGCTACGGCGGCGCGATACATGGAAGGAGTTGGGCTAGGCGAAGCGATCCTACATCTCTCTGGGTGGGGAGGGCTCAGCCTTTGCCCGTCGACGGTGGATTGGAAGGAGCTGGCCATGGATGGTTGAGAGTCGGGAGTAGATAATCCGGAGCGGTAGCTTGGGGGAGAGGAGAGAGCGCTTGACGGGGGTAGGTTCGGGATGGTGGGCATGTCGGAGACGTGAAGGTAAGGGATGGCTTGAGTGGGAGCTCGGGCCAAAATAACTGGCTCGGGAGGTGCGTTGGTCTGGGCGACGACGATAGAGAGAGCAGGCTCCGGGCTGACTGTGATCTGTGGCTGCTGTGGACGAAGCTCAGAGCTGTTGATGGTGCGGGAGCTAAAGACGAGATAGATTTCGGGCACGTCTTCGCGCCTGTTGCTGACCGTCCTCCTGTCGCTCGCCTGCCATCGTCAGCGAGATAAACCCATACTGGACCCGACTTACAACTTCAATAGCCTTCCAGTCCTTATAATCCATACCCCCCAATACTCTCAACGCCCACTTTGACTGATCCAACATATCACTACCCCAGCTCTTCGTCGCCCAAATTCTCACTTTGAGCTCATCAGGCAGTCCTCCCAGTACTTTCAGACTACTCTGCCTATCGTGCACTCCCGCGACGTGAATCCTGAAGAGATACTTTTGGTGCGAGGCAGAGGTGATTACGTCGTCGACGAGGGCTTCTTGCGCTTCGAGTTGTTGCTGAAGGTCCCGGGCTTGGCGGCGGTAGTATTCCAGCTGGCTTGACTCCTCGACTTGGGACTGGCTTGCCTTGAGATCGGGTGCTCGTGAGGGTTGGGCATGGCCGACGACTGCGCGGATGCTGATGTTCGAGTTTGATCTTTCAAAAGCTTTCTCTGGAATGGTCTTGTTGCTCTTGGCTGGCGAGCTGGGAAGACGTTCCGGGCCGTTGACAATTGATCTGGAGCCTTGAATGGCCGCACACTGATGATCAATCTCCTCGATGGTGCCCAAGAGAATGTCCAAAGTATCGTCTTCGTGATAGTAGCTTGGATAGTACCTGTCAGTGATAGCATCTCGGGAGATGTAACCCTAACATTGTATCAGCGATATCAAACATGATGCGTAAAGTCACTCACCATCAGATGCTCAAAGTCTTCATAGTCCCCTTGGAAGCGACCTTGGCATATACGCATCCATAGACGCTTGTTGCCGCCCAGCCGTTGTTTGAGCTCGTGCTCGTGCTTGAGATTGCTACTTGTTGTAGATACGAGTCCGCCCCTGTCAGTGAGGTCGAGGTGGAAGTTGACAAGCTGGCCCTCGTGGGGCGGGTGGAGGTATGCGATGGTCAAGTAGTATCGACGTCCGGAAGTTTGGTCTGGCATTGTGATTATTTCTTGTTGGTGGCGATTGGGAAGACGGGGGCAAGATGGGAATACATCGCCTTATACGTTGGAGAGTGGACGGATGCGGCGGAAGTGGAGATGTGTTTCCGAGGCTGCAGCTGCTTGGCAGCACTATTGGGCCAGCTTCCGCGCGTACTGGCAGCATGCACAGCTGCTGGGGTACTGAAGATGAATATGCTGTCCAGAATGTCGAGCTTCATACTGCACTGCAAGCAAATGCAAGAGGAGATAAGGCGGGCGGCGCGTAAGGTGTGCCTGTAGTCGGCTCCCTGAAAATGCCATTCTGGGGTGGGGCTATACGCGTTTGGGTTGATATATGGCTCCCGTCATCGCCGTTCCCGCTTGTATTGGGTTCGCATATCTGATCGCGCGATGATATCAGATGTACGGCATGAGTGAAAAGGGGCCGAGGAGGGAGGGCAGCGTGCAGCGAGGCAGCGAGGAGGACAGATTAAGTCACTGCAATGCGTCCTCGATCAAGACGAGATCCACCCATACATATATGCAGATCCTTGCATCTTTTGTACTTTTCCCATTCCCACCACCGCCACTACGCCACATCCACGAACTCCACTCGGCCAACCGCGACAGAGAGATATATCGCGTTCGGCGACATTCTTCGGCAAGAGCACTAGCCCAGGGTAAGATCCCTGTCCATCACTCAGGTTAAGGCAAGCCCATCTACTTGCCGATATATAAGAGGCCATGAAGGTCAATATTGACGCCCTTTTTATCCACAGCATCCCATCCATCTCAACACTCCGGCGACAGCAACACCCCACTCAGACACACACACCTTTCTCGGGGACCAAACAGACACACTGCCCCCATCACCCTCGCCTCGGCTAACGCTCTGCGCACCGTCCTCCCCCAGCAGCTTTTGCCCACGCACAACTCTCAAACTCTTTTCAACATGCACGACACCCGCCGCTCCTCCCACTCGACGTATACCCGGGACTGGCAAAAAAGCGTCCAGCAAGGCGGAGGAATGGCCAAGAACAATGACCACCCGTACTCGCACGACGAGTCGGGCAGAAGAGGTAAGCTATTCCTGGCCTCAATTGGGATGGTCTCACTGATTTTTTGAAGCGTCCAACGAGACATACATACCACAACCGCCCAAAAAGAGCTTTTTCAAAAGAATCTTTGGCTGTACTTGCGTGAGTCTGCTCTTACCCCGCCCCCGCATCAGGCCTGACGATCATTTCTAGTTTGAACTGGACGTGTGCGTAGAGAACACATGATTTATCACCTCAAACTGACTCTCTATAGCCACCAAGACCCCGTCAGGCGATATCGTCCTGCGGCCGAAAGTACCCAGCAATCACCCCCACCCCATCTTACACCCATGCCGATCCCTTCCCTATAGCAGCCCGCCTGGGATCCAATCACAGGGCGACCGACTCGACGGCGTCTGTCAGTACGACACTGTCTGGACCTGCGCTGTCGAATCTGCTGTTCATCCCCAGGCAGGAGGACGAGGCGTTCAAGACGTATGCACCGCCGAACGGGTCGTTTGCCGGGGGCACGACGGGCGGGGCAGGAGCAGGCGGTAGCTGAGTGGGATGGCCGGGAGATCTGACTGGAGGACTTGTATATGGACGTGCGCGGCGATAATCATACTGTATCTAATAATCGACGACTTTCTGTATCACGACGGGACCGATGAGGGGTGTGTAGACGGATGCATGCAGCTACACTCGAGGCTGTACGCCATCGCCGAGGCCGGGTGTCCGTTGTAGTGTTGTGTTGCACCGAGTATATATAGCTCCTCTTAGCTCCCGCCGCAGCCCCTGCTAGTCAACACCAGCCATGGCCCTCCCCGCCCAACAGCAGCACTCTCTGCAGATCAACACTTCCCAGCCACGCCCCCTTACCACCATGAGTGAGCTCCCCTCCCAGAGCATGCCTGAGGTACTTTACGAGTACTGACCCGCGCGACAGCACAACAGAGAAACCTTGTCCGCAACTCGACCGATACCCGGGGCGAGGACGATGTCTCCTTCTTTTCCTTCTCGGACGATACCGGGCCGTCTATATGGTGCTGCTTTGGCGTAAGGCCTTCTCTACTGGGTGGGGGTACGGTTCCTGACAGACGCTGTAGAGATCGCAAGCCACAGCCAAGAGCTCTTCTCGGCTAGCGACCCCTGTGCGACCTCAGCCGCTCGTCAACCCTTTTGTCGCAGCCTCGGAGAAAGCTCGGCCAGCGCCTTCCGCTTGAGCGTCAAGCGTGGCTTGTATGGTGGCAAGAAGAATGTGGCACGTTGGGACAGACGGAGGTTCATTAGAATGGACAGAGTGGGCTACAGGGGGTGGCCCACGGACTGGCCGAGAGATATTCCATCGCACAGTAGTCAGGTTGTAGCCCATTAATGGGCACCATGTATTGTATATATACTCGTTAATCCGCTCAGGCTGACAAGCCGGCCTCACGGAGGAGGCGGCTGTGGGGGAGACGGTGGGGGATGTGGGGCGGACGCAGCTAAAACGAGCGCGAGATCATAATATCAACGACGGTGGTTACAGACAAAGACAATTGCGACGACGGCTTGCCGCCTGATTTCTCTCTTTGTGTTATGGCTTGCAAGTTGCAATCGAAGAACGATATGACCGACACGAACCGAAGTGATCGTCGGATGGCCGACGACTGGAATCGTCGTGTATCGTGACATCTCTTGTATCATCAAGCCGACGGGATGTGTGCGTACTGACGACGCTGTATCTATATGTTGTATAGCATCCAGGATAACCTAGTCATATATCGCGCCGCTAAAGAGCCAGGAAAGCCGAGATGGAAAGCGACGCCGGCCAGGGACCAAACAACGACGAAACGGCCCCGGTCTGGCGTTCTTCTTTCTCCTCTCAGGCATGGCCGACCGGCCAAAAATAGCATAGCAGGCGAGATATATAATAGAGACAGACATTCCCTGTTGAACTTTACCCAAAGCAAGAATGGTCTCTGCCAGTATCAACGGCGACGCTCCTGTGACTCACAACATGTCCACGGCTTCATCATCAAGCGGTGAGCCCATATCGGTCTCCAACCACGACCCAGATGTCTAACTAGTATGATAGTCAACACCCCCTATACCTACTACCAGCCAGAATCTTCGGAAGACATTCTTCGGCTTCGAGGCGGGTGCTTGACCTATTATCTCATCCAACGCGTACGTTTCCATCCACAAGCTATAAGCAGTCAAACTGACCGTCTGACAGTACAAGAGGTGGGGAGCTCACTGAAATGCATGGAATCTACTAACAGTGCTCCAGGTCAAAGGAGAGGAAGAAGCGCCAGGCTGCGGCCGACGCGGAGGGGCACCAGCAAGGTGGACAATTGCCGGGCGAAAAGATCGCAGAGCAGCCTCAGCAGACCGCCGTATAGCATGGAGGGTATATTTAGGGGTCTTGCTATGGACTTTGTATCATTCGTTATCTGTGCAATGTCAACCAAGAGGTCTGCACGGTACCATGGTCTATGATCCCTGCACACTTGTCACGCCAATCACATTGCTCGTACTGTACATTCCAGAGCAAGGTCCTATACAAGTATAGCTCACATGGGTATATTCATTGTGGTACTCATCTAAGTGCAAGTGGCTAGATATACAACCCCAAGAGCGTCTCCGATATTCTTTTATCTTGTTTATCTACAAGTCAAGCGCCTCTTAACCTCCAGCTTCTATCGCGTGCTCACTCTAGTTGTTGATCCGTTCGAATCCCATCGACTTTTCGTATTCTTCTTCATCCTCATCTTCACTGTCCTCTTCATGCCACTTACTGGCCCTGCTGACGGCCCTGTTCCAACCCTTGACCCTCTTCAATCTGCTCTTCTCCGGAAGCTCGGGTTCGAAAGTGTGAACACCCGCAGTGTTGACCTCGCTGAGGGTCTCGGGCCTGCTCAAGTCCCAACCAAAGAGGCCGAGCGCGCTAGCAGCCAACAATGCTGATCCCAAAGCGGTCGACTCTCGCATCGAAGGACGGGCGACGTTGAAGCCACCCAAGTTGGCCTGCAATTGCATCGCCAAGTCTGAATTTGTTACACCACCGTCCACCTTGAGGGTAGTAAGTTTTGAATCGGACTCCTTTTCAATGACGTCGAGGACGGCACGGGTCTGGAAACAGACGGATTCAAGGGTAGCACGGGCGATGTGGGCGGAAGTGGTGTAGGCAGAGATACCGATGACGGTACCAGAAGCTTCACGGTCCCAATAAGGGGCGAGGAGGCCAGAGAAGGCGGTCACAAAGTAGACACCCCCAGTGTCAGGGACGGACCCGGCAAGAATGTCCATCTCGGAAGAGTCCTCAATGAGGTCCATTTGGTCTCGGAGCCTGAAAAATGTCAGCCAATGATACCAGGACCAACAGCAATACGCACCACTTGATAGCAGAGCCGGCAACAGCGATGGAACCTTCAAGCGCATACACAGGCTTGGCATCAGGACCAGGCTGGAAAGCCACGGTCGAGATCAACCCATAGTTGCTCCTGACAATTTCTTCGCCAGTGTTGAACAAGACGAAAGCACCAGTGCCATACGTGCACTTGGCCTCACCCTTCCGTAAACACTTGTTTCCGACCAAGGCAGCCTGCTGGTCACCAATGATACCGGCAATGGGGACACCGGCGATAGGGAGGTTGGTCGACTCGTGGATGTTGCCATAGTGTTCAGACGACGAGACAATCTTGGGAAGGATGGAGGCTCGAAGGCCAAAGAATTCGAGAAGGGGGTGGTGCCACTGAAGGGTCTTGAGAGAGATAAGGAGGGTTCGGGAGGCATTGGTCACATCCATGATGTGGAGACCGCCTTGTTTACCGCCAGTGAGGTTCTACAGGGCTTGTCAGATGTTGTTCGGCTCAGTCAAAACAAGACTTACGTAGACGAGCCAAGTGTCGACGGTACCAAACATCAAGTCGTCGGTCTCGTGAGCGGTACGAACGGCTTTCTGGTGGTCAATCATCCATCGAAGCTTGATGGCGGAAAAGTAGGTAGACATGGGGATACCAGTGCTTTGTCTTGTCAGCAGGAGTGGCAACGATGAGATGCAACTTACACGTCAACGAGACCCTCTTTACCCTTCCTGTATTTTGTGCCCTTGGCCACGGGCTCCTTTTCATCCTTGCCGATACCGAGCCCCTCCAAGGCCTTGCCGATGCTACCGGTGACTCCTGCGGCCTGGTCGACAACCTCGCCCTTGTCACCAAACGCGGCATCCTCGCCGCCAGTACCGAGAATAACTTCCTCTGTGACGGCAGTGTCTGCGGTTTTGGCGTCCTCTTCGGCAGTCTCAATGCGGATACCAATCTCGTCGAGCTTTTTCTCCATCTCTCTCACGACACCGACGGTACGAGCATCGTCCCAAACGATGGCATTGGCGAGGGGCTTGCCGGTAGAGCGAGACCAGCAGACGGTAGTCTCACGTTGGTTGGTGATACCTTTGTTAACGTGTCAGCCCGTATGCATGGGCACTGCTCAGCATCCCGTTACAGAAAACTGCTAAACGGCACGAAAAAAAAAAGACAAAGGTACTTACCGATACCCTTCAAACTGTTCCTCGACCAGCCCATCCATTCGAGTTTTTCGACGGCGCGAATGATACACTCATTCATGGCCTCGACGAGGGCCTCGGGGTCATGCTCGTGCCAGCCTGCATGGGGCAGGATCTGCTCGAATTCGGTCTGGTGCTCGGCAACGATCTTTGCGCGCTTGTCAAAGATGATGAATCGGGTCGAGCTGAAGAATTAACAGAAAAGGCGTCAGAAACCGAACACGGAACGATGCCGAAAAACCCACGTGGTACCGCAATCAAGAGAGCCGATGAACTGGCCATTGCGCAACTCCCGCACGCCCCCCAATGGGGTGTATCCGGCCGCACCTTCAAAGTACGACCTGGGCGCCTGGGTGAACTCGTTGCCCAAAGGCAAGGTAGGCGATCCCGCTCGAGAAAGGACGGAGGGGGTAGCAGGGCCCGAGTATTCGCCCCTTCGGATCGGTCGCGGCCCGGAAGCCATGGACGACCGGCGGGAGAGGGCCTGCTGGGGCTGGGAGATCTGCTGGGGGATCTGCTGGGAGCTGCTGTAGTACTGGTTCATGGAGGGGCGTCGGGAGGCAGAGGCGGACTCGGAGGGCCTCCTTGCGACGGGCTGCGAGATGGAGGGGCGACGTGAGCTGGCGGGGGACACGGCGGGAGAGGCCTCAAAGACGGGGGTGAAGCCGCCTGAACCGCCCGGGTTGAGGGGGGAGTGGTTCTTGACGGAGGACATGGAGAGGTCTACGGGGCGGGACATGACTAAGCAGGCTGTGAGTGGTGGATGAAAAGAAAAGAGAAAGGAGATGGAATGGAATGACTTCACCAACGTCACTTCGGCGCTTGCCGACCCATCGCTTGCACCCTGGCCTATCGATGTGGAGCAATTTGGTCCCGCGTCCACCACCGCTGTGTTTGGCTCTGCCTGCGACTCGTGCGCTGCGATGCCCACCACCCCATGATCTCCAACGTCCTCCCCCGGGGGGCACCCGTCCCCCGCCCCATCCGCCGCCCAAAGAAAATCATCTACCTCGCAGTCATATTCTTTCTGCTCTACTGGTTCGGCATCCGCCATGGTCTCGGTCGCGAGCGCCTGCAAGATTTTCCTCTGGGATACGCTATCAAGGGCGGCAGGCGCGGACGGCACAGTAGCCTGATACGGGGCGACAAGGGCATGTCTGTGCTGCAACGAGCGCAGGCCGGGCACCGGCAGGAACACCCCATCTACGAGCTCATGGAAAATGCCGAGACGCGCTGGACAGACATGCTCGCCTCGCAATCAAAGACGCTGCAGCAGGCGGTAGCGCAGTACAGAAAGCGATATGGGATCCCGCCTCCTGCTGGGTTTGATGCCTGGTTTGCGTTTTGCAAGAAGAATGGGATCAAGATTATCGACGAGTACGACCAGCTCATGAAAGATGTGCTCCCGCATCATGCGCTTGCCCCCGCCATGTTTATCGCCCGGAGTAAAGCGCTGGAGGGTGCGGCGTATACGTATACCCTCGATATTGATAAGGGCCGCGTGGGGATCTCTGGCGAGAGATCTAGCCATAACCGGCCAAAGCATCTCCAATCGTTGATCTCGGGATTTATGAACGATCTTCCGAGTGGATTCCGGTTGCGTGTCACGGGGAGTGACCACGATACGGGAAGTATAGTGCTTGGGAAGGATCAGAGGGAGAGGGCGATGGAGCTCGTGAGCCAGGGCAGACGTAAGTCGAGCGGTGCTGTGAGATGCTCGCGCTGATCCAAGACAGACTTTAAGGAGGACGAGCTGAAATCTTATGAAGACCCCGATCGTACGCCCGCATGGGGCTGGTTTGTGAGTCTAGCGCTGCGAGCCGTAGGCTCTACTTATTCGTTTGCAGAAAGCGTGTCCTCTCGACTCTCCCGCCAATATTCGTCCAGGGGCCGAAAATGCCACAGAGGACATTCTTCGTGAGAAGTCTGATCGCACATCCCCTACCCAAGCTGACAACCTGCCAGCAAAGTCTTTTATCCATGACCATCTCCCCACCATGGACTTTTGCGAATACCCCGAGTTGAAGCGTCTCCACGGCGCCATGTCGTACGATTATGTCAACCGCTCTCCCTCCGTCCTCAAACCCATTCTCGTCCTTTCAAAATTCCCGTTCGATGCTTCTTTCCAGACCACTCCCATGGAGGGGTACGCCAACATCACTGCCGATGACTTGCCCTACCTCGGTACGTGGGCCGACAAGACGGACAACCGTCTGTTCTGGCGCGGGTCCACGACGGGCGGGTACGGTACGCAGCGGGATTGGAAGGAGAGTCATAGGATGAGGCTGCATCTGATGATGAATGGGCCCAAGGGAGGAGATGCGTGGTGGGATCAGCAGCGGCGGGATGTCATGGTGCCAGACGGAGAGGGCGGTTTCAACGTCGTGAGGAGGTGGGAACGGGTGCTGAGCAAGGCTTATGCGGATGTCAAGTTGGCCGGGGTGCCTGTGCAGGTGCGTCTCACTACTTGTTTCTGCGGTGCTGACGCCAAGCAGTGTCCCAATGAAGAGATCTGCCGCGAGGTATCCGAAACCATCGAGTTTGGCAAAAAGGTGTGGCCCGACGAGGCCGTCAAGTTTAAATACAATCTCGATGTCGATGGCAACGGGTGGTCTTCACGATTCCACAGACTGTTGAGCTCGGGCAGTCCGATCATTAAAATGACAATGTTTCCCGAGTGGCACATGGTAGGCCTAACCCGTATGCACCAGCGCAAGGCTCACTTTCTGTGCAGGAGTGGCTCACCCCCTGGCTCCACTACATTCCTCTCAAAGCCGACTATTCTGACCTCTACGACATTATGGCGTTCTTTGTCGGTCCTCTGGACGATGCGGGACATGTCGACACGGAAAAAGGACACGACTATCTCGCGCAAAAGATTGGTGAAGCAGGGCAGAGATTTGCGCTAGATCATTGGTCGTGGGTGGATATGCAAGCATATGTGAGTGCGAGGTCGATGGATGGGAGAGTGGACTGACAGAAATTGGAGATGTTTCGCCTTCTTCTAGAGCTCCAGCGACTCCATTCCCTGGACCGCGGGTCTATGGCCTACAGTGGGCCTGTCGTGTGAGGCGTATTCACGCGGTGTGGGGTGGATTGTATCATCATGTCTTTCTTATCTTGCCGAATACATCACATCTATTTCTATTTTTTGGGTTACTCTGGGCTCATCTATAGCATTCTGTCCATAGCCAACAGCACTCTATGCATACATACAAGGTAGCGGGCGGTGTGATGCGCAGTGGACCGAGGGCCGAGGGGCCGGTTGCAGCGTCGGCAGAGACTGGAGTGTGGCACTTTTCACGTTGGGCGATCGGAGGATGCAGGACGACGGCGCTACTCGGTGCGGGGGTGGCCGCAGGGCCAAGAAAAAAAAAAGATTCCCAGCCTGGTTTGGATCTGGGCTGGAAAGAGGCGCAACCTGCAGACAATCCAGGCACGACTGCCCCGCCTGGGCATTCCCGCCCAATGTGTGTCTCAGGGGCGATGGGATTCGCCGGGCGACGGATTGGTGGGGCGTGGTATAAATCTGCGAATGGGGTGGCTTCCATCTCCACATCCGCCATGTCCGCCGCCCTCAGACACCGCCCCGCCTCCCCCTCCGCCCCTGCTGGACAGGCAGAGAAGGACCAGGTCATCCGAGACGCACAGGCCAAGGAGATCGCCGAGGGACAGAAGTTTGCCGTCCCCAACTTCACCATCAAGCAGCTCCTCGATGCCATCCCGTGAGTCCCCATGCTCCCATACCCCACCCGCTCATACAGTACAGCGCACACTGCTTCAAGCGATCCGCCTTCTGGTCCTCCCTCTACATCGTCCAGGACGTCGCTGTCATCAGCGCTCTCGTTTATGGAGCCTTCCACATCGACTCTTTCCTCTCTCGATTGTGAGTCCAGCCGCACTCCAAGGGTCCCGTTCATGCTCATCGCGCTGGCAGCGCTCTCTCCAACGTCGCTTTCTACGCCGCCAAGGCTGCTCTCTGGAGCGCCTATTGGTTCGTGACTGGTCTTTTCGGCACCGGTATCTGGGTCATTGCGTGCGTCACTCCTTTTACTCTTGGCTATTCCCTCTGACTCCATGCAGCCACGAGGCCGGCCACCAGGCCTTCTCTTCCAGCAAGGACATCAACAACGGCGTCGGATGGGTCTTGCACTCTGCTCTTCTTGTCCCCTACCACTCTTGGAGAATTTCCCACGCCCGTCACCACGCCGCCACCGGCCACTTGACTCGTGATGAAGTCTTTGTCCCCAAGACCAGAAAGGAGCGTGGTGCGCCCGCGATCACCGAGGAGGGCGAGATTCTCGGTATCAAGTGAGTCTGCTACCAATCCTGGGGAACGCGCACTGACCCGTCGCAGCGTCTCTCCCGAGCGTCAATCCCAACTCAAGGAAGCCCTCGAGGACTCTCCTATCGTCGTTCTTTACAACCTCTTCCTCCAGCAACTCTTTGGCTGGCCTATGTACCTCGCCCGAAACGCCTCTGGCCAGCGCCACTACCCCAAGGGCACCAACCACTTTAGCCCCCGCTCTATCATCTTCAAGGCCAATCACTTTGCCCAGATCATCTGGTCCGACATTGGTGTCTCTATCGTCCTTGCTGCCCTTGGTTACTGGTCTTACCAGAGGGGCATCAAGGAGATGATCTCCATCTACTTTATCCCTTACCTCTGGGTCAACAACTGGCTCGTGTTCATCACCTTCCTCCAGCACACCGACCCCGTCCTCCCTCACTACACTGCCAACAAGTGGACTTTCCCCCGAGGTGCGCTCTGTACCATCGACCGATCCTTCATGGGTCCCGTTGGTCCTCACGTGTTCCACGGTATTACCGAGACCCACGTCGCGCACCACATCTCCTCCAAGATCCCTCACTGTAAGTTTCAAGTTGATTGGCGACGGGCGGTATGCTGATTATTGACAGACAACGCTTGGGAGGCTACGGAGGCGCTCAAAAACTTCCTCGGTCCTGCTTACCACAAGTCGGACGAGAACATGTTTGTCTCTTGCTACAAGTCTTACCGAGACTGCTTGGTGTGTTGTCTCTCTATCACACCATTTCGATCACTGACAGTTTCTGCAGTTTGTCGAGGATGATCAGGACGTTGTTTTCTACAAGAATGCGGCTGGTATTGCCCAACGTGTCCCCGTTGAGGAGAGCGGCAACCTTTCCGACTCTGGTGTCGACATGACTGAATCCAAGTAATCGAGGTCACCTCATTGTTTGGATTCGCGTGTAGAAGACTAGATTCGTCTAGAAGCTATTGTCTATAGGTGGTGGTGTTTTGTGTTTGTTCTCTCGCCAGAAGAGTGCAGCACTCGGGCGTGTCCCTTTTTCCCTTTATGACTTGCCAGAAGTCTTACGTCCGTTCCTACAGTACGAGTACAGTATATCCTGTTTAAAAGATTCCATGCACGCTCTTTTCAATCAACTCGGTGCGACGCTTTCGCGCGTGTGATTTTGCAGCGAGGCACGTCCCTCCCCGCCTTGTTTCGTCGCCTTTACATCTCTTCTTCTCATCATTCCGTCCCCAGCTTCCTCTTCGGCACCATGACCGCATCCCATCTCCCAGAGCAGCCATGCGTCACCTTCATATGGTACCTCCGCTCCGTCCCCAGCAACAACGTCTTCATCCTCACCACCGATTTCCCGCTCTCCAACCCGCGCGATCGCCCCAAGCACATGGATTCAGAAGAGGCGCGGCAGCTTGGTATGCTCGTCCAGACCATTATCCCGGAAAAGCACGAGCTGTTTGTTCAGAGTGGACCTTTTGCGGGGCAGTACGAACACTTCGAACATGTCTGTGTGAGTATCTCGCCACCCGGCTTTCCAACACTTGTCAACGGCAAACTGATGATACCCGTGGCTATAGGCAGAGATCCGGAGGAATGTGGACAGGGGGATCAAGTTTGTGGGCCAAGACACCAAGCTTTGGGTCGCTTTCGGTCTTCCTCAGGATGTACAAGCAGTCGTGATGGGTGTTCTTGCTGGAGTTGGTGAGTTCTTGCTGGAGTTGGTGAGTCAACTGCCGGACCAGCAATTGCAGGTAATCAGCTTGCACTGAAGCCCAGTCAACCCCCACGCCTCTGCTTGGACCTCTCGAGTATGGCCAACGAAGTCGAGCAGCTCGACGCCTATACGCGTACGGCTGACGGCTTCATCACTCCACCCCTCATCATCGACGAGCCCGATTCACCCTCGGGCAATGTACCGCCCTCTCGAGGCGGCAACACCTACTACTCTCACCAGGAGGTGGCAGAGATCGTGCGCTCCGCCACTCGAGACCTCCATGACCACATCCGCGCCCTGCGCGAGCAGCTCGCAGAACGAGAGGACATGTTGATCGAGATGGATGAACTACTCTCTCGGGGGGAGCGAGATCAGGTGTACGTCTATATCATCATGACGCCTCAGCGGGGGCCGGAGCCGTTCTATAGGGTCAAAAAAGATTTGGTCGCAGAGGATCAGATTCGGAGTTGGGTGGTGCATCAGACCGGGTTGGAAGAGTTCAAGGATGCCGAACGGTATATGGTGCTCGTCGCCGCGGATCAAGATATACCTTACCAGCACTGGTTCACCCAGCAGGTACGTTCTTTTACTCTCGAGCTTGGACTCACCGATGACGCAGAGAAAGGGCAAGAGAGTATTGAAGGACGACACCGATGTCGTCGAGTGTATCATCGAAATGATTTCCTTGGGCATACCTTCGACCGACAGAACTGTGCATATTTTCGACTCTAATCAGCAAATCGAACAGCAAGACATGGACATCACTCCGACCAACAAGGCAAAACCCCTTCCCAACGTGTCCCAGGATGCAGCGCCACATTCGTCTCTCGGTTCTTCTACACCAGGTCTGCAAGCCCATGACGACCTCTACCCCCTGGTCGACTACCGCCCTCAAGTAGCAGAGGAGATACTGAAGATCCTTCGAGATGAAAGGGTTCCTGCGCTCTCTACCGCTACGAGACGCCTCGTTGCTCTGGCCCAGTCGTTGACTTTGGCCACCCAAATCAGCTCGAATGCCACAACCCCTCGCAGTCCCAACGCCACCAATCCTTCATTCCAACAACTGGGCGACCGACCCCAAAGCTACTCGAAAGCTTTGATGCCCCCGTCAGACAGCGCCACCACTCTCACCGGCTCTGAGGGCAAGACTCGTGCGATCCGAGGCAGCATCACCTCAATCGAGGCTGTCATCGGTGGCAGTGCCAACGGGGCCAAGACTGGCTCCACTCGCACCGCGTTTGACATGCTCGTATGGCGCAGAGATGTCGGAGAAGCGGTAGGAGATGAAGGGGAAGAAGATGGCTCTGGTCCAAGGAGCAAAGGTGGCGACAGCAGTGAGACGCACGAGGGAACTCAAGACTTGCTGGACGTCCCGAGGACGAGAGGAGAAGCCAAGAGGAAGAACCCTTTCCTAGGTCATCGACATCAGTCCAGTGCGCCTCCCGCTACCAATCACGCCCCTGCAATCGTGGTCACCGACGCCCCCTTGAGCCCGTCGGCGCCCCTGGCTGCGCTCCGTCTCGACGAGGATATCCCCAGCCCAACAGCAAGTCCGTTGATAGGAGCGACGCATGTCATAGATGTGGACCAGCCAGAGAAGACCGCAGTATTCGTGCCGCTCGTCTTGGGCTCTTCGAGTGGCCGTTGTGTTGAATCAAAAAGTTCCTCCCCGTACGAGCTCAGCCGTACCGATAGTACATATATTGGCTCTCAAGCCCTTGACCGAGAGGTGACTGTGGCGCAACAGGTCGAGACGGCTGATGAGGGGAGCCCAAGGAAAAAGGCAAGGCTGCTGGGTGAGAGGCTGGATTCGGTGGCTTTGGTCAGTGGGGCGCTATAGGTCAAGGCGCAAATGGAGGACATGGAGACGGCGCAAACAGTAGTACACGAGCAACTGTAGCATAAGAATATCCAGGCAGAGAAGATTCCGGTCAAGATTGTATGCTCAAAGTGTTCGTTGTTGTTTCTCGTAGATCACCCAATGATGTCACATGTGACTCAGAAATCCAACAGAGACAGTGCAGAATCACAGAGTCATTCATTCATTCAAACCGTGACGTAAACCATTCGTGAAAGACCGAAACAAGATCATCGTATCCAATTGTGGTATACTCCAAGGCATTAGAGAAAAAGGAGATAGAAATGTGAACGGAGGAAGGAAACACAAGAGCCCATCTGACAAGTCTGTTATACACAAGTTTTCACCAACGTCAACCCGTCTCAACGAGCCCATTCACCACTGTATTCTGAGCTATTGCGTTGATGGCCTTTCGTGGCAGCGGGAGTTTGGGATGTCTTTTGTGAATGACCGGGCATGTGAATCGTCTCGTCCTCATCGGAGGAGCCGCCAATGCTGGTGCCCCCTGGTGACCGACTTCTTTCCCATTGTCGAAGTTCTTTTGTAAACTGCGATGGTTGTCAGTATTGTACGCGCTTGTCCCGAAGAGAACTATTCACCTTGTCCAGCGCCAAAGTGGCCTCCTCGCTACCTTCGGCTTCATCGTCGTCCGAGACACCTCTCACATCCAACAGCGTCTGTATCCTATGCTGCGCCTGCGCCAGATCTTCTCTCAAGCTTTCCAGATCCCGCTCGGCCTCGTCTAATCTCATCCGCAAGAGGTCGACCTCACGGTTTCGAGCCGACAAGACGTCTTGAGAAGCAGAGTAATCTTCTTGCAGCTTTTGGTGTTGGGTTTGGAGGGTGGAGAAGCGGCGCTGGACATCAGATTCGAGCATTGAAGAAGGTGTGGAACGGCCAGAGACAGATGATCTGCCACGAAGATGGTCAAGCTCAGTCTGAATAGTAGCGTTGGTCGCTTTCTGTTTGTTCAACTCGTCCTGATCATACTATCAGCATGTTGAAACGAAACATTCCGGAACTCACCTTCATCCGTTTCAACATCTTCTCCGTACCCTTCACATACCTCACAGCGGTCTGGTAGTCGGCTTCCAGCCCCGCAACCTTATCCTTATGTTCCTTGGTCATGTCATTGAGCTTCTTCTCCAGCTCACCGACTCGACCTGCTTCCCCACCCGTGGGCGTGGGGGAACGCATACTGTAACTTGTCGGACTTCGAGCATCTTTGATGCGTTCAATAAGGCGACTGAGAGACTCCACCTTGTCCTCGGCTTCTTCGCTTCTGGCACGAAGGCTCTGAATCTCTCGTTGAGCAGACTCGTTGGCTCTGTTTCGGTCTCGAAGCTGTGTTTCGAGCTCGCGACTGGATGGAGTTTCGACATTGTCCAAGTCGGTGCTGTTGATGGCGATGCCGTGCTCAGCCAAGAGATTGCGCAACATGGTGCACCTGGTCTCAACCTCTGTCACAGCTAGCTCCTTCTCTCTCAACTCTTCGTCTCGAGAGGCATTAAGCTCCTTGTAGCGAGTGACTTCAGACTGAGCGCTCATGAGCTTGGTCTGGCCAGCACGAAGTTCACCCCTGAGTGCCTGCACCTTGCCTTCAAGTTCTCGAGCTTTGGATCGGTGTTGGCTGACACCAGATTCAGCGGCATCTACCCTTTGCCCGGCTTCGTTCAGCATCTTCCTGAGACTCGTGCCTTCCACCTCCAAAGCGCGAAGCTTGTCTTGATGACCTCGCGTGAGCCGGCTTTCATCGGCCCGAAGTTCCTTGTGCGAGTCGAGGATAGCACCGAGTTGGGTGCTGACAGACCCGCGAAGCGAATCAGCTTCCTCGCGAGAGATGGCATACGCTTTCTCAATCTCCTGTAGACGCTCGGTTGCAATCTCGGCTAGCTGAGATCGCTTCTCGAGTTCCGCCTGAGTCTCAGCGAGCTGCTCCACAAGCCTGGCGACCTTTTGCGATTCTTGAGCGTACATGGCCTCCATCTCACTCGCCATTGCCCCTCCGGAATCCACAGCCCTCTGAGCTTCCTCCACCAACACGATATACTGGTCTCGAGAAGTGACAGCGTCGTTGAGTTGCGACAATAAAGTCTCTCGCTCAGCCTCGCGTTGCTGCAAGGTGGATGAGAGTGTGACGAGCTGCTCCGAGTGCTCGCGAATGGATTGTTCGTGGTTACTGAAGCGCGCATGCAGTTGCTCGAGCTCCTCTACGGCTTTTCGATGAGCTTCTTCCGCTTCTTCCGCCCTTTTCAGCGTTTCTGCCTCTCGCTCCGTTGCAGAAGAATGCAAATCCCTCGTCTGCACTCCGTTATCGCGTTCGCGCTCGAGCTCTTTCTGTAGATCTGCGTTCTCATTGACGAGGACTCCAATCTGCTTCTCGAGCTCAGTCGTGCGGTCCTGTTCGAGACGTTTGAGGTCGATGGCAGAGTTGGACTCTAGTGCAGCGATTTTTGCACGGTAAAATGCAGTCTCTTGGAGAGCACCTCGGCGAAGGGTGTCGGCTTCGCGAGATTTGCCGGAAGCGGCGTGCACTTGGGACGTCAATTCGTTCTATGTCTTGTCAGCTTGATTCAAGTGGCGCGTAATACCAAAACTCACCTGCAACTCGGCCTTTTCTTTCTTCAGCCTCACCAAAGCATCAGTCAACTTGCCGACCACGTCTTGCACCCTCCGCTCTTTGACGGCTCTCTCACCGCCGTCCTCATTCTCGTCGATGCTCATGTCCGGCGACATGCCCTCTGGACGCTCATCGCCAAAGACGAAGCCCTGTTTCATAGCTCGGCTCAAGATGGCCTTCAATGCCGCTTCTCGCTTTTTCCCATCCTCAACCTCGATATCCCTAGCCTTCAACTCTCTGATCAGGTCCGTCGAAGGCCCGAGAGAGCTAGGTCGGCCACTCACACTGTGCGGCGAGAAGCCGTTCGTGGTAGGCGACCGTCTGCCATAGTAGAAGGCATCCGGGGGAGGTGGGGCACGTTCTCTTTCCGCTGAAGTACCATCTGCGTTCCTCAGCCTCGGGCTCGGCGATCGAGTACCAGTGAGACTCGAGTTGAACATCATTTTCGGATGATTCTTCGGCGACGCCGGCGAATTGTTTATTGGGCTACTCACGCGGATAGAGCTTGACTGGGGAGAATGAAGCTCTGGGTGGTGAGGATTGGCTGGGGACATGGCTTCACGATATTCTTCGTCACCTTCTCGATGAGGGCGTTGGGGTGGAGCACCATTGGTTTTGGGTATGGAGCGGGGTTGTTGGGCGGTGGCGGGAGACTGGACGGGGGGCTGTGTGACCTGCACTTGGGGTGGTATCTGAGCAGCCTCAGGCGTCTGAGTCGGAGGGGTGATGACTGCACCGAGGGACTGTGCTGGGGGCGTCGTCCCCTCATTGAGCGGCGAGCCAGCGCGGGTGTGAAGCTGCTCCTTCGAACCCGAATGGGGGAGTCTTTGCGGGCTCTGGCCAGGTTGGGCGCCCATACCGTCGTCTCGGGGCTTCTTGTCGGCGGGATACTTGATCTTGGTGGTGTCGAGGTAATGGACGAGTGCGGGGTCGTCTTTCTGATCGGCAATGACCTGGTTGGCTTCGCCACCGACAATGAAGATCTTTCCGTGTGCAGACACCATCGCGTGACCAGATCGCGCAGTTGGAGCGGGACCCATGTTCTGGAACATGTACCATCTTTGGTTTGACAGTTTGAACGCAGACAAGTCGCCAAGGTCCTTTCCTTTGACGTCTCTGCCACCAAACACGTAGATAGTGTCGTCTACAATAGCTGCGGCATGGCCCTCTCTGGGGAGGGGGATGAAGCCGATGCAGGTGAGTTCGGACCAAGCACCTGTGGCCGGGTCAAACGACCATGTGTCGTTGTAATGGTAGTTGCCATCAGTACCACCAAAGCTAGCATGTCATCAGAATGAGAGCGCGAAGACTAAAGGTGACTCACAGGTAGATCTTACCACTCGACGAGGATACCAAAACGTGTCCAGTACGAGCAGGGGGAGGGGGTGTAGTGTATGTCACCTGCTCCCATACATGAGGAGCATTGGGAGATGTCACTAGAGACTTATCAGCACGTGGACTATGGGTTGATAGGATTGACCCACGTTGCTTGATATCATACGACCACATGTCGTTCATGAACGCCCCGTCTGCTTGACCACCAAAGACATAGAACTTGGACTCGACCATGCAGACTGCGTGGCCATATCTGCCGACTGGCCCTCTAGCAACGGGAAGAAGAGTCCATTCTTGGGAGCCTGTAACATGTCAGTGGTGTAGGAAAAGAAACGTACAGGTGACTCACGTAAATCGAGAACATACAGACCCTCATCTTGAGGATCAGAAGCATTCACTTTCGTGTCTCCTCCCCACACAATCAAAATTCTGTCCATTATCACACTCGCATGTCCCACCCTTGGAGGCGGTGTGTCTCCCTTTGTCTTGACATACATTGTCGAATAGTCCCGGATGTCGATTGACCACAAGTCGTTTCTGACTCGCTCATTGATCAGTCCTCCGAAAAGGAGCATGTGGCCAGAATGCGAGGGAAAACAGGGGACAGATAGACCATATCGGGGGAAGGGCGAGTTTGGCATATTTGGGGAGGACGGTGGGTAGGTCCGCAGATGGCGGACTTGCCATGGAAAGTTGGAGGGGTCATGTTGCTTGGGCAAATGTTGCTGCTGAGCGGGGTCCTGTCCAGCTGGGGGAGCAATTTGTGACTGTTGCGCCGGGTACATCCCCTGTCCAGGATGAGACTGGGGAGACATGCTCATGTGTGGTGAGCCATTCATGGGAGGTGTGGGGAACCCAGCCGCAGGACCTCCAGGGCCATTGACGATGGGTGATTGGGACTGGCGATGAGGGGGATTGAAACCGGGTTGAGGCATGCTCATGGGAGCAGAATCTTGAATTTGCGAAGGGTGTATGGGTGGCTGGACACCTTGAGGGACATTCGCATTGAGTTGCTAACGAAAGGTCAGCCTTCTTTGGCCCACGCGCACCAAGCAATCACGTCGTCTCTCCCCCATCCAAAGCAACATTATCATACCGGGTTGCTGGTCATCCGCCTCGGGTTCGCGTTCCCCCCGCCTGCCACGCCCACTGATCCGTAACCAGCCTTCTGCTGAGTACTCGGTACGCTAGCCCTGGGCGCGTTGTCGTCAGCTTCTGCGCGTCTGAGGACGGGGGGAGTCGAGGGTGCTCACGGTGGGGCCTGCTGTACAGAGGCTGGTGGGGGCTGTATGTCTGCCTTGGAGTGCTTGCGTTTGAAGAGAGACATGGCTCCAGGGTCCTGTGGACGTGAAGAGAAGGACAAAAACATACAACAACCATGCACAGACGCGAGTATTTGGCAGCCATTTGATCCCGTTCAAGACGCGTCCGGGGAGGCTAATGTCGGCGCTTTGCCATGGGTATGGCGAGGAGAGGCAGCTGTGGGGGGTAGGCGAGGCAACGGATGCAAGAGCATCTATATGACAGGACTGTATCTGGAGAAGTCCTCGTCGCCGACGATCACTCAACACAGGGCGTTCGGGCGTTCATGATCTCTTTCATTGACCATGCCGAGGGCTAGCCCCATGTGCATACAGATGCATGACTAGATCCAGTGATGTGTGCAAAAGTTATTCTTCAGGCCAAAGAGCATGCACAATGCATGTAATAAATCAAATGACTGGACGGTGTCCGCCCAGCGACCATCGGGGACTTCCGACGCGTGTGGTCGGAGGCGTCCATTCAACGTCCATTTTGGTTGCCATTTCGAGCAGTCCCAGAGCAGTCCACATCTCATCGCTTTCCACCTATATCGTCCGGCTCTCCCGTCAGCATCAGCCGCCTGTATCATGTCGTCTACTTCTGTCCGCCGGATCCAAAAGGTGATAGCCCCCTTCACCCTTGACATTGCCATCAAGAGCCTCACAACTGACAAACGGGTCTCTGCAGGAACTCTCGGGGCTCATGTCCAATCCTCCAGCCAACATCACTGTTCTCCCCGACGAAGACAACATCGAGCAATGGAAACTTGTCATGCTGGGACCTGTATGTGCCGTCTCTCCTCCAAACGTCGAATTGAAATCATTAGCCACCCGACCGGACCTGGTGCTCAAACACAACCCCAGAAGTAGTTCAGGACTAACTGCTCCATCGTAGCCTGGCTCTCCATACGAGAAAGGAAAATTCAAGGTCAATGTCGACTTTGGCAAAGATTTTCCGTTCAAGCCACCCATCGTACGTCCTCGCCTTGCCACTATGCAAGTGGTCCTGTATACTCAGCTCAAATGGGCACGCAGATCAAGTTTCAGACCAGAGTGTATCACCCCAATATCGATGACGACGGAAGGTAAGCCTTGGATTCGGTCGGTAGATACTCAAGCGCCATTAGTATCTGTATCGGACTGCTCAAAACTGAACAATGGAAACCTGCTACCAGGATGGAAGTCGGTGTGTTGGCTTCTCTCGACTCTCTCCTCTGCTGCTTGCTGATACTATACGTCAACACAGTCTTGTCATCAGTGTATAATCTTTTGAACGAGCCAAATCCCGACGACCCCCTCAGCGCTTCTATTGTGCGTACACTCGATTTTCAAGAGACGTGGAACAAGTGTCTGACGGACGATACAGGCCGAACAGTACAGGACCGACAGGCCTGCGTTCAACAAGAAGGCGCAGGAGTACGTGCAAAAGTACGCTTTGTGAGAGGGCAGTAGATGAAGCTATAGTCGATATAGAAGTGACCGCCATGTGTGTAATGTATGATACCCCGCATTCTGGATATATCATGAGCTGTTGGTTACACAAAAGTGAAGCCCCTGTCGAGACTTTTCAATGCCATGAGACCATTTGACCCTTCAACTGACAATCCTCAGATGCAACACAATCCCAATCTCGTTTGAATCTAGTCTTTGCATCCACCATCTGCTCGTTGGATTCTCATGAAATACATCGGCATGAGAGTACCGACAAGCAAAAAGGAAACAGCCCCAACCACCAAACTCCCTTAAAGGCTTTAGGCGGACCTGCGTCTCGTCAGCCACCCATAACTACCTAGGGATGCGGAAAGAACTCACCTGCGGGCCTTCTTGGCAGCCTTGACGGCGGCGTTGTGGACCTTCTTCTCCTCGGCGTGCTTGGCAAGAGCAGTCTTGTACTCGGCAACAGTCTCCTTCTGGGACTCGGTCCTCCTCTTCTGGAGAGATCGGAGGTGACGCTTCCTCTGGAGACGCATGGGGGTGACAAGGCGCTACGAGGATAATCAGTCCTGCTTCTGCTCTGAAAGGCAAATTCTACACACCTGGATCTTGGGGGCCTTGGTGGTGGTCTTGCCGTTCTTCTTGGTGACCTCCCTTCGGACAACGAACTTGGTAACGTCGTCCTCCTTGGAAAGGTTGAAGAACTTCCTGATCTTGGTGGCACGCTTGGGACCGAGTCGCTTGGGAAGAACGACGTCGGTGAGACCGGGGAGCTCCTGAGCACCCTGCTTGACGATGGCGACGGCGAGGACACCAATGTCGTTGCCGACGATGCAACCTCGGACAGACTTTCGCTTGCGCTCACCGTCTCGGCGGGCTCGGTAGCAAGAGTGGCCGTCAGCGAGGAGGAGACGGGTTCGGTGCTGGAGGAGGACACCTGTGATACTGTGAGTTTTTCGCAGCAAAGGAGCAAGGGAGGAGGCGTACCCTGCTTCATAGGGAAACCCTGCTTGTCGTTACCGCCGGTGATTCGGACGACGTAGCCGGCAAACTCCTCACCGAGAGAGTCGATAGGGACTTCCTGGCCCATCCTCTTCTCAAGGAAGACTCGGCTGTGACCAAGTCAGCGTCTCTTCCCAGCACCCTACGCCAGTCCGCGCTCCCCTCCCTCTGATCCTCCCCGTATGCGTCCGTCCTGCGCGTGGCGATACTCACGTCTTTCGGTCATCCTCAAAGTCGATGAGCTTCTGGGCGCCGGTGGCGGGGTTGGAAAAGTTGACCTTCATGGTGTTGGAATGGCGGAGTGTCTCTGAGACGTGACAGAGAGCAGAGGCCTTTTGGTTTGAAGGATGAAGAATCAACAGCAACCCCGCCGCAAATTCGTCAGGCGGCTGCCACGTGCACGGCGTTTGGCGGAGTTTCTGGCTCGCCCCCTTTGCCACATTCGGCAATCGCCGCATTTCCCCGTTGGCGCCCTCTTGTCGAAATTTGCAGCTCGCTCTTGTCCACGCCTCAAGCATCCACCACCAAAACAACATCATCAGCAAAAATGGGTCGGTGAGTGCGCCCATGTCCCCCCTACTGCATGTCGCTGATTCCCCCGAAGAATGCACTCCAAGGGAAAGGGTATGTCCGCGTCCGCGCTCCCCTACCGAAGGTCCCAGCCTTCTTGGTCCAAGGCCACCCCCGAGGACGTCTGTGACCAGATCTTCAAGCTCGCCCGACGAGGTCTCTCCCCCTCCCAGATCGGTGTCATCCTCCGTGACTCCCAGGGTATCCCCCAGGTCAAGTCCGTTACCGGTAACAAGATCTTGAGGATCCTCAAGACCAACGGTACGTTTCAAATTACTCGATGGGGAGATTTGTGCTGATCATCAACAGGTCTCGCTCCTACCCTCCCCGAGGACCTCTACCACCTCATTAAGAAGGCTGTCTCCGTCAGGAAGCACCTCGAGCGAAACAGGGGTGACAAGGACGCCAAGTTGTGCGTACATGTCACTTTTGCTTTGGCAACTGCTAACGTCATGTAGCCGAATGATTCTCATCGAGTCCAGGATCCACCGTCTTGCGCGATACTACATCAAGACCCAGCAGGTCCCCGCCAACTTCAAGTACGAGGCCGCTACCGCTTCCACCCTCGTCGCCTAAGCGCGCGAAGTGGTCCCTTTACTTGGTCTACTCGGCTCTGCCTTCACGGGTTATTCCGATGGTGTATGTTGGGCTTTGGATGAATGTATATTCTACCTCTGCACACTGCAACCAGATAGAACTATTGTTCTCTGTCGGGCGGGTGGCTGTGTGCCCGGCCCCTGGTGTCTGGATGGTGCATTGGATTGAGGGAGGGCTGTGTTGCCGTACCGCCAGGCGGGGCCAACCACCCGAACCCCTGCTGCAATTTTGCATGTGCTGCTGAGATTACTGACCCCGTTCCGCGAGTGGATACTGACATCTCTGGTATATACGTGAACAATATGCAGTGGTATATCTTATCAATGACTGGCTTGTATCTGCAACCCTCATCTTGTCCCAGTCCAGTAGCATCTCCGCGTACAGGGCCAGTGATCGTAACAGATCTTCGAGCCAGTGCAGTGCACCCTGGCAGGTGATAGTGGATCTTCTATTCAAAACGCCATGTAACATGTCCTGACATTGACAGTCAAATCTCTGCAAAAGTTGAGCCGCAGGTAGGCCTGCACTGGCACGCTCTACATTTCCCCAGAGATGAGCAAGTTGTGCAAGTAAATACATCAGTCTGCGCTGTCGCTTGTAATGACAGTTGTCGTCGTTTTTTCGTTTCTTCATACATACCCCATGGCACAAGCTATTCAGCTCGCCGATCTCACATCATGATCAACTCGCTCACGGTAAAGCTTTTACCTCGGAGCTTCATGGCTCGATGGGTGTTGTCGATGGTCTATGGTACATGAGCTTGATCGTCACAATGAAGAGTCAACTTACCGTCCACCAACGGTCGAGTCCTCCTTTGGTCATCTGACCAGCACAATTCTACTTCAAAGTCAACGACACCTTGGCATAAGCCTTGCCACTCACCTTTTGCCACAAGAACGGATCCTGTACCACCAGTTTGTTCTGTCCCCAATTCCTGGGCTGTATGCCCCGATCACCCTTGCCCATTCTTGGCTCTTCTGCAATCCTCGCCAGCCTCATTTCATCATTACTACTCTTGATCTTGTGCGCTGGTACACCCATATTCTCCAAAAGCTGCTGTCGTTCCGAGGCTTCACGGGCCTCTTGACCGTACGCTTTGGCGCGAGGGGCTATGCCTCCCATGAGGATGGAAACAATCTCCGAGTTGCGGTCAAACCTCTCCCCGCGCAGAGGAGCCGTGCCGGAAAGCGAAAAGAACTCGAAAAAGCCACGAATGGCATCCGCAGCTGTCAAGTCCTTCTCCTTTTGCACCCAGCCCTCTGGCAGCTCCAGACTGAATGCTACTCTCGCCTTGATCCCTTCCTCTTTGCCCCAAGAGACCCATACCACATCGTGCTCACTTGTATCCTCTGGCCTGCTGACCTCGGGGACCTTGACCACGTCCTGCAAGTTGGGCAAGTGTCCAAGATGCTGGAGGTATGCAATGGCCATCAAGGTCAGGCAGTAGGATGACATGGTGGCAGGGCCCCGGGCCCCGGAGGGGTCGTTGAGCTTGTGGGAAGAAGACCACAGCTTGAGAGTGTGGATCATTGGACGCAGGACGTAAGGGGACAGGCTACAGTAACGAAGGAGGAGGGATGAGTTGTACCTTTACCAGCGTCAGCGTGTTTCCACCATGGGTGCTGATCACTCACCAGCCTCCCAAGTCGTTGGCGTTCAAATCACACTCCAAATCCGCATACTTGAATTTGTTTATGGGCGTGCTTGCATTCGGTATGCTCTTGACGTCCTCAAACCCAGCTCTCTTGAGAGTGTCCGCCATAGACATGGTGTCGTAGCAGCCTGGCACCCCGGGAATGGGTACAGGGAGATAATCGCGTTTGTGCAGGGCTTCTTTCGGGGTTTGTTCAGACTGCCCAGGCTGTCGCCTCCAGAGTTTCGGCACATCTTTCAAGAGTCAGTCTCGGTCGTTTCCGCGCGGCGTTACAACTTACAACCATGCAACAGCTGCCGATCCTGGTATCTCGTCAGTCCCCACTTTTGCCCAACAGTCATGCCCGACCTACCAGAATGATGAGATCCACGTCTCCGCTATGTCCTGTATCCCCTCCCCAGCTCACGCTCCCAAATACATCCACATAGAACCTCTGACCCTCCTTCCCATCATATCCCCCGTACTCCACATTGATTATATGCGTCAAGTCCTTTATCAACCTCAGCAGCTTTATTCTAGAGTCTTGAGACGGCTCGGCCGCTCTCCATGACTCGATCATCGACGTCTGGAGAGAGTCGGGCTCTTCGGGGTGGGCAACAGAGTCGGGGCAGGTGAGGCGGCCGGAGGGGGTAGATAAGAGCTGGCGGAAGGCGGAGATGTCTTGCATGTGGCCAGGGAGGGGTTGATCGAGAAAGTCCATGGTGGGCGATGTGGGATTGACGTGGGCGACGAGGGGATGGTGAAAGAGCTGACGCGGAGTTGTCCGCCCACCTGGCTGTATGCTGGGATATCTTGTGCGATAGAGAGGGAAGCAAAAGTCGAAACACACGGACACAAGCCGGGTATGGTGGACAGCGCCGTCGAGCCAAGTGGAGGCACGTCACACGCGTCGGTCGTCTGGCCGATCGTACAACGGTTACGCCCCAATCTACAAGTCCTCTACCTCGGCATCCCGCATAGAGTCACAGCTGGTCAGCATGGTAACGAGAAACTCCAAAAAGAGAAGGCAAAAATAATCTCCCCGGTGCGAGTCGAACGCACGACTTTCAGATGTGAATATTGTAACCAATTACAGTCTGACGCTCTAAACCACACTAAACTACGGAGAGTTGTTTGGTTCGCCCAAAAATAACAAGATTCCATCCCCACCGACTGATGAATGCAATTCGACATTAACATTAGAGGTAGACTGCCCTTTACGCTCTAGACAAGCAATGCATAGCACATCAAGACAGTATTCAGACAGCATCTACACCGCGAGATCCTACGTTACAGAGCTTTGAGTCTCTCCCAGGGGTCTTCCCCGTTCCAGAGCTCTTTTCCATCTTCTCCCTTGGTCAACGTAGGCAGCCCGTTCTGTTCAATGACGAATGACGCAGCAACAGTACCCCATTTGACAGCTAAATATACCATGTCAGTGAACTCACTAGAGCAGAGGAGACAACCTACCATCGTCTAACGTCTTCCCTTCTAGCAAAGCAGCAGCGACCCCGCCCATAAACGCATTACCCGCCCCTGTAGGATCCACCACCTTCTTCTCCCAGCCTTCTCTCCCAGCGTCTTTTCCCCAGTAAGCCGGCACCCACTGCACCTCCGGCCTGTACCCTTTTGGGTCTGGCGCCGCGTAACAGCACCCCATATGGCCAGCACGGATGATGGCGCCTATACGAGGTCGAAGGTGCACGAGGGAGCGACAGACACGGGTCAAGATGGGTTTGAGATCGTCATCTGTAAACTCCGGGCCGGTGAAGAGGGCGTACAGGGCGAGGGCTTCATTGTGGTTCGGCCTGTTACGATGATCAGCAACGTGGCTCTGTCAGATGCATGGGCGTACCCCAAGATGTCAATGTGGGGAGCGAGGGCAGTGACAGCGTCAATCTGTTCTTCCTCAGGCTCCCATACGATGAGAGGATCCCACCCCTTGCTCTTCTTGAGAGCTTCCACTTCGCCCAGAATGTTTGCCGCGCGAGGTGCGGGGTAAGAGATGAAATGAGTGACAGCTGGCAAAGGGTCTCCGAAAGCTGTCCCTTCTAGAGACTTGGGAGTCAATATGAGAGGCTTGGAAAGGTATTCGAATCTGCATATGCGTCAGAATACAACGACTGGCCTGGACGCTTGAAGACTCACCCTCTTTTGTCCCCCTGGTACCGGTTCACGGCCCTCGTCGTAGGATTGCCGTCCTTGCGCTCACGAAATTCCCACATCTCCGCTCCGTACGCCTTGAGATCATCTTTCAATGTCTCGGGTAGAGTCTCAGGCGTGTGGTCTATGATCAAGCCGAGCTTGGAAGGTGACAGAAAGATGCGAGCGCCGATGATGGCTGGGCATGGGTGAGCGAGCTGTCATTAGGACATCAAGCGGACGAACCAAATGTTCCTCCCCCTCCGATCTGCATACACTGTCAGACGAGTCTCACACATGCCTGTCGGACCCACTTGGTCAGGCTGATCTACCGGCTTCTCTGCGCCAGTATCATCTATGCGGGTAAACGTGTCGTGGATAAAGTGCTCTAAGCAGGCCTGGTGAGCTCGTCCCTGTGGCTATACAGTCAACCTACCCAGTGTCACAAACCTGCCCTCTTGTGGATTCGTAGCCATTTTATGTATCGCAGCACTCGGCGCCAGACGACAATGCGGATCCAAAATGTCGAAGCCAGTTCGGCGCGAGACAAGGAAGATGGACGGAAAGCCGACCCCCCGGCCCTCCCGTCTCTTCTTTCATTTCTCCCTTCTTTTCCCTTTTGCATGCACTTGTCCATCTCGCCATGCCTGCCGAGCTCTACACCAACGCCCTCGGGCAGCAGGTCGCCAACATCCAGCTCCTCCTTATCAACCCCAACAGCACGACCGCCTTCACCGACGAGATAGCAGACTATCTCACACCTCGCCTGCCTGCCGATGTTGGCGTCACCTTCTACACGCCTCCGGGAGACGCACCGAAGAGCATAGATGGCCCGACTGACGGTGTACTTTCAACTGCTGTCGTCTTGCGGGATCTCCTGCAGAAGGGGACAGATGGCGAGAGCGCGGGCGTGGACAAGGTCGAGAGAGGCTATTCTGGAGTGATCGTCTCTTGCTTCTCTGCACACCCGCTTGTCCCGGTTCTCAAGGAGATATTTGATGGAAGGCCTCAAGCCCCGCCTGTAGTGGGCATTCTGGAGTCGAGTGTTCTCGCAGCTCTCCAGCTCGGTCCTACTTTCGGCATAGCTACCACCGGCCCTCGTTCGTTTCCCCTCTCTGTACTGGCCTTGTATTGTAGAGCTGACCTAGCACCGTAGAGTGGGAACCTGCGTTCGACGAAGCTGTGCGATCACTAGGTATCTCCTCCGGCCGCTACACCGGTACAAAAGGGACAGGCTTCAGCGCTATCAGCCTCCACGGTGCTGGGCCAGCCGATGCACTGTTGCAAGCGTCGGTAAACTTGGTAGCGAAGGGTGCGCGAGTGATTATTCTTGGGTGTGCAGTGAGTGCTCTTTGTTGCTGCAGGTATCTGCCCGCTAACGGATCCAGGGGATGGCGCCTATGAGAGCGTCTTTGGAGGCCGACCTGGCAACGAGGAGCGGTAGACACGTGCCGGTCATTGATGGTGTCCAGGCAGCTGTAGATGCGGCCATCGGATATGCCAGGATGGGCATCGGACGGACTTTCAAGCCTGCTTCGGAATAGAGCTGATGAGTAAAAGTCCTTCATGCATATAGGGCCAACGTGTATAAGTAAGATTGTTTACCGAGACCGCGCTTTTCACATCAAAGCCAACACTGACGAGAGACAACCAGCGATGTCCGGATCTAGATGATATACGTACAGAAACCCAAAAGAAATCGAAGGACGAATGCACATAAAGAAACAATAGAAGTCAGATCAAATCATAGGGAAACGGTTCCCGAGCGGCTGGCCACGATACGCCTTCTCCACAGTCTCTGAGACGACACCTCCGTCTGCCTTCGGCCTGATATGCTGTCCGTTGACCGTCACTGTCCTGGCCACGAGCGGAGGCCTCCCAGCAGCAGCCTTGTGCTTGCGTACGGGGCAGATGGGCACTTTGGAAGCTCGATGAATGGCTCGGTGAAAGTATGGCGAGTGGTTCTGCGCACCTGTGACGGGGTGAAGATGCTTGGGGACCTCAGAGTTGAGAGGTCGAGGACCTCTGAGTGACTGCAGTGCGAGACGTGAGCAGGCTTCTTGCGAAATTGAGGGGACTTACCAGTCGAGTGTACGCGGCCTTTGGGGAGGGACCAGCAAAGACGTCAGGAGACGATGATGGGTGAGGGCGGATGCTTCGGATGGGCTTGGGCATAGGAGCCGCACCAGTCTTGATCATAGGAGCCAAGGTAGCAAGCTTGGGAGCGGGCTTGGATAGAGTCAGCATAGTTGGTTTTACGTCAGACAGCGGCTTACTTCATTCGGCGTTGGGATCACCTGCCCTGCTGCTTGTGGAACCGGGAACGATACCACCGGGGGGGTCTTCTCTTGGTTGGAGGCATTATCCAGAGTATTGCTCTCTTGTCCAATTGTCATAACCGGGGTCTCCAAAACAGCGACAGGCGTAGACTTGGCAGCAAGTGAATGGCTCGATGACCTGTGTGCCGGTCTGTTGATGAGAGCCAAGTCTGGCCCACTTGAGGAATCCACTACGCTCGACACTCTCCTCAACTCTCGCTTACTCGCACCGCTCATGATCAGCTCGCTCGTAGATCTCGATCGTCCGTTTCCAATGAGTTGGCCCCTGCGGCTGTTGAGATGGTGATAGTGGAAAGCAGGCGTAGTCGGGGTTTTCACGGTGGCAGAATCGGGGATAGAGACCGTGGACGAGTTGCAGAGGGGTGGGAGGCTCATGACGCTGGTACGTCCGGCAGCGTGGCTGTATCGGGCGGTTGAGAAGCGATGGAGATCCGAGGCGTAAACGATACCCGTATCACGGGTGGTCGATCGGACCAAGGGGGTAGCGGTCGCGGGGTCGTGGGCATCTGACACTCGACCCGGGAGAGACACAGAGTAGATGCTGCTCCGGCCATCGTTGGGCAAAGACGAAATTCGGTCTTGAGCAAGTCTAGCTGTGGCGCTGTCCAGACCAAAGCTCGCGTCCCGCATCGCTTGTGTGATGGAGTCGATATCATTCAGATCCCCGTCAGGATGTATAGCATCCTGAGAAGAAGAGTATTTGACTCGCGTGATGCCCGAGAAATGGCGGCTGTCAAGGCTGTTGATGCGGACTGGGTCAGACCGGCGGAAGGGATCAGCGATCATGGGCTTGGGAGAGTATAGAGGGGCCTTCTTTTCGGGGTCAAGGGTGCTAGAGGTGGGAGAAGAGGGGCTGTATATGCTGGGATAGGAGATGATGGATTCAGGGTAGTGCTTTGATGACAGAACTTCGCGCTCTTCAGGGGGCAGGGTGAAGACAACGAGTGCTTCCGGACAGGCCTGAAGACAGTCAGCGGTGGGGATGACAGACGGTGAAATGGCTTACGTTCAGAAGGGCGACGGCAGGTATGATCTGGACCATCACATGGGAAGGCCGTTCCTCGGCATAAAGCTGACGGGCTAGCCGGGGAAGCTTACACTCTTCGATGCGGTAGACACGGAGTGGTGGGTTGAAGGTCTGGATGGTGGGGAAGATGTATCCGGGCTCCATGGAAGAAGAGACTGAGTTGCCCATGTCCGGCGATCAGTGTGTTTGATGACTGGGGGAGGAGAAGGAGTGGGCGGGGTGTGTGAAACTGAGGAGGCAGAGGTGAGAAGGAACGTGAGGAGCTGTAAGAGCTATTGGGGAGACAGAAGGGGTAGTATCAGGGCATGCGGCTTTTTGAGAAGAGAAGAGGATGAGAAAGAGATGCAGGGATGTTTACGCCCAGCGTGTGAGAAATCAGTGCCGCCGATGAAAGGCATCTTGAGCCATCCCGTAGCGCACATGTGGCTCTGTTTCGCCAAGATGTGTCTGCTCTGGGGCATACCTGTGGCATCAGTACCCGGATCTGCTCTCCTCGCCTCGCCGCCTCTCCTCTTCACCCCATCGCACATTGTTGGACCATCTCTCACCACTCACCCGCCGGGCGTCCGAGGTTGCAAGTGGAGGACAAGTGTTTACGTAACCCGAATATTTCTGAGTTTTGGCCAGCAGCTTTGCCATTCAACGACTTTGAAGCATCCATTCCAGCACTCCGCCACAACAGCCCCCATGGCCGCCACAGCAGACCCCCATACAAAGAAGAAGCAGAGGAAGCAACCCCGCCCCGCCCCCCCGGCTGCTGGCCCTTCCACATCCCAACAACCCTCAACAGGCCGTCTCTTCGCCCCCTTCAGAGCCCTTGGATATGTCACCGACGAGATTCCATTTGCCATGTTTGTCCACACACCCAATGGGGCCCTCGCTACGCCTACAGTTAATGTTACAACATCTGTAGGGAGGAGCTGGTTGATGTGGGACGCTGCGAGGATGACTTTGGTCTTTGCTGGTATGTCGGGTCGCATGCAGAATCATGTTGGGTTGCTAACCATCGTAGGTCCTGACGCTGGCGACAAGATAAATGGTCTCACAATGACCGGTACCGACATTTACGCCTCTGCTGGCCCCAGAGTCATCAAATACCACCGAGGAAAGGAGGTCGCTCAGTTTGACTCTCCCGATGGGTCTATACTAGGCAAGATGCTCATCTTTGGTGAGGACTTTTTGGTGCTCAAGAATGACGGGACCGGGCTTTTTGTTTATGATCTGGCTGCGAGACGTGAATATTTTTCCAGGATAGGAAGGACACGATTAGACTGACATCATGTAGATCTCAAGAACCAAATTACATTCCACTCTTCTTTTACTGCTACGACCATCATGCACCCTGCGACCTATCTCAACAAGGTCCTGATTGGAAGCAGAGAAGGAGAGATGCAACTGTGGAATACGCGTACTTGGTAAGCTTTGCTCGACCCTACTACGTATAGATGCTCATTCTTTATAGCTCTCTGATCTACACCTTCCCCCACGAAAATCCCTCTGAACCCTCCGCCATCACTACAATCGTTCAATCTCCCGCCGTGGACGTTGTTGCAGTCGGTTACCAAGACGGTGCCATCCGTGTCCACGACATCAAGCACGGCGACCTCGTCATGCAGATGAAGAATGACGACGGCGCTGTCTCTGCCTTGTCCTTCCGTATGGATGGCCCTCCTATCTTGGCGAGCGCTTCTGCGGTGGGATCGTTGGCTGTGTGGGATCTGAGCAAAGGTGGAAGAATATTGCATACTATGAGGGGGGCGCACGATCAGGGAATCACGGGGTTGCAGTGGGTGCAGGGCCAGCCTTTGCTGATAACGTCTAGTGCAGACAATAGCGTCAAGGTATGTAGTGGTATCACTTCATAATACAGTATACTAAGATCTCATAGCAATGGGTCTGCGACTCTCCCACAGGAATGCCTAGACTGCTCAAGATGCGAGGCGGTCACCATGCCCCTCCATCTTGTATCAGATACTACGGTGAAGACGGCAAGCAAATCCTCACCTCCGGCAAGGACAGATCCCTCAGATATACCAGTGTTGTCCGAGACTCTCGAAGTTTCGAGCTATCTCAGGGTTCCCTCATCAAGAAGGCCATCGGGATGGGTGTCACTGTTGATACTCTCAAGCTTCCGCAGATCTCCTCCATCTCCAGCTCTTCCACACGGTCGAAAGACTGGGAAGATGTTCTCACCGCTCATACCGAAGACTCGGTCGCCCGGACATGGCGGGTCCAAGACAAGCGCCTAGGAACGTGGACGTTTGACTTGGAGGAAGGCTACGCTCAGTCGGTGTGCGTGACTGCTTGTGGAAACTTTGGTCTCGTCGGATCCTCGACCGGGGAGATCAAATTGTGGAATATGCAGTCCGGAAAAGAGAGGAAAGCGTTTGCACTGAGTGGTGCGGCGCCGGGAAACACCAAACCCAAGATCATCGCGCAGAGTAAGAATGGGACCAAGCCCAAAGCGGTCAAGGCCAAGGACGCGAAAGGGAGCAAGTCTATCAAGGCTATTACTGGGCTGGTCACGGATGCTTTGAACACTGTCGTCGTTGCTGGTACATTGGAAGGAAAGCTTTACGTGAGTGGCTATCCTGGCTTTGCGTGGAACTCTTGCTGATACAGGCCACAGTTCTTCGACTTTCACACAACCAAGAAGATCCACGAAGTCCAACTCGACTCCTCCATCACCGCCATCGCCCTCCATCGAGACAGTGGCCTCATTGCTGTGACCTGTGACGACCTCGTGGTCCGCCTTGTCGACATTGAGACCCAGCGAGTCGTGCGTGAGCTTCGTGGCTTCAAAGGTCGTATTCTCGACGTCATCTTCACCCCCGACTCCCGTTGGATTATTGCTACATCCCTCGATTCTACCATCCGCACCTTTGATATCCCTACGGGCAAGCTTGTTGATGCGTTCAAGACGTCCTCTATCGCTACCAGCGTCACTTTCTCCCCCACAGGAGACTTTTTGGCGACGGCGCATGTCGACAGCGTTGGCGTCTACCTGTGGGCGAACAAGGCGCAGTTCACAGATGTCGCTCTCAGGCATCTAAACGAGGAGGACGATGTCGTTGAAGTCGCTCTCCCCACAGTGCAGGGTTTGGATGAAGACGCCGCTATCGAAGGCATCGACCCTATTGGTGCCCCCGAGTACACCGACATCTACACCACCCCCGACCAACTCGACTCTCAGCTCGTTACACTCTCACTTATCCCCCGCTCTCGTTGGCAAATGCTTCTCAATCTTGAAACGATCAAGCAAAGAAACAAGCCAAAGGAGGCGCCGAAAGCTCCTGAAAAGGCGCCTTTCTTTTTGCCCACCGTCAGCGGGTTGGAGACGCGCTTCGATCTGTCTGGTGTAGACGCAAACAAGGACGAGCAGGACAAGGGGCAGAGGCTGGGGCTGGCAGGTGACTGGCTGGAGAGCGATTTCACGAGAAAGCTGAGTGCCGAGAAGGAAGAGGGAGATTGTGAGCACCCCAATGCTACCATCTGAAACACCGCTGATGCTTCCTCAGACAACTCTTTCTTTGAATACATTAAGGCCCTCTCGCCATCCAGTCTGGATCTCGAAATACGCTCCCTCGTCTCTCTGGACCACCTCGCCACATTCCTCAATGCTTTGACTCAGCGACTGAAGTCTCATCGAGACTTTGAGGCCGTTCAGGCTATCCTCTCCGTGTTCCTCAAAGTCCACGGGGATGTGCTGATAGCCAATGGCGAGGTGAAGGGAGCGCTGCAAGAGCTGAGAAATGAACAGGGGCGGGAGAGCAAGAGGCTCAGAGAACTGGTTGGATATACTCTCGGGACATTGGGTTTCTTGAGGGGCACATAGATAGTAATGTAGGATTGTAATGCATCTTTTTACCCAAATAGTCGCCGAATCAGCGCGATGCCTGATCATATCTGTGTTGACTGTGACTTTTGGTAGCGACTAGCGGATGTCATTTGTTGTTACATAGTGATACAAGTATAGCAATCGCGTGAGTGACATCACAGGTCTTCTGGATCCTGATAATTGGCCATTGGATCCTCGTAGGCCTGTTTTGATAACCTGTAGGCCTCTGAAAGATGATTAGCTCTCGCAAGTCTGTCCGAAGGACACACGTACCGAGTTCCTCTTGAGTGACCTCCGTTTTGCCCTTTTTGGCCTGTTGCCAAGCCTCATCTTCATCCATTTTCTTTCTCTTCTTCTCCTCTTTCAAGGCCTTCTTCAACCTATCCTTATCCAAGTCCACTGCCTCGTCATCGTCCTTCTTCCCATACAAGTCCCTCTCCCTCTCCTTCCCCTTGCCCTTCTTGCCCGAGGCGAGATCCTCCTCATGCTGTTCCTTCAATGATTTCCTTTCCTTCTCGGCCTCTTCCTCTACCCTCGCCAAATTATCGGCACTTGCGAGCAGATTGGATGCAGACGAGGAGACATTGGCAGCTTTACCAGCTTCGCCCGTGCAATAAGAGTTGGAGATGAAGGAGTGGCAACAGGCGTAGCCCCATTGGGAGTTGGAAAGGTCATACCACGAGCCCCAGACAGAGGTATGGTTGTTGATGTAGTTATCCTCGTCGTATTTTGAGCGAGCTGTGGTCCGCTCGCGGCCTTTGATGACCTGTCCTTGTCTAGAATACTCGACATCTGGGATCCGGTCAGTACGATAGGTCGAATCAGGGTCTACGACATACAATTTTCAGTTTGACCAGACAGCAGCTCCTTCGGCATCTTTTGTAGATGCTGTTCACCACCATACCGAGACAGGATCGAAGTCTTGTTAGTATCCCGCAAAACCTCCTTCTTGTCTTGGAACTCTTTGTGTAGAAGTTCACCGGCGGTAGGGTTGGCGTGAACCTGGACGTTGTTACCACGCTGGGACGCTTGCCAGGCAAAAAGTTCGAGCTTTTGCATCTTGGCAGCGTCGCCGGAGAATCGTTGGAAGTTGTCACCAGCAAACTTCATCTACAGAGGCGTTAGTCTAAGTCGTTCATGATCACACAGTACCTACATCTTTCGGGTCCATGTTCTGAACAGGAGCATCTCGCATAGATCTCGTCTTGGGATCATAGTACGCCGAGTTTTCATCGAGGTTGATGAGATACTTGGCGGTGTCTTCTCGAATACGCAAGTTTCGAACGGTGATTCGAGTCTTGGTATCCAGCTTCTGGCCGACCTGATCTGCCGCATCCGCATACTTGTCGTCATCATCATCATCATCATCACTCGAGCCAAAGTCATCGTCGTCGCCATCCTTCTCTTCCTTCTCCTTCTTTGCGAGCTTTTTGACAGCAGCCATGTCCGTAGATGTCTGCTTGTCAATCTCTTCCTCCCTGTACTTCTTACGCATCTCTTCCGTGGCCTCGTACTCGTCGACGACATGCTTGTAGGTGGCGGGGTCGTAACCATTCCACCTATCTCTCTTGGAATCGTAATCCGTCGAAAAGTTCTGAACGACTTCGTCCGCCGCGATATCCTTGTTGGTGAACTTGGCTCCTCTCTTCCTTGGCCTCTCCACACAGTCCTTCTTCTTGTGGGTCATCGCTCCACAGTTCTCGCAAGCACCCTTTCGGTACTTTTTGGCCGCTGGCCCAGCCTTTGCGCCTCGGTCGTACCATTCGTCGAGCTTCAGATGGGGTCCCTCTTCTTTGATACGCTGGTGAGCCAGCGAGGGTTTGCCGGTGTCCGCATACCAGGGAGCTTTAGTGATGTACTCGGGAATGTGGGGGTTGATGGCATTGCCTTGTTCGTCGACGGCAGCAGGCGCGGTACCGGCTTTACGGGCGGCTTCGAGGTCTTTCTGGCGTCTAAACTCCTCCCTAGAGACCTTGCCCCCTTGCAGAGACGCTGCGAAATTGTAAGCATTAATCACACTTGATACGTTCCACGTACTGCTGGTATTGAGCATCCTGGACGTGAGCAACAGAAATCAGATGTTATGACAAGCTTGCCACTAATCAGCTCAATCGGTTACAGTCGTACTACAGACGTTGGCGACGGAGCCAAAAAAGCGGCCATCGCCGGTCCAGCGCCACCGACATAACTGGGAAAGGCGATGTTGAAGCATGCTGCACGCCCCCTCCCAGGCTTGCTATTATTTAGCCTCAGTGACCAAGGGCTGCGAGTGTGAATGCTGAAACTGTTGAGTACACCGGGTTTGACAGAGCCTGAATGCCGGGCGCCGAGCCCTAGAGTGGCATCTGAATGATCGTACTCGCTCCTCTCGATCTTGCGTCTCTCCTTACCAAGACTCATACGCAGCGAATTTGAGGCCGGGACACTAGATACAAAGCCCATAAGTGCCATCGGAGAAGATCGCCACACGAGGAAGCAGCGCGGTTACCAAAACGCGTGGCATTGCATCTTTTGTCTCACCTGCTTTCACCTCGCCACTCGCCTCGCCAGTCTCAGATTCCCGGCAGCAATGGTCCCACCGCTATCTGGCCACCATGACCCGCAGCCACAGCTACGCCGTGTTCGTCACCTGCTCCGGGATGATCATACGCCAAAATGCCCCCAATCGCTGAGCCCGACGGTCATAGCAAGGCACCACGACTTGCACAGACTGCACAACTCGGACAGGGTCATACAGTCATTCCTACTTGACTTATCGCGCGGACTGTTCTCTTTTCGGGACAGCGACCAGCACAGCCATAACGACTACACTGCGAAAGCAACTCTCGAATGGTTCTTCCGTGGCACTTTTGACCTTGCAGGCCTTTCTGCGCTCAGCGGCAATGGTAGCCGAAGCAGGTACGATCAGGCGCCGTTGTATCAAAGGTTGAATAACTGGAAGCATCGTGAGACGGCAAGCTTGAATGTCGACCCTCTCATGGATATTGAAAGTACCGGCGGGGCTCTAGTAGTCGTTCAATGTTTTCGAACGGTAAGTTATTCTTTCCTGCGGACACCGGCCTGGCTGATTCAGAGCGCAGCTTGGAGATACATACGGTGACCCTTCTTCTCAGAGCCGGGAAGGACTGTGTTGCGAAGCTGTGTCACTCACATCGGGCTTCCGACAGCTCCCGCCTGGCGCACCATCGTTCAATGATAACGCGGCACCGCTCCGCGATATGTCAATCACATCTCGTTCACTTCGCGTTAGAAAGACAGGCTGCTCCCCAGAGACTGTCTCCACTTTCTCTGGCTCCGACCCTCACGTAGCCAGCTCTGATAGAACCGCACCCGCCTATTACGCTCTCTCGCCGATCGTGGCAGTCCTGAAAACGACAGAGTTCAACGCCATCTTCGGCTATCTTCACACTTTCACACACCTCATCTCCGCATATGTGGCCTGTGGGTGTCAGCTGGCCCTATGGGGGCAGGGAGTGAGGTTCTCTCGACATTTGATGTTGAATGAGCGTACGGTCTTGGTAGAGATCAACGATGATATCAACGAGCCGCGTGTCATTGGCGATATCGACGCTTTCTTATCGTACATCAGCGGCAATCCTGAGCCTCTGCCTCGAAGCTACGGCGACCCTTACAATCCCGATCTGGAAGCCTTTGAGGACGCTTGGGATATTTTGAGGACAGCGGTGATGGCTGTGCTTGATATCCCACTGGATGCGCCGCTACAGCGTTTGAGACAGCCCACGGGGAAAATGCTGGATCAGTGGCGCCACAAGTTTGGCGGGGTACGAAGAGGAGAGCCCTCTGCGAGCCGAGCGCCAGATATCGAGAACCGATGGGCAGAAGATGACCACCTGGGTGAGGCGAATGATTATCTATATCCTACCACCGATGTGCAATCTTCTCCTCTACGCCAGACCTGGTTCCGTGACGAATTTCAGCACGCAGCATGGGAAGATGCATGGCGAGAAAAGAGAGAGAGAGAGACATTTATAGGGCTGAGGGCTGCGATAAGACAAGAGGGGACGATATTTGTGGGAGGCGGGAGGAGCGTATTCCGAGTGCTACTTAGAGAAATGAGAGAGTCTCTGTAGAGAACTAATAATGACGTTGTATCACCCGTTGCCGAGTACCTTTCATGACTGTACAACAGCAATCATGCATTTCATGGATCTTTATGACCCTCATATGCGCAGTCCTTATACTTGTATACTCGCCAAGTGGCGGCACGTAGCTACAACATCTATAAGGTGGTACATCAGCAGCAATATGGACCACACAACGAAGAGCATACCTTCAGCCCTGCTACTCGTCATCATCCGAGTCGGGTGCCGAAGGCCGTCTGTTGATGCCCGGGCCCTTTCCGGAGGTTATCGACGGTAGGATACCCTCCCTAGAGATGTCCGTCAGTTCCCATCTTGTTCCTTCATGACCCAACTTACCTCCGGAGTAGACCCACAACACCGTCTTGTCCCACTTCCCAGTCGACTCTGATCCACGTCTTTTCCAATTCTCCGTCGTTGTACGCCAGCAAAGTCGGTAGGACGTCCAGGTCAGGTTTTCCCATGAATGGAGCCTTTTTCTCTTCTCTAGTTCGCACATACTCGACCAGGTCGGCGATGATTGCCGTCTCGCTGTCATGATTATTCTTGTGACTCTTTTTGTGCCGCGCAGAGATGTCTTGAATTTCTCTCCTCAGGACGTCGAGATCTTCGCTGACTATTGCGATGTCTTCAGGGGACTCGGGAGTAATGATAGGAGGGAGCAGGGAGAAGCCAAGAGATGTAGCACGGGCGCGGTAGATGGAGGTGGTGGTGTTGTAGGGAAGGTTTAGTTTCAGATGGAGCAATGAGGATGATATGTCGTCGCATCTTGGCAGGTTCTAGGATGCCGTCAGATTCATAATCTGGATTAGGAGTTACTTACTGGCTCATAGATGAACACCAAAGCCCAGCCATCTCGCTCGACAGCATCCACGAAATCCATTGATCCAATCTCTCGCAAAGCCCCGTTCTTGACCCCATCCTCAAAGCTCTTTCCAAAACCGAAATCCGTTACTCTTTCTCTTTCCCACCTGGCTGCATCCTCCTGCGTCTCCCTCCGGCGCTGTTCGCGTCTCCGCCGCCGTATCTCCCTCAGCTCCTCGTCCTCCTCAGCCTCTTGGGCGACGAGCGCAGATTCTTCGTGTACCGTCAGGGCTTGCATACCTCGTAGTCCGTTCTCGGCTTGAAGCAAGGCTGTCCCAGCTCGCGCCTGCTCCCGGGCATAAGCTTGGGTAGCTTTATGCTCGTCTTGGACGCCCTTCACGCCTGTTTGGTGCCCGTTATGCTCAATTTGACCCCGTGTAGGGTCAGACGACGGCGGCGCAGGCTTGGGATTGTGTCGGCCGCCGACAGTGTTGTCAAAGTCGTCCTCGCCATCAATGTAGTCGTCTCCAGCGGCATCTTCGTTCTCGGACAGAGGCTGATCATCGTCCGAGTCTCCTCTGTCGGAAAGGGTTCTGTGGTCGGGTCGGAAGAGAGAGCCGTCAAGAGCGGCTTGCTCCAATGCTGCCATGGTGAAGTGGATGAGACCAGCGGAAAGAAGATCGCGCGCAAACAAAAGATCCTGAAACCGAGCCTAAAACGCCGCGACAAGGCCGACGGTCAGGGGCTAAGAGCGACTGAACAATGGCATGGAAGTTTCGCATTGCCTTCAACGTATTAGGGAAGCAGCTCGAGGATAGCCAATGTGACAACCGTGTCTGTATTATGGACTCAGTGTGAGAGAGGCTTGTTGTGATCATCAAAGATCACATAACGTATGGATACTACATGACAACATCCCCGTGACAAGAGGCAAAGACTATATATATGAACAACCCAAAAAGCCTCGTACTCTTTGTTACAAACGATCGCAATAGTTCTACTTCCCCAGAAGAATTGAAAGTCTAGTGCGAAACGTACTGGAAGACGTACGACACTTCTGGCAGACCCAACTCTGCTCGCAAAAGGTCGTCATGCATCTTGCCCAGCTCCGCGTTCGGGAAATGATTCCACCTATACCTCACATCAGCTTGCGCCCCTACAGCCTCGAGAAGATCACTCACGTGCTAGCATCACCATAAAGCAAAGCCGGTGCCTTGACATATTGTTTGCCATCCTTACACCTCTTGCACTTGTACGTGTCGTGCGTATCGCACACTGTTTCTGGGTTGAATTTGAACAATTGACGGAGATCGTCTTGCGTGAAATGACGGGCCGTATCTTCGGCTTCATCAACGACGCAGGCAGACAAGTTTTGTTTTTGACATCTGCAACGTAACGTCAGAGGCAATTGAGATGGATGGGCAGGGGAACTCACTGTCTTTGAAAGATCTTCTCTTCAATGGTGCCTGTGGTTTGGAAACGGTAGACGAAACATTCCTTCTTCTGCCCATCTCGCCATACTCGAGCCAAAGCTTGCTGGTCACTTGCCGGATTCCAGTCCTGTTTATCTCAGCGTTGCACACTGAACAGCAAAGTGGTACTTACAGGATCGAACAGAACAAGCCTGTTGGCACCAATCAAATTGATACCGCATCCACCAGCTTTGGAACTGAGCAAAAAGACAAACTCCTTGCCTTCCGGATCGTTGAACTGAGCAACGATCTTGGACCTCTTTGGCACAGACATGCTGCCATCCAGCCGCAGGTGACCATATCGTTTGCTTCGACAAAGCTTCTCCATCAGATCCAAGGTCTGGGTGGCGTTGGAAATGAGGACAATCTTGTCGTTGGTATGCTTGTGGATATGTTCCAGCATTCTCTCAAGCACCACAAATTTGCCCGAGTATTCACAGTTGACCGACCTGTCTCTCCCCTTGCTGTTCCACCCCTCGGGCAACAGCTTCTCACTGCCGGGCAAGTCTTCGGGGAGGTGGAGTAAGTCGGGGTGATTGACGAGCTTCCGGAGGAGGCCGATGGCTTTGAGTGGCTGGGAATCTTTGCCGCGGAGGAGGCGCTGGACGTCTTTGGATGTGACAAAGAGGTTGTAGAGGGATGATTGGAGAGGAGAAGGGCGACAAAAGACGACATGTTCGTACTTGACGGGCACTGGTTCAAAGTCAGCCAGGTCTAGGAGAGAGGAATTCGCAACTCACAGTACTTGGACAATAGATCGTTTGTTCGACGGATGATAAACTTGCTGACCAACCCACCCAGCTTTTTCAACGTAGCATCGCTTTCCAGCTTGTCCTTGTCGGTCGCATCCGCGTCTCTTCCACGCATAATCTTGGATTCAAAGTTCTTCTTAAAGTCCAGCTTGGAGCCTAAGTATTCGGGATTGGCGAAATTGAGGAGAGCAAAGTACTCGGAAAGGTCATTTTGGATGGGAGTTCCGGTCAAGATGACTCGGCGCTGAACCTTGAGACGGGTCAGGGCTTGGAAAGTGAGGGTATCTGCAAGCCATTAGCGCTGCTGTATATAGTATAAGCGACTCACCAGCATTCTTCAGCCTGTGCCCCTCATCAGCCAACAAAAGGCCGATCTCGCAATTTGCTAGCTCTTCCTGCAGCGTTCTCAGCGTCTCGTATGAAACGATCATCACCGGTAGTGTCACGTTCCGCCCATGCGCCTGCACCCATCGCCTGACAGCAGGAATGAGCTCGGCTTTTCCACCTTTGCCGTCGACAACCATGTGGTTGATGGCGCCGGGTCCCAGCCACTTGACGAGCTCGGCGGCCCAGTTACCGACGAGAGAGGTCGGGCAGGCGATGATGACCTTTTCACAGGTCCCCTTGCCCGCGATGGGGGATTGCTTGAGCAAGGTCCAGAGGAGAGCAATGCACTGAAGCGTTTTACCTGAATCATGTCAGCTACTATGATACAGCACGCCGATGACACTCACCGAGACCCATTTCATCGGCCATGATACATCCCCACGCCCCATCTGCAATGAGACCAGTGGTACACCGATAGAGAAACTTGACGCCCTCGATCTGATGTGGTCGCAAGACTTTGGCCAACCTGGGGTCAATGACCACTGGCACCTTGACCGCCTTCTTGTCCTTTTTCTCGTCTACGATCCCCAAAATCATTTTCAGGCTCCTATGGGGTCCCCTCGTCTCGTCTTCCTTCTTCCTCTTCTCTTCCTCTGCCTTTGCGGCTTCGATCTCTTCAGGCGCAGGTTTGTCGTCGATCGTAGGATCGAAAAGTACGATGGCAAGGTCTGCCATGGGGTCGTGCAGTGGGCGGGGAACAAGAGTTGGGTGTCTGCGGGTACCAAGAGAGGCGCGGGAGAGGGTGTGGACGATAGGTTCAGATGTCTTGGGGTTGTACATGACGGGGATCGAGAAGCTACTGCCTGTCAGGTCTTGCTCACGATCCAAGCTCTGTACGCACGTTTTGGTAAAGGCAACAGTCTTTTCTTTCGGCTCGAATACTGGAAACTTGCGGTTGCACCACTTGGCCATATTGCCGAGCACACCATCGGAGCCATATTCCTTGTTGCCCATGGCAAACTTGCCTTCAAACTTGCTCTTCTTGTTCGCCTTTCCGTCTGCGTCCCCGTCGCCGTCGTCGTCACCACCTCCTTGATCCTTGTAGTTGACGGCCTTTCGCTTGCGGGACGGCAGGGCCGATTCTCGGGTCGGGGCTGAAGACTTGGGCACCTTGAAGGGCTTGGAGACGATGCCGAACCCGCCAGAGGTGGCTGTGGCAATGGGGGGCTCTCCCGGGCGCTGGATGGGCTTTCTGAGCATGGGGGGGTGCGCACAAGAGGAGAAGAGGCAAGAGGGAAAGAGGCAAGTTGGATGAAAAAGACGCGACGGGTGGCGAGAAGAATTGTACAGGAAGCAAGGCGCGTCGCGGGTGGGTGAGTCAGCTGTGTACGTAATGGATCGGATAACAGTCGCGTGGCTTCTTTCCTGAAGCGGTGGGATGACGCGGGATGCCGGGGTCCCTGGGGAAAAAAGAGACAGGAGATGAGACAGGGGGCAGATAATGCTCCCGCCGATAAATACCACCAGAGTAAACACCCCACCCAGCATCCCCTTCTCCTTCACCCAACCTCCTAGTCGACCAAAACAGGCCACATACGTGAGTCACCGCTATCTTCTTCTTGTCCAGCGCCGTGCAGGGCAGGGGCAGCGCAGGGGGCCCCGTGCGAGAGCCAGTGCAAGTGCCAGAGGCCAGCGCTGCATGCACCAACTCGAAAGCGCAGATGCAGCGCGGGGTGCAGACAGGGGCCAGCGCTCAAGGCTGGAGGCTGTACATGGGCCGACGAGAAAGCCGTGTCGCAGCACAGCCGCCGCCTTGGGCACGGGGGCTCCCTGACGCTTCTTGCGTCTCCTGGATCTCTGCTGCCAGATCCCGGCAGCTTTCAGAGACCTGCTGTGCTCTCCTGCTGCTCTGACGGTATATACACAACAAAGGATGGCGCTGACCGAGTTGTTCATTCTTATCCACTCCCCTGCCGATTTGCACCCATACGCCCACACACTACCCTCATCCACCTTTCCCCCACTCGACGCCCTCTACCGCTCTCCTGCTGCCCCCTGCCCCCTGCCCCTCTCCTTTCCCCCTCCTCGCCATTCGCCGGGCGTCTCGCACAAAAATCATCCAACTTTCGACGCAAACGGTACACGAAATAAAATCACGGCATCCTTTGGCTTGGTCCCTTCCCATCACCGAAAATCAAAACACTCCATTCTTCATTTCTTCTTCCAGCTCAGTTTTTTAACTTCTCTCATTCTCCCCCTTTCCATAACCTTCCCCCTCGCCCCCATAACCCACAGCTCACAGAACAATGTGTGGTACGTCTCTGCCCCTGGCAGCAGCTCTTCCCGCCCCCAGCGCCCCCCTCCACGTCACGCTGACCTCTCCCCACAGGAATCTTCTCCTACTGCTCCTTCCTCTGCGAGAGGAAGCGCGAGTACATCTGCGATGTCTTGTGCAACGGTCTCGCTAGGCTTGAATACCGTGGTTACGACTCTGCGGGTACGTAGCCCCCCTTTTTCGCACCAGACGCCAATCGCGGCGGCGCGACGCGTGCTAACGGCAATCTTTCAACACAGGTATCGGAATCGACGGTGACTCTAGGGACAGCCCCATGTACCTCTTCAAGGAGGTTGGCAAGGTCGCTGCTCTCCGCAAGCACATTGACGAGGGCGTCCCCTGCCCCGCTCCGGGATTCCCCGTCTCTGGCCAGAAGGTCGACATGTCCAAGGTCTTCCTCAACCAGACTTCTATGGCCCACACTCGATGGGCGACCCACGGTGTGCCCAGCCCCACCAACTGCCACCCCCACGTCAGCGATGTCCAGACCGAGTTCAGCTTGGTGCACAGTGAGTCCTTGGTCCGTGGCGACGTAAGAGTGCAAGCTGACCAGTATCACAGACGGTATCATTACCAACTGTACGTTTCTACACTCACAATGGGAAGGTTCAATGTTGACAGTGCTGTAGACAAGGAGCTCAAGACTGTCCTCCTGAAGCGCGGCTACACCTTTGCCACCGACACCGATACCGAAGTCGTCGCCGTCCTCTGCAAGTATGTCTACGACAGCCAGCCCAACAAGCGCCTCAACTTTACCGAGCTCATCAAGACTGTCATCAAGGAGCTGGTACGTTTTACCCATATATGATCGAGTGATACTAATGACCTCCGCAGGAAGGCTCTTTCGCTTTCGTCTTCAAATCTCCCCACTTCCCTGACGAGATTGTTGCCGCCCGACGTGGTTCCCCTCTTTTGATTGGTGTCAAGACCGACAGAAAGTTGAAGGTCGACTTTGTGGATGTTGAGCTTCCCACCGCCGAGGAGAGAGGTGAATCTGCTTGTTCTCCCCGTATGGCCTACCGCTGACAGTGCATAGTGAACGAGCCTGACGCGAACGGTCTCTTGTCTGCCCCCGCCGGCGTCGCCGACGGCCCCGGTCCCAAGCTCCGCCGCTCCCAGTCCCGTGCTTTCCTCTCCGAGGACGGCATGCCTCAACCCATCGAGTTCTTTGTTGCCTCTGACGCCTCCGCCGTCATCGAGCACACCAAGCGTGTCTTGTACCTCGAGGACGACGACATCGCCCACATCGCCGAGGGTGAGCTCCACATCCACCGACTCCGACGAGACGACACTGTCTCTTCCGTCCGTGCTATCGAGCACCTCGAAATCGAGCTCGCCGAGATCATGAAGGGTCAGTTCGACCACTTCATGCAAAAGGAGATCTACGAGCAGCCCGAGTCTGTGGTCAACACCATGCGAGGTCGGATCAACTTTGACTACCGCACCATCACCCTTGGTGGTCTCAAGGCGTACCTGCCCGTCATCCGCAGAGGAAGGAGGTTGATTTTCGTGGCTTGTGGTACCTCTTATCACTCTTGTATCGCCGCCCGACCGGTGTTTGAAGAGTTGACAGACATTCCCGTGGCCGTCGAGCTCGCCTCGGATTTCCTTGACCGACGCACTCCCGTCTTCCGAGATGATGTCGCCGTCTTTGTCTCCCAGTCTGGTGAAACTGCCGACACTATCCTTGCCATGCGATACTGCTTGGAGCGTGGTGCCTTGTGTCTCGGTGTCGTCAACACTGTTGGCTCTACCCTCTCCCGAGAGACCCACTCTGGTGTCCACATCAATGCCGGTCCCGAGATCGGTGTCGCCTCTACCAAGGCCTACACCTCACAATACGTTGCGCTCGTCATGATTGCCGTGCAGCTCTCTGACGACTCCATCACCAAGACTGCTAGGAGGCAGCAGATCATTGATGGATTGCACGAGATCCCTTCGCAGATCAAGAAGGTGTTGGCTATGGACAGGGTGTTGCAGCAGATGGCCAAGGACATGCTGTCTAACGAGAAGAGTTTGCTCATTATGGGGCGAGGCTACCAATGTGAGTTGCACCAACACGACATGGAGCTTTATATATTGACAATCACACAGATGCCACCTGTCTAGAAGGCGCACTCAAGATCAAGGAAGTGTCTTACATGCACTCTGAGGGTATCTTGGCCGGTGAACTCAAGCACGGTCCCCTCGCATTGGTCGACGAGCACCTTCCCGTCATTTTCATCATGACCCGTGACTCTTTGTACCCCAAGGTCCAGAGTGCGCTTGCTCAGGTCACTGCCCGAAAGGGTCGACCCATCATCATCTGTAACGAGGACGACGACACTGTCTCTGACAATGCCAAGGTCATCCGAGTTCCCCAGACTGTCGACTGTCTCCAGGGCTTGATCAATGTCATTCCTTTGCAGCTCTTGTCTTACCGTAAGCACTTGTTTTGTCTGTTTTTTTTTTGAATCTGCCGCTGATGGAGATGTTAGACCTCGCCATCATGAACGGTGTTGACGTTGATTTCCCCCGAAACCTCGCCAAATCTGTCACCACCGAGTAAATGGACATTGAACACCCACAAGGACATTTATCATACAAATTCCTCATCACATTTTTTGTCCAAGTAGATCACCATCCCCTTTTGCCCGTATTCATGTGTTCTTTTTTCTCTGGTTTTACTATCCTTCATCCGATTATTCTCCGTTTACAATAGCCTCTCTGTCTCCTTTGACCCCGTCCCGGTCTATTGTCTGTCTCAGTTGTCAGACAGATATAGGCAAAATTGTACCGCCGGCGGAGGACTTGGGAAGAAAAGTAGTAAAGGGAGAGAGGGGAAGTCATAGTCTTCTTTCTGTCTTTTTTACATTCAACATTCACGCTCATCTTGTCCTGGTATGTACATAATGACTCTCGAACGACAAGAGCATGTACAAAGAATCAAAAGAATCACGGGGTGCATACGGTCTGATCGCAGTAGACAGATTGTTATTCATCGTGGACTGCCGTCAGGCAAGACCGGCATCCACCATGAAAGGCCGAATTACATCAGGCATGTATCATTACCAGCCGAAATAGACGACCCTTACCTAGATCCCCAGTCAGATACTACTCCCTGGTGCATGGATGATGTGCTATGGTGGCCCCAGCTCAGCTGCACCTGTCTTTGGATATAGTGAAACAAAGTGGGGTACTTCTCCTTGTCAAACGCGCTCGAACTGTAATGCTTGCTGTATCTGTGTGATTGTCTCGCGCTCTACGGCATCAGCCCCCCATGATTGTGTCCAGTCATACATCAGTCTCGCGCAAGGAAGGTTGACAGTGGTCCTTTCCTCGAGAACTTGGTTGATACCTGTCTCGAGTCAAGTCGAACTCATCAGAAGTAAGAAACAAAGAATGTAAACAGGGTATAACGTTAATAGTAAGCTGCCTCCGCCACCTTCCGCAACATCTGTCCCCTATGTGCCCCATTTTTCTTTGATTTCTCAAGCGTTTGATCACACGTCTATAAGTATGCGTTTTTGTGAATAAGGTTCCAAGATGATGAGGGTAAGGATCAAAATCACGATGGCGTGGACATCTAGGCAGCGGTGGGAGCTTGCTGGCCCATCGAGGCGTAGTAACTACGACCATGTCAGCAAAACGATCGCGACGTCCTGCACGACACTCACGCAGCATAAGGATCAGCAGCACCGGCAGCAGCGCCTTGTTGATAACCACCGTAACCAGCATACGCAGCTTGCCCACCGGGAGCAGCAGGTTGCTGCCAGCCTTGGCCTTGTTGAGGGGGCTGGTAGCCGGGGGGACCGCGGTAGCCACCAGCGTCTGTGGGCGAGTCAGCTTTGTTTGGCTTATAACCGTGGGACGTACTGGTCTGCCAGTTCTCGGGCTGTCTCCAGGGCGGTACTCGGGACTCGGGAGGGATATTTCCCTGACCGGGAGCAGCACCAATGGCACCCATGGGGGGACCACCACCACCACCACCGCCACCCTCTCCAAGCTCTGCCATCAGAGCCGTATATTCTGAATCGAACGCCGTCTGCTTGTTCTGTTGCAAGTTGGGGTCACCTCGTCCTCGGCAGTCCCTTGCCATATGGCCAGCGCCACCACAAAGACGACAGATGACGTTGGCGCTGTAGACACGCTGAGCAGGGCATTCCCAGCGACGGTGACCCTTTTCACCACAGTTCTGACAGAGCTGGTTTTCGTCGTCACGCAGAGTACCATTGAGGGATGCAAGTTCTCGAAGTTGATTGCGCTTGTGATCGTTCTCGCCTTCGGGGGTGGATGCAGCCTGTAATGGGTCAGATTGTGTTTTCGGGACAAGATGAATGTACTCACGGTCTCGATAACCCGGTTGATCAAAGCGACACATGATTTGACCACGGCCTCAGAGTCTCCCGTAATCAGACAATGCAACTCGTCCTCCTCGTCATTGGGGAAGTGACCGGCTCGGCCTTTACCCTCCTTGACACTTCCTTTACCACGAATGCTGATCTTGGCGCCACTCTCCCTCTCCATTTTCTTGAGCGAATTACCACGCGGCCCGACAAGCAGACCGAAAAAGTTGATTTCGGGGAATTCCTTGACGGGAATGTAGACCTTGTCCTGGGGACGGTTGCCACCTCTGCGCTGGAAATCGACTGGTGGCCTGAAACTTGGGTCCGCCTGCGCCGCCCTCGCCACCAACTTGGCCCTCTCATCCTCCAACTTCTTCCTGTACCGCAGCTCGCGGGTATTGGTTCGTCGCCCATAAGAGTCATAGTTGGGCGGGGGCGAAGGAGAGCGCTGGCCATCGGGGGGAACAACATCGCCAGTACGCAACTTGCGGTTGATCTCCTCCAAACGGACATGGATGGCGTAGTTGTCAAGCTGAGAGCCAGACATGTTGCCCATGACGGTAACAGGCATACCAGGAACGTTCACACGGGCGTCGGCATCACCCCATCGAGAGCGTCGTTTTCGGGGACCATCTGTGATGAGTAAGCGCGAATGTAAAGTATGGCGATGCAATAGACCCACCTTCAACCTCTTCTCTGTCTCGCGAACGGCCCCTCTGCGGCTCAGGCTCGCGTCTAGGCTCATCCCACCTCGAAGATCTAGGGTCCCTCCCGGCATCCCTGGGAGGATAATCATCGTACCTCCTCTCCCTATCCCTATCGTCTCGCCTGTAATCATCCCTCCTTCCATAGTCTCCGCCTCCGCGCCCATAGTCTCGGTCGTCTCTGCGGTCGTCTCTCCTGGGAGGGGCTTCGTCTCGCGGGGCTCTCTCCTGTCGCCCGTTGAAGAACTGCAGGTCGGCTGGGGGGCGGGAGGCATGGGGCGGGGCATTGGGGGGCGGGGGTGCTTCCTCTGGGAGGCCGAAGCGGCGCTTGTTTGCGAGGGGGACGTCGTTCGTCCCGGATGTCTTGACGGCAGGTCTCCACATGGCGGCTGGTTTTGAGGCAAAAGAAGATGGCGGAACGATGAGATGAGCGCGAGAAAGGTGGCGGGCATTAAATTGTCGCTATTTTGCCACATTTATCCCAGCGTATGTATACCTCTCAGAGACATCTCAAGTGTAGTTTGGAACTGCAGCGGGCAGTGTCTGGAATCGTGTATCAGGCCATGCGAGCTCTCGTGACTGCATGCACACTCGGACGACTTTCGTATGATGGGCTGCAATGATCACCCAACGTGGGCACTTTCTGTGCGAATCAGCTCATCACTTCGGCATCCCTCTGCGGTCGCATCTGCGGTCGCACCCCACCCCAGCCCCGTGCCCCCCTGTCAGATACCTGCCCCGTCCCTCAATACAAGCATATGGATGCATGGACGATGCCCTCCCACGTCAGCGCCACTGAGCGGAAATAGCGCCCTGCCAATTTCCGGAGCCGCGCTCTCCTCCTGCGGCGCCCTCCGCCTCTCCAAAATATCTTCCATCAAAAATGTCGTCCATGGCCTCTGAACCTCAAAAACTACCCAAAATGGCGTCCCTGTCCAACGAAAAGGTCACAGAGCTGCAGCAGGCGGGCGACTTTGCCATCAAGAGCGAGGAGGTCGCTCCCAAGCTCGACACCACCCAGTGGCCCCTCCTCCTCAAAAACTACGACAAGCTCCTCGTCAGGTCTTCCCACTTTACTCCCATTCCCTCCGTAAGTGCTTTAAACCATACTCAGTCAGTACTAACATCTTGCAGGGTGTCTCTCCTTTGAAGCGTGAGCTCAGCACCTACGTCAAGTCTGGTGTCATCAACCTCGACAAGCCCTCCAACCCCTCCTCCCACGAAGTCGTCGCCTGGCTCAAGCGAATCCTCCGAGTTGAGAAGACTGGTCACTCTGGTACTCTTGATCCCAAGGTCACTGGATGTCTTATCGTCTGTATCGACCGTGCCACTCGTCTCGTCAAGTCCCAGCAGGGTGCCGGAAAGGAATACGTTGCCGTCGTCCGATTCCACGACAAGATTGCCGATGAGAAGGCTCTTCCCCGGGCTTTGGAGACTTTGACTGGTGCCCTCTTCCAGAGGCCCCCACTCATCTCTGCCGTCAAGCGTCAGCTCCGTGTCCGAACCATCTACGAGAGCAAGTTGATCGAGTTTGACAACAAGCGAAACCTCGCCGTCTTCTGGGTGTCTTGTGAGGCCGGTACCTATATCCGTACCCTCTGTGTCCACCTCGGGTTGTTGCTCGGTGTCGGTGCGCACATGCAGGAGCTGAGGCGAGTCAGGAGTGGTATCACCGGAGAGAACGACGACATTGTGTCTATGCACGATGTGCTCGATGCTCAGTGGTTGTACGACAACACCCGAGACGGTAAGCACACTTACTATACCTTCTATCTTATGCTGACCTTGCGTAGAGTCTTACCTTCGCCGAGTCATCCGTCCCCTCGAATCCCTCCTCACCAACTTCAAGCGTATCGTCGTCAAAGACTCCGCCGTCAACGCTGTCTGCTATGGTGCCAAGCTCATGATCCCCGGTCTCCTCCGTTACGAAGCCGACATTGAAGTGAACGAGGAGGTCGTCCTCATGACCACCAAGGGAGAGGCTATTGCCATCGGTATCGCGCAAATGTCTACCGTCGACTTGGCTTCATGTGACCACGGTGTTGTTGCCAAGGTGAAGAGGTGTATCATGAACAGGGACCTTTACCCCAGACGATGGGGCCTTGGCCCCAAGGCTCAGGAGAAGAAGAAGATGATCAAGAAGGGAGAGTTGGACAAGTACGGCAAGCCCATCGACGGTGTTACGCCCAAGGACTGGAGCAAGGGCTACATTGACTACAACGTTGATGACGCCCCCGTCTCCGGCCTTTTGCCTACGCAGCCGGCCACGACAGGGGATGTCAAGATGGAGTCGCCCGTCAAGGCTGAAGGGTCCGCCGAGGGCAAGAGGAAGCGAGAGGAATCTGAAACTCCTGCCGTTGTCGCCGAGTCGAAGGGGGACGAGGGCAAGGACAAGAAGAAGAAGAAGGTGAAGACGGAAGGTGGGGAGGAGAGGGAAGAGACTGCTGAGGAGAGAGCAGCGAGGAAGGCCGCGAAGAAGGAGAAGAAGGCGAAAAAGGAGCAACAATAGATGTTTCTTCTTTAATGTTTCTTTACTCTAGTTCTTGGTTTCTGTATGTACCGTTTCTGCATTTCGCATATGCCTCGTTCACGAATTCTGCCTGGGCGCCGAACAATCTGACAAATAGATGTTCATATCACTCTAGAATTGTCGACGATACTACAGTTACAAGTAGGCAGAATGAGCACACACACAAGTCGTCGGTGGAGCGACCGGCGCTCCGAGCTCACCCTTTGAAGATAGCAGAGGACACCACTTACCCATATCCCGAATGGATGGCTCAACAACAGCCCGCCGTAGATATCAGCTGGAAGTTCATATCCTATGTGCTCAAGAGACACAAGAATGGACTTGTGGATCTGAGAAGAAGATCAGACTGCCCACCACCCATCCACCCGGCTTGTTCGGGGATGTCCGTCTCAGATACGCGACGCCCTCACGATCTTGGATTGAGCAAGTCAACGACCCCACATACCTCATTTTTGTCATCCAACATGCCTCTCGACATCCCTGAGCCTCCTAAAGACGCAGTCAAGTATGCCTCCTCTAGTCCCCGCGATGACCCAGCTCACAACATCTCAGCTTCTGCAACTTTGTTACGCATGCTCCCACCCCCTTCCACGCCGTCGCCCACCTCACAACCCGTCTCTTCGCCGCCGGATTTGAGCAGATTTCTGAACGAACCTCGGACACTGCTTTGAAGGCTGGCGGGAAATACTTTTATACCAGAAACCAGTCGTCGCTGGTAGCTTTCACCCTTCCAAAGAAGCCGACGAAAGAGACAGCAATCTCTTTTGCGGCCGGACATCTCGATTCGCCTTGCCTCAAAGTCAGGCCAGTGAGCAAAAAGATCAAGTCGGGCTACCTCCAAGTCGGCGTAGAGCTGTATGGGGGCGGCATCTGGCACTCTTGGTTTGACCGGGATCTGTCCATCTCGGGCCGCGTGATCATCGCCAATAGAAGTACCTCTGCAGAGCACAAGTATGTGAGCAAGCTCGTCAGGATCGACAGACCCATCCTGCGCATTCCCACTCTTGCCATCCACTTGGACAGGACGGCGAACGACAACTTCAAGTTCAACAAAGAGACCGAGTTCCAGCCCATCCTGGGCTTGGTTGAGAGCATCTTGAACGAACCTACCAAGACTGCTTTGAAGCGAACACATGACCAAGTGGCTACCCCTCCACCGACTGCTTTGAGCAACAAGTCGCAGGAGGATGAGATGAATATCGCAATGCAGGAGGAGAAGCATCACCCCAAGTTGTTGGCTGTCTTGGCCGACGAATTGGGATGTGATGTCGCAGACATCCAGGATTTCGAGCTGTAAGTCGTTTCCGGTGCTTGGAAGACCAGAGCTGAGCCGAGAAGCTCTCTGTATGATACTCAGCCCTCACAAGTCGGCGGACTCTCCAACGAATTCATCTTCTCGCCCCGGATCGACAATCTCATGACCTCCTTCTCGACTATCGAAGCTCTTTGCGAAGCCGTCCAGTCCGCCAATGCCGCAGATGAAACAAACATCAGGGCTGTGGTGTTGTTTGACAATGAGGAAGTGGGAAGTGTCTCGCATCATGGAGCGGAGAGTAACATCCTGCCAGCATTCGTAGAGAGAATCGCGGCGTTGGAAGACTACAAGGAGAAGGGATACTTCAATCTCTTAGCGAACAGTTTCGTCATCTCGGCCGATATGGGTCATGCTGTGAGTCTTGACCTTGCGCGACGATCCGTCACTGACCAGGGCAGATACACCCCAACTACGAATCGCGATACGAGGCAAACCTCGCGCCCAAGCTGAACGGGGGCGTGGTAATCAAGACCAACGCCAATCAGCGATACACTTCCAACGCTCAGACGACATTTTTGACGCGTCGAGTGGCCAAGAAGGCCGGGGTGCCTTTGCAAGAGTTTGAAGTCCGCAACGATTCTGTGAGCTTTTGCTTGTGTGGTCGCTGTCAGAGCTGACACCGAGGAGTCTTGTGGTTCTACTCTTGGTACATTCCTGTCCAAACACGTCCGCACCGTTGACATTGGCCTCGCCCAACTGTCTATGCACTCGATTCGGGAAACCGCGGGGTCGAAAGACGTGCGGTATTACATCGACTTTTTCAGAGCATTCTTTGAAGGATTTGGGCAGATCGACAAGGAGCTGAGGGTGGACTGGAAGTAGAATGGTAATTGAGAGTTACATATTGAAGATTCAGAAATATAGTATAGCATCAATGCATGAATGTGGGTTGACCTGCAAAGAGACGAGCCAAACAAAAAGGAGAATGCATTAACCGTAATCGTCGGCGATAGAACAGTGCCTCGTACCAACACGCCGCGGAGAAAAGACTTTTTGTGATTCCGTGGTCCGGGGCGGTAAAGACCGCTTTTGGTCCCGCTCTGCAGGCCTTGCTCTTGGAGGTTCCTCTGGTTTTGGTGTTCGCTATCCCTAAAACTAACCTGCATAGGATAATTCATCATGGTGAGTTGGCCTCCTGTACGCTGTAGGAGAGAAATGCTGACCAGGCTTCTTCCTCTTCTCTTCAATCGTCTCCCCTTCTACCCCGTCTCTTTACAACACTTTCGTCAATTTTGGTGGATGCTGGATTATTTTGATGGGAATGAAATTGGGACTATAGGGTCGAGTCAGGACTAAGACTGTCAAGCGTTCTTCCAGGACCCTCATCGAGAGGTTTTACCCCCGTCTTACCCTCGACTTCCAGTAAGTTACCTTTGTCCCGTCCTTCGAGGTGGTTGTGCAAATGGGTGGGGAGATCGTGCCGGGCTGGCGTTTCATGGGCGGATCAGCAGTCTCTTTGGAAGACGTACTGACGTTCATCAGCACCAACAAGCGAATCCTCGATGAGGTCGCCACTGTCCCCTCCAAGAGGTTGAGGAACAAGATCGCTGGCTGTGAGTAGCATCTCCATGAGATCTATGTACCCCAGCCCGCTAACGCGGTTCGATAGTCACCACCCACTTGATGAAGCGAATCCAGAAGGGTCCCGTGCGCGGTATCTCTTTCAAGCTCCAGGAGGAGGAGAGGGAGAGGAAGGACCAGTACGTTTGTTTTGTCAATCAAGTGTGGTACGCTGACGTTGTGAAAAGATACGTCCCCGAAGTCTCCGCTCTTGCCACTTCCGACGAGTCTCCCCTCGAGGTCGACACCGAGACCAAGGACCTTCTCAAGTCCCTTGGCTTCGACGACCTCAATGTCAACGTCAACGCCGTCTCTGCCAACGCTCCTCGAGAGAGGAAGACCCGATTCGTCCCTGGTGCGGGCCGTGCTTAAGGGTTTTAGGATGGTTTTTGTATAGGTTGAGATGAGACTATTCCAAAAAAAACAATGGGTCATGGTTCTGGGTTGCAAGGCATTACAAGGATGATGCGGGATAGAGCGTGCGGGAACGGGCGAGAGGTGCGACAAAGGCTGTCTAGGGAGGCGCAAACGTTGCTTCTGTCTTCGCCCAGACTGGGTTAAACTTCGACAATGGCCTGAAAACAAACTTGAGGGACATTTGCAAAATTGAGCCATATAACGGAATGTGACCACTGTGCAGTAGGCTTGCTCTTATTGACTGACGAGCTTCTGCCTTCTACGATGTCTTACCCGCACGCATGACCCAGCTTGCTACTCCCGGAGACATGATGAGATACGGTACTCGTACACCTGGTCATTACAACGATAGGACTGCTCATCATAGGTCACCCCATCAACCAGCGCGAATATTTTGAATCATACATGTATACAAGCTTTTGTACAAGATGTCGATGTATTATACCTGCCCGATCGTTTGCTACACCCCAAAACTCTCCGCCAGCCATTCATTCCCAAGCCTTCTTCGCCCTTTGTCTCTTAGCCTGGGGTCATGTAAGCTACAGCCTCTTGCACCTATATGAAATGTCCTACCTTCCTATCCTCTCTTCCCCTAACTTTCTCTTCCAACCTTGAACTAAGCTCCACTGCTCTGTCCTTGCCTTTCTCCGTCCTGGCCTTCTTCTTCTTCGACACCTGGCCCTTGTTGGCTTTGTTCTTTTGTGAAGCTTGAATAGAGCCTGCAGCCGTAATCATGGTGGCGGGGAGACGGGCGTTCTTGAGAAGCTTGGCGGGTTGAGCAGAGCTGGCCTTTTTGTCGACCGCGGCAGGGGCGCGGGTAGATGAAGAGGAAGGCTGGGCTGAGGCTGAAGCCTCGGCTTTGTGTTCTTGGACTAGATATTGATCAGCTTTCCGCATCATTGACTGACATGACACTACTCACCGGCCATAATTGGATATTCAGTAGTTTGGAATGCACTGATTATCTGTAAACAAGTTGCAACCTCGCTGCAGTGAACAGAGGCGAAGCTTTGAAATTTTGCTTCCGTCTTTCCACGTGTGCTTGCCTCGGCGAGGCCGAGCATCATGAACGCTCGAGAAATCTTGTCGCAAGTCCCTTAAGCACGTGGAGGATGGAGCCACAACACGACCTCGCCGCCGAGCTCGAACTCGTCAGCGCATCCCTCCTCCCCTCCGAGATACTCCACAGCCACGTCTCGGCAGACCACACCGTGTTCACCGTCACCAGCTCCGACAGCCAGCTCTCTTTATCCGTCACTGTGGGGCAAGGATTTCCGAAGAAAGAGAGTGTGGCCGTGGAAATCAAGGGTGGTCAGATGGGAAGGGACGAAGCTGCTGGGTGGATTGACTGGGTCCAGGGCAAGCTTGACGACTGGGATGAGGACCAGGAGTGAGTGCGACCACATTGAACACCCTCGAGCCGATGCTGAAGTCACCTCGCAGCTATCCGCTCTACGAGGCGATGACTACACACTTTCTCCCTCTTCTCGCCCCAGTAGGCACTACCCCGTCGCCTCCCCCCTCGAAGCCTCCTGCATTGGCTCCTGATGTCCCAGCCGTACCTCACCACGCTCTAATGGTCTCTCACCACCTTTTGGCACCTTCCAAACGAAAAGACCTTCATGCCTTATCCTCCTCTTTGTCCTTGATAGGCTTCTCAAAGACGGGCCATCCGGGGATCATGTATGCCATAGGCGACCTCCTTGATCTAGAGGAATGGATCAGAGAAGTCAAGTCCTGGCAATGGCTGGCTTTGCGCGTGCGCCTTGCCCCTCTTCCCGTTCCAGAAGAAGCGGGGAACGTGGTGCAGAAGGGTCAAGAAACCGGTGCTCGGGGAGGAAAAGGCCGAGGGGAATGGAGCGAGATGGAGAAGGTAGGGGAAGCTTTGGAATGGCTTAGGAAGAGGGGTGGAGAAGAGAGGGCAAAGGTGCTCACGGATATCGGCATCGGAGCGGGTGGGGGTAAGGGTTGAGCCTCGAGCATCCCGACAGTCCTCCCCTGGCTGTGTCAGTCAGATCATACTCCCTGAAGACAGCCCACGAAGCTGTCCTAGCTTGGACATACGTCTCGCGCTGTCATGTCTTTGCAGGGGCGACCCAAGCTCGCGGGCGGGATGCCCATGCAAGCCCAGAGTTAGTCTGTATTCCTCTGTCCCCGTGTTCATGCTGACATAAGTCGTAGCCCTCGACCGGTGATCCCACCTCGCTCTGTTCCCAACCCAGACAGCTGTAGTCAGCTGGAATAATCAGCCGCTTGCGAAAGCTGTTGTGGCTTCGATCATGCATTGCAGCTCTGCAACAATCTCCCCTTGACCGTTCGGCTATACTGAAGGGCTACATCCATTCTTCCCCACTGACGCGCGCAGGCATCTCAATATCGATTTGGCAGAAGAGACGCGTCGCGTGTCGCGTCATGTGTGTTGCGCACGAGCCGGCAGTCCAGTCAACTCATTCACCATACTCCTTTTGATTTCCATTTCCTCTTTCAACCGCATCCCACTCTGCACAATGGTCGATGATCCTCAAGTCACCCCGCCCGAGATACGGCAGAGCATCTACCGCAAAGCTGTCGTCGAGCTGCATAACAAAATTGGCGTGGATTACGTCGATTGGATGGAGGATACTGCTGCAAGCGTAAGCCCACGCTTCTTGCGAGACATCAAAGTGTCTGATGTTTCATGGCAGGTATTCGAGACATTCACCGAGATCGATACTACCACTTATCCCGAGACGTTCGGCCCTCGAGACGAGGACCCTCTGATACACTTCAATGAGTGGCTGGCCAACCTCCCTCGGCCTGCCTACGACCCTTACAGTCATTATGAGAGCAGGGCGGAAAAAGAAGGTGCAAATGGGAGGATGAAAGATCCGTTTATCAACGCAGTCATGAAGAGGCACAAGGAAGCGAAGTCCAGTAGCCCGGCGCAGGTGTCTTTCAAGCCTATTGGTGAGTATCTCTGTGCAGTGTTGACTCTTTCTGTAACGACCTTAGATGATCCGTGGCCCGAATACCTTCATCCTCGAGAGGTCCTCATGACAGCAAAGATGATGGAAGAGACTCTTACCATTGGCAATGGAGAAGACGGCTTGCCTGAGAATTACGAGGTGTTGGGTGACAAGGGTTTTCATATCTTGGGTATCCTCAGAAACCCGCAGATCAAGCCAAGGCAGGCAAATGCCGAGGAAGTCTTGTATGTACCCAGGCAGTCCCATCGTGGCTACCTTGCTGACCCATCTGGTAGGAATCTGCGACCGGACTGGTCCGACGAGGAGCTTCATATTGCAAGCGACAAGGTCAAAGACGTGAACATCAAGATCAAGGCGTATAACAAGACTATCAGCGGGGCCATCTCTGACGACCCTATCTGGGATAAATGGGAACAAGAGTCGAAACTGCCGTTGAATGTGAATATCGTCTCAGCCGGTGATGGGGGAGACATGACTGATTTGGTACGCAGAGTGTACCTTTGCCACTCTCCCCACCCCTCTTTCCTCGCAAAGAAGCCGTGACAGACTTGCCTCAGCTTCCCGAAACATTCAAGGATTTGGAAGGAACTGTAGGGGAGGCGAGTCATAGCGGGTTGAGGCTATTGGGGAGCCGAGCTATGACGGGTCGAGGATTGGGACCACGATGGGCTACGGACAATGACAGCCAAGAATTTCTCGAACAGGTGATGAGCTCAAACAATCTAGACAAGTTTGGTAAGTCACGCCCTACTGATGATTATCACAGCGGCTGACTCTCGCCTATAGATGGGGTACCATTTGCGCCTTTGACCCCTAAAAGTGTCGATAAGCATTCACGTCTCCAACCCATACAGTCTCAAGCTACATTTCTGCCACCGTCTCCTCCCCCGACTCACAGCAGAAACAAGCGGATGCCTTGGGAAGAAGACCCTCGCATCGGTACGTGGTCACAAACAAAAGACTTTGCACGCCTGACGAGACTATCAGATCCGCCTTTGATGCCCGCACATTTCGATTTGCCGTCTTCAGACTCGCACCACATCGATCAACTGTTTACTCCGGTCAGAAACTCGTCACCTCCGCTTCCGCCCGTGACTATGGATGGAAGAACAGACATCGCCACTCCCAGTCTCTCTGGCGTGGTCGAGCAGATGGAAGATCCTTGCGTTCAGCCGATCAACAAAGTGCTCCGAGACATCCTCTCTACCACCGAGTTGGACTCTCACAAAGAACAAGAGGGGTATGGTACAGCGGAAGAGACTGCATTCGCTCATGCTGCCAGCGAAGAGCTCGACACCACCAAAACGAACCATATAGGGAGTGAGCATGTGCGCGTCCAGCAACGACCGGAGCTGATGAGTCTTAGTACCGAGTATAACGGAGGAGGCCTATTCAGATCCCAGAAACAATCTTCCCGTGTCATACTCGGGTTTGGCCGACAGTCTGGCGGGAGGTGTCGAGACAGATAGGATGCTTTTCGTCAAGTACCCTGGGGTCAGCACTGCTTTGGCCAGCGAGGCAAGTCGATTTACGGTCGATATTAGCGAGACTGACAGGCTGCTTAGCTTGACTGGGATATCTATCGATCGCAGCATCGCTCCCCTGTCCGTCATGATCATGCAGCAAATGTTTCTGCGTTGCCAGACCCCCCAGCCAGCCAACTCCGACCTTCGTCCGGTCACCTACCTGGTCCTGTACATCATCCAGCAGATGCTGCCATTCAAAGTCTCGCCGAGAGACCAGTGAAGAAGATGACGCCAGTCAAGCCGCGGTGGATGACAATACAAGACGCTGAAAGAGAAGAAGCGCTCAAGGCTTCCAACCAGAAGAGCTTGACTTCTCCGGCTCTTTCAGAAACTACCACTCTACCCGCGACCTATACACCTTCTCCAGCCGCCAAAGGAAAGACAAACAAAAGGAAAAAGGGTCAGGTTATTCCAGGTGACGCGGTGGATATGCCCGAAGACGATGGACTGGTTGATGCGGAGGTCGTGACCATCAGACCTAATCCAAAAAGCACGAAAGAGGCGGTCGGTGACTCAAGGAAGAAGAGAAAGGCTGCTGAGAGCCTAAAAGCTCCCTTCATTCCGACTCTAGACGACATCCTCATGTCAATGGCTCCCCCGCTTCAAACTCAAGAATCGAACCGGGGAAGAACAGGTCACTCGAAGGAGCTTTCAACAGTCACTCTGACTCGTCCCACAAACGCTGATCCCTCGACTTTGAGCGGCTTCCTGCATCTGCAGAACCTTGGACATTTGGCTGGACAGGATGCGGAAGTGGCCTACAAACAAGCGGTCGGGCAAGATTTGTCTGCGATATTCGAAGAAGACGAGGAAGGAGAACCCGTGAATTGGAGGGCTGATCCCGCAGTCCAGAACCCATCATGGTATGACCGTGCTTCGAAGGGGAATGTCCAGCCTTACGCCAACCCGATGCCTGTCATCGCCAAGGTAGATCTCTTCAACAACAGGCCTCTCATCAAGGCTTTGGAGAGCCAAAACTTTTATCTCTTTGACAATCACGATTTGCAAGGTGCTGATCTGGTCATCTCACCTGTGACGGCTGTCATTTTCCGCTCTCTCCGAACCTTGCCTGATGTCCATGTCCAACTACTCGAGGAGCTGAAAGAAGCAGCAAGATTCTATCACCATGTCATCCTCGTTTTCGATACCATCTCTTTTGTCGTCGCCGACAAGCACGAAGACCCTGGAAAGTGTGTCAATCCTCTCGGTGTCGAGATTATCCATGCCCTTGGATCACTCAAGAGAGGGCAGAAGGCGGCTTGGCAAGGGGAGTCTGACATCATCGGCAAGGTAGAGTTTGTCTTTGCCTGTGAAGGTGCCAATGAAGTGGTAAGGGGTGTCATGGGAGCTTTGGAATCAGACGAGGCGATGTTGAAAGACAGGATGGGGGAGGAGGAGTACCAACGCTACTGTGGGCGAAGATGGATGCAGTCTGAACCTGTCGTGAGTTGGATTCCTCTGTCTGATATTGACATCGCCCGAAGACGTTACTGATACGCCGCAGCCTGAGCATGAGGCCACACTGATTGACACGTTCGGTGTCAATACATTCAACGCCAGGTTTGCCACTGTCAGACATGGTGGCGCCGAACGACTTGCTTACGACATGTCCGCTGAAGAGCGGCTGCTACTGTTGGGTCCTGTCTGGGGTGAGGATGTTGTGGTAAGGGTCTACATTGTCAACTGGAGTGCAATTACTGAAAGTTGTATGACAGATAAGATTCAACGATGTCCTCAAAAGTACGCGTTCTGGCGATGGCGAGGAGATGGTCGCCCACGACAATTAGGTGGTACTGCTCGTTAAGTATACAGATGGACCCTTTCTCTCATATAGTGTGTCCTAATTATCCCCCTGACGGACTCTCGACGCTATGCATAGGTGCCAAAACAGCCTCATTACACGTCGTACGTATCTCTCTGAAACCGAAAGAAAGACCAGCCGAACCCTGGCATCACATATCTCAGGGTATCAACACAATCCCGTCAAGGCCGTCGACAGAGCGCACAGTGTATCCAGATACGAACCCTAGCCGGAGAGCATCAGATCAGTATCGCGCGGGCGTCGTATCACCGTCCACATCAACACGATGATATAGATCTGCCAGCTGCGGAAGGAAGGTGTATGTGTGTGAGTCTCCTTCCAAGGAGCACCTTTATGGGCGTCTCCCTGCTTCCTTCCCTCCTTCAATCAGTGTTTAGTACAGTCATCTCCTATCTTCCCTTTCAACTGGACAGCATATGTCAGGGAAGCTGTCGGTCAGCTGCTGGATAGCTGTGCTCTTTGCATATATAATGTTGACCAAATACGAGCTGATACTCCTTTGTCAATCTCCCAGAAAGTCCCTGATAATCGCCCCGCTCTCAGTGAAGAGCCTATACACCAAATACTACCTAGGTATCCCAGAATCAGCTGCTGTCATTTCTAACTTGTCATGTCAGTATCTAGCTCCATTCAAAAGGTATAAGCTGACAGACGACATGCAGGGCTCAGAATTACACAATAGACGACTCGCAATGGAGCACCTCCGCACTCAGCCTGTCCCCTGGCTGGAACATGATCAGAATCAACGGCTCAGACGAGTACATCAATCAGACCCAGGTGGATGCAATTCAGCCCCTTCTAGGGGAATTCTGGAATAGTTCTTTGAGCTGGACGACATCCGAAGGAAGTTGGACACGACTTGCGTTCACCGGTATGTCTCATGATGATATGCTCTCATACTCAAAGTGCTCATGGTTCGATGATCTACAGGAAGCCATATCTGGGCCTACGGTTTGGCTGGGCCCGATCAAGGGTCGTTCACTGCTGCCATCGATAACACGACAGTTGGCTTCTTCTGTGCCCAGCAGGACAACGTGGATTATCATCATTTGATTTTCGACACCGAGGTGACTGGCGAAGGGGTTCATTATCTTACTTTGACCAATTCCGGCAATCAAAGTCTGGCGTTTGACTATGCTGTGGTTCTGTCGAAGACGTGAGTGATCATGTTTGATATCATGACTGTGCTGACCTCTTTGCTATAGCGAAACGACGACATCGTCTTCTGCAGAGCCATCATCAGTCACATCGATTGAAACTTCCTCTATCCTCCTCCCTTCAACTGCATCTGACATGACGTCTACTGCCAGCACACCCTCGCCTCAATACGAGTCCCAGCTCGCTGAGCAAACAGGAAGCTACCCATTCAAATGGACAGGCGCCATGTACTTTGTCGCGATCTTCTCCTCCCTGCTGGGGGTCATCTTTCTGATCTGGTTGTCATATGCCCTGTATAGATGGTGGCAGGCTAGACGGTCGCACAAATCTACCGCTGAGGAGGTGGTGATGTCAAGCCAGGACAAGCAGGATAGTGCCACGGAGCAGAGCGACGGTGGCTCCAGCTGGCTCATCATGCGCGAGAAAGAGAGGGTGAAGGTCAAACGGTCAACGAAGCTGCTGGAAGCCCTCAGGAGCAAGAAGATCAGTCCTCCGCGTGCCGAGGACAATGGGGGTATCACCACTGGTGGTAGGAGAGGGAGCAGCGGAACCGCATCCTCTAGCGGCACAAGATGGGTTCAGCGAGACGTAGAGAAGGGATGGCAATAGTGGCTGTGAAAGTGGTATACCGTTGGGTCGTATAGTTGTGCTTGTTCCCAGACAGACCCTCTTCTATAGTCTATTTCTGATTTGATTCCTGCAATAGGATTTTGTTGCACTGGCTCCTGTCTTCGTCGGCATCAGGACTTAAAATCGGCAGCGGCTGCGGTACTGTTGTCTAGATCGTACTTGAGAACGCCATCGCTATTTCGGCATGTCTGGACTGTACACAAACAGACATCATAGATTCATGACATACCTTGGTCCGAGGAGTAACGACGTCCGGCATTCCAAGCTGCCCTTGACGCTCTAAGAAAGTGAACCGTCCATCTGAAGGTGGAGGCTCCCATGCTTGACTTTGAGGATGTGCTCTGGGGCGATAGGTGAAGGCGATTCCAGCAGCCAGGGGATTATCGTGTCGATCCGTTGAGTTGGTGAATTTATGCCAGGAAAAAGGGCAGAGTTGTATAGATGGATGGTTTGGCGCTAAGAACTCATCGACGCGTCCAATTCGACCCAGATTCGACCTCTTATTAGGGCAGATCAGTCTGAAAACTGGATCATTTGTTTACATTCCCCATTTCTCCCTCAAAACGCCCGTCAGCTCCTGTCGATAGATAAACGGTCCCACAGAGGGTGTCCACGGCCCCCATAATCATGCTGCTCTCTTCCCTGGCCCTCCTCTTCTTGCCTCTCATTTCAGCCGCCGCCCCGCGCTCGTCCGATTGTTTACTCTCCGGCACAGAGCGCGCCATCAATGAGATATTCGCGACGGGTAAGTCTGGACTGTGACATGTATCTCTCGGTAGCTAACATATCTTTCAGGTGGAGAAGGGGCGACGGTCACATTATGCCCGGGGTCCGTACACAGGCTGAACGCGTCCGTCCAGTTTACTGCGCCCAGACAAACCATCACGACTCTCGGGAATCCGAAGGACAGAGAAAGAGCTATGCTGCTAGTAGACGGGCCTGATCTAGCAGTTGCTATCCAGTGCGTCCAAACATGTGATCGCAAAAGGCTAATGCTAATGGACGAGTAGTGCGGACTGCCAGAAGTGTTCCTTTGCGATGATACGTTCTATCATCATTGACGGCAATCGACCACAGCTGCTGAGAATCCCCAAAGGCGAGGCCTTGGTGGAGGTTGGAAATGCAGAGAGCCAGACAGTCAAGGACTGTAAGCTATACGAGCCCAGGGGATGGAGCACACTGCATTTCAGAGAAGGGGATTCGAAGCAGTGTCGATTCGGACACATTGTAGACAATGAAATCGTACGTCTCATCTCTTCTAAAGATTACTTCGAACGCTGATTCTATACAGGGACCAAGCGGTGAAGAGTGGGACGACGATTACGATGGTATGGACGAGGTGAACCCTCCATGGGGCAACCCTCGAGCCGATGGGATCAGTCTAGCCTGCAAGGACTCTATTGTCGAGCGCAACGTGGTATACGATGCGACCGACGGTGCCATTGTTATCTTTGGCTCCGCCAATTCTGTGGTGAAGAACAACCACATCTACTCTCGCACGCGAGTCATCCTGGGAGGAATCAACCTTGTCGATTACGAGCCTTGGGAAGGCGATTACACTGGCGTCACCGTACACAACAACCACCTTCATGCCTTGGGACGCTACTTCAAGGTTGGCATTGTAGTTGGCCCTGCCTCATGGTCGGACGATACCGAGAGTGTGGTGAGGGGCGCGGCGGTGACGAACAACAGGTTCTATGGGCAATACTGGGGATACGGACTGGTGGTAGCTTCCGCGAAAGACTTTGAGGTCATGGGAAATAAGGTGATCAATGGCGACGAGGGCGAAGCCAAGTTCAGTGGTGTCCCTGGGAGCAGATGCCCCAAGGCTCCTGAGAATGGAAAGCCGACTGCCTTCCTGATCAACAGGGGTAGCGCCAAGGGAACTTTCCAGGACGATTTCGTTAACGGGGAAGTGCAACACAGTGAGTCATCTGCTGCTTTCCTCTGGGACGTACAATAATGTGCTGCAGTCATCTGTCTGAATCCCGATGAAAAGTACAAGCCTTGGAGGTTCCGAGATTCGCCTGAGGCTCTGGCTGCCAACATTGCCAACAACCCTCTCGCTAACGCCGCCATCGTAAGTGGCATCGCCTTTACTTGGCCTTCAGACGCTCATATGACTTTCATGACAGGACTCCCGTATAGCAGAAGCCCTTGTTAGCTATCAAATGTCTCTCCTTTCGTCCATGTCTGGCATCAATCAGAAGATCGAACGCCTCACCACCCCCATTGACCCTCTCGACGCCCAACCCGTCCATGAGCACGAACGTGCGGCCCTTGCGGCGGAAGTTGAGAAACAGAGGAGGGAGAAAGAGAAGAGTAGCGGCAACAAGGACGTGGACGAGCTGATCAGGAAGCTTGAGGAGCTGGAGAAGGGAGGGAGGAAGATGAAGAAGACATTGGATGGCGTCAAGGTCGATTTTGAGGGGCTGGCAGGAAGGTTGAGAAAGAACGCCGTGAGTGGTTTCAGATGGTACGAGACCTCAGCTAATACATAGCTAGGACGAACACAAACCCATAATCGAGCAGATCTTCCTCCACGCGCAAACACTGCTTCTAGGCTCAACACCCTTGTCAACATCACAACAAAAGCTGTTTCGTAATGGACGTGGTATGAGTATGGGTATCCCGGGCGAGGGATACACTCCTCTCGGCGTGTTGGGGGGTTTGCTGGGCGCTGGTGCTATCGGTCTCGCCGCCCGAGGGCTGATAAAACGATGGAGAAGTGAAAATAAGGGTAACAAACTTTATTGATTTATAGAATGTCATGTGATGCGAAAACAGGACTCAATTAGAGCATGCTAGAACATGCATATCCCGGAATTCATCTATAATTTTTGATCTATCAAACGTATGTCTTGTCGCCTGCAATCGCAAGGGTCATGGGAACCCGTCGTGACAAGTCCGCACGCGTGTCGACCACCGGCTACGTCTTTTCGTAGTTCTTCTTCAAAAAGTCGGACGTGGAAAAGTCTCCTTCAAGACTGAGAAGGTTGGCAACTCGAGGATGGACCTCCACATGGAAAGCGTCAAACTCGTACGATTCACCGTCTGCAAAAATGGGTCAGCCACCATATATGATGGGCAAATGTCATCGCTGGACGTACCGATGGTGAAAATGGGTTGGTTGACCTTGTCAAGGTTCTCTGCTATCAGAGCCGAAGCTGGACCACCAGGATCAGCCCTTCGTACCAGGTATCACAGTTGGCAACGAGACTCACCTTTGTAATAATGCTGCGTATCCAACCAGTAAGGATCGCCATGCTCCGCCCCAGAGATGGCATTGGTCATCTGTAGTCTTGGCACCTGATCTTGTACGACCACGTCGATCAGCCCATCTCCAGAGATGGCAACGGGCCACTGATTCAGGTCGCGTGCCACCCAAGGCATCATGCCGGCACTGCAGGCTGGTCAGCACCCGACTCGATAGAAAGGGGAAGATCACGTACTAGAAGTAAAGAATACCCTGACCATCCACCCAACCCCCTTTCTTCTGTGCTTCTGGTTGGCTTCGGAGGCTCTGGGCGGAAGCTTGACTGTACTTGTTCTGACCAGTAGCGTTCTCGATGGTGATCCAGCTGTCGTCGGGCTCGAGGGGAAGGGATTCAGGTATGGGTCCGTCGTCGATTGGTTTGCTTTCTGCTTGCACGCCGTTTCCGTTGCTGTGGGCATCAGGATGGGCGTGGCCGTTAGGTTCAGCCGACGCCGAGCCATCGAGGCTAATTTTGGTCAACCCGTCCGATAATGGGTCCTGACCACCTCCCAACACTTCAGCCCCCTTCCTCTCCTTCACCCTCTCCTTTGCCTTCCTCGCCATCTTGAGTTTGTCATCCTCTACCACCTTCATCTTGAGTCTACACTTTGCTGCCTTGTTGGTGACTACACCTTTCAAGAAGCCCACCAAGAACCTGGTGTCGCCCAGCCACCGCAAGTTCTCGGTGCCTATATCCAGATCTACCATGAGGCCGATAGCTTGAGCGAGGAAAGAGAAGCGCCGAGTGCGGGAGGGAAGAAGGAGGACAGAGCAGAGGTCGATAGGGATCTGCTCCCCTTTGACAATGTTGAGGCTTGCGAGGGGGATATTGAAGGTGTCTTTAGGGCCGAAAAGATTGGTGGCGACAGCATTGGCAGATCCTGCTTATGTTTAGTCACTGAAAGGGCAGAAAGTTGAATGTATAATACCTGTAGGTATGGGAGCTATTGGGATTTGCAAAGCCCGTCGGGCATCCGGCCGCGACGCGAGACCATTGAGCACTTCGTACACCAGACCATCACCAGAGGCTGTGGCGATGACACTGTAAGATCACGTCAGCCAGAACATTGCATTGACTCGGGAGGCTCGTACTCGTAGTCCAGATCCATAGTGGCTGCTATCTCTTCGGCATGCGACCGGTGTGTCGTCTCTGGGCAAACGTCAGTCGCTCCCTCGGATCGTGTCTTTGAGCTCACCCTTCAAGTCCACGATAGTACCCGCTGCCTTAAGTATAGGGACGACAATCTCGCGGACAATTGCTCGGGATTTGCCCTTGCCACCAGCAGGGTTGACGAGAAGGAGTACCTTTCTGAAAGGTTTGACCGCTGACAATAGCACATCAGATCATCATCACACACTTGTATCCAGCCAAATCAGACTCACTACCGTATGCAGCCGCGAGCAAGTCCTCGAGCCACTCCTCTGCCTCCTTGATGTGATTGGGCTCGACGAGAACGTGAAGTTCAACCAGCTTGAGAGGTGTACCTGTCCCACCTCTTAGAGAGTGCAAGTCGAGTCGGCGCTTTGAGCCACTCGGTGCAGGTGCAAGCTGGCCATTCAGGAATTGCTTGAGGGGCGATGTGAGAAGGCGACTCGGTGCTAAGGTGGACGATATCAGCGGCGATAAACACCCCCGCGGGGTCGGGACTCACGGCGTCCGTCGCTGGAGAGCTGGAGGACCTGGAGAGCTGCGTCTTCGACTGTGAGGATGCCGCGCTTGTCGTTCTGCAAGATGACCTGCAGCTCTTTGTGTCTGAAGGGGGGCATGGTGGGATATGGGGGAGATGAACAATCCTGAAATTTGAATTGCAAGGGTTTCCTCGGACGGGTAGTCGAACGCGCCCACGCTCCCGCAAGCAGTCACCCGAGCATCTTACGTAAGCCACAGTTGACGCGACTTTCGGCGCAACATGACTTTGACGCGTTCCCTCATCCTCCTCTATCATCCAACACAGCCCATGGTGAGTACCCCGGGAGGATGCACGGCGTCGCTGACCACGCTTAGTACATCAAAACAATCACCATACAGGGTACGCCTGCCCGTGCATCCACATGCCGCATCCAGCTGACGCGTCTGCAGGCTTCAAGTCTTATAGAGACCAGGTCGCTGTTGACCCATTCTCGTGGGTGCACGCATGTCGCGGGAGCTATATACTGATGCTATCTAGTCCCGGGCACAATGTTGTCGTTGGCAGAAACGGTAGTGGAAAATCCAACTTCTTTTCCGCCATCCGATTCGTCCTCTCCGATCAGTACACCAAGCTCAGCCGAGAGGAGCGTCAGCGGTTGCTACATGAAGGCACAAGTACGCAGACGACACTATCCGCCTACGTGGAGGTGGTGTTCGATAACGAGGATGGGCGATTCCCGACAGGTCGTCCTGAGCTGGTTCTGAGGCGAACAATCGGCTTGAAAAAGGACGAATACTCTTTGGATAGGAAGAGTGCGAGCAAGTCGGAGGTCGATCAGTTGCTTGAGAGCGCTGGGTTCTCAAAGGCCAACCCGTATTACATTGTTCCCCAAGGACGAGTGAGTGTTAGACACCGGGCGACGTGTGTGCAGTGGCTGACGATGATGTAGATCACGCATCTCACAAATATGAACGATCGCGAACGGCTAAGGCTACTCAAGGATGTAGCTGGTACAGAGGTATATGAGCAGAAGCGAACAGAGTCGACGCGTATCATGGAAGAGACAGGTAAGCTATGACAGGTCTCTAGGGATATGGACGCTGACAGTGTGACAGAGGCCAAGAGAGACAAGATTGCCGATCTCTTGTCATTCATCGAAGAACGCTTGAATGAGCTGGAGGAGGAGAAGGAAGAATTGAAGGAATACCAAGAAAAGGACAGGGATAGGCGTTGTCTCGAATACGCTCTGCATCAGCGAGAGCTCGAGGATGTCACCAACGCCCTCGACGAGATTGAAGCTGAGAGAAGGCAAGATATACATAACAGTAATGAAAAACAGAAGGAGTTTGACGAGAGAGAGGATGATATCAGAGTGAGTCTTTGAAAATGCGCACCTCGGCTGCTTGCTGACAAGGGCGATAGCGTTATGCGGAATCTCTCACAACTGCCAAACACTCCTTATCCACCGCTCAACTCTCTTTGCGGCAATACGAGTCTGAAAAAGCTGATCTTCTTCGCTCTCAGGAAGAGATCAGACTCGTGATTGCAGACTTTGATTCTGCTGGCGAGGCCGGGGAAGAGAGGAGGCAGGAGCTCGCCGAAGAGCTCAAGGAGCTGGAAGACAAGATTGATGATGCGAACGAGAGGCTGGACGGGCTTGTGGCGGATGTAGAGGCAAGAGTTGCCGAGGAAAAGGCTGCTAGGGAAACGTAAGGAAGATATCGACATGTCGCCAATGATACTGACTTTCATCAGCCTTGAACCCACTCAGTCAAAGCTGTCTGTCCTCTACGCCAAACAGGGGCGTGCCCAGCAATTCTCCACCCAAGCCGCTCGTGACAAGTACCTCAAGGACGAGATCAAGTCTCTGAAAGCCCACGAGAAAGACCAGAGCGAAAGAGTCGACACCCTTGGGAAAGAAGTTTTGAACGGCAAGCAGCATCTCTCGGAAATCGTTTCTAGATCAGAACAACAAGCCAAGGGAGAGGATGAAAGGAGGGAAGAGTTGAGAAAGATGGGCGAAAAGGCGACAAAGCTCAAGGGCGATCTCGACGGGATGCAAGAGCAGCGAAAAGAGCTGTGGAGGGAAGACGCCAAGCTTGGTCAAAATGTGACACAGGCGAGGACTGAGAAGGAGGGGGCTGAAAGGGCGATATTCGGAATGATGGACAAGGCAAGTCGACGTTTGGGGTATAAAGAGCTTCGTCTGATTGTCTGTAGGACATGAGCAATGGTCTTCAAGCAGTCCAGAAAATCAAAGACCGACTAGGCCTCGGCGGCGTTATTGGCCCATTGTACTCTCTCTTCGAAGTCTCCGACAAGTACAAAACTGCTGTTGAAGTTACTGCCGGTAACAGGTATGGTCCGCCTCTCCTTCTCAGGTCATAGCTTATCGATTGTAGTCTGTTCCATGTCGTCGTCGACAATGACGAGACCGCCTCCAGAGTTCTTGAAGAGATGAACAAGATGGAGCAACGCTCGAATAACGGGAAAAAGATCAACAGCGGACGGGTTACATTCATGCCTTTAAACAGACTCAAAAGTCACACTGTCAACTACCCCAAGGCGAATGACGCAATCCCCATGATCCAGAAGCTGAGGTTTGACAAGAATAATGTGATGGCTTTCGAGCAGGTACGTTGTCTTCCTTCACTGTCGACCGTTGCTCAATACCGAACCAGGTGTTCGGCCGCACCATCATCTGTGAGGATCTCCAAACCGCGGCTCACTACACGCGCTCCCACGGCCTCAACGCTGTCACTATCGACGGTGACCGTGTCGACCGCAAAGGTGCCCTCACTGGTGGTTATCACGATGTCCGCCGCTCCCGTCTCGACGCCATCAAATCCCTCAAAAAATGGCAGACCGCTTTTGAAACGGATTCTGAACGCCACGCTGAAATCAAGTCTGGCCTGCAAAAGTTGGAGCAAAACATCTCCAGAACGCTGGGCGAGATCCAGGTCATTGAAGCGAAGAGGAAACAGACCTTGGATGGGCGAGGGTTGTTGAGTAACAAGGTGGCTTGGACGGCGAGGGAAGAAGAGGGGACGAGGAGCCGAGTTGCTAAGCTGGAGAGCAGCCTGGAAGAGGCTGAAGGGGAGCTGAGAGACGCCAAGGCAAAGCGAGCGAGTTACGAAGAAGAGCTGAAAACGCCGATGCGCCAGAACCTCACAGACGAAGAGCTGAGAGAGCTGGAAGAGCTCTCAGAGAAGGCAGAAAAGCAAAAGAAGACGTTACTCGATGCCACGCAGGCGAGAACAAAGGTCGTTGGTGAGAGAAAGAGGCTCGAAATCGAGCTTGCGGAGAATCTGAGGAGGAAAAGGGAGGAATTGAGGGGCAAACTGGATCAACTTGAAGGAGAGGCTGGAAGTGGTGTACTGCAAGCTGGCGAAGTGGAACTGCGAAAGACTGAATTGCGAAATCTCCAGCGTCGCATTGACGAGCTCAAAGAACAAATCGAGGGTAGGCTCATCCCTTTTCGTGACAATGCAAGAAGCTGACCGGACGTAGCCTCCACACAACGTGTTGAAGAGCTCTCCGCCGAGATATCCCAGCTCAACGATGACCATGATCGCGTGCAGAACCAACAGCTCGAAAACACCCGGGCCATTATGCGCGTCCAGAAGAATGCCGAGCGATACCTCACGAAGCGAGGTACTCTACTGGGCAGGAAGGAGGAGTGCAACAAGGCAATCCGGGACTTGGGAGTGTTGCCTGAGGAAGCGTTTACGAAATACGTCGACCAAGTGTCTGATAAGGTGTGTTTCATTTGAATCGCACTTAGACAAGGCTGATGTTCGCCAGATCGTCAAACGTCTCCACAAGATCAACGATGGTCTCAAAAAGTTTGCTCATGTCAACAAGAAGGCTTTCGAACAGTACAGCAACTTTACCAGACAGCGAGACGACTTGCTCGAGCGTCGGACAGAGCTCGACGAATCAGCCGAGAGAATCACCGAGCTCATCGAGACTCTTGACCAGAGGAAAGACGAAGCAATTGAGCGGACGTTCAAACAGGTGTCAAAGTACTTTGAAGAGGTCTTTGAAACGCTTGTGCCATTGGGAAAGGGTGTGTTGGTGATGCAAAAGAGAATGGATGGACTTGTTGTGAGTATGACCGAGAATTTGCTAGATGAAAGCTTACCGATTGTCGCAGGAGGATGACTCTGAAGAGTCCCAAGAACAATCTCGTGAAAAGAGTGACATTGACAACTATACTGGTGTCACGATTCGTGTGTCCTTCAACTCGAAAGACGACGAAGGTCAACGTATCCAGCAACTTTCGGGTGGCCAAAAGTCGTTGGTTGCTTTGGCTTTGGTCTTTGCTATCCAAAAGTGTGATCCCGCGCCCTTCTACTTGTTTGACGAGATTGACGCAAACTTGGATGCCCAATACCGTACTGCGGTTGCTAGTGAGTCTCCAGCCCAGCCTTAAACATCAAAGTTACCGGGCTGACGTTATTGCAGGCATGATCCATACGCTTTCAGAGCACGCTCAATTTATCACAACCACTTTCAAATCCGAGATGCTGGCTCAAGCCGACAAATTCTACGGTGTCTTTTTCGACAAGCAGAAAGTCAGTTCGATCAAGGTCATCGAAAAGGAAGAGGCGAGTGACTTTGTCGAGACGGCTGCACAGGTAGGACAGCTGTAAGACGGTCGGGCAGGGATTGAAGAACGCGAGGGTGAAAGCAGCAGGCGCTTTTTGGGTTTCAATTTTGCTAGAGACCTCGGTCTAGGTTGTACACTTATGAATCATGCTCTGATAACACTAGGACGCAACGGTCACATCTAAGCCAACTGCCTATAGTCCCTAGATGCATCTTGGCCAAAGTCCATCACCCACCAGGTCCTTCACCCCGCCCCCGAGCATCACAGCTCTTAGCCACCTCCTCACCTCCTCTGTTTCTCTCGCCGCCACCCGCACGACCCCCGCACGGAGCTTCTCATCGACCTCGCTGAAGCTCCATACCAGCCCCGGCGGAGTGGTCAGCTGGAATTGCCGCATCCGATCCCCGTACGATTTGATATATTTGATCAAGTCGGCAAAGTGGGGGCCTATAATTAGGAGGGTAGCGTATATGTTGTATGGGGAGAGCTGCTTGGCGATAGGAGACAGCTTCGGCGAATTTGTAGCAGGAGGGTTCTCAAGCACCATCCTCTCCCGCATCACCAATTTGTCGCCCACAACCACTTCATTGGTGGACGCATACATGTCCATACTCCAGATCTCTTCATCCCCCAGATCAGGCCGCTGGCCACGTCCCGAATTGACCCAATCTAGGATCAGGGCGGAAGCAGAGCCGTCGGGGGGCAGGAGGAAGCGCTGGGCTTGGGAGTAGATGGATGAGCGAAATGGGGAGATAGAGTCGGGGAGGAGTAGGACGAAAGAACCCGGGGCCAAGGTGATGTGCATCCGCTGCCTCGTGAGACTGGGGTCGGAGGCAGGGGACGATGATATGTGCGCGTGAGACAAGGGTCGCAGTCCCGGACGTCTCTTGAACACTTTAGTTGACCCTTGCGTCAACATCACCAGCCCACACCCCTCATCAATTTTGGTCCTCAAGCTGACGACATCTCCTGCCACTAGCCCTCCGCCATAAGCGAGGGTATAGAGAGTGGCGAGATTGGAGGGCTGGGAAGGGAGAGGGGTGGGACACAGGAGCTTGAGAGGATAGGCTGCCTGGAGGGAGGCGAAGCGGGGGTGGGAGTGGGAGGGGGAGAGATGGATGGTGCCCTCGCCGGGGACTAGACGTGGAGGAGAGGGGGCGGGTTCATGGGGCATTGGTCGTTGAGAGGATCCCCATCATGGTAGTTTGCCGCATCACCTCTATCTTTGTGCTTCTTCGCTTCCTTATCACAAGGTGTTACGTAAATTCGTGGATTTGACAGCTCGACAAAAGTGAATGAAGAAGTGAGAGCCAGAACTATGCATGATGCAGGACCAAAACTAGAGCACAAGAATTACAGATGAGACTAAAACCACAAACCCTTCTTCACTTCGTCTACTCCGTCTATATTCTCGTAGGCGCACGGATGTCGAACGCACCAGTACCACTCGAGCTAGGTTTACCCATGACAATCTTGGCCGCGGGACTTGTGAGATCATCAAAGTCACCGTGAAGGGTGGCTTCAGACAAAAAGGCAACAGTAGTCTCGAAAGAGGCCTTGAGAAGTGGTGAAGATTTGGCCGCGATACCTGTTCGGTTGAACGGTCTGTAGCCACCACCGTGAGTCTGAAAGACGGTCAGTAGCTGTGATTTTGATGTACAAAGTCACGTACCATGTAGTCGGCGATGATGGTCAGGTGTCTGTAGTCGACAGCGATACCGTAAGCTCCGAAGACGCTCGAAACTTCATCAATGATGGCCTTTCGCGCAGCTTCAACACCAAAGGTGGTAAGAATAGCGTAGATGTCGTTGGAAGACAGCTTGTCAAGGTCGACAAGTTCGTCTGCAAGAGCCCACATGCCTCGGAGGTTGGAACCTTCGGTAATGAGTGATCGCTGCCACAAAGTCAGATGTGCGCTTCGATCCATGATTACAATACTCACAGTGAACTCGCCCTTGTCAGAGAAAATCTTCATACATCGACCGATGTTCTCAATTTCGTGAACAACGGCTGATCTACACGTCCTTTCGATGAGGTCAACCAACAAAAGCTTGGGAGCGTTGGCGGGGAACTGCGGGCCTGATTAGTATTGCGGCAACAAACAACAAGCAGTACTTACCTCCAGGTCAAACTGAGCAGACTTGCCACCGTGGTTGTCAAAGCTGAAAGTAGTAGCATACTTGCTTCCAAGCTTGAAAAGCTCTGCGAGATCATCCGCCTTGGAGTCCTGCTTGGCCTTTTCGGTGGCACCTTCCTCATCAACATCCTCATCGTCCTCTCCTTCCAGGTCGTTCTCCAGGATATCCTCCAGATCCGCGACACCAGAGTCGCCTCCATCAGAGTCTTCCTCGTACTCGTGCTGTCTGGCCTGGGCAGTTCGCTTCAGCTGGTATGAGTCCTCATCATCGTCATCGAGTTCATCGTCTCGTCCTCGACGTCGCACTTCGGGCTCTCGCTCTTCTTCCTCTCCACCGTCCTCGCCGCCAGCTCGAACCTTCCGACCCTTTCCGACCTGAAGCTCCTGCTCCTTGGTCTTGGCCACCTTCCTGATCTCATTCTGGATCTCTTTCTTGAGCTTGGGGGCAAAGTTGAACGCCAAGCTCTCGTGGAGCTGCTCAGGGGTAATCTCGTACTCGGACGTGTACTCCTTGAGCGGGAAGAATTCAAGTAGGACGGTGTACTTGCGTTGTCGAGAGTCGTTCTCACCGGACTTGGCAGAGAGTCGCTCGGTGACTGTCACACGCTCAACGACTTCGGACAAAGTGAGTCTAGAAACTTGCTTGACGAAAGTCTCAATGTCCTTGTCGGAGATTTGGTCTCGGAGAGGAAGCTTCATGGTGGGTGTGGTGGGTTTGGCGGAAGCGGTCATGACGATTTCTCGCAGACGAGGGATACCAAGAGTAACGTTGGCAGCACCGTGTCCTGACAAATATGTCAGCGAATGAACAGCCAATGCAAGTCTCATACATACCAGCCAAGTGGAAAGTGTTCAAGGTCATCTGCGTTGATGGCTCACCAACACCCTGACTAGCCATCAACCCAACAGCCTCTCCCGGCTCGACCAAACTCCTCATATACCTAGCCCTCGCCAGATGCATAAACTCTTTTTCGGGGACTCTCTCGCTCGTGAACGGACTCGCCTTGTTGTCGTTCTTTTTGGAGATGTAGCCAAACTTGTTGTCCTCGATGTAAGAATCAAGCTTCTTCGCGTATGCCTCGGACATGGCACCGATGTATCGTGAAGGAGAGTACTCTGAAAGCACGGGGGGGTACTTGTGGGGCTTTTTGAGGGCCTTCTTCATGAGTCCAGGAGCTTCATGGTTGACCTTGCTCGAGACATCGTTGGGGCGGACCTTCTGCACCAGAGAAGTGTGGTTGGCAGCAGCAAAGTCAAACTTGTTGAGATGGGTTTGCTTGGTCACATCGAGCGAGTCTTCACCATACAAGAACTGCAGGACGGAAGAATCGCTGTCTCGGACGGTGTGGTCATAGTGAACCTTGACGCCTTCGAGGTGCTTGATCAAACATCGCTGAAGGTAACCGGATCGAGAGGTCTTGACGGCAGTATCGATCAAACCTTCACGACCAGCCATACAATGGAAGTAGTATTCTTGAGGCCGGATACCCGTCAAGAAACGGTTGGCAACATAACCACCCGCCCTAGCGCTAGTGTCGAACGCCTTGAAGGCGGGCAAAGTTTTACCCGATACCATGGTCGGCACACGTCTACCCTCCAAAGCCTGCTGACCGAGCAAAGTCGAGATCTGCGAGGCATTGACCTTGGATCCCTTGGCACCCGAGATGGTCATCATCTGCATATTGTTGTCGGGGAAGGGGCGAACAAGGTGTTCGGGAAGAACGTCGTTGTTGATCTTGGAGGTGGTCTTGTTGAAGGCGGACTGCATTACGGCGTCAAGGCCGGCCATGAGGTGGTCATCTCGGAGAATCTCTTCGAGTCGGATGGCGAGGTTCTTCGCAGTGTCGGGGTCCTCTATCCTGGAGTTCTCCGGAAGGCCTACATACTTCATGGCAGCGGTAGCGCCATCGCCAGATGCCTTGTCGAGGATGTCCTTTCGGATCTTCTCACCCTCAGCAGTCAGGATCAGGTCGTCCATCCTACAAGAGAAGGCATTGTGTTGAAGGTACTTTGTCAAGCAACGAGACAAGACACCCAAAAGCTTGTTGGCAATGTAAGGGCCGTACAGCTCGTGTACAGAGTGTACGAGACCGTAACCGGAGGCACCATACTGCGATTTATCCAGCACACCGCAGATCAAGTGGCCGTCAAGGAAAATAACATTCTCCTCGCTCATCGTAGGATCAGAAGAGTCGTCCCTCTGCCACAGCTTGTTCTGCACCTTGTTTCTCGAGGTCAAGTTGAGACCTCGCGCGTTGTTGGGCGTCAAGTTGAGCAAGATGGTCGACATGATCTGTTTACCAGTCCACATGGGTCTGGGCTTGAAGATGGCAGGAGGCAGGGTCATGATCTTGGAACGACCAGTGTAGTCGTTCTCCGTACGGAGAGCGCCATAAATGAGCTGGAAGTATTGTTCTCGGGTGAAGAAGGATGACTTGTTGCACATCCACACACCGGCAACAACGTGATCTTGGATGAGACCACGGAGAGGACTACCGGAAGTGGGACCGAGGTACTGGTTATCGGTGTTGGCGATCATCATAGCCTCGGCTCGGGCGACCTCATTTTCTAGGTACCATTAGCTTACTTCCGTCCAGGTTCTGATCAACTCACGAGGGAAATGGATGTTCATCTCATCACCATCGAAATCGGCGTTGTAAGAGTTACAGTTTGCGTAGTGCATCCTGATAGTCTTTTCACCCAACAGCACCTTGACTCGGTGGCACATCATTGAAGGCTTGTGCAAAGTAGGCTGTCGGTTCAAAATGACAATATCACCATCCCTGATATGCCTATACACCTTCTTGTTCTTCTTGGAAGGCCCGGCGCTACCGCCAAGACCATGATCGTCCCCTTGAGGAGTCAAAAGCTGGTTGGCAATGGCTGTCCTCTGCGCGACGGTTGTTCTGTCCAAAGATATTTGGGTGCCGTCTTCGTTTTGGACAAGAGAGGCACCGGGGTGGTTCTTGGGGCCGTTGATAACGAGTTGACGGAGTTCCGCGACATTTTGTTGGGTGACAGGTTCGGGGTATGTGAGCTTTTTGGCGAAGACGGGAGGGATTCCGATTTCGTTCGTCTCAATGTTGATGTCGGGCGAGATGACGGATCGAGCGGCATAGTTGACACGTTTACCCTTCGAGAGATTAGAACAGACTGTGACAAGCAAAGGCAACTCACCATCATGTGTTTTCGGAAAAGACCCTCCTTCTTCTCCAGCAACTGCTTGATACCAGGGGGTGGCAGCTTTCCCTGTCTCATCACAGCAGGGTTCTTAGTGCTGTCCACAAAGGAGTTGACATCATGTTGAATCTTGATCAGAGTCTCCAGTAGCAGCTCAAAGGTCCTGGGAGCTTGTGCCTTGGCAACCTCGTCGAGCTCAATTTCGCCTCGCTCAGCCCTGGCCTGATCGATCAGACCTTGGTTGAGCTTCTGAATCCTCTGGCAGGTCTGCATCACCGCAGTAAGCAGCGAATTTTGGCTGTTTTCAAAGAGATCATCACCCATCCTGGCAGCTGGCCTGAATCGAGTAGGAGTGACAGGAAGGACGCTCATGAAGAACATGTCGGCGAGAGGGGCAGGGGAGAAGAACGCAGAGGCGGAAGGACTGCCATGTTTGCCGTAGATGATTTTACAAATTTGGGGCTCCTTCTTGAACAGAAGGCGGAGATGAGCCCGCACCTCGGCAGGTGACATGACTCGCTCATTCCTTCCTCTGGTTCCCTTGACCTGACCTGATGCAGTCTTGGCAACCTTGTGCGCCACATCCTCATTGTCTCCTTCTTCCTCGGCATCGGAAGCGACGTCCTCACCCTCCTCATCAGAAGAGTTGGACTTGTCGCTGTCCATCTCGATACCTTCGTCAACTTCAGCAGCATCGTCGGAGCGGCGTTGCTTGGATGAGTATTTGCCAGCGGAGGCGAGAACATCAGGTCGTCGAAGGTTGGCAAGCTTGTTGGAAAGTTTTTGCTTGGGCGTGAGATCGTACTCGATGATTTTGATTGCCTTTTCCTTTCGGAAGGTGTTTCCGTAACTATCACGATCAGCCCAGTATCTCCTCGGAGCTCGTCAGAACTCACGCATGGCATCGACTACACTTGTTCCAGATCTTCTTTCCAAATTCATGCAACAGCTTTTTCCTCTCCTCGAACACCAGTCCATCCTTGTACGCGTCCTCCGCTCTCTTCTTATTGGCCGCGTTGTGCTTGGCAGTCTTGAGATGATGTTGGACATAGGCCTCAATTCTGACCAAGAACTCGGCGACGTTCTCCGGAGCCTGGGTAGCGGCGACTTCCTCCATATCGACATCACCCTCGATGTCTTCCTCTGCGTCCTTGTCTTTGCTACGCGCCGACTTTCCCACAGCATTGTCGAACTGAGCGGCGACCTCGTGAGACTCGGTCAAAAGACCAGCGTCAAGAAGCCTCAGACGAGCGGCGTAAGAAGCAAGCTATATGAGATCAGTTGCATCCAGCTGAGATAATCGTCGTACTCACAGTAACCTCGGGCATCTTGAAGTGGTGGCAATAGAGACAGACGCCTCGAAGAAGTCCATAGCACTGGTTCATGAAAAGAGGGTGGTAGACTGGGACGGGAAGTTCGATATGACCGTAGTGGCCAGGACAGGCGTAGAAGGAGAGGTGGCATGTTTCGCAGCTGTGCAATAGTCAGCTCTGCAGATCATGTATGTCAATGTGCACTCACACATCCCTAGCACTCATAGGGCCAAGCTTGGGGTCATAAAGACCACCCCGGGTGGGCAGATTGAAGTTGTCGAGCAAGATGGGGTTGTCGAGCTTCTTGACGGAGATGGCTTGGACATCCTCGGTGGAGAGGAAAGAGAAGGACAGAGAGTCGATCTCGGAATGGAGGGAGTGGGCGATGTCCATGGCTGCGTGCGACGAGCTGGCGGGGGGTGTATAGTGGTTGGCCCGTCGCCTTTTGGTGGTGAGGAGAAATTCCATAAGAAAGCCAGTGGTCAGCCAAAATTCAATCTTTTGGCTGTTACGTAAATACACATATTGCTTCCGCCCGCTTCTTGACACGCTGTTTACGAGGATCTGTCAGGACGCGGTCAAGATTATTCGGCAACTTGCCATACTCAGCGCTGCGATGGTCAAATCAACAACTATATTCAGAGTCCATGACGCTCTGCCTCTCGCCGCCAGCGTCGACGACGAATCAGTCAGTGTCACCGTATTTGCGCTTTCATGTCACCGCCCTGCTGACCAGAAGAGCGAGTATAGACGGAGAAAGCTCTGACAGAATACAAGCAACAATCAAAACTCATCTTCCGCCGTTTGAATGCCAACTCTGAGCCTGCTTGCTCCATCGAGTCTGGTGCTTACACTCTACAGTGAGCACTCGCTATATCCAGTCTTGGCAACATCAGCTGAATGAAGTGTAGCTACTTGATCGTGGACAAGGTCATATACATGTGTATCTGTGACAACAGCTATCCCCGAAAGCTTGCATTCTCCTACCTCGATGAATTGTCGAAAGAATTCCAACGGAGCTATGGGGATAAGATTGATAGTGTTACTCGCCCGTACGCATTCATGGGATTTGGTATGTTGTCTGCCGTGCCCCTTGTCGCCAATGCTGATTGACATTTCCAGATACATTCATTGGCAAGACCACTCGGCTCTACCGCGATTCACGTTCCCTCACACAACCCGGCGCCGGTCCCTCCTCTTCCAAAGCGCCGGCCACGCAGTTGGACCAATTGAATGAGAATCTGAAGGACGTGACTCAAATCATGACCAAGAACATGGAGGATCTGCTTTGGAGAGGTGACAGTCTTGATAGTGAGCTTGGCGTTCCTGTTTGCTTGTCCAGATCTCTGACTTTTGACTTAGGGATGTCTCAACTTTCAACATCCCTCCGCTCCGAGTCCGCTAAATACCGCAAGGCGGCTCGTCAGATGAACATCGACGCGTTGATACGCAAGTGGGCGCCTGTCGGAGGAATCGGTTTCTTCTTCATTCTGTTCATTTGGTGGAGATTCTTCTAATTGAATGATCACGCTGCGAGTTGGGACGAGATCGTCGCGTGGGACTGATCTCCCGGTGTATTTGTAGTGATCTGCTGGCGGGACAGGCAGCACTGGCGTCTGTATATATGCATTGTGCTTGACATGATTATCACGATACAGTCTAGCATTTTTATCAAAAGGACTTTCAGACTGGCTAGCGAAGGGAACACTCGGCTTCGTGACCTTGAAGACATTGGCGTGTCTGACGGATTTCGAACGAAGCAATCGTCAGAATGGTCTACATAGTCATTACATACATGCACTCCATCTTGTCGCATCCGGACGCCCCCAAGTGAAACGTCTTTATCATGATAATGTCTACACGCCCCGCCGTCAAACAACGCCCTGACGATGTCACATGACTGAACATCCCTCTTCATCCCCCAAGGCACCCAAGTCCTGTCAGAAATCAGCTCTATGCCCTGCCCCTGTCAGGAAGAAAGTACTCACAAAGCCCTCTGGCAACTCTCCCATCACCTCCTTGGGTGGCCCTCCCAGGTCTTGTATATCCGAGACCAGCCTCGCCACTTCCTTCCCATCCTTCTCATCCGAGAATCCAGGCTTGTTGAAAGTCTCGACGACACGGGTGACAAGGCTAAATTGATTTTTGTAGCGAGCAAGGTCAGAGGGCGAGGTATTGGCAGGAGGTGACGCAAGATAGGCCGGGTACTGGATAGTGTCAGCTTTGACTAGGACGAGAGAGACACAACGGACTTTGGACGCAAGTTCGCTCATGGGTTCTTCCAAGACCTCCTTGGTCATCAATTGCGCCATCATCCCCTCCAACATGCCTTCCAGCTGTCCATCACCTTCACCTCCCTCTCCACCAAACTCCTTGAGCAGGTCCGGGTCGCCCCCAAGGGCCTTCAGTAGCGCTTCCATCCCTTCCGAGTCACCCGTCTGGGTATCAGACTTTTGGCCGGCGTTCTTGAGTTTCTCATGAATCGCCCTCAAAGTCTCGTCATAGTCGGCTGTCTGGTCTCGCGGTCCATCTGCAGGACGCTCGAGCGCTGCACCACTCGATCCTTCTGCACTCGGCTCATTCTTGTCATCAAGCCCAAGAGCCGCTAGCCCCTCTCCTGAGAGCAACATGTCCACCGCCTTCTGCCACGCGTCTTCTTCCGCCTCTTTGCTCATCGGCACCGAATCGGGCGTCCGCCCTTGACTTCCCAACGAAGAGGAAGGCTGTGGTCTATCGGGCATCAGTCCTGGAGGGTGGTCACCGGCGAGTTGGCGGAGGAGCGACTCCATACCCTCCTCCAAAGAAGCTTCAAACTCGGCGTCAGTCTCCGGTGCTATCCCTCCCGGGCTGGCCGATGTTGGTTGCGGGGGAGTGGCAGGAATAGCAGAGGGGCCTCGGTGGGTGGACTGGCTTGAGCTGGGCTTGTTGAATGACTGGAGGACATCTGCAGGGGAGTCAGTTTTCACCGGTGGGCCGGCAGATATACACTTGCCATCGAGGTCATCAAAGTCATCGTCGTCCGATCCGTCTGGCATGGAACGATATGTCTGCTTGTGCGCGTCTCCTGAGCTGGACATGGTTCCTCGACAATCAAGAGAAAGTTGGTAGTCGAATGGTGAAATGGTGCTGCACTCACTGCAGGCTGCACTTCATGTCAATGCCACGGAAGCAAAATGTGGATCTCATTGTTTGGTCCCCTGACCACCATGTCAAAACATAGCTTATGTAGTACTCTCCCCTTCTTGACCCCATTGAATGCGTCACAGAACTGTTCTGGGTATGATCTATGCATTAAAAATGTACAACAGAAGGTTTCTAATCCTCCTCCATGGCCTCTGCCTCCCTCGCAGCCACCTTGGCCTCCTTGGCCTCTTTCGTCTTCTTCTCCTTGTGCACCTTCAGACCCTTCATCTTCCTGCTCTGCAAGCTCTCCAAATCTTGCTTGCCCAAGTGAATCTTTCCGACCTTGTCTCCCATCTCGTCGGTCTCGATGTTCTTCCTCTTCTTGCCCAAACCCTTCTCGACATCGGTCTTGGCCAGCTTGGGTCTCTTCATCGCGTGCTTCATCATCTCCGCGTCTGCCTCTTGTACTCGCCTGACGCAGAAGTCGATCGAAGGACCCATCTCCGTGAGTTGAATCCTGGGCACTTTCGTGCCGCTCGCCAGAAGCTTGGTGGTGTACACTCTGAAGTGCACTTTGGGCAAAGGGGTCTCGTCAGATACGGGACCGGCGGTGATGGAGATGACGTGTTCAAGTGTGGTGAGGAGGGGAGCTTCTGAAACGGGGTGGCCGTTGTAAAAGTCGAGGAATTGAGATTTAAGGTGTTGATATGTGGGGTGGGTGTCAAAGAGGTCAGAGTGGAAGACCATCATTGGTCTAACACCGAGGGAAGACTTCAATGTCTGTATATGTGTCAACTTTTTCCTTCCTTTTGACGGGAGAATAGGAGACGACGTACAGGGAAGTCATCCATGGATTTGAACCCCTCTACACCAAGCTCAATCATATCCAAGACCCGTCCATCAAACATTCTCGTGAACACCAGGTTGTTCGGTCTCTTTTTGCTGTGCATGCCGGTGACGAACAAACTCGCATCGTTCTTGCCAGCAAAGAATTCGAGGGAGGCGGCGTCTTCAAAAGGGTGAATGTCGTTCTTTCGAGAAAAGTTGATAGCCTGGGGGCGCTTGAGGGCGTACTAACGGATAGAATAAGCTGAAGTCCTTCACGGTCTTGCAGAATGTGGAAGATACTCACAAGCTCCTTCATGGTGTTTCGGACCATGTCACTGGTGGCCTGCCCTCTGACAAAGATGGCAGTCTTTTCATTTTCGATGACTTGCGGTTCCCTCTTCTCCAACGCACGCTTCACACGAGCGTTCTTCGGCTTCCTACAACAAGGCATTAGCCGCATGCACCCAGCTTGTTCGGAAAGAGGCTTACACAGTCCTGAGCATAGACATGGTGGGGTATGTATTTGGGGCGGAGAGTAAAGAATAGCAGTTGCAGCTCTTGTCGCAAGAGAACGCTTGAATTTTTTGAACCAGGCGCGGGGCTCCTCCACCCAGGTGGCAAACAGAAAAAAGAAAATAATTGAATAAAGAGCTAGTAATGCTTTTGTATTGACCGCGCGTCCTTGCGGACAATTGCGTTATTCAAGTGAATCTTATGATAGTCGTGCTGGCCCTATAGAGAGACCCGGGGGGGGGGTAGGGGCCTGTGACCTGCACGTTTTACCTGTGGATAGCACGGACAATGTTGTAACACCCATCGGTTTCTTCTCTTTGACGCAGCTTTGACGACATGTAGTATCTCCTCTGTGCAATCATTCAAATAGTTGCATACAACATCTTTCAAGATCCCAAGACAGATACTATGTATACAACCAACCCTTCACAATCTGGCTACAGCCCACCCGTGATCAGCCTTCTCGCCCTCATCTTGATGAGCCCCAGCAGAACCCTCGCCCTTTTCACTCCTCCATTCAGCATAATCCAGACTATGAAGATCAAGACTGCCCCTACGCCGGCGTCTACAAGGACTCTTCTAAGCGCCTTGAGCAAGAACCAAACGACTCTCAAAGAGAGGGGCTTCTTCTTTTGTCTTTGCCTCGTAACGGTCGTAAACCCCCACCGTTCCCTTTCTGCCTCCGCCTCAGCTTGATCCAGATCATCTCCTTCCGTCGACCACCACAGCCAGCTCTTCTTCCTCCCGTCACTCCGAAGGATCATCGCTTGTGTGCGTTCGAGGGTGGAGAGCCGCTCATGCAAGGCAGCGAGAGATGTTTGGATCTGCTGCAAGGTATAAGAGATATTGAGAGGTGGTGGAGGGCCGTAGGTGGATGCAGATCCGGGACCTGGCGGTTTTTGGCTCTGATAGATGGGTGTGCCATCGAGCCCCAAACTTGCGAAAGCGGAACCCTGCATTTCAGGTGTGTGCACATAATCGCGCGGAAGGGGCGGTGGGATTGAAGGACTGGCTAAACGAGATCCTGCCCTCGGGTCAAGAGCAACAGGGCGATCATACCCCTGTCTCTGCCTGAAGGACTGCACTGATCCTGGCCCACTTTCTCCCAGCAGGTCTCTGACTACCCTCGAGTCTTGCGGATCGCCTCGCGAACTTTGCGCCCTAGATCCTACGTAGGGCACCGGTCTCGGAGGAAGATGCAGGGGCTGATAGGTGTCTGCTGCTTCTTGCTCCTGTGAGAGAGATAGTAGGGAACGGTGTGACGAGGTCAATGCCGAGGGAGGGACAAAAGAGGGTGCTACATCGGGAGGTGGAAGCAGCGGGTCCGGCGGGAGGAGTACACCTTGGGGGTCCATCGAAGAAGGCTCAAGGGAGATGTCTTGGTTCTGGTCTCGAGGTGCCCGAGGGGAATGACCTGGAGACAGAGGCGGGGAGGCTTGGGATGAGTGATAAGATGAAGTAGATGATGCTGGGGATGCCGGCCTGGGGGCCATATCTCCTGGACGAGTCAGCAAGGCTCCGCATATGGATGTTAGCTACTCACTAAACCGTGCAAGACCCGACATCCCCTCCAGCTCTGTCAGAAACCCTTCGACCTCCTCTTCGCCGCCGTTCCTTTCTAAAATCTACATCTCATTAGCCTTGTGTCCTTGGCTTCATGTCGTTACCATACCTTACAGAGAGCCTCGACGTAGTGCGCTTTGGCCTCAGTCTTGGTTTTACCCTCCTGCTTATGCCAGGAATCCCATTTGGCTTTCCCGAGAAGATCGAGCATTCCAGGGCGAGGAATCCTAATGTCTCCTTCGGTGGCTACATGAGATAGTCAACGCGTGTATACTAAGGCGAGGGAAGCGACACACCCTGTTTGTAGAGAGAGTAGAGCCATAATTTCTCCTCGTAAGTGGTCTGTATTGGACCCCCTTTTGGGAGACTGCAATGTATCAGCGAGCACGCATACCTGTTAACATTGATATACCTCTGGACTATGTCTACTGCGCGATGGAATTTACTGGCGAGCCATGTCAGCGCACGGCCAGACAACGAGGAGTGAAAATACCCACTTGTCGATGTTTGGTTCTATGCTCATCTCTATCACTTGCCCTCTCGACTGTATCTGCAATTGCGATCTTGTGATATCCGGCTTGATGGATTGAACAACAAATAGTTTTCTGTGCTGTGGCTGTTGTGTAGTGACCAAACACACACTGCAATCATCTCAAATCAGCCCGGCTGTTCGGCTATACAAAGTGTCAACGTCATCACTTCTATCTTCTCTTGCATCTGGGCCGCTTATATTCTCGATGCTCCTTTAGGTCTGACTTGCACAGTAGTTGATTGAGGTGGCCGGCTGGGATGCAGTGGGTGACGAGTTGGTGACGAGATGGGGGTGGCAGACGCGGGATCAAAAAAGGAGCAAGGGATCCGAGCGGAGAGGTATAAAGAGCTGACGGTGTTGTCTTTCATTTATTCATCTTCCTCTCTTCTTTCTCTGCCTGTTCTCTCAAACCTGCTTGCCACTGCTGATTCTGCTGCTTTGACTGCCAACCGCATCTGCTGTCAGTCCAGGCTCCCTCCTGACCTTCCCAGCTGACACATAGCATGAAGATGCCAACGTCCTTTCCCCATGCCGCATCTGTAATCGATCTCCCTGGGGACGTCTTCTTCACGAGTCAGACACCCCATGAATTCATGACCCTCTACTCTGCGTATGCACCTGGCAACCCCGCCTCCCATCTTCAGCGTTATGCTCCCCAACACCCACCAACACCCTCCTCCCCCTCCAACCCTTGCTCCATGACCAGACTCTCGCGCCCACGCTACAGCATAGCTACATGCAGTGGAATCATCGACCACAAGCAGAGATACTACGTCTTCGGTCTGCCTACGGACCCCGATGTTGCCTGGCTGAGGAGACGGGGGTGGATTGTGTATGACGCGAGGTGGCTCGTGCACTCTCTCAAGCACGGACGTACCCTTCCACTCGCACATTGGATCATCTCGGACGCGTATCTCAAACAGCCAATCTTCTTACTCGCTCGACCTGAGACTTCTCAAGCGAGCAGTCCAGAGACCTTGGTTAACCCCTCGCCCCCCTGTGTCGGGCTTCCGAGCTCTACCATTCCGTTTGGACCTCGGACGCCTGAATCTCCCCTTCCACTCAAGTGCCTTCCGTGCCAACAAGACTTCATGACCAGGCCTGCTGTATGGAGTAACGAACGACCATTGAGGTCTCCGCCAACCGAACAGGGGTCTGCAGGAGCGAAGAGGAAGCTGGTCAATGACAGAGAGGAGGTAGCGAAGAGGTATAGCGAATACGACACCGGACGAGTCACTCCACCCTCTATACCACGCTCCACTGTCATCTACAATATCAAGCCTGCTCCCAAAAGGCGCAAGCTGGGCCTCATCACAATTATTCCTAGCTCTCCAACTCCGTCTCCATCGGCTACTCCCGCCACGTACCACAATCCTGCCGTCATCCCTCTCTCCTTGCCCAAATCCAAACCATCAAAGAGGCCTGTGTACCCTCCGTCCAAGGGCAGGGCACGCTACCACAAGACTGGAGCAAGATCGAAACCCAGCTACCCTGCTAGCCCGGACGTCTTCAGCGCCCCCCCTATCACCCGAGGGGAGAAAGAGACCAAGTG